GTGCCAAGGAGGGTATTTCCATTAATGCTGGTCTTGCCGCCCTCGGCAAGGTTATCTCCCAGCTCTCCTCTCGCCAATCTGGATCTCACGTTTCTTACCGTGACTCCAAACTCACCCGCCTGCTGCAAGACTCGCTGGGTGGTAACGCTATCACCTACATGATTGCCTGTGTGACCCCAGCTGAATTCCACTTGAGCGAGACCCTCAATACTGTCCAATACGCTCAGCGTGCTCGTGCTATCCAAAGCAAGCCCCGCATCCAGCATGTTGCGGACGAGAGCGACAAGCAGGCCTTGATTGAGCGTCTCAAGGCTGAGGTTGTCTTCCTCCGCAATCAAATTCGGAATTCCGAAGCAACGGAGCGCCGCGACGTTGTCAGCACTGAGCGTAGTGAGCGCAAGAACGAGCTGGAGATCCAACTGCAGAACCAACTGCTTGATGTCCAAGAGAGTTACAACGCCTTGAGCCAACGCCACACCAAGCTGATCTCGACATTGGCGTCCGATTCAGAAAATGCCGAAGCCAACGATTCTACTTCAGACCTTAGCAAAGACTCGATTGAGCGGATGCAGCGCTCGCGATCATTCGCCGCATCGGTCGAGCAAGTTGTCCTCGAATACGAGAAGACCATTCAGAGCTTGGAGTCATCGCTTTCTGATACCCGCTCCTCATTGTCATGCTCTGAGAGCGCCCTTTTGGAGCGTGAAACTAAGTGCACTTATGTTGAGACCGTCAATGCCCAGCTCCAGTCTCGCTTGCAAAAGCTTTTGGATCGAGAGACTAGTAACGAGACCTACCTGCACGAGCTTGAATCCAAGCTAGATGGTGCCTCTACCGGAGAGGAGAAGCATGCTGCTATTGTGGCTGAATTGCGCAAAGAGCTCAGTCGCGCTCGCGAGAATGAAGGGAGCTGTGAAGAATATATCTCCACGCTGGAAGACCGCCTTGCCGAGTCCGACCAGGATATGGAGCTCATGCAGCGTGAAGTGATTCGTTTGGAGCACGTTATTCATCGTCAGCGGGGTCTGGGCACGTTGGATAACTTGCTTCATGACCTGGATAACCGTCACAAGCTGCCCGAGGGAGTGGATGCGGCTAATGGTGTTGATCCTGCCTACACTCCGTCCGCCAAGTTCTCCCACAAACATACTCCCTCGCTGGATGTTCTAAACGAAGCTGCTGAAACCGCCATTCCCGAGTCGGACGAAGACCTGGTTGAGCCTATCCCGGAGGAGGATGAGAGGGAATCTGCCCCTGCAGATAAATCCTCTGGCGATGACTTGGAGGTCCTTGAGAATGTGACCAGCAAGCTCGAGGCCCGTCGCTCCGAAGCCTTGCGCGAGGAGGCTCTTCACAGCCCTGCCCAGTCCAAGTTTGTTGCCGACAAGCTCGAGACCGTTACCCAGGAGCTCTTTGATCTCCGCCTTAGCCACGAGAATGCTATGAGCGACTACGAGATGCTCGAGGCCAAATATGAAGAGGCTCTGAGGGCTATTGCCGAGCTTCGCCAAGACAAGCTCGATGAAGCTCGTCATCCCGCTCCCGTTGCTCAGAACGAGGCCTCTCGGCCTGTTTCTTTTTTAGACAACGGAGACGCTCCGGTCTCGAAGCCTGGAGGTCAACACTCATTCTCGCAATCGCTCTCCTCGGAATTGTCTTCGGCCGGTGGATCGGCTGCATTGCTCGAGTCTTCTGAAGCGTCTAAGCTGGAGAATGAGTCGGTGCCAGTTACACCCGTCACCTCTACCGCTACTGCCCAACAGGAGAGTGAGGAAGTTGAGCAGATGCGCAACATGCTTGCTGAGCACAAGGTTGGTGCTGATCTTATGGCTCAGAAGTACTCTGAGCTCCAGAGCGAGCACGAGGAGATTCTGGGCATTGTTGAGAGGCTGAAGGCTGAAGCCGAGGCCCAACGTACCAAGTCCAGCTCTCCTACTACGCCCGGTTTCAAGATGATCCGCCGCATGACCAGCCAGAATCTTCTTTCTGGCGTTGACCGTGCTCATCGTTCCCTCACTGCCCTCCGGGTCATTGCCAACGAGGAGTTTGCCGAGAAGCCCGACACTTTCCAAAGCTTCGAAACTCACCTCGATGCCACTATGCACGAATTGGCTACTCGCATGGAGCGTCTCCAGTCCCTGGAAGCTGAGAACCAAAGCGTGAAGAGGGAGATGGAAATGAAGGCTACTATCATTTCCGGTCTCACTCGTGAGCGATCCAGCTTGTCAGGTGCCTCATCCGTGGACATGGCCCTTGTCAACCAACTCCGTGATCAGATCGTTAGCCAAGAGATCCAGATCAACGAGCTTCGGGAGGCTCACGAGACCCGCGAGAAGGGCCTCATGGCTGAGATTGAAACTCTCAATGGACTTCTCAAGAGCCAAGAAAACGCTACTAAGGCCATGGATGCTGGAGCCGATGAGCAAGACAAGCGGATTGGCGTCTTGCAAGATGAGCTTACCGCGTGGAAGGGCAAGCACCAGACTGCCCACGAGTCGTTGCAGTCCTCGGAGAACCAACTTACCACCACACTTGCAGAACTCGAGACTGCCCTGGCATCCGTTGAGGCTATGCGTGCTGCTGCTTCAGGTGAAGGCAACACTGACAAGGAGGCCGCTGCCAAGGAGCTGGAAAGCGAGCGGGCTAAGCAGGAGGAGCATGTAAATGCTCTGACTAAGGTGATCGACGAACACAAGGCTACCATTACAGCCCAGTTGGAGACGATCTCTGGTTTGGAGAAGTCGCATGCTACTGCTCAGGAGCAGCTGCTTGCCCAACAGACCGACGAGGTTCTTGCCACCGGCGCCCCTGATGCCTCGAAGATTGCTGAGCTGGAGCAGCTGATCGCATCCCACCGATCCGCCATCGACTCACAACAAACTGACCTGCAATCGATGCAAGATGCCCACAAGCGCGAGCTGGCCGAGCTCGAGGAACGGGCCAAGGCTGCCGCTCAAGCGGAACACGAGTCTCAGCTTTCTGAGAAGGACGCCAAGTATGACCAGTCGATGGCAGCTCTCCAGAAGGACATTGCGGAATCCCGCGATGAGCTTTTGAATCTCCTCAAGGCCGTTTCGAGTCTGCTCAGCTCGGATGTTACTGCCGAGACCTTGACAGATCAGATCCAAGATGTTCTGGCTCAGAAGCAGCACTTCTCCGAGAAGTATGTTGAGCTGATGGATACCAATGAAGATCTTCGCAAGCAGCTCGAGGCCAAGAGTTCCAACAGCACCGAGATTGAGGAACTCACAAAGAAGAGCACCACTCAGGATGCCAAGGTCAATGAGCTGGCTCTCTTGGTTGCCACACTGGAGGACACTCTTCTTCAAAAGGAGGAGCAGGTCAAGAAGAAGGAGGCCTTGATCGAGGAGATTTCTGTTGAGAAGGAGAAGAGTGTTCGTCTGGTCGAGGAGCTTGAAGAACAAATCACCAGCAGCTTTGACCAACACCACAACCGTCTGTCTGTTATCCAAGCGGAGCGTGACAGTGCACTTGAGGATGCTAAGGCTCGCGTTGTCGTTCTTGAGAAGGAGATCGAGACCTACCAAGTCCGCATCGAGCAGCTTGAACTTCAAATCAAGAACAACGGTGGCCAGGATAGTTACCACGACCGTAGCAGCTCAATGACCTCCAACCTCCGCAAGAGTTCATCCGCCGCATCTCTGCCCTCGCCTCCACCCGCCATTCCCCTTCCTCCCCTTCCCACCATTGCCGCCCAGTCCAACGGTAGTGTGTCCCCTCCCAGCTCTCGCCATGCTAGCAAGGAGCTTGTGAATGCCCAGCTTGTCGAGGACCAGGAAGCTCGCATTCGCACCATCGAGAAGCACCTGTACGCCGAGAAGCAGCTCACAGCCACCTTGGAAGAGGCACTCGGCGACCTCGAAGCCCAGAGTAGCAAGGTCAAGACTGACTGCGAGGCCTGGAAGAAGAAGGCCTGGAGCTTGGACGACGAGCTGTCCACCCTCCGCAAGGAGCGCAACTCTGCCCGCCTTTCCCTGCAAGCCGTGGAGGAAGAAAGAAGCGCCCGTAAGGAAGCTGAAGCCGCGCGCGCCCAACTCGAAGAGCGGATGAATGCTCTTAATAAGAAAAAGAAGAAGAGCACCCTCAACTGCTTCTAGTGATGGGTTCCGTTGATGTTCCTCTTTTACAATCCCCCAAACTCGCCCCATAAAAGCGTGTTCTGTTTACGCCCTATTGCTTGATGTACTACACTTTCTCCTACTTTCTCACGTTATTTTTCTTTCCGTTTCATACCCCCTTTGATCAACGTTGCACTTACTACCCAACAAATCCCTGTATTATGACACGCAGCCTTCTTTTCTTCGTCGATTCATCGATACCTCTTCTGCCTTTGCCTTTGACTTTTGTGCTATAGCCAATCCCCCTTTTATGCACATGCGCTTCTCTTCGATTTTTATTCCCTGTCGTTTCACATACTATTCGTTTCGACAAACCCATTTTATGAGGTAGAGCCTTCCCTAACCGCCGGAAATCTCCATTGTACATTTTTTTTTGCTTCTGTCGGATATATCTAGATTGACTGGTGCAAACCGTGGCCGAGGGGAATTGTGGCTTTGCAAATTGTTTCGCTAGTTCCAGTATTGAAGTGATTCAGTTCTTTATTCCAAACTCCACTATTGTTAAGTTTAGCAGGACCTGCGCGTCAAAGATTTGTCTTCCACAATCTACCACCTCATCTGTGTGGTACACAGTCATAACAGTATCATACCAGGACCCAAGTCCGTTGTCCGAGCGCAGTAAGCATCCTGATCTTGACTCTGATCCGAGACCTCGGGAGTTCAAGCCTCCGCCGGCCCCGGGGTAATTAACACGCCAAGCGTTCCGGGGTCCCAAGCCTCAACGCCTTCGGACGAACTTCGTCCGGCGAGACAAAGAAAAGAACTACCATATATCCGCTCCAATACCAAACCATTAAACCCCAATTCTTAAGTCGAAGTAATCTTGAAATCGAAAACATGACCACAAATATCCCCCAAACAATGTCAGCCTGGTACTACAAAACCCGCGGCCCAGTCTCCAAAGTCCTGACCTACACAAAAGACTTTCCCACACCAAAACCCTCAAGCCTCGCCCAAGACGAGGTTCTAATAAAAGTAGCCTACACGGGCTTCACACCCACTGCAAGCGCGCTAACAGCCATCATCCCACCCTGGCTTCAAATAGACGGCACCGCAATCCCTGAGCTAATATTCTCAGGCACCATCGCCGCGCTCGGTAGTAATCGCATCCTATCTTCGCGGCCAGAACTACAAGTGGGCACACCTGTCTTTGGAGTCATATCCTTAGGCATATTGCTGCGCCGTGGATCTGGTACGTTGGCGGGATATTGTCCCTGTCCCGTTGACCGGTTGAGTGTTGTTCCCGTCGGGATGGATCTAGAACATGCTGCCGCGTTGGGTGGGAATGGGGTTACGGCTGTCCAGGTTGTTGATGCGGCAGCTGTCAAAAGAGGGGATAAGGTTTTCGTTAACGGGGGAAGTGGGGGAGCGGGGTCGATGATTTTGCAGGTTATGAGGCAGAAGGTTGGCGAGAGTGGGGTTGTCATTTCGAGTTGTTCGAGTGGGAATATTGGGTTGGTGAAGTCGTTGGGGGCTGGTGAGGTATGTATGCATCGCAGGATATCTAAAGTAGAGTTCTAACGGGGAACTACTCCAGGTTATCGACTACCGTCAACATGATCCACTGCATGAGTACTTGGCCAAGGAGCATGCCGAGTCTCGTTTTGATGCGATTGTGGATACGGTGGGTATTCAAGAGCTTTATAGCAACTCTCCCCGGTATCTGCGGGAAGGGGGCCGGTTTGTCAATATTGGTGCTATGCAGGTTCAGTCGGCTAATGGAAGTCTGTTGGCTTTTGCTTGGGGGATGTTTTTGAACGTGGCATTGCCTGCTTGGCTGGCGGTACACCTCGGTCGTATCAGATGCTTATGGGAACGCCTGGGGTGGATGTTATGGCTCGAGTGAAGAAGTTTGCTGAAGATGGAGTGTTGGTGCCTGTTATTGATTCGACGTGGGAGATGGAGGATGCTCTAAAGGAATGTTCCAAAATTGTGCACTTTGCATCTCACATCGGATACTTATATTCTCCAGGCCTACGAAAGACTTCATTCGCAGCGAGCAAGAGGAAAGGTTATTGTCAAGGTCCAAGATTAGCACTGATGAGTTTGATTTGGAATGAGAGCATATGTATCATAGATAATAACTAATTGATTTTTGTAATGCTTCATACTTTCCATGCCCGTCCCTTTCCGGTAGATGCTTCTATGCGAACCCACAGCGTAGCCATGCTTGCCGCAAAGAGCAGTATACCGGCAGTCATGGTAGCTCTCCAATATACAGAGACGGCCGATAGTGCCGACTGCCCTGGAAGCAGTAATCCTGTTAACGGTGTACCTAACAAGGCTCCCATGCCTCGGATGAGGTACAGCGCACCGTTCACCGAAGTAAAGTGCTGCACACCGAACAGCTCGATTAAACTGGCCGGGAACAACGAGATGTAGGCGCTACCGAAGGCGCCGTAGAAAATGACGAAGAAAATGAACAAGACCTCTCCTGCTGTGACGGAGATAGTGGTGCCGGCAAACGTAGCAGGGAGCCATAGCGCGAATACAGCAATGGCACTCATCACAGTGGTGGCATACAAGACATTAAGCCGGCCAAGCTTGTCGGCCGAATATCCAATCACAATACGTGAAATAAAGTTCGCCGCATTGCTAATCGTGATAAAGTTATCCGCCATAGCATTGCTATATCCGAGAGACCGTGCAAAAGCCGCAAAGAAAAATAGAGGTGTCGAGTACCCAGCGGACTGCAAGAAACAACCCAATGCCTGCGCGACGAACTTCTTCGACTTGGCAACTTCCCAATTGACAAGCGGAACCTTGGCCCAGCCAGTTTTCCTCGAAATCCCAGCATTCTGTTCATGAAGCTTCGCTTGAAACTTTGGTTCCCATCTCAATGCATATCCGGAGATAGGCACAAAGAGAATATTCAAGCACCCAGAGATGCGTAGCGCATTTCGAAATCCGATTTGCGTGGTGATCGCCCGCAGCACAGGTGGCCAAACCATACCACCGCAGGCGGAACCGGAAATCACAATTCCCATGGCCAGACCACGGCGCTTGTTAAACCATGTTGGGCAGACGGACATGGTTGGCACGTAGGCCATACATGTGCCGATACCAACGAGGACGCCGTGCGTGAGCTCGAACTCCCAGATATACTCGCTAAGACTGGCAAGGATACATCCGAGGCCAAACACGACGCCCCCCGACATGATGATCGGTTGTGGGCCGTAGAGCTTGGCCCAGGCACTAACGAATGGCCCACCCATTGACATTAGCGCGATGGATAGTGTACCAATAAGACTGATGATCGAGGAGGACGTCCCTGTGAACGGGGTGCCGGACTCTTTGGCCATCTCCTCATAGATTGCCTGGTATACTCCGAACGAGAAGACGATACCGCAGGTCATGAACATGGTGATAAAGCCAGCAGCAACGATCACGACATGGTGACTGTATTGAGTTAGTATACCCTATATTCACTTCGTCGAGCCTTCGAAAACAGAAATTATAGAACATGGACTGAAAAGCTTGGCAAAGCTTGTTGATTGACCTAGACTTACAAATCCGAGGGTTCCGAAGTCGAGTTTTCCTGCGACTCATTTTGTGTCGGTGTTGGTTGTGGCAGAACTTCTTGCTCCGTATTGTTGGCTTCACACCTTCCTTTCTCTTTCATCGTGGCGGCGTCCCTAACACAAAATTAAAAGGAAGAAAACAAGAGAAAATTCACGCCTTTTCACAAACCGCAAGGATCACGGCAACGACGGCATCTCTGCCAACCGATCTGATAATTGCTTTGTGGAGTACCCCCAATTTCCCCAGAGTCAAGCACTGTGCGGTCGTTGCCGACTCGGTCTTGCCGATTTGGGGGATCATTGGCCCTCTTGCTTTGTCAGAATTGGAGTCGAGTATGCTTGGACACGGCAGATGTTGCTGCTAATTGGGGAATTTGGCGGCACTGAGTATATCCGGCAGATGGACCATGCGAGACTTATCCGACCGGATCAGAATCTCGGATAATAGAGCAACTTGGATACGGAAGTACTGATAACTTTAGATAACAACAGTGTTGTAGTCGAACAGAATGTCGCGACACTTTTTTTTGTCTGGAATGTAAATGACCCCTGCATCTGCACTGCAAGTCTATGCAAAGCAATGCAAATCAAAGCTACACAGTTGCTCGTCATGTGATGACGTACACCCACGTGTTCTTTATCTCATGAAGCTATCGTGTTCTCCAGCTTCAATTCATCCTCCACAAACAACATGACGGGTCTTGCGCCCGCTAATGTGGTCATCGTGCACCCCGATTTGGGAATCGGTGGTGCTGAGCGACTTATTATCGATGTGGCACTAGCTCTCCAGAACCGCGGCCACCGCGTGACAATCTACACATCCCACCGCGACAAGAACCACTGCTTCGACGAAGCTCGCGATGGCACCCTCGATGTTCGCGTCCGCGGCAACACAATATTCCCTGCGCATGTTTTCGGTCGACTTCACATTTTTATGGCCGCCTTGCGACAACTACATCTGACCGTGTCGCTTCTGTCGGAACTAGGGTCGAGGGATACATTTCGCGGTACGACCTCGGAGAACATAACCGCGGATAAAAACGAAGATCAAGACGACATCTTTATTGTTGACCAATTGCCCGCGTGCGTCCCTTTTCTCAAAACCTTTGGCAGCCCGCAAAAGTCCCACCGCCAACGAATCCTATTCTACTGCCATTTCCCAGATCAATTGCTTGCGCGTCGCGATGAAGGCGGCTCCCTTCTTCGGCTAGCCAAGCAGCTATACAGATTGCCGTTTGATTGGTTTGAAGGTTGGGCTTTGAGCGCGTCGGATAGGGTTGTTGCGAACTCGAAATTCTCGCGCGGGGTTGTGCGCCAGGTCTTTGGGGCTGACAAGTTGGGGGATGTTGAAGTCGTTTATCCATGTGTCGATACGGATGAGAAGGCCATTGCGCCGGAAGCAAAATCGGCGGGGCCCCTTTGGGGTGGAAAGAAGATCTTGCTGAGCATCAATCGATTCGAGCGGAAAAAGGATATGGCTCTGGCGATTCGGGCATACAATAGACTGGATGCGAAGAAGAGGATAGGAACTCGATTGGTGATTGCTGGTAAGTACTTTGCGTTGTATTCTTATTGACCCCAGGCTAAGGATGTCTTACCTAGGCGGTTATGACAATCGTGTCCAAGAAAATGTCCAATACCACCAAGAGCTCGATACTTTGGCAACCAGCCTCGGACTACAGACAGCAACTGCAAAGACTGTTGTCTCTGCGCTTTCTATCCCCGATGACATTGATGTCCTTTTCTTGCTTTCCGTCCCTACAAGCTTCAAAGATACGCTACTAGTACAGTCAAAGCTGCTCCTCTATACCCCGATCAATGAGCACTTTGGCATTGTTCCCGTTGAGGCGATGCGCGTCGGACTTCCTGTTCTGGCTTCCAATACCGGTGGTCCACTGGAAACAATTGTCGAGGGCGAAACGGGCTGGCTCCGGGACGCACATGCCGTTGATGAGTGGACTGCTGTCATGGATAAAGTTCTGAATGAACTGAGCCAACAACAAATTGATAAGATGGCTGCCGCTGGTAAGCTAAGAGCCGATAGTGAATTCTCACTCACGGCTATGGGCGATCGACTAGAACAGGAGATCTCCACTATGCTCTCAGCGGAGCGTCGTCCGTTTGATGGGTGGACGCAGGTGTGTGTTGGGCTTGCTCTCATCGTGGCATTACTTGGAAATGTCGGCTTGTTTGTGTACCACATGACTGCTTGATGTAGTGTGATTTCGAATTTAATACCCCACTTGTCTGTAAGCTTGCTTGAAGTAGGCGTTGGTAAACAAGGGCACAAGGAACTGTTAGTCCCAATTTTTTTTTTTTTTTTTTTTTTTTTTTTTTTAATTTCATAGCAACCATGTAGAATTTTTTGCTTGTCTTTGCTGGATAGGGACCAAAGCAATCTCCATACTTGATAAGATAGAGTATTCAGGTAGGGAACGGCCCATTTAACCTTAAGGTGCAGATCTGTAGATGCGCGATAAGGGTCACCTGACTTCGTGACGTCGCGTTTCGCGACGGCGCACTTTTACTTCTTGACGTTGTCCAATCCCAAAATGCCCGATATCATAGACTTGATCTCGTCTGATCCTCCAATAGCTGACAACCCACCACCGCAATATGTACCGCAGTCCACACAGCCGATCCCTCAACGTCCATCCCGCTTGGGACTGATCTCATCGGACCCGGTTAGCGCTCCATTGTTTACTCACGATGGCTGTGACATACCTCCCAAGAAGCGAAGAGTCAGTCGTGAGGACCAGTCGCCTCTCCGACACACGACGTTGGCGTTTCCCAGCTCATTACCCTCAATACAATTCTCGGACGACGACTTTGGCCTCCCACCCTCACGCCCCATGGCGCCCAAGACACGACCGGGGCCGAACGTGGACAATTCAGATCCTATTGTTTTCACATCCCCTGAGCCCGAAAGGCGAACCCAGGCCGTGCCTTCTGGCTCCCTCGACCGACCCTACGCCCCGCCACCTCCTACTTCTCTCAACAAAACCCACGACCCATCGGACATTATCACCATTGATGACGATGATGCAAATCCTCCGATGGCTACTGGGGGAAATAGATCTTACCGATGTACCCAAGACAGCATAGAGGAGTTTAGTGATCCATTTTCCATTCCGGGGTTTGCAGATATCATTGGAACTAGTACGGTTTCTAAACCCAAATTTTCCAGCAAGACTGCAGAGTTGCTCGCTTCACTTAGTGCAAATGACAAGCCTACGGATGGGGAAAATGTTTCGAAGAAGGGAAATCGGAAATATAAGATTGCTGGAATTGGTACGAGAGGTTCGAATCTTTCGGATGATGACATCAATGAACCTGCTTCACCACGGCGGCCAGCGAAGAAATCCGGAAAAATGACGACTGAAGAAAAAGAAGCCAGGGCAAAAGCTCGAGCCGAGGCAAAAGCACAAAAGGAGCTGGAGCGCGAGCTTGAAAAGGCGAGAAAGCTGAAATTAAAGGAGGAAAAAGCAAAGCAAAAGCAAGTGGCAGCGGATATCTCAGAGGTGAATAAGCTCAAGGTCGACAAGAAAGATTCTACACCAGAGATGATCATCCACGTTGAATCTTCACTCGAGGACATGAGTGTGGGCACCCAGACTGTCGAATTTATGAAGCGACTTGGAGTAGAGTACAAGTTCTTCGACAGTCCCATCCCTAATCTGATCAAATGGAGCCGAAAGGTCAAAGCAATTTACAATGAGACGGCTGGTCATTGGGAGCCATGTGCGTTGCATATCGAGGCAGAGAAACATGTTCTGTGCTTGGTCCCCGCGCAAGACTTTGTGGATATGGTGATTCCTTCACCGGATGAGGAGAGGGAAACATTGGAACTTCACGTTCTCAAAATCCGGAGCGCTTACCCAAATCATAAAATCATTTATCTTATTGAAGGACTTACGGCATGGATGCGCAAGAACCAGAATGCAAGGAACCGAGCTTACCAGGCCGAGGTGCTTCGTCAATATGAACAACCAGCCCCTGAACCTGCTACGGCCCGTCGTCGCGGCCGAAAACAGACGAATAAACCCGAAACCACGCCCCCTGTTGATGACGATACGATTGAAGACGCCCTTCTTACGCTGCAAGTGACCCATGCATGTCTCATCCACCATACCGGTGCGCCAGCAGAATCAGCCGAATGGATCAAGAATTTCACCGAGCATATTTCTACCATCCCCTATCGTCGCGAAATGATGGAGGGCAACGATGCTGCATTCTGCATGGATGCGGGTCAGGTCAAGACCGGTGAAGACAATCTAGACACATTTGTCAAAATGCTCCAGGAAATCAACCGCGTGACCGCTTCCATGTCATATGGTATTGCAGCCAAGTACCCATGCGTCACGGACCTTGTCCGCGGTATGCGGATGCATGGGCCCACGATGCTCGAGGATGTCAGGGTATGATCTCTTCCCTTCATGGCCCGCCTTTCCCGCGGGACTAATTCTAATTGTCAAGAGTTCTCCGCTGATCCCTGAACTAGAAATCTGCAAACAAGAATGGTGCTTTGACGGACTCGAGGGTTGGCCCCGCTGCCAGTAAGAGGCTGTACAAGGTATTTACAGGCCTCGACCCGACATCTACCGACGTCTAGCCGGATTTGGAATGAACATTGGTTTCAGTGCTTGCTTTTTGCTTTCGATATCCCTGGCTCATAGTTAGTCCCGTAGCTAGTCCTCAAAGCTTGGAATCAATTCACCTATCCAGATTCCCATCATCGAACCCGCCCCCTCAATCACCAACTCCCAAGACCAAGTCAAAAAGCTTAGCCTTTGGGTGTGTAATACTGCTGCCTGCGCTGGTCGAAAAAGTCGAAAAAGGTCCACCCAGTGGAGCCCGCAACGCAGTAATGTTTGCCGAGCACGGGAAAGTTGCCCTTAGCAAAGCTTGGTGTTGCCCCATAAGGCTGTAAGGCTGGTCACGTTCCATGTCTGATAAGGGTCCGATGGATCCAAGCCCCAATCATAATTCGCAGGCAGAGTTCACCTTCCCAATATTCCCAGCCGTGATCCACTCCCTCGCTTTCAATACAGCTAGTATTTGAAACAGAAGTTCAGTCCGCAGATGCGATGGTCGGAGATCAAGCGAACAATGGACCACCCACGGAACTCCGGCTATTCCTCTTCCACGCAAAGATCTTATTTTATCAATCGATCTGATAAAAACCTCACCCCATCAGATCCTGGCACGGTGGCCTCTGCATTTCATTCCTGATTTCCCATTTTTGCGGAATCGACGGAAAGAAAATGGCTACCGAAAGATGGGCGATCAGCCCAATGTTGCTATTCTCGACTGGCTTGCTCGTTCTCTCGGCTTTCAATTATGGGTTGAGTGATCAAGCTTTTTCGTCTTGTCAGGCGATGAATGCCTTCGAGAAGCAATTCGGTGTGTACGATGCTAAGACCGATGCATACAAGATTCCGGCTCTGTACACTTCTCTGTATAACAGTCTCAAGGCCGGTGGTCAGATTATTGGTGAGTGCCGTGCCGGTTTCGCTCGATTGGTGTTCTCTCTGACCAAAGGATCTTATAGGTGTTTTCATCGGCGGATACGTGAGCAATCGATGGGGACGTCGTATGTGTATCTTCACCATGAGCGTGTATGCACTCGGCAGTGCCTCTGTCGTTGTTAGTTCGACTACTCAAGCCCAGCTCCAAACGGCCAGAGCTCTACACTGTGAGAAAACCATCTACAACCCTTGTCGGAACATCAACTAAGTTCCTTTGCCCTTTCTGATAGACATTTACCTTGGCATGCAATTGGCCGTAATCCCAACCTTCCTAGCCGAGCTGGCCCCGGCGAAAAACCGCGGCGGAATGGGCGTGTTATACTGGCTAAGCATCAAAGCTGGCGGCCTCTTCATCACCGGCATAGCCCGGGCCACCAAAGAAATTACCACGAACACAGCCTGGAGAATCCCCTTTGGACTCATCTTAGTCGTGCCCTTCATTGTCATCTGTCTTGTCTGGTTCATCCCTGAATCGCCACGTTGGTATCTTCTCCGCGATCGTCAGGATGAAGCTCTGCGATCCCTGACCCGTCTCAAGGGCAAGAATACATCTGACGAGGAGGTCCGGGAGCGATACGAGGTTCTATCATTGAAGGTTGCTGAGCAGCTACAGAAGAAGTCGTTCAAGGACCTCTTTACACCCCAGAACAGGCAGCGGACTTTTATTGTTTTGGCAGCAAATTTCTTCCAACAGGCTACTGGCCAGGCCTTTGCTTCGCAGTATGGAACACTATTTGTGAAGCAGTTGAACTCTATCAACCCTTTTAGTGTTACCCTTGGTACTAATGCGGTGGACATTGGTGCGATTATTATTTCTGCTTCGTTGATCGATGTTGTTGGTCGGAGGTTTGTTTTCTTTTGCTTTCCATGGTGGGATATGCTAAATATGTTTGCAGGGCGTTGTTTCACACAAGCTCTAGTCTCCAGACTGTCGCGTTGATGACAATGGGTGGTCTTGGAACGGCGGATTCAAGCAATGTCGATGCCAAGAAGGGTATCGTGGCCATGCTACTTCTCTTCAGTTTCAGCTGGTCCCTTGGCTGGGCTCCTCTGACATACGTTATTGGCGCGGAACTTCCATCGTCTCCGCTCCGTGAGATGACGCTGCAGATCGCTTATACCGTGAAGCTTATTACCGAGTATGTTATCTATGGCCTGTTCTCTAGACGCGGACGAGTACTGACAGCCCATTTCAGATTCGTCGTGACTTTCACCTACCCTTACATGGAGACTGCTGATACGCCCCACCACGTCGACATTGGTGGTAAACTGGGCTTTATCTATGGCTCCTTGTCGGCTGTTGCGTTCGTGTTTGGATGGTTCTTCATTCCTGAGACGAAGCAATTGGAGATTGAGGAAATTGACCGAGCCTATGCGTTGAAGATGGAGGATATTGAGTCGACTGACGATGACAGAACCATCGTGACTGAAATTCCCAAATAGGAGACCGGATCATTCAGATTACAAACCTGTGAGGATCTAATTAGGTGGTGTATATATGGATAGACTAACTAGAGGTCGTACATACTGCACTGGTCAATACCCGTGCAAGATAGTGGACATAGCTCCTTGTATATACGAATAAATATGACGCTAGCATTTGGAAGTCCGCTTTTTTCAGTTCATGAATCGTTCAGCTTCGTTCGAGTTTCACCCCGCCCAGCGCGACCAGGGACGGGATTTCCACATTGCAAATAGGCGCATGTAAGCCAAGCTACGAAAGTAGAGAGATTGATACCCGAACTGATCAATGTATTGACTCCTAGATGTGTCTATCGCTGGATATGAGCAAACCCAAAGAAAACGCTAAATAGCTAAAACGCACTGCCTAAACAATCACTCCTCGTCGCTTCCAGCCTCTCCAAGCAGCAAGCCAAACCGCGATGGCAACCCAAACGCTAATAGTGCAGCCGACAGCCCAGAAGCCATAGCATCGCCAACCATGACATTGACCATCGATATTACTGCCACTGCCATCATCCAGCGCATTTTGGTACGCAGCGGAATAGATCACGCCCCACAATGCGGCACCGATGGCGGGCATCATAGCTACGATACCCCAATTCGTGGCAAAGTTCTCTACGCCCCACACGACGGAGATGATGATGGGGGTGAGGGAAAAGGCGCTTCCGTAGCCGAAGCCAACGAGCGCCGTGGTTAGGTGGAAGAGAGGGGGTAGTTCAAGTGCGAGCGGGGAAGCGAGGATGAGGTAGCCAATTGAAAGGAGAAGTGCTGATGGTAGGAGAAAGACCATACGGGAGAACGTGGGGCGGTTGTTCTCTGCTGTGGGCACTGTGTGTCGACGGCTATCTGGGATTGGAGGAAATAGATGGACTGCTGGTGGTGCAAAGAAATCGGAGAGAGATCCGGTGAGCAGTCGGGCAATGGTAGACGTCAATGCGATGGTGGTGACATGAGTGGATGGAAGACCGGCTGGTGGGGGAGAATTGAGGGCATAAGATGGGGGCGTTAGGGTGGGAATAATAGTACCAAGCTAGTTTGGTGAGTTATGATCTCGGATGTAGGAGGATTCAGGACTCACGTTATTGATGAATGACTCGCCAGGTCCAGTGACCAGGAAAAACCCAGCGGCAAGCCACCACATGGTAGGATCGAGGAGGAACACCCGAGTCTCGTAATTCAGGAGCCAGTTCTTCTTTCGACGCTCTTCCTCCTCCCTTTCCTTCACTCGTCGTCTCTCTTCTCGCTCTTCCCCAGAGAGTGTGTCCTCTGCGTCATTGTCCAAAAAGGTACCGTATTCTACCGCTGCTCGGATCTCACCTCTAGGCCGGAAGAAATCGCTTTCTTCAAGAAGCCCACTGCGCTCCAGCTCCTCGACAGTCTCATCAATGTATCGCTCTTCGTCGTCATCAACAATGCGCAAGGCAAATGTACCAATGATTCCAGTCACCAGCAAAACAATGCCCAGGAAAAGGAAGTATCGGAACACATCCACATCACCGCAGTTACCATCGACGTCACGCTCACACAGCACATAAGTTCCCAACTGGCTCTGCCACATGCCACTCAACCCAAAGGCTGCAATTGGCAATGCAAGCATGATGCCCTTGTGCTTTCCCCTGCCATAATTCTTAGCGCAGGTCGCCACAGCGGCGAGATACATGCAGCTTGTGCCCATTCCAATAGCAATGAAAGACACAATCATCACCCAAAACGGCCACCCAGAGCCCCCGACGTCTGGAGGCGGGCCACTTTTATATGTGAACGCAGCAAGAAGATACCCCAATCCAAACAACCCACCCGAAGCCAAGGATAATGGAGACGGGCTATACCGATCGCATAGATAGCCAAAGACGGGAACCAGCAGGTACATCGCGATCTCAGCCGCAATAGAAATCGCATTGACCCGGAGTTGCGTGTAATGAAGCCTGGTCAGAAACAGATGCCCATATAACGAAAACGCAGTAATGCTACCCGCACCTAGGCTACAAGCTGTGAGTCAGAGACCAGACATAATCAGTACCACGGCCACAAACTCGGAATTCATACCAGGTGATAATGCCCCAAACAAAGCTTATAACCCGTATAACCTCTTTATGCATTTTCCGTCGATCGCGCTCGACAATACCATCCACGACATCACTGAGAAGCCCGTCGTCACTGGTCGCTCCGAGTCCAGAACGCGAGGAGCGCCGTGAACGACGTGACCCCGCTCTAGACCGCCCGATAGTTGGATTGGAGCCCAAATTGGGACCGTCTATGATTTCATTTTCAAGGAGGGGCCGGTTCGCATCGAAGTCCCGCTTATCGACATGGCCAGAGCTGGACATACTGCTCAGCACACCCGGTCACCTGTACCAGAGCTTTGTGAGAGGGTAGAGAGGATGTGGAGGTAGCTTGGTACGTGTGGGGAGCTATTTGATGAAGTACTGTCGAAGCGGTATGGGGCTTGGGGCGATTGGCGGAGCTCGAATGATAAGGCAGCCGTGTCAGCTGGGTGGATCAGTTGCTTTGTTGTCAGAGCCCCACCCTACGTCATTGGGCTTCAATATGGGCCTATATCAGGAGCAAGTGACGACGAATTTCGTGAAAGGTGAGGAGAAATGGAAAGTGAAATGGAGTGTGGAGTAAAGTGAGCTCGAAGGAGTTCCCCAGCCCCGATTAGATGCGGAGCTTATCGTGGAACACGTGATATCAGCCGAGGCTTCCACGAGTTGAGCTGACCAAACTCTAGAAACTACTTAGAAGAACATGATTTCTGAATTTTTTGTGATTCTGTCTAATGCTAGATAGGAGAGTATCATGTACAAACAGCACGGGGCTGGAATTGCCCCGCAAAGTGAAGGCCAGGAGAAACCAGCCTTCGGGGTATTATCAATAAAACAGAACCGAGAAGTGAATCGAAAACAAAAGTCGGGGTAATCTCGTACACGCCAGGCCAGAAAAAGATGGGGGAGAACGGTGAAAGGCAAGAGAACAAAAACCCGGGCTTCTAAATGCATCCAGGATTGACAAAAGTCATTGAGTCGTCCGTGGGCATCGTTACATCGTCTGCTCTCGTTGAGAGCAGTTCGGAAATGGAAAGAGACGTAAGGAGAAAAGTAAGGGAAAGAGGATAATACCGAGGGTTGATGTGATAGTGGAACTCGAATGAGCTTGCGCCATCTATCATCAAGAGCCGGATCAGAAGAAAGGCCGAGATCACATCAGAAGCTGACTTCACCCGCGTCACTCTCCATCACATTGTCATCCCAATATTGCTCCGAGGGCAATTCACGAACAGCAGGTTGGGAGCCTAGCGCAATACCCTCTCCCTCTCCACGCTCAATAAATTCATCTTTTGTGACTTCGTTCATAATACGCTGGAAATACATGCGCAATGTGCGAAGGCCTCGTAGGTACCCACGATCAATATCATTGGGTTGGTGTGGAGGGCAAGGGGTGTCAGGGGGCAATTCGTCTTCGCCGGTGACACAGTTGGCGAAATCAACAATTTTCAGTTGAACGTTGATATTCTTACCATCTTCGGAGGCTCCGGGTCGGGATGTAGGGTCAGTAGTTTGATTGGGGGTTTGTGGAGGAGTGGCTGGCTCTCCATCATACAGAAGCAAGAGGCTGCTGGCATAGAGACGATAACGATTGAGTTTCCTGATCATGTGTTCCAACAGTGACAGTTTCTCCAAGATGCCGGGAATCTTCTTGGCCACGCTGGCATAGCTGACACCATCGTAAAGGAAGCGGGTGAGAGCATCCTGGAATTCACGGCCAGATTTCAAGTCACGTCCAAAGTATTTGTCTTCAAAGATGTATTCCTGTTTCTTGACATTCCAGGCTTGCATGCCACATAGACGTACTCCAAGTTGCCGCGATGTTGTTGATTGACACTTGCGCCTTTGCGATTTCTTCTTCTTCTCATTTGCCTCAATGCCATACTGTCGGGTACCCATTTTCAGATCTAGTACACATGGCTTGTTCATGCCAGCTGTGAGGTCTTCAAGAAGAAGGAAGAACTGGACTCGTTCGTCATTCCTCAGCTGCGCTTCCTTGGGATTACTGGGCAGATAGGCTGCCAAAGCATCCTGTGACCTTAGCTGAGAAGAGGCAGCAGATATCCTGTCGGATGGCGGGGGTTCAGTGGTGGAAGGTTCGCTTGGGGTGTTTTCTGAGGTCTTTGAAGTAGAGTTTCCTGATAGCGGGATATCTGCAGACGCAGGTGCATCGCCCTCCATCGAGAATATTTCGTCCTCTCTATCTCCGCCGTATCCGTCGTCTTCAAAAAACATCAAATCACCCTTTTTCTCAGAGCCAATACTTCGTTGCCTTTGAAGGCCACCGCCTGAATGTCTTCTTCGTACATGCTGCCCACGGCTGAGGGAGCTTGCGCGATTGGGCGTATCTTCGGTTTTCACCCTCTCTAAGCGATCACGGTTTGCATCCAAAGCCGTGGATGCGGATGATGAGAGAGCAGGGGTTTCAGGGTCAGATCGCGCAATATCCATTACTGGCGCCCTCAATGTCTCAACCTTGCCAACAGCTGAAGGACGCACAGATGTATGATCTTCGGACAAGTGTTCACCACGACGAGTTAATTCCGAAGTGGTTCTCGGCAAACGCAAATGTCCACGGGCGTGTCTTCGGTGGTGGTGAATAGCAGGAGGGCTGAAGACCTCTCGAAGGACCTGTTCCTGAAGCTTCCGGTTGACAGTTGTAGCTCCCCATATCTTCGCTTGATTACTCAATGAATTAGGACTTGAGCTCGGCTCCCCAAGTCCACCAGCGGAGCGAGGTCGGCCGTTCGATGAGTCATTGACTATTCTCGATCGTTGACGTGAGAAAAGATCAGCTGGGATGATGTGGCGGTTGTTTTCAAGGATCACTTTAGGGATCACGCCAGTGACCTGGCTCTGGCTCACAATTCGCTGAGGCTCGATTCGCTCAGGAATCTGTGAATCCGTTCCAGTGGCGCCATTGGGTTGTTTGGCTTCCAAATTCTCGTGAGTGCCATTTTCGGTCTGGTCTTTCGGTCGCTTTGGAGTCTTCGAAAAGGTTACATTCAGAACACCAATGTATCTAGAATGAAAAGGTATCAGCATCAGGCAATAATTGAAAGTGGAGCAGAGCATGACGTGGCGGGGTCTGGTGCCTAAGTAGGCTGCCAGTGGTTTTTCTCTGAATTTGAATGACAAAAAATGGGCACGTTCTAACTCACCTGGGGAGGAAAAGTAGCATATCAGGATGCCTTCGTTCGATTCGTTCATAGAACTCATTCTCCCGGTTGTTGAGCTGTTTGCAGACGGCACGCCTAGAGAATCGAAATACGGTTGTGTGACCACCCACTTGATGCCTATAAGGCTTCAACTCAACAGCACCAAGGGGCCCAGTTGGTTTGCGACGTTCCAGGATGCGTGAGTGCTGAGTGGGCGTGGCAGTGGGCGTGATATCCACATCGTCAGTCAAGCTGGAATCATCAACCGATTTTGCACTTTCATCTGCAGAAAATGCATCTGATTCGGCGGTGGAATCATAGCTGTACTCGGAAATCGCACCCAAAGATTTCTCTGGTACACCCTCGGAGGGAGCTCGGAGATCCGGAAGATCACCATGGAGAATCTTACTTTCATTTTTAGATCGAAAGGATATATCCACGTGGCTAACTTCTTGCTCGGGGGGAGGACTACGTTGTTGAGGTATTAACATCAATCCATGACTCTTGTCGGCTGCAGAAAGTTTCACTGGCTGCACGCCATGCGAATCTGGCCCTACCGATCGTGGGTCACTGACCCCTTCGGATATGGCAACACGTTCGTGGGGGAAATAAACGGCAGACTTGATTTGTTCATTGCCCTCGTCCTCAAATTGTGCCGATTCGCGTCGATCATCCTGTTCAACGGAGCTCAGTGAATCGGCAAAATGCTCAATATGGGGCTCCTTCTGAAAATAACTCCTGCTGCGTTCCGAATACTGCGCGGGAATACTCCGAGAAAAAGAAGAACCGCGCGCTCCTCCTGGGGTCAAATGGAAGTTTCTGATCTCCTCAAGAAGGCCACGAGGTAGTGTTGGCGGCCGGCGCTTGGAAGGTTCTTCTGCCTCTGGCTGGTGGTGAAATTCAACTTCAGGTTGGGTTTCGAATGACGGGCCATCCCCGAGGGAGGGGAGAGAGATGCTCCTCCGAATCAACCCAGTATCCTCCGATGGCAGATTCGAAGTCTGCATGTTGTGTTCCATAGCACGATCCCACAAGTCTGCGGCCTCATCTTGCTGTCGGGGTTGATCCTCCCATTTTTTCCGTTCTGGTGAAGTGGTATTCTCTTTGAATAGGCCCAGGTAATGGCTGGACTTACGACTGCGCACGTTTGAGGCAGGCTCCGCGTTGTTAAGATTTGCCTCGATTGAACTATCCACACGTCCACGACGACCTCGACTGGAGCTCGGCTCTAGGGCCACGGCGCGAGAAGATTCGGCGAATGAATCGAAGGAGACGCCTTCTCGGCTCAGCGGCGGCCGCCCGTAATCAGGCGTCAGAGACTGGGGTGAATGAGAGACATCGTCTAGTACAGAAGGAAGAAGACTGCGTTCGGTCGGTGAGTCTGGGCTATCAAACCTTGTACCTGGATCACCCGGCGTATGCAGTAACTGAACACCAGCTTCCCTTTCTTGATCCTTCACCTGGTCTGGAGTGAAGATGGACGAGCGCAAAGCAGAGAAAGGGGAGGCATCGGACGAAGGGAATAGTGAAGAGCGTAATGGGAGATGTCTGCGGACGTCAACTTCCATGTGGGAAGGGTCGACGTGAGGATGGTGGGGAGAGACCTTAAAGGGAGGACTTGGAGACCCGTGCACATCATCGAGGCGCGGAATGGAATTCACCTGGCGCTCATTCTCTGGGGCCCTTGCCGGGGGCAATTGTGGGGTATTGGCGCCGCTGTCGGTAGGAAGGTAGTGGGTTGCAAAGATACTGTCTCTTTCGGACAATTGTGGACTGTAAAAGGTTTCGGGGCGGGGGAAATTCTCCTGCGGGTTCGTGAAAGCCCTTTTTACAGTGAACGGAGGCGCCGGTTGAGACCATTGACGAATTGTGGGGGATTCCGCCCGGGACGGGGAGGATGCCAGTGGAGCCCCCTGGGACAGGTTTTGCTGCGGTGAATGCGACAAGTGGTGACGTGGATTGGGCCGAGCTTGTTCGACCTCTGCTGAGCAATCATATTGGGCAGGCGCGGCAGGTGTCACCAGGGGGTTAGGCAAGGTATCTTCGGGATCGGACGGCGGATTTGACATGGAGAGGACATTGGTCAAATTTACAGGGTCGGAAGGGTCTGGAAGCGGCGACGACAGTGGTTGGTCAATGGTGGAGGGGTGTTGGGGATCGAAAGGATGGGACGCCAACACGAAAACGGAGGCAGACAGCTTGCTGGCGTCACGACAGTGAATCCGAGTTTAGTGGAGAAAGTGACAAGGGGGGGAGGGGGGAGATTTTTCGAGAAACACGGGACAGACCGAGGGCCACGTTGGGGAGGAGACGGATCTTACAGGTGGAGGTTGACCGCAAATCGGTCAGATAACCGGGATCAGAGGAGGTGAATTGGTTTGGGGTAAAGAGGAATAGATAAAGGATGAACAGGCTGAACCTAGCATCGGTAGCACAGTGACGCCGATCGTCCGTCACCGCCTTGTAGTGGAGACCCGATCGTGAGGTCCTCCTTCTTCCTTTTTAAGTGGAGACTTGAATGAATGCAGAAAGATAAGAAGCTGGGAAAAAGAGCAACTGGAGAGACAAGATGATGCTATGCGATAGGAGGGACATAGAGAAAGAGAGAGAGGGAAAGGCAGAATGAAGTCACCTGCGTAGGTGTTTTGCCTTCTATATGATTTTTTCTCACTTCGACTTCCTTCATTTTACCCCAGATTGAAGACTTCACTTCCTACAAACTATTCATGGTGTACCACCCACATGCAGTCTTATCTTCAATTTGCCAGCCACATTCACGAACAGTGATGCGATTGACGACTCTTTTCTTCTCAGACGCGAATCTGGCAGAACAAACATCTCAAGTAACACGATCCATCACAATTTGAGAAAGGTTGGTACGATCAACCCACACTCTCACAGTGGCACTTCAGATAGGCTACCCTGGTCCCGTTGCCAACGGTAGACGACCTCTTCCCGAGCGGTGGGGGCAAGGGATAACAAAGTTCTCGGGTCGATCACACTCTGAATTCATGGATTTCCCTACAGCCTATCAACGTGGTTCGTGCATTGGCGTGCATCACTCATGGTCAGCCATACGGTGTCGCCTCCACCATTCCTAGCCAGTCGGGACGGCCCCTGGTTCGTCACTCCTCATGATTGGCAAGGACTTTATAAGGAATCTAGACAAGAATGGTTTCTCGAAACACATGACTGGCGTAGCCAGGGATAGCGAAAGCTAAATGCTCAATTCCCAGCCACGTCTCTGCCTGTCTCTTAAAGGGGCTGAGAGCAGGAACCTGCGGTGTACCGTTTCATCTGCTGGTCTTGGCCACTTCGATCTTGTCTTTGTACTGTGGGGGTCCTGGACAAGTCCATTATGCCCGAAAGTATCCCTTACAGACTTGGGAAACACCGAGCCAGCCCTTGAAGGGGCTGTCCACGCTGTAGCTATCTAGCCAGAATGCGATCAATGTTCTTGTTTGCTCTCCTCTTTAATCTTCCCAGAAATTGCTACTCACTTCCCGGCTTTAAGATAGTTGACGTCACGTCGAAGTCATTTTACAGTCATTGGTAGAATACGTTATAAATTGATCGAATTTAATAGAATGCTCTTGACTACAATTGTATCTTATTCACTATTTTTATTGAAGAGGCATTTGAAATTGACACTGTACTCATCATGCCATGCAAAAAGGTCCTTATCATCCTGAGCGATGCAAACTCATTTCCTATGAAGAAAACCTCCGGGCCCAACGCCGGCCAAACAGTGGACCAGCCCTCGGGGTTCTTCCTCCAAGAATTAGCCAAGCCGCTCCAAAAACTTCTCGATAAAGGCCATGAGGTGACATTTGCCTCTCCTAAAGGCAAAGAACCGTCTCCAGACCCAAATAGTCTGAACCTAATGGCATACGCGGGAAACTTCTACGAACGTCAGCGCGAGAATGAACTTATGGAGCGCATGAAAGCTGAAAATGGTTTCAGCCGTCCACGAACGTTTAGCTCCATCAGTGACGATGAGTTGTCAACCTTCGCCGGAGTCTTCATTCCGGGGGGACATGCTCCCCTCGCCGATCTCGGTGACGACGCAGAGCTGGGGCGTATTCTGCGGTATTTTCATAAGGAGAATAAGCCCACTGCGGCGATCTGTCATGGTCCATATGCACTGCTGAGTACGAAGAAAGCCGGGGACGGATCGTTTGTGTATGAGGGGTACAAGATTACCTCGTGGAGTGATGCGGAGGAGAAGATGATGGAGACTTTGTTCGGTGGGGAAATCGAAAAAGTCGAGTCGTCGTTGAAGAAGGAAGGCGCCGTCATGGTTGAAGGCGCGCCTGAGAAGCTTGGTGGAACTACTCTGGATCGGGAGTTGGTCACTGGAGGAAATCCTTTAGCAGCAAATGCTTTGGGTGATCGATTTGTCAGAATGATTAGTGTATAAAGTTAACGTGGTGCCTACCTAGTAAACAGAATGTATCATATAACGTTATAACTTCAATGGGAAGCTCAGAAGAAACATTTCAATATCCTGTAGAGGCTGGACCCACACTTTGAATGTGGATAACGATTCACCAATATATATGACTCTAGCATCGAGACAACTTTAAAGGAGAATCCAAGGTGTGGAAAAATTCGCCCGAGAACAGCAACTCCACCAGTCATCGCTGCAAATAGAAACCGATATGTCTTTATGTTAGGTGGAGCAGAGCTCTAGAGCTAAGAATGAACTTCATAAAACTAACTGATATCTGAGTATGCATGCTAGATAAACCCCTGCTCAACGCATCACAATACCCCTCATGTCGCCGTCGGCTCGCCACTTCTCAATAACATCAAGCCAATGCTCGATCCCTGAGCCCCAAATACTTGACCGCGCTAGGACCATCTGTCGCTCGGGCTCTTGTAACACACGATCAAGGTCACCCTCTAGATTGAAGTACCCCGGCGTGCATCCGATTGCAACGCTAAGTGGTGCAGAACGCATCAAAACTTGCATGGCCCAATCTTCTGCTGCTTCATCAGACGGTGCGACCACGAAGTGCGCATTATTAGCTCTTCGCTTTGCTTCGGCCAATATGTACGATACATGTTTGGCGTACTCATCGAGGCTAAAGCGATAGTTTCCGCTTGTGGAAGCCTGGTTAGGTCCGGAGAGGAATAAATTGGGGAATTTGGCATCGATGACACCATGCAGTGTTGTAGGCCCGAAGCGAGACCACTCCTCGCTCATGGAGACCCCGTTCAACCCTATGACTGACATGTTTGCTTTTTCGGCTGGCGTGCCAGCAGGCGGAGCAAGGAAGCCTGTTGCAAAGACGACTATATCGGCTTGGTAGGTCTCCTCGCCAATAATAAGAGAGTCCGTCGTCATCCGGTCGATTCCTTTGCCGTCGGTATCAACAAGAGTCACGTTGTCTCGGTTGAAGGTCTTGAGGTAGTCGTCGTGAAATAGAGGACGCTTACACCATACAGGATACCAGGGTTTCAATTTTTCTGCAATGGCAGGATCCTGCACCTCTTGGTCCACACGAGCGTGAATGCGGCTTTGACGGGGGGCGTCGATTTCAATCAGTCTTGTCACGTATGCTGGGATTTCTTCGGGTGATTTGGGTCCCTCTGTATACCCAGTCAGACCGACGAGGCCAGGAGCGCGAGTCCATCCATCATTGACTAGGTTGACTGCTGGTAGCTCGCTCTCGCTAGGAGTGAAATGTTGGTGGAAGTTGCGAATTCGTTCTCTTTGCCATCCTTTCGATCGTGCAACCTCTTCATAGAACCATGCCTCACTAGTCTCTCGCTGATCACGAACATCCACAGAGGCCGGCGTCCGCTGTACAACGTAGAGATGCTTGCACCATTCCGCGAGCCGTGGGACAATCTGTACCGCTGTCGCTCCTGTGCCGACAATAATCACCCGCTTGTCCTTTAACTTGGTGAGTGATGGGTCTTTTGGAGATCCACCAGTGATATCATATGCCCAACGAGCAGAATGAAACATATCACCCTGGTAGTCCAGAATCCCCGGGATGTTCGGCAGCTTCGGCCAGTTGAGCACGCCAGCAGCAATAGTGACAAATTTAGAACGAATCTGGAGAGTCTCTGGCGATTGGCCCTTGCGATATTGGATAAGATCAACCAACCATTCTTTGGCATCTTCATCCCACACCATCTTCTGTGCCTGGGTTTGGAAAACAGCAGAGTCTACCAGTCCCCATTTCCGCGCAACAAGATTAACGTACTCCCGGATCTCTTCACCTTCTGAATAACGGTTTTTGGGTACGTATCCCGTCTCCTCCAGGTATGGAAGATAGGTGTAGCTCTCAATATCGCACATAAGCCCGGGGTACCGATTCCAGTACCAAGTGCCCCCGAAGCCACCAGCTGGGTCGATAATGCGAATATCTTCGGCAGGTATGCCCGTCTGAATCATACGGATAGCATGTTGTACCCCACCCCATCCGGCACCGACGATCAGCATCTCGCTTCGGTTATCGGGGAACTTCTCTTGAAGAGGAGGCTGCACTGCTGCCGGGTCAATCCATGGGTCATCGGCGAAACGTTCATACTGAGGAGACTTTGCGACTTCAATGAACTGTGCGTTTCCGTCATCACGGAGACGTTTCTCTCTCTCTTCCTTGTAGCGAGCTTTCATTTGGGCTAGTTCAAGCTCGCGTTTCTCATTAGAAGTGACTAGAGAGACCTTGTTCTCACTGCTGGGGCTGAACATGATGGGTGATGTGTATTGCTGAGTTCAAGTTGGATGAAACCTCAATGACCACGCGCGGGTGAAATGAACTGACTTTTGTGTTTGTACGCTAGTTCGGTTAGTGATTCACTTTGTCTACCCCGCAGCTAGGCTGAAAGGAAAAAAAGAAACCAAACAAACAAACAAATGGGGCTAAAAGTTGATCGTGCTGTGGAGGTCTGGTGCGATATTTGAGGTATCATGCGATGGTACGGCATTCCGTTATGCTCAAGTCGCCACGTTATATTGGAGAGCGTCATTTTGTCCCGTAGAATGTCGCGTCAGCATGCCAGCACTCAACATCAACAGGTCTGTCTATAGGACTGAACAAATTTGACAGCAAATAGACGATAACGTTGGCTCCCAAGGAAAGCTTGATGAACCATGGCGCGGCACCCCGGAAAATCAAGGCCATCCAGTCATGTCTCGCACAGTCTTATGGGACCGGGGATCAATCCCCATGATAGCAGTCACTTGCCTCAGTCTCATTTGCCAGTGCTCTGGCCGCGAATTGCCTTAGTCTTCCGCCGCAAAACTCTCAGTCAAACATACCTCATCCAACATGAAGAAATTGGGCGATCTTCGTGAACCCCATGAAGCCAACAATATCGCCCTTCGTCGATGGCGAGCACCAACATATCAAGCATTGCGAACTCGCTGATCCACTACTCTTCAGACGATTCAACACGCACTTTCGCCTTTGCCACGTTCTCTTCGCTCGCTTGGTACAATGCGATTGAGCTCATTATCTTGTGCTTCGTCAGTTTCAAACGCTGGCGCGGTTGCTATTTCTGGAGCTTGTTGGTTGCTTCCTTCAGCATCATACCCTACTGTCTGGGGTTTATCCTCCTCTTCTTCCCCACAGGGGTAACGCCATATGTTTGTGTAACACTCATCATTATCAGCTGGTGTGGCATGATCACAGGTCAATCCATGGTGCTATGGTCGCGGCTTCATCTGCTTCTGCGGAATACAAGAGTACTATGGAATGTCCTATGGATGATCATCATCGACGCCATACTCTTGCACGTACCAACAGCCGTCCTCCTGTTCGGCGCAGTGGGAATGCCCACAGGCCCCTTCGCCCACGGGTACAATATCATGGAGCGAATCCAAGTTGTTGGCTTTTGTATCCAGGAACTAGTGATATCAAGCATATATGTGTGGGAAGCAATCCATTTGCTTCGTCTCCGACCTGGGGGTCAATCTCGTGGAATTCTTAGCCAACTACTCATCATCAACATTGTCATCCTCTTCTTAGACGTCGCGATTGTCGTCATTGAGTATGTGGGATATTATGCCCTGCAGGTAATGTTCAAGCCTGTTGCCTATAGTATCAAGTTGAAGTTAGAATATGCTATCCTGGGGAAACTGATTACTGTTGCGCGTGAATCGTGGGATGACCGAGAAGTGCCTCCGTGTGATTATGGGACAAATGAGACCAGCACCCTGCCGTCTTCTCAGGGCACGACTTCGAACTTTATATCTCACCGACATAATCAGAGCCAGTATGTCACCCCAAGGAGACCTTAGAGGTGTCTCAAGACCCACAATTAACAATGAAATGCAGATCCTCAGACCAGACTCACGTGGTACCCCCAAACCGTAAATGAGCTTGTAATGTCGTTACGTCATACATAAGACAGCAAACATGTCAATACGACGAATCAATTTGGGACTTTGTCATCGTGGCTACTTTATATCTTTGTTAGCAGGTCTGGTCAATTTTCGCTAATTCTAATGGTATAGTGAGAATTGATGACACTTTCATGGGGAGTCTCGTGACAAACAATGGCGGTACATGTAGTGTGTCTGGTTGGGATACGACCACAGAGTTCCAGCACGTCATGTGGCAATATTCCCCTCCGCGGCATATTAAAACCACTAGTCAATATGGATTCAATCTGTCCATTATTTACAGACATGTTTTAACCCAAGCCGACCATACCATGAAGGGGTGTCAGTCTAGAGCCAAGCGCACGGGTGAAAATACCGAGGCTTGGGTCCTCGGTAGCGGAACTGCACCTCTAGCATCAGCGCTCTATCTCATGAAGAACGCAAAAATCCATCCATCTAAGATACATATTCTGGATAAGCATGTCTCCTTGGAACAAGCATCGCACCACAAGGGTGATTCGCTAGGCGGATATGATCAATTTGCAGGATGCTTGCCCGTTCCTGCCGGTTCATTGATGAAAGAGCTTCTTGCAATGATCCCCTCTGCAACAGCCGACGGGGAAAGTATTCTGGATGAAATCGAGACAGCAGAGGCGAACAGACTCTCGAAGAAGGGTGGTGACCATACCTGTTTTGTGGCTCAGAAAAACGATACCTTTGAGCATATACCGCTGGGATCTTTTAACTTGAGCTACAGGCATCGGAAAGTACTGATATTGTTTTTGCTTAAGCGGGAAAAGTCTCTAACGGGAAGACAAATTCGGGATCTGTTTCCCAGCAGCTTTTTTGAAAGCCAATTTTGGACTGTGTGGTCCGTCCAGTACGTATTGGGATAGCCCAACATACGCTTCTTTCCACTTGTTTCTAATGTCCTACCAGATTTGGGTTTCAAGCCTGGCATAGTGCTGCAGAGTTCAAGCGTGCCATTCGGCAATATCTCCCCGAGTTCCAGAGCTTAAATATCTTAAGCTGTCTCGATATCACGGGTTATTACCAGTATGAATCGGTATATCTACCGATATACTTCTTTCTGCGAAGCTGTGATGTGGATTTCCAGTTCGGTATCGACCTCAAGAACATCGAGATGACTCAAAGCAACAATCAGCAAATCATCACCGGGTTAGACCTTGTCCAGGACGGTCTCAAAGTTCATAGAAGCCTAGGAAGAGATGACATTGTCATTACGACCTTAGGATCTACCATTTCTGGTTCAGAAATAGGGAACAACGAAAATCCACCAGAGTGGCAGTCAATGGATGCGGATGACATGCTGGATCAAAACTGGTCATCATGGCTAGACCTTGGCAACAAGCATCCCGCTTTCGGCAACCCTTATAGTTTTTGCACCCGCCAGTCTGAATCAATGCTGGAGTCTTTCACAATCACCACAGAGGATCTTGGCTTTTACAACCATCTTCAATCTCTATTAAAATGCAAATCCGAGGCTGGGGCATTCGTGTTCATAGAGGGTAGTATGTGGAAGATCAATTTGTGCATTCCGGAGCAGCCAGTCTTTTCAGAGCAGCCACGCCATGTCCGCGTTCTTTGGGGATTTGCCCATTCCCCGAATGTCGACGGAAACTATGTGACGAAACCGATGCTCCAGTGCTCTGGGGCAGATATTATGACTGAGCTGCTGGGGCATCTAAAACTCGGCGACGACTTGGATAGGCCGCGCACTATTACTATTCCACGCGCCATGCCTCGGATGAGTGCAATTTTACTAACGAGGGGTCCAAAAGATCGACCTCAGATTGTGCCTCAGAATTTCTCCAACCTTGGACTCATCGGGCAGTTTGTAGAGCTGCCGCGATATACTAGTGTGGACATCAGTTATGGTATTCGTACCGCGAAGATAGCTGTGTCACGTCTGATGGGCTTGCAAATACAGACTGAGCCTACGAGGTCAACGGCTTCGACAATCTGGAAAACCCTGTCTTTTTGATGAGCAAATCTGACGACATTGTATCGACATTTAGCTGTTCTTTGTTGATGATGTTGAACTGTACATAGTAATTTGATCCGGGAAAATCCAGGTAAATGTAATGACAGCTGGGAATCTTGGAACTCTCATATGCCTTGATCCTTTCTCCGAAAATAACGTAATTGGCCTTTTGTATAGATATAATGTGGCATTCATATTGAGTCAGTGAAACCAAGGTTGTCTCTTTTCTTGATATCGCACTACGTCATAAGCGGTCACTTACATGGCGGCGACAATCAGCCAAAACAGGAACAAGAAGAAATGTCACTTGCCCCCTTGCTAAACCTAGCAGGGCATAACAAACTTAATCTTGCCACTTACGCACTGCATCTTCTCTTATAAATACTATCTTAGGTACCCAGGAATTTTTGAATATCCGAGCATCTAATATCCTAACTGCACAATAACTCGGCGCACAGCCTCGATCATACACACACCTCCACGCATCATCTCGATCTCCTAATCTATCAAACATGTCATCCATTATTACTTCTATCAAAGACCTTATCGCCTCTTTATTCGAGGTCATATTCTCCGTATTCCAGACGGCGTTTGGCACAGTGTATAGCCTGCTTCATGCTTTCATCGACTTCTTCGTTGGAATCTTCAGGATGGGTTTCCGCGCCGTCGGAGAGACTTTGGAAGCCCTTGGAGGTATAGGCAAGTTCATTGCCAGTGAGTTATTTGTCCCTGAAAGACCGAAGGATTAATATGGTACTAATTACTGCTAAACAGGCAATGTCGTGGTCATCGCACTTATCGCTGGTGGCGCATACGGCTACCTACATTATCAACGTCGTCAAGGACGCCCTGTCAAAGTTGGAGAAAAGAAATTGAATTAGGCTTGAAATTATAGCTATTGGCTTGGCGTCTAGGGGACTGTATCTATACCCAGTTACATTTTGGTGGCTCACATATCGATGACGTCGGTGGCTCAGCCATTAATTGATTGCTTTGAATTTACCTTTCCAAGCTGAACACCTTAATTCCATTCAAACTTTCATCTTAGTCAAATAGGTCTCACGATACAGTAATCAAAAGAGGCTGCCGATTGGTTGGCCAATTAGAGGGCGTGGAATTGGGGCAAAACTTGAATATGAGAGGGCGAATGTGACCCCTCAAAAACCAACAATCAACAGAGCAATCCTAGTGGAGAGTTCAAATAAATGGCTCAACCATACGTGGCCGCTAGTGACAGTGACGGGAGGTGTGATGGGCTAAATGTGACGAGAGCGGCCCTAACGCCCAACGGGAGGTGCCGGGCGGGTCCCAGTCCAACCAGCGTTCACAACAATGTGAAGCAGTTGCATTAGCCGTGCAAGGATCACCCTGAACGACTAGCTCCTCGACGAACCTCGAGCTCTTCAGCCATTCATGTTGCTGCGTCCCCGCGGACTTCTAACTTAGTCTCCCTCAGGATATCTCCACCTGGCGGTCTAGCACCTCCCGATGTCCTCTTATCACGCGCGGGCTTTCCCCTCTTTAGAGCTTTCCATGCTGCAATCGGTACGTTCACTATCGATCTGCAGTCGCATATCGTTTCGCTGTGGGCCAGCGGAAGATTAGTTAACCGAGCGCGTCCCGCACATGATGATCTCCAGGGGAAGCTTTTGAGGTGCGTCTGTTTCAGCAACAACTGCCTGATCATCTTCCCTCTCCACAAGTTTTGGATTCGATTGTGAATCCAATATCCACTGCGGTGCTACTTTGGTCGAGCGCACATTGCTGGTCTTGACAAGCTTCCACTCTCTCTCTTATATAGACGAGGTGCCGCATTGTCGCAGCCACCAAGATGAGTCGACCATTGCAGCTAGAGACCCAAAATGAACAGGGCCGTAATCCCCGATACTCGTTCATGGAGACTCCGCTCGAGATGCATCCACCTTCCCATATTCGGTTTCCAACCTCGACACCACCGGTGCCTGCAGAACCCAGCCCCGCTCCACAGCAACCAGCAGCGATCGAGCAATCAAGGGAAGTACAGCAGCAAACAGCGCAGTACTTTCCGAGTGAGAAAGAACAGCACTTGCAACAAGAGGGCATTATTCCTACGTATTCCAAATACCCACCGCCAGACCAGCACCCAGCGCATTTTGCTCCTTATGCCGAGGCTACTCAGCCACAGCCTGATATACAACCAGTTCAGTCGCCCATGCAGTCACCGCTCCATTCACCACTTCAGTTACAGCAATACCCTCAGCATGCCTATCAATACCAGCAGACGTATCAGCAGCCACAACAGCAGACCTACCAACAGGCGTACCAACAGACCTACCAAAAACAGGTGTACCAACAAGCGATTCAACAGACGTATCAACAGCCACAGCAACAAACACAGCAAGAGACGTACAACCAACCTCCAAACTCCCCAGGGCCTCTGCCAGTGAAGATAAATCCAGATGCCCCTACTAGAAGCGATACAATGACGGTTGGACCCGATGTGAACCCATTACAGTCACCCAAACTACCGTCGTTTCCTCCAGCGACTGCAATCTCATCCCCAGGGCCAGCAGCAGAAGACCTGAGTACCTTCCACCAACCTGGCCAAATAATGCACCCGAACCAAGAAGTATTTGGTGGAGGATGGACCAACGGGATGTGTGACTGTTCCAACAATTTTTCAGCATGCTTCCTTGGTATCCTCTGCCCCTGTATCCTCTACGGAAAGACACAGTACCGTCTCAACCGAAAATCTAAGCAGGAAGACCCGACCAACATGTTGGGATATGAAACTTGCAATGGATCCTGCACAGGAATGGCTCTACTATGTGGCTGCCAATGTAAGTCTCAGTACAAGTCTTTTAATCCCTCACCCCAAATAGAATCAACTGCTGACGTCTACAGGCATTTTAACCGCCCTCCAACGCAGAACAACACGCAAAGCCTACGGAATCCCTGGAGACTGCAGCTCAGATTGTGTCCGAGCCACCTGCTGTTGTTGCTGTACCTTGATTCAGAACGAGAAGGAAATCCAAAAGCGAGAAGAGCACCGAAACCGCGCTGCTATAGAGAGAGGCGTAACGTTCTCAGCTTATGTGGCCCCTGGGCCAATGACCTACCCCCCACCACCTAAATAGAGTGGGCCAGCATGATTCATTTACTGTACAGCGAGCCTTACGGACCGGACTTGTACCCATAACGAAGCGATGTTATATCCTACTAGCATGAAATCCAATATTTCTATGTATATGATTGGAGTCTCTGTTGTGCGAGGCAATCATCCGTAGAGCGGGCATTTTTGGTCGCACGATGCCTCTTTTCAGGCAATCGAAATAGATTTCGAGCGGTTGTACGCTTGGGTGACATGTCTATTCTGGTGGTGCCTAGCGGTAGATTAACCCGGCTTTTACCAGGGTGCTGGGAGTTGAAGATGGGATCTATCGCAAGGCCGCCACCTAGACACTTCATTGCTTGATGTCATTATAAAGATCGACGAATCTCAAACAACTAGCCTTCTCCTAGGGACTCGTTACACGCATTCGTCCTCGTCTACACGTCGGTATCAATGGTTCAAAGCCAGATGAGCCCGGGAGTAAATTCACAAAACAGGCGATCTCCCCGCCTAAATTGGCTTATTGACACCAAGTTGCATCAGTGGCAGATCCTAAAAATCCATCATTCCTCATTCTAGGCCCAACTTTAACGGACGGGTAGCCTGTTATAAACTTTGAAGACGTATCACGACGATCAGGTCAAGCCGCATCCACGATCGCACGATCGGGCGAACCACAGCACCGGGCTCTCGATCTACACAGAACCAAATCCCTGGATCGATCACGATTGATCAACCCTGATCCCGATTCCCACATGGGACGCTTGTGAATCATGACTAGCGACTGCTGTATGCAAGGTCGTGCTGGAAGGGCAATTGGCCAGATAGTCGCCGTCCATTCTGGATGATGTATCCCTTAGCGAAAGAGTGGGGGGCCTGAAGTCTCCCCGGAACTTTGTTGTCGATGTTTACCCGATCGAGCGTATTCTGATTAGGAATCGTCATATCTGATCGCTTGATGCGCAGGTAAGGGTTAGGTCCATCATTCGCATCCCACTTTGGCATGATAACAGTTAAATAGCCTTGGTTGTCACTGTGGCATTATGGCTTATTCAATTTGAGACCTATCGCTTCGTGCGCCACTCTAGAAAGTTTCTTGTCCATATCTAGTAGTTTAGGACTTATATTGAGTTCCTCTAATCCTCATTTCAATTCTTTGCCATACTTCTTTCATTTGTTTGAAAGACTAGGGGTTCCGCTGTGTACGGTCTCAACATGTCTCCTGTCTCGCTAAAGACACCTGGATACGACCATGATAATATTTGTCATGTAGTTATCACTGCGTCTTGCTTTTCATTTGTCCTGTCAACTTTGGCGGTCGACTTTCGCATCATTTCCCGGACGGTCAATGGTACTGGTCTCTTCGTGGATGATATTCTTATGATTGTCGCATTAGTATGCTCCAACATGATGACACATTCCCTAATTTTCACCAATAGATCATGGAAGCAGGCCTCAACATCGTGGAAACGATTGTTATTCTTTGGGCAGCATGCGGTATTCTCTCCGGCTGCTTCACTTGCATGCCAACCAAGAAGCTTTGGATACCCATCACGCCAGGCGCATGCATGGATCTCGGGAAAAACTACTACGGTCTTCAAATCCCCAATATTGCCACCGATGCTATCATTCTCGTGATGCCCATGCACACTATCTAGAAACCTCCCATTTCGCGTGCTCAGAAGATGGGTCTTTCTGCAATTTTCATCTTGGGACTTCTGTATGCACCCTTGCGAATATTTTCTTGCAGACTAACTGACCTTTTGCAGGACGTTTATTTTCGATATTATCCGACTGGTCGCTCTCATTGATCTCTCAACGGCCGGAAATGATATCACCTGTAAGTGGACCTAATCTCCTTTCGAAATAACGGTATAATGGCTCCTCAAAGACACTCAGGTGAGCTCGAGCGTGTGGACATGCATTGAGCCTGCCGTCGGTATTATTGCGGCCTGTCTGTCCAACATGCGTCCTTTGTTCAAGCTCGTGCATGAGAAAGTTTGGAGTCGTCACGCTAGTCAGGGTGACACTGCCAATACTAGTCAACAGGAAATTGTGGGCGAGAAGCGCAATTGGGTCCAAAGAACCCCGAGTCCCAATGACCAAATGACTCACTCGGATTCTGATTACCGAACAGATAGTTCCTCTCACCATGGTATCCCTGCTTGAGAACGGATCGGGCAGAACCGAAATGTTAATCAGTCTTTTCTCTGACTTCCAAACTTGAGTTTTAGGTTCACGAGGCCAACCAGTTATCGCTGCGAGTTGCCCTCCCATTATCCTATGGTTGTGGCCTCCGACAACGCCTGATATTTATCAAATCTTCCATTACGACCTGACCTCTAAATTGGTTCAGATTATGACTTCGAGGTCGCGATCAAGAGATGCGATCACGAGAGAAACTCATACCGAGCATGGCCCCGGGCTTTGAGGACCGGCCCGTTGAGGATTTTTGTAGCCTTACCAAACGCTCGACCGCCAGGCCTTCGGACATCGTGTCCAGCCCTAGCTGCAGTTACCTGGGTCCAGGATCTGTAACATCGCAATGGACTGGCTCATGGGTGTATAAAAAATATCCGTGCAAGGAATGGGAAGGGTATTTGATGGCATACTGGTCAGCTGAGCCTACCTGATTAAATGCTACCCCAATAGGAAGGTTACAGTACAGCTACGAACTTTTGCCGCTGCGAGGATTCTGAATGGGCAAAGAATGTCGTGCCTCATATAGGTGCGCATGAGGCATCGACAAGATGAGGAATGCCTCTCTTCATGCAGGGTCATCCCTTGTTCCTGACTGCAAATTCTAAATATCCCACCATCCTACTTCGCTACTTATCGTAAGGTCTTCATATGAGGCTCTTTGCCGTTGATAACGGAAATTCAATTAAACAAATGAAACAATCATTATACCAAGAAACAGGGGGAAATTCCCCGGATGGGTTCTTGTTCAGGACGTTTCTTACGGGCCTAAGGTTTCACGGAGGCTCCATGGACAGCCCTATGGTTTGAGTTCCACGGACTTTGTCCATGTCTAGTCTGAATGATCCATCCGAAGCGCAATCGTGTAATCTAGATGCTGGTCGGGAGGTACAATTTCATGCACAGTAGCAATTCCGGATTCCCATATCCTTCGTCAGAGTAAAGAATCTTCTCAACCTTTCTTTAAAACCCCTCTTGCCCGTACTCCGAAAGCTTTACGCCAAAAGAGCGCAAAATTGTCTTCGATCATCATGGCTCGAAAGGGAATCCGCAGAGCTCATACTGGATGCATCACTTGCAAGTAGGAAACCCAAAAACTGTGTCTGATCTTGAACTGATCATGTCGCAGGATTCGCAGAATCAAGTGCGACGAGACGCAACCTCACTGTCTACGATGTATATCAACAGGTAGAAAGTGTGACGGCTACAAGTCATGGGTTTCCAAGGCCCTACATCGCATTCGACCTTCCATCATACCCGAAGTAGGTAGCACGGAGATGAGGAGTCTGGACTTCTACCGTCAGGCCGTGGCACCAAATTTCACGGGCCCATTACCTCGCTCATTTTGGACTTTTGACGTGACTCGAGTGATGCACCAGGACCTGGCCGTTAGGCATGCGATTGTCGCCTTGAGTACTTTGTACGAACAGTTCGACAAGGACTCTCAGCAAAAGACGCCGGAGAGCGATTTCGCCATTCATCATTATAACATTGCTATTCAACTAGTGATCAACTTTCGAGAACACAATGGGCACCTTGATGCTGTGCTGGTTGCTTGCATTGTCTTTATGGGGATCGAACGCTTTAATCACAACCCGAAAGGAGCATTGGTTCATTATGAGCATGGCATGGGCATCTTGCGTTCCTACAAGCCCTATCTTCCGCTCGTAAGCCACTTCGAAGAGATCAGATGTCGACTGAAAAATTGCAATGTGCCAATTGGCCCAGTTCGGCCTTAGGGGAATCGACGTAGGGATTTAACGATTGTCCATTATTTATAAAATAGCGAAAGTAATACTTTAGTATCTAACTAATCTATTTTATTTAACTATTTATTTAAGAGTAGAAATTTATACTACTAAGGAAAATCCCGTGGATATCTATAGATATCTATATTTTCTACTAATGGGATTAAAAGGTGAAAATTTGACAATTTAGTGTGGTTTGATAGTTTAGTGTGGCTGACTAAGACGGGAGGCTTGGTTAGCACACCACTAGTGGTTAACTAAAGCGTGTGATAATTATATATCAAGGTGAACATAAGTTATTAAACATCAAGATTCAAGAATCGGTAATTTATCAACTTCCCTAAAGTATGACTTTTTAATTATGTTATTGGTAATTTATATCATTTATCTTTTAATAATAAGATATCATTAAAACTAAATAAATATTACCGTAATATAAGCCTACATAATAGCCATCAAACATGATATTATTTAAATCTTGGCATGTGTAGTCTGTTTGCACCAATATGGGGCCCCGTGGCCCCGGGGGCTACCCCCGGGGCCATGATGGGTTGGATCCGGGTCCCCATGGGGCCCAGGGGTTGTGCCGAAGTCTACAGCTTACAGTGCAGGCTGAGGAAGCTCCTCCCCCCCACCCCTCCTCCTGTTGTTCACGCCCCCACGCACGGCGTTATGGTAGTTAAAATGCATTTAAAAAAGTAGAATCAAAATATGTGGCCCGCTCGGTGGGGAATTACGTTAGTCAAACGGGGGTTCCCTCTAGACCTTGGGGGTCAAATATCATTCCTATAGCGATAACGACAGTGCAGCCAGTAATGCTGACCACCAATTTTCTTAAGATAGACCCGTCGTCGCCAACATGCAGCTGGTCAGATCAGACAGTGTTTTAGTTGGTCAGACAACCCGATTTTGGGGAGCCTTACGCATCCTTCCGCGCCATGTGTCTCGTATATCTACTTCGTACTTAGATAAAGGATTTGGGGCTTTCCGCCTTCAGCTGCCCTCATGGCATTTTGTGACCAGTGTCCCTGTCTGACATAAAATACACACTATCACCATTATCTTTTTGCTCCAAGGTCCCCGCCTGTGTACCACCGGTGTGTCCTGTCTTCTCGTATCTTCTGACCTCTATGGTATCAAGCATGCCACGCTCAGACCCTTCCAGCTGCTTCTCTGGATTCAAATCAGGGTTAGAGATTGTAAAACCCCCAAGAAAAGAACGAACCCAGCAGCTGGCGTGCGACAGATGTCGAGGCCAGAAATTGCGGTGCATTCGAACGCCGAACCCCAATGCTCCGTGCGAGAGGTGCCAGAAAGCTGGTGCAACATGCATCATCGACTCATCTGTGCGCATGGGCAGGCCTAGGAGAACAGACAATGAACAGCGAGAAACCACGGGCAGCTCGCACAACCCTCCCCAGCCAACACGCTCACCAGCTTTGCCCGCCACTTCATCTCAAGCGCCCTCCTCTGCGGGCTTCACCCCGAACGCGGACGCTTGGTCGGGGCATGACTTCGATGAGACAGTTGATCCACTCCTGCGGGGCATCACGGTGCAATATATGGAGTCGTTTGATTTCTCTCTCTCAGGGGATCCCACACTTGGAGAACAAAACACGTTGGATATATCGCCGGAAAATTATCTCAATCCAACTATGGATCTATCATTGGACCAAACTATTCTGGGTCTCCCCAAGGACGAAGGTGCTGTGACCGATTCTGCCGCAACAACAGTCAACGATCACGGCCTCTTTCGGCCGATCTGCCAAGAAACAATAAAGGAGTTGTCGGACCTGAACGTGCAACTTTACCGACAGTTGGGCGTTGTGAGGCCCATGGCAAGCAAGTACACGAACATTCACCCGGGCTTGAGTTCGACGGCTTTGGCTACAGCAGCAGATGAGAACCATACTATCTCCGACGCGGTGATCTTCATGATGCACGGCCTACAGACATATCACAGGTTGCTCGTCGAGATTCTTGGTTCGCGAACGGGGCCGACTCACTCCGCCACGTATGAGTCCCACGACAACTCCAAGTCTAGCACCGTGGCTACCAGCCTACTACTAAGTCCAGCCGAAGGGATAGAAAGCGAGGGCCCGAAGGGCCGTCGAACGTCAGAAACGGCAGGTGGGCCGCCGCGGAAACGGGTCCGATCAGAGAGCAGCAGTGCTAAGCTCGCCATGCTACACGGCACGGACTCGCCCCACAGTGCTATTCTTGACATGCCCTCGAGTCTTCTTCTGCTTTCCTGTCACACCAATCTCATGCACCTCTCTCGAGACGCCTTTGCCGCGATCCGGACGGCACTGCTCGCCACACACCACCGGATTACACTCTTCACAATCTCAATCTTCCATATCGATGAAGTGTCGCTACCACCAGACCCCGATCTGCAGATCATTGTTCTCACTCAGGCTGTGCTCCGGCTGATAGATAAAATCGGACGTTTGCTCGGCTATCCCAACGACTGCGAGGGCGATTCTGGTGGCGAGAGATGCGAGACCAAGGCTCGCGGCAGAGCGATCCCCCCTCAGCTCGTTGATCTCGTACTGGGACGGGAAGCAGACGGCGAGGGTCTGGCAGATAGAGTAGGAATTGAAGCACTGAGGGAAGAGATCCGCAGTCTTCATGAGATTGTGTACCAGGAAGCCTGAAGGGCATTGACGTGTGAAACTATCAACATCGAAGCGATCTTGTCAACAGGCAACTCCTCCAGTGTGCAGTAGAACCAGAACATGTACTGTACAATTGATCATCTCATCCCTCTGGCAGCCAATGGTACATTCCCCCAAAAAGTATGAGCCGGTCAGGCATGGCTCATGGCACGGTGCGCGCCAGCACCCTAAGACGACGGGACATCACCTACAGACGCGTTCTGATTACCGCACTGAGCGTATTGCACTAATACTGCCCAAGCTTTTGACCATGGCTGCCTAGATGACGATAATTGAGACGTGGGGGCCAAAAGGATCTTCGGGGGATTCTTCTGGTGGAGGGAATCGGAGCTCCAGGCGTGTCGTGGGCGCCGCGGGTCTTACTGCATCTCCACATAACAGCCCTTCGCCGCTATCGGACATAATCAATCTTTGCTTACGTTGCAGTCGGGACTTTTTTTATAGCTGGGCCTAGATCTGACTTCACGAGAAAAACGCACCACGTCTGGGCTGTTCGAAATGCAGTCTCAGCTGAGAATTTCTGAAATGGTGTGTATCGGACTCCGGAAGCGATGGCCAAGGTATCAAAACAACAACGGATTTTTTTTTTATTATTACCTCACAACGCCCGCCTCCCGATTGATTCTCGCAAAGCACGTCAACTTTGTAAGCTCGGACCGATCATAGCTACCTGCCAACCTAGCCAAGGAAACCATGTCCCTCGCGGCAAGCTCTATCCGGCTTCTTCGCCTCAGCCCGGCGCTAAGTTCCTCCATGACCCTCATGTTTGCTCTCGATGAGCATCTCATCTTTGGTACCTGGGTCCAGCACCCCATTCGTCCCCTGGCAAACTCCACCCTGCCCGCCTGGTGGACCAGGGGTGGCCTTCGATGGCGCTGGGTCCTGGTCATTTTCTACCCCCTCAACTACATCCTGGGGATTCTCAATCTGCTTGTCCCCACGGATCCTGAACGTGGCTCGAGAAAGTGGTACATATGGGGTCTACTTCTCAGCGTTGCCCACATGCTCTTTTTGCGGATGGCCCTGCGTCGGATTGCAGCCATCGAGAACAATGTTCCAAAGGGCAACGTTGTCGTTTCCATGGAGGCTTGGCTCAAGATGAATTGGGTCCGGGCGTTGATTACAGACTTACCGGCCTGGTTGTGCTTCATCGCCGCCGCGCTCAAGGCACTTTGATGATGATGATGATGATGATGATGATGATGATGATGATGATGATGATGATGATGATGATGATGATGATGATGATGATGATGATGATGATGATGATGATGATGATGATGATGATGATGATGATGATGATGATGATGATGATGATGATGATGATGCTGAAGACGACGGGTAGGACGCGGGAGAAGAGGAAGATTATTATTATTATTAATCAAGTTTACTGTCCATATTGAGCCCTAAAGCTATGACAGACATACGGTTCGTGAGCAAAAGCTCCATATCAGTTCCTAATTACATTGAGATCTTTCATCAAGCTTCAGGTTCGTCAAAACCAGATTTCCTGAATTCCCTCTTCCTCACTTCCACATCAGATGATGCGTACTGATACAGAACACCACGAGAAGGTGAGAATCCATTGTCCTGAGAGCTGGCAGCGGTGCTCTCATCCAGCGTGCGCGCTGAAGGCGGAGTGAAGGAAGATGATGAGGAGGACCACGACGAGAAGGATGACGATGAGAGAGAAGATGATGGGAAGCGATGTAGTAGATGTTTATTTGATTTCATAGACGACTGTAATCACGGGGGCGGCAAGAGAGACTATAGAGTAGACCGGCCACCTCCCCTCAAGCTAGAATTCTAATGCACAAAAAGAGGGGAACTTTTGTAGTTTGCATGTTTCGTTGTTTTCCAAGGTAACTACATAGGCAAAGTAAAGGAACGAAAGCATCTACCATAGAAAAAAGATAAGAGAAAAGGGAAATGAAAAGGCAAGGAACAGGACATAAAACCCGGCATTGAGGTAGCTCCGGGTATGCATCTAAGATGGCCAACGACAGGAGACACTACATGAGTGCGGCTATGATCTACCCGGCTCATCGCGCGCAGCAAGCATGGTACAGTCCCCCAGCCCTCGTTGACCTCATCAAGGACATTCTTCTACCCCAGCCACATCGTAAGGCCGACCAATGTGAACAGAGTAAGATGCGGGATCGGACTCTCCCCCAACCTTAGGTCGGAGTAAAATCCGACACACAGCAGGCCGAATCCAATCCTCAGCCCGAGAGTTCGGAGACTCGGTATCAACAGCAGGGTCGCGAGCGTTGCGTTGATGCAGAAAAAAAACCCCTCAGCGTTGAGTCCGAAACGCCTGCCCACTTGAAGAGAACCCTGTTGTGCTGCGGCAGCTTCTCTGCGAGGTTTCTGGAGAAACCGGGCGTGAACCTGTCAGTCAGGTGGGCTTGCATGGACACGACGTTGAAGCCGATCAGCACCCAGCTCAAGACATCAGTTACGCGAAGAGACATGATCCCGAGAGGTAAATGGAACACGCTCTTGTTAATGACAGTTAGGACTCTGAACACACTCCTATGGAACTCCAGTGTCATTACTCGGTGGAACTTACCGTGGCTGAAGCAGGTAACCCTTGTCTTTATTGACAAGCAGAAGGTGGCGAATTCTGTCCGAGAGAGGTGAAGCTCGCTCGGCCGACCGGATGCGAGATGATATTTGAAGATATGGCTGCGGCGGTTGTATAGTCAAAAGGAGTCTTTTTGGTAGGCGGGTGGACTACTATAGGATCGACTAGGCGTAGAGACGAATGACCGAATGGATTGACCATCAGCTTCACTTGCCTGCCGTGTTGATTAGTTCGGTTGTTTCCAACTCCTTCCACTTACAATACGTGCTCTGGCCACCATTAGTACCGAGATTGTGGCGAACCCTCGTCTTCGGGAGTTCAGTTGACAAAGCCAATAGAGAAAGTCCCGAGGTTACATGTAGGAACTCGATGCTGGCGTCAAGTGCGAGCCGCATCCTTCAGGGCCCCGAATTTAACTGACTGCCTGGTCTTACCCGAGTCTCTAGCGCCCGAGCCGTAAGTCACTAAGTCTCAACTAGCGGATGTTGACTCCGAAACGATTCTCTTGAGGGTTGTCAACCGGCGCTAAGGCTGAGATGAGAAGCCGAAATCTAGACAGCGAGGGTGAGTCTGGGTGAGACTTGTTAGCGAAGATGGAGAGGACTCTATGGTAGATAACAATGCATTGCCTCGTCGCTCAGTATGATTTGTGTCTTGCTGTCTTATCCCAAGTTTGCTCTGTGACCGTCAACGAGTTTCAACACCAACTTCCAGACTGTACTGTAACTGTACCACCATCTGTCATTCATTATGACCGCCCCTCACACCGCTCCGCGGCCTGGCAATGCAGAGGCCATCGCTGTCGTTGGGAGCGGGATGCGTTTCCCCCGGCTCCTCGAGCAGCCGATCCAAGCTCTGGGAGCTTCTGCTGAAGCCGCGCGATCTGCTCAAGCGCGTTCCCGAAAATCGGTTCAATATCGATAACTTCTACCACCCCAACCCGACCCACCACTCAACCACACATGTTAAGGAATCGTACTTCCTCGATGAGGACCACCGCCATTTCGACGCGGGCTTCTTCAATATCAAGCCCGTCGAGGTGGCCGCCATTGACCCACAGCAGCGTCTGCTGATGGAGGTGGTTTACGAGTCACTCGAGGCGGCTGGAATGCCTCTTGAGTCTTTGGTGGGTTCTCGCACTGGAGTCTACGTTGGACTCATGACTGGCGACTACTTTGAACATCTGCACAACGATATCGACACCCTGCCAACCTATGTTCCGACGGGAACAGCCCGGAGCATCATGTCGAACCGCATCTCGTACTTCTTTGACTGGCATGGCCCCTGCATGACCATCGATACTGCGTGCTCTTCCAGCCTGGTGGCGGTCCACCAGGCAGTGCAGCTGCTGCGAAGCGGCGACTCGGACATGGCCGTTGCGGCGGGAGCCAACATGATCCTTGGCCCCGGGCAGTACATCGCCGAGAGCTCGCTGCACATGCTGTCGGCCGATAGTCGGTCCCGCATGTGGGATGCTGACGGGACCGGATATGCGCGCGGCGAGGGAGTAGCTGCGGTGGTCTTGAAGCGCCTTAGCGATGCGATCGCAGACGGAGACAAGATCGAGTGCATCATCCGAGAGACTGGAGTCAACCAAGATGGCCGGACCAAGGGCATCACCATGCCCAATGCCTCTGCACAGATCGACCTCATCGAGCAGACTTATGTAAAGGCCGGGCTGGACCCGAGGGACCCCGGTCAGCGCTGCCAATACTTTGAAGCGCACGGAACGGGAACTGCGGCAGGTGATCCCAAGGAGGCGGAGGCTATCAGCAAAGCTTTCTTTCACCCCGGCGATGACATCTCATCCAATCACAGCGATCCGCTCTATGTTGGATCCATAAAGACCGTGGTTGGTCATACTGAGGGTACGGCGGGATTGGCTGGTCTTCTCAAAGCCTCGCTCGCAGTTCAACACGGCGTGATCCCGCCCAACCTGCTCTTCAACAAGCTTCATCCCGACATCGAGCCTTTCTACACCAACCTGGAGATCGCAACGGCCCCCAAGCCATGGCCGGCCCTCGCGAATGGCGCTCCACGCCGTGCCAGTGTGAACAGTTTCGGCTTTGGTGGCACAAACTCGCATGTTAGTCTTACCAGCAACATTTATACCGCAAGCGCCGTTGAAATACCTAGGCGTCTCAATCTCTGCACTGAATCCACATATCCAAGAACTTACTGACCATTCTTTTCAGGTTATTATCGAAAACTTTGTGCCACCCAGTGCTGTCACTCCCTCGCGGGACATCAAGGATGTCGCCGCTCCGCAGTTCGTGCCGTTCAATTTCTCAGCTGCTTCTGGAAGTGCCCTGAGAGGTGTCCTGTCCGGCTACTCGGAATACCTCCAATCTCACCCAAATGTCGACATCGGTGATCTCGCCTACACGCTGTATGCTCGGAGGTCCCACCACGCCGTGCGAGCCAGCGTTGCGGCAGGGTCGGCAGCGGACCTCCAGGCCAAGATTGCCGAGCTCCTTGCCGCACCTTTGGAGGGCAATAGTGCTTCTAGCTTCGGCACTCGTTCAAAGGCACTGTCACACCCCGTTCGCGTCCTAGGCGTGTTTACCGGCCAGGGTGCACAGTGGCCGTCTATGGGCAGGGCCCTGGTAAAGAGCCCGTACGTTAGAAAGATAGTCGAGGACCTAGATCAGGAGCTCCAGCGCCTTCCTGAGCCAGGACGACCCAGTTGGACTCTTCTGGAACAGCTCACCTGCGATGCTTCCGAGTCTCGCGTCGCCGAAGCCGCATATGCACAGCCTCTCTCTACCGCGATCCAGATCATCTTGTACGACCTCCTCACCAGCGCAGGCGTCACTTTCCAGGCGGTTGTCGGCCACTCGTCCGGTGAGGTTGCCGTAGCCTATTCCAAGGGCTACATAACCAAAGTAGAGGCCATCAAGATCGCATACTACCGAGGCTACTATTCGACCATCTGCACATCCGACAAGCCCGGAGCCATGATGGCCGCTGGAGCATCCGCAGAGGATGCCAATGAGCTCTGCAGCCTGCCCATGTTCGAGGGTCGTGATCTGTGCGTCGCCGCGTACAACTCACCCACGGGTGTTACGCTTTCTGGAGACAGCGACGCCATTGAAGAGGCGAGGGAGATCCTTCACGATGAAGGTAAGTTTGCGAGGGTCTTGAAGGTCGACAAAGCCTATCACTCGCCACACATGAAGAAGGTGGCACCTGGGTTCCTCGAAGAACTCAAGGGCTGTGGTATCCAGGCTCGACATGTGACAGGAGACACTCCCTGGTTCTCCAGCACGTACGAGGACACGGAGATGAGCGGTGACGCACAGGACGATCGCGATCTCTCGGGGCCGTACTGGGTGAATAACCTGCTTCGGCCCGTGCTCTTCACCCAGGCCGTCCAAACTGCTGCTGCTGCACAAGGCCCATTCGACTTCGCCATCGAGATCGGTCCCCATGCCGCATTGAAGGGTCCCGTTCAAGCGACGCTTCGGGAGATCAGCGACAGTGGGGAGGCTATACCATATGCGGGCCTGTTGAATCGTGGAAAGGACGACATCGAGGCATTCGGCGATGCTCTCGGCGCACTCTGGTCCCGATTTTCTCCTTCGCCAGTTAACTTTCGGGAGGTAGACTCGACGGCATCCGGCACGAATGGCCGTGAGCTTCTGAAAGATCTCCCCACGTACCACTGGGACCATGACAGGTTCTACTGGCACGAATCCCGCTCGTCTAGAGTCCAGGCCATTGCCAACAATCCCCCGCACCCGCTGCTAGGCACGAGACTACCGGATGCCACGGAGGACGAGATTCGCTGGAGGAACCTACTCAAGCTGAGCGAGATGCCGTGGGTCCGCGGCCACCAGCTTCAGGGACAGGTCATCTATCCGGCGACAGCATACATTGCCACCGCTGTAGAGGCCGGTAGGTTCCTGTCGCCCGACAATAATATCGCCCTGATCGAGATCGAGGACTTTAGCCTTGGAAAGCCGCTCGTCTTTGGAGACAACGACACCGGTATCGAGACTGTCTTTTCACTGCATAGCATAACCAAGGAGGAAGGCGGCAAGAGCTTTGTCGCCTCGTTCTCCTATCATGCATCCACCAACGTCGAGATGGAACTCTTGTCCGCCCATGCGACCGGCAGACTTCGAGTCACGCTGGGCGAGACGCACGCGCGATGGCTCCCGTCCCGAAAGAGCGATCCCCCCAACCTCGCCGACGTCTCAGAGGACCAGTTCTATAGCTTCTTGGAACCCCTTGGCTACAGCTATACCGGACCTTTCCGGTCGCTCTCTTCGATCCAGCGAAAGCTCAACTACTCGTCCTCTGTCATCGCAGTGCCTCCGCAGGACGACGAGCCGACACAGATGCTGCTCCACCCCGCCATGCTGGACACGGCGCTACAGGGCATTTTCTTGGCCTACTGCTTCCCAGGCGACGGCAGTTTCGAACAGCTGCACGTCCCCACCGGTATCAAGAGCTTCCGCGTCAACGTCGGCCTCTGCGAGCAGTGCCTCGGACCGAAGAGCAGCAGCGTGACGTCCTGTGCGCACCTGACGGAGAACCCAATTACCACGAGGCGACTCCGCGGCGACGCCGACATCTACACCCACGAGGGGGCCGGTCTGGTCCAGATGGAGGGCATCCAGGTCGTCGCCTTTGCCGAGCCTACGGCGGACGCGGACAAGAAGATGTTCACCGAGTACACGTGGGCGCCGCTCAACCCGAACGGCGACCTGGCCATGGCGGGCTACAGGGCCACCGCCGAGGACTACGAGTTCGCAGAGGCTCTGGAGAGGGTCACCTTGCATTACATGCAGAGCCTCACCTCCCAGTTCCCGCCCGAGGTCCGACAGACCATGAACCTCGAGTGGCACTTTGAGTGTGCGTTTGCGTTCTACCAAGATGTCATTGACACCACTAGGGCTGGGACGAGGCAGTTCGCCCAGAAGAAGTGGATTGATGACAGCTATGCCGACATTGCGGCTTTGAAAGCCAGGTAAGTCCTTTCACTCTACCAGTTTCCTGCTACCTTTCCCCGTCCTTGTGCGAACTAGGTAGTGGGACAATCCTACGATCGATCAAGACTTGGTAAATCGAGATGTAAGGGATGCTGACTTTTGACTTTCACACAGATGGGCGCACAGGACAGAGCTGCAGCTCTGCTGTGTCGTGGGTGACACCCTGCCGGCTGTGCTTAGAGGCCAGACGACGATTCTCGAGCACATGACCAAGGACGGTCTGCTGGATCGCTTCTACGAGGTTGCCATGGGCATCCGAGAAGTGACCATCACCCTCGGCCGGACCGTGAAACAACTCGTTCATCGGTACCCACGCATGAAGATGCTCGAGATCGGTGCCGGCACCGGCGGAGCCACAAAGGTGATCATGAGCGAGATTGGCCGCTCGTTCGCCTCGTATACCTTCACCGACATCTCAGCGAGCTTCTTCGAGACTGCCCAGGAGGTATTTGACGCCCTTGGCAGCAAGATGATCTTCGGAATACTGGACTGTGAGAAGGACATCGCGGCCCAGGAATACGAAGAGCACTCGTACGACCTGGTCGTCGCTTCGCTAGTCCTCCACGCGACTTCAGACCTCCGCCGGACCCTGACCAATGCGCGCAAGCTCCTGAAGCCAGGCGGTTATCTGGTCTTCATGGAAATCCCCAACAACGAAGTGACCCGTGCCGGATTCGTTTTCTCTGCCACACCGGGCTGGTGGCTGGGCCAGGCGGACGGGAGGAAGCTGTCGCCGTGCGTGTCGACGCTCGAGTGGCACCAGCTGCTGCTCGAGTGCGGCTTCTCGGGCGTCGACACGGCCACGCCCGAGCACGATGTTTTCCCCTTCACGCTGACTGTCATGGTTTCACAAGCCATTGACGACCGCGTCTCGTTGCTCCGCGAGCCACTCTCATCGTTCAGGATGCCCGACGCGGTAGAATGGGACCTGGTTCTCGTCGGCGGCCAGACTCTGGGAACGAGCCAGCTCATCGACCAAATCACTCGGCTGGTGCAGCCGTTTGGTGTGAAGCATACCGTCTTCAAGACCCTCGGAGACATGGTGGGTGCTGCCATAGCAGCCCCTAACAGTGCAATCCTGTGCCTGACGGAGCTTGACGAGCCCGTCTTCCGCGCGCTCTCGGAGCGGACGCTCAAGGGGATGCAGCGGCTGTTCGAGACGCAGGGGACAGTCCTATGGGTCACACAGGGAGGCAGATCCGAGGAGCCGTACATGAGCATGTCGATCGGCCTCATCCGGACCGTCATGCTGGAAAACCCTGACCTGGTCTCGCAAGTCCTCGACCTGCCCAGCGGCGCGAAGCCCGACCCGCGACAGCTTCTGGAGCAGCTTCTCCGTCTGCGATATGCCGCCACGTGGGAGAAGGATGGCAACATCGACAAAATTCTGTGGACGCAGGAACAGGAGCTCGCCCTCGAGAACGGGGAGATTTTGGTTTCTCGCGCCTATCATGACACGGCCGCCAACGACCGGTGGAACGCTTCCAAGCGAACGATACACAAACCTATCGACCCGCGGGCCACTCCGGTCAGCCTCTCGCTCAGTTCCTCCAAGCCGCATCTCGCTCTGGATAGCTCGCTCCAACCCAGAATGTCCACAGCTGCGGATGACTCCTCGCATGTTCTCATCAAAGTCGGACACTCGCTCTTGGCGCCTGTACTCGCAAAGCCTCTCGAGCCTACCTACCTAGTCCTCGGCACCAGCACGGCGACTGGCAAGTCTGTGGTTGCTATTGCGCCCAACAACGGCTCGTATGCTTGGATCGCACTTGAGAACGTAATCGAGGTGCAGGTGCCGGCGGGTAGCGAGCCCCAGTTCCTCTCCCAGCTGGAAAATCTGCTACGTGTCGAGAACATGCTGTCCGTCTGCAGGAGAGACTCGATGCTGCTCATTCATGAGCCATCTCGGGAGCTGGCATCCAGCCTCGTCGCGGCTGCATCCAACTTGAACGTGACCGTCAATTTTACCACCTCGTCTGCATCAGCCACTGACGGCCCATGGATCACAATTGACTCCTACGCTCAAAGGAGAGAGATGCAGTCTTTGCTACCTCATGGTGTTGCCGTGTTTATCGACGCCTCCAAGGATGCCCAAGATCGGCTGGGCGCATTGATTGCCTCCTCTCTGCCCGACTCGTGCCTTCGGACGACACTTACGGGAATACCCGCGCTACAGCACGCTCGGGGGTTTCACCGTCGCTGATCTACGTTCGAGGTTGGATAGCGCAGTGCAATTGTCGTTGAAGAACACGGTCCTTTCTGGTGACTCGAACACCAAATTACCGACCATTACGCCGGAACAACTAGTCGCAGGATCCAAAGTCGACGCGGCCATCTTGGACTGGACCAGCACCACTGAAGCAAGAGTTCCAGTGGAGATTACCACGGTTGACAGCCTCGTCAGCTTCAAGAGTGACAGGACATATGTCATGTTTGGGCTGACGAGCGACTTGGCGCAATCCATCTGCGACTGGATGGCGACGCACGGAGCGCGAAACATAGTGCTCACGAGTCGCACTCCCAAGGTCGATGCCAAGTGGCTAGAGGACATGACCGAAGTTGGAGTGAGGGTGGAGGTTGTTGCAAATGATATCACTGACAAGGCTGCTCTTACTTCGCTTGTGGACCGCATACGCCAAAACTTCCCTCCCATTGCGGGCATCGCTCACGGCGCCATGGTTCTCGACGACGTCGCGTTTTCCGAGATGCCGCTCGAGAAGATGACCAAGGTCCTGGGCCCCAAGGTCAACGGAGCCATCTACCTGGACGAGATCTTCCGTGCGGACGCACTGGACTTCTTTGTCTTCTTCGGCTCCGCAGCGACCATCGCCGGCAACCGTGGACAGGCGGCCTACAGCGCCGCCAACTCGTTCATGACGGCGCTGGCGAGCAAGCGGCGCAGCAAAGGCCTGGCCGCGTCGATCCTCCACATCGGCGCCGTCATGGGTGTGGGGTATGTCAACCGCAACAAGATGATGAAGGAATCCGTGCACGACGTTCTTCGCAAGGCCGGCTTCCTGATGTATTCCGAGAGGGAATTCCACCTCTGCTTTGGTGAGGCCATCCTGGCGTCTCACCCGCACTCTAATCGGAACCCCGAGGTTATGACGGCGTTGAAGACGTATGATCTGGAACATGTCATCATCCGCTGGCCCCAGTTCCCCCGGTTCCAACACTGTATTCAGAACGATTCCGAAAGTGACAGGAAGCCGACCAAGAAAGCGGCTGACGCGTCTGTGAACATGCGACTAGCTGAGGCTACCACGGAGGAAGAGGTTTACGAGATTGTGCAAGGTAAGCCTGTTTGTCTTGAAGGGCACTACGTCACAGAACTGACCCTTTTATAGACGGCTTCGTCCGTAAGCTTCGCGCCATGCTGCATATTCCAGACGACAGGGAGGCAACCCAAATTCTGTCGTCGACAATCGACGATCTCGGCGTCGACTCTTTGGTCGCCGTTGACATTCGCTCCTGGTTCATGAAGGAGCTCGAGATCGAGGTCCCCGTGTTCAAGATCCTGTCCGGCGGCCTGGTCCGAGAGCTGCTCGAGGACGCCGTGGCGATCATGCCTGCCCGCCAAGCACCGGGTGAAACCAACTCCTTGCTGAGTCCCGAAGCAGCGAAGCCCGATTCGACCCTGCTGTTAACCCCGGTTCCAGAAACCAGCGCAAACTCGTCGACCCCAAGTAACTCGGGCGACGATGACCAAGACAAGCAAGAGTCATCGTCTGCCACGTCTGCCTCAGTGGCAGACTCTACCGAGGTCTCCAAGCCATCCTTTGACAAGGTTCTGCCAGTGTCTCCCGGTCAGTCCAGGTTTTGGTTCCAGAAGCACATGATGGACGACCAGACAACGGCAAACAGCACCATATGCCTCCAGATCAATGGCACCATCAGGATCGGCAGCCTTGAGAGCGCAGTCCAGAAGGTTGCGGCCCGCCACGAGTCTTTCCGCACCTCTTTCTTTGTGGACGAGAACCAGAAGGCCGTGCAGGCCATCTTGGGAACATCGTCTCTGCGTCTAGAAACGGTCATTCTTGGCGATGAGTCGCGCGTGGCTCACGAATTTGAAAATCTCAAGAACTACGTGTTTGATATCGAGCACGGCGAATGCATGCGCATCATCCAACTCGGTCTGACACCCACCAAGAGCTACCTCCTCGTCGGAGCCCATCACATCATCGTGGATGGGATCAGCTTGGAGGTCATCCTAGACGATCTACAGAAAGCCTACAACGGCCAAGACCTTGTCTCCGAGCCGGCATACCAGTACTCAGCCTACTCCGAAAAGATGCGCGAGGACTTGACATCGGGCGCCCTGCGACGTGAGATCGAGTACTGGCAGTCGGAATTCGCAGAACCGCCCTCACCCATTCCTCTACTCCCCTTCTCGGCGGCAACGAAACGCGCCCCTCTCACAACGAACGCGCACAACTCGGTGACCCGTACCATAAGCTCCCAGCTTGCGGACCAGATCCAGCGCGCGTGTCGTGAACGCAAGGCAAATCCTTTCCACTTTCACCTGGGCGTGTTCGAAGTGCTCCTGTTTAAGCTCTTCGGCGAGAGCGACATCAACATCGGCATGGCCGACGCCAACCGCTGGGACGACCGGGTCGCTAGGAGCATCGGCATGTATCTGAACTTGTTACCGCTCCGGTTCCGGCTGGACAACAAGCAGTCGTTTGACGAGGTGCTCAAGCAAACGCGCAAGAAGGCCTATTCCGCCATGTCCAATTCGAGACTGCCATTCGATATCCTGCTCGAAAATGTGAACTGCGAGCGGTCGACGGCCTTTAGCCCCCTTTTCCAGGCATTCATCAATTACCGTCAGGGTGTAAGCGAGAAGCGACGGTTTGATAATGCCGAGCTGGAAGTCACGGCGATGGAGCTTCCCAGAGCCGGCTATGACTTGTCCCTGGACATCATCGAGAACCCCGGAGGCGACACTCGCGTCTCCTTCATGGTGCAGAAGAGCCTGTACTCTGATAGCGATGCATCTCGCTTGATGGATATGTACTTCGCCCTATTGAACGACCTATCTCGGTCTTGCGATCAGGAGCTCCAGCAGGTGTCATTGTTCTCAAGCGAGGATATCAGCAATGCAATCCGGCTTGGGAAGGGTAAGTTAGCTGCCTGTCCACATATTCCAAGTCACCTCTCTACGTTCATGACCTAGGCCTAGACGGTGCAGTACTAACAATGTTTGTTACAGGTCCCATGATGCCTTCCAAGTGGCCGGAGACTCTGGTGCACCGCGTCGACGAGATGATTGCCAAGAACCCTAAGAGTGTTTCAGTCAGAGACTGCAACGGCAAATCATGGACTTATCAGCAGCTCGATACAGAGGTTGAAAAGGTCTCGTCCGCCCTTCTCGAGGCAAACACGAAGCCCGGTTCGGTCGTGGCCATCTTCCAGGAGCCGTCTCCCCACTTTGTATCCTCCCTGCTTGCCATCCTGCGGGTTGGCGCCGTCGCCGTGCCTCTGGACTTCAACATCCCAACAACAAGGCTCGGTACCATGATCAAAGAGTCCAAGTGCTCGGCTCTGCTCACCAACACCACGACAGCTGCTCAGACCGCAGACCTGGGCCTTTCAACTTCTGTCGCCGTTGTGGATGTTCTCCGCATCCAGGACGCAAATCTAGTTCGCCGTACGGTTCCCGCCCGGGCCAGTGACCCGGCAGCGGTCTTCTTTACCAGTGGCACCTCCGGGGTGCCGAAGGGCGTGGTCTTGTCTCACGGCAGTTTACGCAATCACGTAGAGGCCTTGGTGCACACGCATAGGTTTGGGCGGGAGACAGTCTTGCAGCAGAGCTCGGTGGGCTTCGATATGTCTCTGAACCAGACCTTCATGGCCCTGGCCAATGGCGGGACTCTCGTCATCGTTCCCGAGGCTCTTCGCAAAGACCCTGTTGCGGTGGCCAAGATCATGCGCGAGCAGAACATCACCTACACAAGCGGCACCCCATCCGAATATCTCGCTTGGCTCCGGCACGGCGCAACTAGCCTCTCCCAAAGCACACACTGGAGATATGCGACGGCCGGTGGCGAGAAGTTCCCATCAGAGCTGCTACAGTGCTTCCGCCAGCTCGGCGGCCTCTTCGGACGCGATTTCCACTTCTTCAATGCCTACGGCCCGACCGAGGGCTCCTTTTCTTCGAGCGAGATGGATCTCAGCCTAGGAAGCCACCTAGAGGACGGGCATATTCCGGCCGGTAGGACCCTTCCGAACTACGGTATCTACATTATGGACCAGAACCTAAGCGTCCTGCCCGTCGGGTGGTCCGGAGAAGTCTGCATTGCCGGCGCTGGTGTGGCCATAGACTATATCAACAATGCCGAGGAGTCGCGGAAGAAGTTCCTGACGGACCCTATGCCGACGTCAGTGGCTATCCAAAACGGATGGACCAGGATGTACCGATCTGGAGATAAGGGCGTCCTCCGGTCTGACGGCACCTTGGAGATCATTGGCCGCATGGAGGGAGACACGCAGATCAAGCTCAGAGGTCTACGCATCGAACTGCAAGATGTCGAGCAGTCTATCCTGGACGCAGCCAAGGGACGGGTTAAGACGGTGGTCGTCACGCCTCGTGGTGACCCAGCACTCCTCATTGCGCATGCGGTGCTGTCGCCATCGGATGCCTCAGCGGAGAACGAAGTCGAGTTCCTCCGCAAGCTCGCCGCCTCGCTGCCCCTGCCTCAGTACATGCGCCCCGCGGCCATCGTCCCTGTCCCCTCCCTGCCCCTGAATGCATCCGGTAAAATCGACAGGAAAGCCCTCCAAAGACTTGCCATTCCAAGCATATCCCAGGGACCAAAATCGACAGGAGAAGAGCTTACAGAGACCGAGTCCAAACTGTGTCAGATCTGGCGAGACACGCTGCCAAAACAGCTGGAGGAGGTGCACCAAATCGACACCGCTTCCGACTTCTTCCATGTCGGTGGCAACTCGATGTTGCTTATCGAGCTGCGACAGCTCGTCAACGAAAGGTTTCAAGCCAACCTGCCCCTGATCAAGTTGTTTGAGAACAGCACACTGGGTGCCATGGCAGCAATGATCCAGGATCTCTCATCGGATGCCAATACCGCGATAGACTGGGCGGCTGAGACGGCGATCCCCGAAGACCTTCTCGAAGCCCGCACACAGCAAGTCCCGACAGTGGCAGTACAAAACAGCATGTCTCCTAAAATTGTGGTAATGAGCGGCGCGACTGGTCTCCTGGGTAGCGCCCTGCTTCGACTCCTCGTCGACTCCCCCAATGTCAGCAAGATCCACTGCATCGCCATCCGCGACACCAGCAAGCTGGCCGAGTTTGCCAGCTCCCCCAAGGTCGTGCTACACAAGGGTGACCTTGCCCTTCCGCGCTGCGGGCTCTCGGAAGCCGAGGTCGAGTCAATCGCGGCCTCGGCAGACGCCATCATCCACAACGGCGCAGACGTCTCCTTCCTCAAGACTTACCGCTCCCTCCGGGCCCCTAACCTCTCCTCCACCAAGGAGCTCGTGCGGCTCGCGTCTGCCCGCCGCGTCCCATTCCACTTTGTGTCGACTGCCACGGCGGGCAAGTTCAACAAGTCCGACACGCTGGCCCCCGAGTCGCTCGCGCGCTTCCCGCCCCAGCAAGGCGGCGCCGGGCTCGCAGACGGCTACGCGGCGTCAAAGTGGGCCAGCGAGGTGTTCCTGGAGAAGGCGACCCGGGAGCTTGGCCTGCCAGTCTTCATCCACCGGCCGTCGGCCATCATGGGCGATGAGGCGGGCGACGACATCCTGTCCAACGTCCTAGAGTACGGGTCGCAGACCAAAGCGCTCCCCAACTCGAGCCGCTGGACCGGCTACGTGGATCTGGTGTCTCTCGAGAATGCCGCTGGCGGCATCGGTCGCTCGGTCTTGCAGGCGGCGTCGCCGGCCGCCCGAGTTGAGTATCTGCACCATGCGGGCGACCAGGTCATCCCCGTGCAGAGCATCCGTGACCTGCTCAACGGCGAGGGGGGTGCAGACTTGGAGTCGCTGCCCATGGGCGAGTGGGTGGATGGCGCTGTGCGGAGTGGCATGAATCCGCTGGTGGGCGAGTTCCTGCGCAATGCGGACGAGAGTGGTGGCCTGCTGATCGGACAGAAACTGTTGTTGCGCAAGGGAGAGTAGGTGTTTAGGTGAATTCGGCATAGCTTTTGAGGGAGCCGAAGCAAGGCCATGTCTTTTGTTGCACTTTCTCTGCACTTTCTCTGGCGTAAACCTCTGCAAACAGCATTTATCCATATGGATACCCATGGATATCCATGGCAAGAGGCGGGCTTGAGCCTTTATTTTAGGCTCGCGAGCTTTTACGAGCCGGGCCACGAGCCTGGCCTTAAGCTCATGGATATCCAAACTTTAATCTGTTACTAGAATATAGGTATTCTCTCTAACGTCATCGACGTGCATAACTTTCGCGGTCCTTTTTTGGTGTGATATTTTTATTAACTATGGTTTAATATTAGTCATCAGACTTATACACAATAAAATAGGTTAAGCGCAAAAAGTTATGCCGCCAAGGAAAACCCCGTGGATATCCATGGATATCCATATTTTCTAGACGGGCCGAGCCGGATACCCTAAAAAAGCTCGCGAGCTTTAGCGAGCCGGGCCACGAGCCTAAAGTTAGGCTCGCCAGGCCCGTTTGCAGAGGTCTACTCTGGCGCAGGGTGGAATGGCTGAATTCTGAATTTCCTTGATTGGCGTTTTGATACATTTAAAAAACACTCACAGGGTGTCAAACTAATATTCGTAAGGGCTTGAATTTCTAATATTAACTTGCACTAATTTCACCAATATAGGGAATGTTTATTTATCTGCTTGATTGTGTTGTCAGTTACAAAAGACAGCCAGGCCCACAGACTGGCTTTTTTAAGCACTGTTAAGAGACATGATAGACACTTTATCCGTGTTTTAGGACACTATGATAGTTTCCAATACTGCAAAAACTCTTACAATAAGATGGTATTCACTTTGCGAAGATGATCATGTCTACCGTCATGTGCTTGAATGAAGAAGAATTCTCGGTAATAATGCAGGTACGTCATGCCATGAACCATGTTTAATACAGCCAAGTAAACCTATTTGCTTTCCTTCGTACTCTTCCGATCAATGCCAAGATGCGCGTCTAGAAATTGGAAGCTCCTCTGCGCCAACAAGGGCCACGCTCCAATGCTGGCCGACAACCCGCCGTCGGCTTCGTCCACTGGGACCCAGAGCTCCTTGTTCCTCTCCGGCACATTAGTGAGCAACTTGTGGATCTTGACCGCCCCCGTCTCTGCCGACGAGTACATCTCGCGACCACTGCCGGGGCCCGTGAGAAGCACGGGGCACGTCACCCTGTCCAAGACCTTGCCGTCCTTCCCGTTGTCGAGGGAAAAGTCTCTGAAGCGTCGCAGCATGGCGGCGGGCGACTCGGCGCCCATGCTGCTCGCGCCCAGTGCGAGCTCCCACCGCGCCTGGAAGCTTGTCATTCTCTGCAGGCCCGCTGTGAAGTTGAACAAGCTGTCGGGGACCCAGCCGCCCTCCCACAAGCTGACGAAGGACTGAGGGGCACGGGTCATTGCCAGCTCGAACATGCTGAAGAATGGGTCAATAGACACACACGCTTTGATGCGAGGGTCGGTGGCAGAGCGGAGGGCAAAGTATCCTCCGGTGACGGCACCCGCTACGGCAATCCTGTCTAGATCCAGCTGCAGCTCTGGCCGCGATTGAGCCAGATTGCCAACAAAAGCCAGCACCTTGTCCGCGCAGACCTCGAAATCGGGTCGCAGGGGAAGCCCCGACTTCTTCAGCAGCAGGCCCTGGCCGGGGCCCTCTGGGCAGAGGACGGCGTAGCCCAGCCGCGGACCCGAGTCACCGAACAGGAAATACAGCTCCTCCTTTGTCGAATCGGCTCCGCCAAAGTACATCAGGAGCGGTATCTTGCCGGGAAATCGCGCTTCCCTGGGAGGGAGATACAAGTACCCGGGCATGCTGATGCCGTTCTCATACGGGATCTCCACCAGCAGCACCTCGCCGTCCATGAAGGACGTTGCGCGCACAAAGGCTGCAACCGACCTCTCGGACATGGGCACGACCCTTGGATCGTCGTTGAAGAACAGGTACGATGCGGCCCGGTAGTAATTTGCCGCGCGCAGGTACCCGTTCCTGGCCAGGGCCTTGAGGCCGTCCCTGGCGGCCTCATCGGCGATGGCCTCGGCCCGCTCTCCCTGCTCCTGCCAGGCGTCATGCCACGACTCGGCATCGTTTTTCTTGATCTTTCCCACGGCGGTCAGAAACTCGCAGGCTTCGCAGCCGCCGGCCGATGTGCTGCCGAGGAGCCGGGTGAGCTCGAAGTCGAACATAAACGAATCAAAGAATTTGAACATGATGGGGACCTGCGCCGATCACTGCGCGCAGTCCTCCTTGAATACAGACTTGGGTAATCAAGCGAAATAGACAATAAGGTGTTTCGCTCAACTGCTCTGAATTCGACCAAGAACGTCCCGCGTAGGGTGCGTGTTAAGTCAAGAGTGCATTAACCGACACTGTCCCCCAAGCAGACGAACTGGCGAACATCGATTTGATTCCGTACCAAGTCGACAAGTCCGAATACTACCTTTGGTCATAATGTCCCGATTCGGTGCCGAGCCTGCCGTGTGTCGCGTACAGTTTCGGTTGCGTCGTAGGTGCATACTGTGTAAGCCCGAATTCGGGACTTTCGCGTCAACACGCGCCATCTCCGGTCAAGCTATTCAACTGGTTTCCCACGTTTTGCATATGTTGAAGGTCTTTTCGAGTCTATCTACTAGCCGCTTTTTGGCTCTTATAAGCATTCATTGATTCATCCCGCCGGGCCAGTCTGAGCACTCAGGCTAGATACCTACCGTTTGTCTCGTATTATCTATCTACAACTGAGTCCATTTATAGTTGACACAAGATGGCGGCTCCTCCAGAGGTGTCGATGCAGGATTTTACCGGCTCTTGGGCATTGGTAAATCTACTCCAGACGGCCAATACAAGGTTTCCTCCCAGCCATTTGACAGACAGTAACGGTTTTCTAGAGCAAACCTCTTTCCGGTGCATTCGACCCAGTCTTTGCGGTCCAGGGCATCCCTTGGATCATTCGCAAAATCATCAGCATCGCCTCGTTGTCAATGAAGGTGGAGAAGGAGGTTGACGAAGCCGGAACAAAGATATTGGTTTTCACCCAGATCGCATCCGTCGCCATCGCCGGGCTCAGCGAGGAAAGGGAAGTCCGCGTGCTGGATGGGCGAGAGAAATTTCACTCCTCTGCTTTATTCGGCACCTCATCTGCCCGGTCCCGCATGGTAGATCTATCGACTGCCAAGGGTCACGATGGGGAGCCCCTGGACCCGGAGTTGACCAAAGACTTTCTGGACGAAGGAGAGCCCGGCGGGGAAAACAACTTGTATGATCTCATCGTCCATCAGACTGCCGGCTGGGCCATGGAACAGGTTTGGGGATTTGGTATGGTGAACGGTGAGAGACGGCTTATGAGGACACTGAAGATCAAGAAAGGTGACCGGGTGGCATATACGAGAGCCATTTTTGATTGGAAGGGAAGAGATGTCGGTAAATAAAGGGAGCTACTCTGTGCAGTTCACTAGCGGACACTCTTGACAATGTTTAGCTAACATTAACTTCCCTTCCGTCCTGCGTACTTTAAATGATGCCTAAAAGTCGTAACATAACAATACGAGCCACTTGCCTTAGTTATCCCAATCGAACGCTGCTTACCATTCATGAAGTTCTCTCAAGTTGTATGTAATACGACGCAAATTACAACCGAAAAGCTTATCCTAGCCTAGATAAACGACCAGCGCAGCGTAAACACCTTGGCAAGAACAAATACTGCGGCATTTGGGAGACGGGAAGGCCGTATCCAAACACTTTGAATTATGCCCGAAAAAAGCATGCCCCTATTCCCTAGCGATGAACCGTCCTTCATCGACCGTGGTGATTATCCCCACCGCTACTGCGAGCGACTTTCACCACATTAAGAGAACAAGTAGTTGACAAAGTCGACAGCGTAGTCCTTCCCGGTGCCCAAGAAGCCGACACCATACAGCAGCCAGACCGCCCACTGCGGGACGTACGCGGGGAAGACAGCCTGCTCCGTCAGGCCGCGCCCCTCGTACTGATTGCCCTCGACGTCGCCGCCAAAAACGCGGTTCGCAAAGTCGCTCATGCCGAGCCCGCCGCCGACGGGCAGCTCGTACTGCTTCATCGTGTGCTGCAGCTCGAACCGCCACTTCTTGTCTCGGCTTGGCGAGGCGAACTCGATGACGTGGCCCGTGTTCTTGTCGATCAGCGTGCCCGCGATCTCACCGTCGTAGTTGTGCGTGATGCGAACGGAGTCCTCGGCGGCGGCGGTATCGGAAGCGTTGCCGTCGACGCGCGTGCCGGCCAGGGGCTGGTCATTGTAGAACAGGTGGCCCGAGACGAACTTCTTGCCCGTGTACGCGCCCACGCGGGAGACTATTTCCCAGTAGGTGAAGGTGTAGGGCCCCGCCCAGGCTCGGACGGCTACCCAGCTCTCGCAGAAGCCGAGCCAGCCTTGTTGCGCCCAGAGACGGGTTGAGCCACCCCTGCCGCTGAAGGACAGCTTCTTGCCCGACCCCAGGACCGCATCCACCTCGGCCACGCCGCCGGCTACGGGGACGCTGTAGTAGAAGTCGGGCGAGATCAGGGCCGCGTCTTCAGCGCTCTTCCCGGCCTCTGGGTCCCAGGCCGAGCCGTCGGCGTGGTGGGGAGGCGTGGTAGCCGACAACTTGTAGGTACCGCGGATCTTGGGCGAGTCGAAGTCGACCTTGGTGTATTTGAGGTCCTTGGAGGTGTAAAATGAGTACGACCTACTGGAGGTGTTCCAGATGCCGGCCGTGTAGCCGGGGCAGTCAATGACGGTGGACTCCTTGACATAGTCAAGCTCCTGGACCTTCCTGCCGTCCGGGAGGGTCATGAAGACTTCCACGCGCAGATTTCCCTTGCCGAAGAAGTAGTACGAGTAGTCTCGGGAGAAGAGAACCATGATAAATGAAAGGCCCGTGTGGGAGAGGCCGTCGAACTCCCACTGCTCCCAGTTGGTCTTGTTGATTGCGGGCGTGATCTTGACCGAGTTTATGGGTTCGGACGGCGCCGTGTTGAACGTGTTGGGGCCGTCGAGCACTTCGAAGGCCGTGCTCCTGCTAATCGTACACGCTTCTTCGTCCCATTGCGTCGTGAATTCATGATCAGCAGGAAATGGCATAGACCCAAGGGGCACCTGGTGTAGGTTTGCGGCGGTAAAGGTGAAGAGCGCCGCCGCAAGGGCAAGCGTCTTGCACATGGCTCCGCCAAACACTTTCGACATGGCTCCGAACAAATTCAAGCTACCAGTCTTTGTCCAGACAAATGAGTAGAGTATAGAGATCTCCTCCCTTGTTCACTATTTTTTTTATACGGTGCTGGCCTAGAAATGCAAGGTATTCCGTCTGCTTACTTGCATGAAATAGAAAGTCCCGAGGTCTCTTGGAGAAGCATGCAGCTCTGGGGGAAAGTCCCGACTTACCCCTTCAAGCTCCGAAACCCCAAATAGCACCACTAAATTCTACTCTGAGACTATCTCTGCCCGAGCCGAATGAGAGAGACGTGGTAGGCCTTCTATGGGAGTGAAAAGCATAGCGCTGCAGCTTGGCCGCGATACTAATCTAAGGGAGTCGTCACGCCGAGGATTGTGCCCTTCTGCCTAGCCAAGAAGCAGCAGATTATGGCGACAGCGACTACTCTCCCACCGCTTCCGCCGTCACGGCAGGCCATCGTGCAGTCAGCCAAGAACCCTGGGTCTTTTGAACTCTGCGCCAACCTGTCCATGCCTGCCGTGCCGCCCGACAATGTCCTCATCAAGGTGAACGCGGTGGCGGTGAACCACTGCGACTACAAGATGCCGGCGCGCGTGCCGTGTCCCGGCGCCGTCGACGGCTCCGACTTCTCCGGCGTCGTCGTGCGAGTCGGCGAGGCCGTGGCCCGCACACCGGAGGGCCTGCGGGTAGGCGACCGCGTCGCGGGTGCCCAGATGGGCAACCAGCGCCGCCGACCCTGGTCAGGCGCCTTTGCCGAGTACATCTCCGAGAAGGCCGACAACATCTGGCGCGTGCCCGAGAAGCTCTCCTGGGAACAGGCGGCTTCGATAGGCTGCGCCGTGACGACGAGCGTGGGGATGGCACTCTGGTGGGTGATGAAGCTGGACGGGACACCCGAGAAGCCCACTACAGACCCCAAGTTCATTCTTGTCTACGGAGGTTCTACTGCCAGCGGCACCTTCGCCATCCAATTGCTGAAGCTGTGAGTGATTTTCCTCTTTTCCTTGTGAGGGCGTGCAGACAGCACTTATGAATGGACATGATGTTGATCCAGTGCTCAGGTCGGGCTACCGGGTCATCACGACCTGCTCTCCCAAGAACTTCGCGTTAGTTGAAGAGTACGGTGCGGAAAAGGCCTTTGACTACCACTCGCCGACGTGTGGGGAGGATATCCGGGCATACACCAAGAACACGCTGGAGTGCGCGCTGGACATCATCACGGAAGCGCGAACCATCCGCCATTGCTACGCGGCCATCGGGCGCGGTGGCGGCAGATACATTGGCTTTGAGCTCCTGCCGGACGGTATGATGGCCACGATGCGCAAGACGGTCAAACCGACCTGGGTTCTGGGACTGGAGGTGGTCGGGGAGGAGCTGGACCTGCCCGGAGGGTATTACCGCAAGGAAAACCCCGAGCTGCACGCTTGGATCCAAGTTTGGATCAAACAATTTGTCGCCTTATACGAGGCTGGAAAGCTAAAATCACATCCCATGCAGGTGAATCAGGGCGGTTTACCAAAAGTGATTGAGGGTATTACATCTTTGTCGCGCAAGGAGGTCTCAGCCCGTAAGCTGGTGTATCCGCTGTATGATTCGACATGAGGACACAGCAGTGTAGAGTACTTTCATGGCGCCATATGTTTATTTCATTCAGTGTACCTATCCTACCTTAGCATCGTAAATGAGAATAAAAACTACATAGTAGGTCAAAAGTCTGGGTACACTCTATATATAAGGTTTCCGCCGAAAAAATCAACCCTTACAGAAAAGAAATTCTTAAAATTCCAAATTTCAATAAATTGGTTTAAAACTTGATAGTCATACAGGTAAATAGACCTTCTTCCATGCTGTACACTAATATTTAGTGTAATATCCCCATATGTTGTAGACAGCTGTACAACGCTTAATAAAGGACCGAATTAGGCTATCAATAGTCTCTTAGGGAATATTCCACCAAACACGCTTTAATAAATCATGGAATTCGATCCAGGCGGCTAAGGATCGACCAGTATGTTATATGTTATGGCGTAATTTGAAAACCTCGCGTTTTAGAAGGAACCAACAGACCTCAATAGGGTTCAAATAAGGTAAGCGGGTAGGCTATTCTATTACATAGATTCCGTGAGCTATAAAAAATCTTAAATAGTTTCTACAGTATGTGGCTTTGAATTATCTTGCTAAAATCTTATATCTAGTATATAGTAATAAAAAATGCTTCTTTAAGGGCCTATTGGTAAGATTTAGCTGAGTATCCACTATAAGGGGATTCAGAAGTACACTTCATAAAGACTAGGTCTGTATAGCTACCAATCTAAATACCTACCTAGACTATTTAGGTAGTATTATGGTTATAATTAGTAAGATTAACTAAATCATATTAATAGGCCTCTAAAGTAAGCCAAAATTCCCATTAAGTTGGAGAATTAGACGATTATTGGACAGAGCATTCATTACTAAATACTAGGCATTCTCATTTATCGAAATACTACTATTAACGTGTAAAATCTAGCCTTTAATAAATATCTTCTTTCTTTAGTAGGATTCGACAGCAAGATTTCCATTGAGATCTTATAGCGGCGTAAACATCGATAGGCAGTGGATCTAGATATACTTAGACCAGTTTCGGTAATTAGGGCTAGTACCCAGCTTATTCAAGGAAACCTATAATATATTTAATAGATATAACGTATAGTTCAGTTATTGATAGAGGGGTAATAGCCTAAGCAAGGGTGCAATCTTAGGTTATTATTATTCTCAAAGCATTCCATCGTTCGATATACCATTGTGCGGCTGATACGAAGATCACGCGCTATGTGAGCAGATTTTCGGCCTTAATCGCTGTAACGATAGCTGATCGGGCCTCGGTCGATTTCCACTAATCGCGGTGTCAAAAGCTCTCATTTGGCGGTGTTATGATTTTTCGAAGTTGGGTGGTTGGAAAATTAGGGTTCTACGGAAAAGTGTACCCAAACTTATGAACAGGTATGTACCCCAACATGAGAGCACGTCAAACACAACGAGCGCAAGTCAGGTGAGACATAAAAACAACACCAGCCCTGGACGTGAGTTTGCTGACATCGGTAGATCATGGTAAGTTAGAGGGAGCGGCTCGTTATTTTTGATGATTGGCTGCGGCCACAAAACCCTCCGAGGAGGTTTTCTTTATCCTACCACCAGCAATCCAAAGCTGGTCATCATCGCCAACATCAGGCAAGTGTGTCGTGATCTCAGACCGGATCGTTTCGCAATCGATCTCTCGTATTTCTATTCGCGACGACCAGGATACCGAATATGCTCAAGGCGGCAGTGAAGCGCTCTGCCTGCGACCAGTGCAGAGCGAAGCGGGTACGGTGCCTTCGCGTCGAAAACAGCACAGCGCCGTGCGCCCGCTGCGACCACATCGGCGCGCGGTGCGTGACAGGCGCCCCGGGCCACCCCGGAAGACCGCCCAAACAGCGGACCGTCGATGGCCGCCCCGCCGCGGCGAACCCTGCCGGTGCTTCCTCTCCCGGCGGTGCGGGGCGGCGGCATCGCACGTCGACATCTTTGCGAGAGGTGAACCATGTCGATATCTATGCCCCTTCCATGGCAGGTGAGCCCGCACCGGCCGCCAGCGCGCCTACAAAAGCGCCGCGGTACAGGGCAGACATGCGCACGTCCTGGGACCGGTGGCTCGACGGCATCGCAGCGTCGGACCTTGCGGGTTCCAAGCCCGTGCAGTCGAATCCGCCGGGAAACCTATTAGCTCATGACGGACCACAGCCAGATTTCTGGGGAGCGTCAGGCGACAGCACCGCCCTCTTCGGTTCTCCTTCGATTGAGCAAAGCCCTGTTGCGTCGGGCAAGGATATCCTCGCCCTGGTGGATGTGGATCAACTCAGCGGTCCATCACAGCTCCGGGGGCTACTCAGTGCAGATGACGAGATCGACGCGATGCTCGACATGGGCCGGGACTCTAGTAGCAGCGTGCTCGATATGGATCTTGGCCCGCTCCTTGATACGTGCGAGAGCGCGGTCCTCCCCCAGAGTCCTCTACCACAATGCATCAGTCCAGCAAGCTCGCTGATGCGGTTCCGAGAGGAAATGGACCAGCGCATCGCCGCGGTAGACGCATACTACTCGGACCCCGTCAAAGTCGTGCAGGGCTGCAAAGAGGAGGGCGCGGGTGCGGAGCAGGCCGAGAATCCAGCTGCGTTACTCCTTACGTGCAGCACAAAGTTCATCGACATCATCCAGAGCTTGACGCCGGCGGCGGGCCAAACGCATACGCAGAGTGAGGATGCGCTCAGCACGGAGGTTGTGCTCCTGGCTCTGTCGAGCTACCTTGCATTGATGAGACTCTTCGACTCGCTGTTCCACACCATCTATGAATTCATTTGCGACTTGCCGCCGGCCTCGTTCAAGTCCGTCAAAGTCAAGTCGGTGCTCCGAATCGGCGGCATCTCCACGCTTCAGGACATGCCCCTAAAGACGTATGCCACAGGCATCCTCGATGCCATCCAGGGCCAGGTGCGGACCCTGGAGCGCTGCATGGGGATTCCAACCCAACACTGTCTCTCGGGCGAGGCGGCTGCCTCGGCCACCCCGGGGATATTATCCCGTTCAGATCGAACACGGTTGTTTTGGGCTGTGATAGAACAGGAGGATGTCAAGTCACGACGGGGTGGCAAGTCGTACGTAGAGTCGATACGAGCCAGTATCAAAGGCTCGATGAGATTTCTCGATGACTAGGTAGAACCGCAGAATCTTAAAAAGTACCTATGCAATTTAAGGTTTAGGATTCCCAAGGTACCGGGGAAGTGAATGTCGTCTCATCGTGATAGTCTTTCTAGTATTGTAATCCATCATAGTGTTTTTGGAACACGGGTATAGTGTTCATTGTGTCTTTTTAACAGTGTCACGAAAAGTCAGTGTAAGAACTCGACTGTGTCTGACAGAGATCCAAGCCGAGGTCAACAAATTTAGATAGGTGCAATGTACTAAGAAGCAAGAGAGAAGCTTTCCATTAAATACAACTTGATAATAACCAGTCCCGCCCCTCCCCCTTTATCTAATACTGTATGTCCGCCGGTTCGACGTTAATAAAGCAAACATGTTCTGAGCGGTACTACGACGCGGCCGGTGATTCCATGCCTCTAGCCTCCTCCTCGGTAGGCTTGTCCACCTTCTTCTCCGTCATGCCGAACTCGGTGTCGTTCTCCTTCCGGAGCGCCACCTGCTTCATGATAGCAGCAGCGATGACACCCACCCCACCAAAGGCGATGGCGACCTGCCACGACCGCTGGAGCGCGCTGGCCTGCACGGCGATGACCTCAGCGCGCGTCTGCGCCGAGAGCGAGTCGAGATAATGGAGGTCGGCCGCCGCGTACGCGCCGCCGGCCATGAATTGCGCGGCGACGGCCGGGTCGCTGGCGATGGCGCCGGCGCCGGCGAGCTGCGACGCGCGGTTCGAGTAGATGGTGCCCGCGATGGCGACGCCACACATGACGCCGAAGCTGCGCATGAACGCCCACGTGCTCGTCGCCAGTGCCGTGTCCCTGTCCGTCAGCGGGGCCAGGAGGGCCGGGAGCAGGGCCGCCAGCGACAGGCCGGCGCCAAAGGACTCGACGACCTGGAAGCCGACCCAGGCGCCCGTGCTCGAGTTCTCGTCGAGGATGGAGAAGAGGCCAAAGCCGACGACGATCAAGGCGAACGAGGCGAAGAGGATGGGCTTGTAGAGGCCGAATTTTGTGAGCAGGCCGCCGCCCATGATGGCGGCGGGCAGGAGGGCGAGGATGGTGGGCAGGAGCATGATGCCGGAGCGGTAGGCGCTCGCGGCGAGGACGCCCTGGAAGTAGACCGGGAGGAAGTAGTAGGCCCACATAGTGATCATGCCGTGGAGAAAGGTGAGGAGGAAGACTAGGGCAGTGACGGAATGGCTAAAGAGGTGGATGGGCATGATGGGGTTGGGCACGAGGCGGGCATTGGTTTGGAGCCAAATGAAGCCTCCCATCGCGGCCAGGCCGACGATGAGCGGCACGAGGACCTGGTAGGCAGACCACGGGTATTTGCTTCCACCCCAGCTGAGGGCGATGAGCACCGGGGTAGTGCCGCCGATGAACACGGCGTTGCCAAGCCAGTCGAGTTTTGAGAGCTTGGTGGCCAACGTAGAGGACTTGTCGTACTTGACGTGAAAGAAGAGATATAGCAACACCAGCGAAGCACCGCCGATGGGCAGGCCCATATAGAAAGCCCAGCGCCATGTGCTGTAACTGACGAGGAGTCCACCAAAGAGAGGGCCGAGGGCGGCTCCCAGACCAACCATGCCGAGCACCATGCCCAAGTAGGTGCCCCTCTCGCGCAGCGGTACCAGGTCGCAGATGATCATCTCGCAGAGGACGCCGATACCCGAGCCTCCAATGCCTTGAACCGCTCGGCCACCGATCATGGAGGCCATGTTCTTGGCTCTGTGCATTTGCGCGTCTCCTCAGCAGAGACTCTAAGAGGTAGACATGGAAGGAACTATGGGAAAGCAGACAACTTACCCGCCAGATACACCGCTCCCGAGCATGAAGAGGGCCACTGATATGATCATGGGCCACCGGCGACCAAACACGTTTGCGAACTGGCCAAACATGGGCAAAAGAGAAGTCCTGTATATGAATTAATTTCCGGAGCTGGTTGGATAAAGGGGACTGGAGGCTTACATAGTCAAGAAATAGGCGTTAGAGATCCAGATATAGTTTTCGCCTCCGGCCAAATCGGCCACGATGGATGGCATGACGGTTGAAGTGATTGTTGCCTCTAAAGACGTGAGGAGGCTGGTGAGGGCGAGAACAAACAATATGGTGAAGAATCTCGGCCCCTTCTCGAATACTGGCGGGCTCTTCTTTTCCGTGGTCGCATCCTGGACGGCATCGACCCAAGAGGTCTCTTTAGACTCCGGAGTCGAAGCAGCCGCATCTTTCTGTGTTATCGTGGTGTCTGACATGATTACTAGTAGCCGGGATAGGTGCTGCGAGTATTGTGGGATGATAGAAAAACCGTGGGGGTGAAGTGGGATTCAAGCAAAAGCAAGAGTAGGCGCGAGCAGCTACCATGGGGTGTTTGTCGCAAGAAAAAATCAATTGCAGGTAGTGTGGTCGATTTCTTGCAGGAAATCGGTATTTTTAAGGCCAAACGAAATTCCTGATACTGAGGCACAGCCATAGCTGACTGTATGTTCTTTATATGTGACCGCCGCGGAGGGTAGGAGGGTTTTGTTTCCCTCCTCGCAGGGTTTTGGTTTCTATCGCACGTGCAGCTGAGCTCTCTCTCTCTCTCTGTTAGCATAAGCCGGAGTCCTTAGGTAGTATAGTGATGCATCAAAAACTTTTTCTTTAAGATAAGTACTAATAGGGGAGGCGATGGGGAGCAAAGCGCATATAAACACTCATGTAAGATAAGGTTACTCGGTTTTTTATCCTTTTCGCCGCCTTAGGCATGGTCTAAGAATCTAAGTCACCTAGTTAGTCCACTCTCCACGCCGAATTGTATCTTTAGACGTCTCTAATCCAAAGGGAAAGTCATTGATTCGGTTTCCTAATCCCTCATATTCTAGAGGAGATAGTAGGAGTGGAAGAGTGTTCTCGTTGATGGCTGATTGATGAAGAAGTGGGAGAGGATTGACATCGCTGAACGACCGAAAGACGTCTAGTGACTCCGCAGTCTGAAATCCATCTGCGCCATGGGAAGTAACAGGTGTAGTATCTCCAATGTTTGTAATATCCGGAAATTCAAGGTCATGGGAGGCTGACTTTGGAGAAATGCAGCATGCAACTTCGTTGCGGGGCAGTCTAGTGAATACTCTCAAGATTAGCGTTCCGCCAACGTCGATCAACAACGCACGATCGCACAGACGAAGAGACCATCAACCAACGACACGAATAAGATAAGGCCGATCATAGAATAGACCTCAGAGCTTCCCCATTTGAAACCTCCTATTCGTTGAGCGGAATAGACATCTAACAAATAGACCCCCATGCCAAGCGCCTGGAATCAGAGTCCCCGCCCCTTTCACCTTCCACATGACTGAAACAATGCGCAATGACGCGGGGGATCATGCCGTCAAATTCAACCCCAGAAATAAAACCCCCTTTACCACCATCCAGACATGTCAAGACAACTGGGCAAAATGCGTGGGCTGGATGAAAGTACGGACCTCCTTCTTCGTGTTGGACAGACAGCAGGCGAGCAGGTCAAGCATGGCTGGGAGGCGTTTTTGAATTTTGCGGCTCGTGATAATGTCCTTGAGGTTGCTTTGGGTCTGATGTGAGTGCTGCCTGCTGTTTGAGGTTGAGAGGTCTTTGTCATGTTACGTTACTAACGATATGTAGCATTGCTAATTCCTTCACGAAAGTCGTTACTTCGTTCGTCTCCGATATCGTATTACCGGTCGTTTCACTGCTTCCGTTCTTAAATCGAAATATGGATCAGAAATTTGCCGTTCTGTCGCAAGGCCCGAATTATGATTCGGAAAAGGGGTACAATACGGTGAAACAGGCTAGGGACGATGGGGCGCTCGTTTTGGCTTGGGGGTACGTTAGCCGACGAGTGGACACCGGCAGATCTTGTGTTAATCAGTGACAGGGGATTTATCGAGAATATCTTGAGTTTCATAGGCGTTAGTTTGACTTTGTTTGCGGTCGCGCATTTATACATGCTCGTCTCTCATAACAAAATCATCAAGCCTACTGTGAGATGCAGGTATTGCAAAAAATACATTAGCGTGGAGGTCGTATACCTTTCTAAGTTGTGGCTTCTTCAAGGCTAACTACATAACAGGCCTCGCGTTGTCTAAACTGCTCAAGCTGGCAAGATGGCAGAGAAGACTTGTGTAAAGACGATGAGGTCGATGAAGATGAATACCGACTTTGAAAGCTCAGGTGGAGTAGATGTCTTTCTTATGGAGCTATTTCTTTACTGTTGTTTCAGGCGTCGGGAAGAAAGTATAATTTTCTTTTGCCTTTCAAAACTTGCATCCATCGTGATTCTTGTATAGCGTGGCCGAGTCCAGAACTGTACCATTGGCACTGGCTTTAGAGAAAGTAATATTAGCTCATTGATATACAAGAAGGTCGTTAAACGAACTCACCAATGAAGTCCTGCGTAATATGTGTGCAGTTATGAACAGTGAATCGACTCCATCCATAAACAGTGTCAATAGCCTCGACTGTATAATTCTCTAGTGGTGTTTCCAAAGAGGACAATCCTTCATAGTGACCCGCAGCACCGTTGACCAGATACCACGGAGCAAACGGATTGTCAAGGCCATTTGGATCCAAGACTCCATTAGCGATGGGTGCCATGCGCTCATAGAAATGTTTGTGGCCAAAGAGCGCGATGTCAACCCCAAACTCAATGAAGAGTGGCTCAAAAGCTGCTTGGCATGCGTCACACTTGGTCTCGTCAACATACCAGGGACGGTGGCCAGCGACGATGATCCAGGGTGTCTTTTTGCGGTCGACGGACGCAAGATCCTTTTTCAGCCATTCAAGCTGTGTGCCATTTGGCGCGAAAGGGCCAGCATTTTCGTCTCCGCTTCCACCGGGCAGGTCGGGCGCATCGGGAAACTATGAAATCCGTCAGATAAATTTGGATCTTGAGCGCTGGGGCTCGACCTTACATCGGTCTCAGTGTTGAATTGGATGTAGTGCACCATTCCATAGTCCCATGAGTACCAAAAGTTCTCGAGACCGCCTGACTGCTCGGAAGGCATGCGGAAGTGGTTCCGAAAGCCAGTGAAATTTGTTTGGCCCTGAGCACAAATGCTGTCTGTATAGTCACCGCTTCCTCCATTGTCACAATTCGCCTCATGATTTCCTGTTTTTTGAGCTTAGTCTCTCCGAACATCACTTTTGAGGATAGAATTTTTGTAAATCTGTCGCTCTATAGGATCGGCTTACCAGGTCCAACCATGTATGGGAGTTCCATGGTCACGTTTCCAGCCATCTCATTGTAGAAAGCATTCAAAATGGCTTCATATACCGCAGCTCCTTCCTCGACGGTAGTATTCGGCAAGAAACCATTGAGTTCTTCCTTCAGCCAATCGTCGGCATAAGCAAGATCTCCATCTGAATAGCTATGTGTCAATCAGATGTTATATGCAGCTGAGTAAGAGTCACCAACCGTGCCACATGAATTCCACTTGACCTTTGAAGCGGTTCAAGGATTCTATTGTGGTGATTTCACCGGGACTGAGTGCATCCTTTTGACCATAGGAGGTCAAACCCAAGGGACCCATAGTTCCCAAGTCTCCAAAAAAGGCAAAAGAGTATGGACGAGGGTTTCCAGCCGGCAAACTAGTTTTGAATCGATGATGATCATTCTCTTCGGCACATTGCACAGCAAAATTGTACTCGGTGTCCGGCTTTAGGCCCTCGATCAAGACGTGATTACTGTACGTTGTTGAGGTTGGATATGTGACAGAAATTTGCGAGAAAGCGATTTGATTAAGCGATCGACCGCGTCCGTAGAAAACCGACGGAAACTCCAGCTTCTCTTTTGTGTTCCAGCTGATCATCATGGCACGGTCCCCGGCGTAGTTGAAATGCAATTGCTCTGGTGCTGTCTTTCTACCCCGACAGCCCAAAAAAGCGTCCTTCAAGTCTGTGGGCAGTGAGGCAGCATACCCGATAGCAGCCAGAGTCAGTAATGGGACAATCATTTTGGATGTCACGGAGATGTGGCTGTCACTGTGAACTTGACTGACAACCTGGCGAGGATCCTCTCCAGATCTCGGGTAGTACCAGCCATGACTGGGAATCCGGCGTAGAAATATAAACTATAGTGACCCCTCTGCTCTAAGAGGGTGGATCAGCATTGTGCGAAGTGGGTCATTTCAAATGCGCTAAGCTTCTGTTAGCGTGTCTTCGCAGCCTGTAAGAAGTCAGGCTTGCAGCACGCTCGCCGCTAGAGACACGGGAAATGGAAGGAAATTGGCTTCCTTCTCTGGATAGATTGCATAAACGAAAGGATCCAAGCTACTTGGGACACCGTGCGCACTTTCTGGTCACCTCACTCGTCATGATTACCATTGATATAGAAGCAATTGGCTTCTCGGATCTCGGCACATCGCTAGGCCCACGAGTTGTTATGGGCCTACATTCGGGACTTCCAGAAGGCTGCACGAGGGCTAATTAGTTGTGGTGAATGATAGGCTTTCGAGGCCAATGGGGAGTTCTAATATGGTGATAGTCAAAGGAAAAGGATTGCTTGACCCAGGCATTTGTGTTACAATTTTCTTTTTTCTCCCTGGACCTTAAGGAATGAAAGCCTAGATTTCGACACGGTTTCATGCATTTGCCGTACTCAAAGACAAATATCAACGTGCTAAATGAAGGGAAGGATGAGATGAGCGGAAAAGCGGGGAATCCAGTCCACCTCACCCCTCACCTTCCCCTCACCAGCTGACTTTCACTCTTCATCCACCGTCTTCCAATTGTATAAAACTCTATATTCTTGGCGCAATTGATCATGTCTATCACTCACATTGTCCTCTTCCAATTTAAAGCTGGGATCGAAGCCCAGGCCATACATGCCGTATGACAGTTCAATGCCATACATTCCTATTACATCCGGCTAACACAATCAAGGCATGCGACCGAATGCTCGCACTGAAAGACACTTGCCTTCATCCATCGTCTCAAAGGCCTTATATCAGGGCATCTACGGGTGGAGCCGACAACTCTATTGAAGGATCACAGGTGAGTGGGATGTAATATCTATCATGCCACAAGGAAGCTCTTGGAGAATATGTCAACTAATGCAATCTTTACTAGGATGGCATCACCCATGCCTTTGTTGTCGAATTCGACAACGCAGCATACCGAGATTATTACGTCCGGGACGACCCGGTGCATCAAGCCTTTGTCCAAAGCCTAGACGGACTCATCGAGAAAGTACAAGTTATCGACTACACACACGGAACATTTTAAATATGAAAATACAAGTTCATTGTTTATCTAAAAAGGATTAAACATCGCAGCAGGTAATTTCAAAATCGGTCAAGCAAAATCATAGCCATCGTTACTCGTTGAAAATCCAATCTGGTATCAAACATATCTCCACTGTATCCCTGCCTTGGCGAACTTAAACGGTTCAGAAGGTACGCTGCACCCCAGATGCCCCGCTATCGAAATCAGAATTCACACGAGGGTCGATCTTGTTGGCCAAGTTGGAAGAGTGGGGGCCCGTCGTACCTCCAGTCGCAGTGTTGTTGTAGCTGCTGCCAGCAAGAGTGCTGTGGTGGGCTCGGTTATCCATGTCGGAATCAATACGGGGATCAGCCTTGTTGGCCAAGTTCGAGCTGTGGGGACCGGCGGTTGCCGACGAAGAACCAGTGCTGTAGTTGTTGCCCGCAAGAGCGCTATGGCGGGCTCTGTTATCCATGTCCGAATCGACGCGGGGATCAGCCTTGTTGGCCAAGTTCGAGCTGTGGGGACCGGCGGTTGCCGACGAAGAACCAGTGCTGTAGTTGTTGCCGGCAAGAGCGCTGTGGCGGGCTCGGTTATCCATGTCCGAATCGACACGGGGATCAGCCTTGTTGGCCAAGTTGGAACTGTGCGGGCCGGCAGTGCGGTAGTGGTGATCATGCCCTTGAACATGAGGGCCTGTGTTACTCAGGTCCGAATCGATCCGGGGATCAGCCTTGTTGGCCAGGTTCGAGCTGTGAGGACCGGCGGTTGTCGACGAAGGGCCAGTGCTGTAGTTGTTGCCCGCAAGAGTGCTGCCGTGACCTCTGTTATTCAGGTCCGAGTCGATACGGGGGTCAGCCTTGTTGGCCAAGTTGGAGCTGTGGGGACCAGCGGTTGTCGACGCAGGGCCAGTGCTGTAGCTGTTACCTCCGTTCAAGTCTGAATCGATACGAGGATCGGCCTTATTGGCCAAGTTGGAAGAGTGAGGACCGGCCGTTGTGGATGCGGGACCAGTGCCGTAGCTGTTGCCCGCAAAAGTGCTACCGTGAGGGCCGCTGGTGTTCAAGTCTGCTGAATCGATACGAGGATCGGCCTTATTGGCCAAGTTGGAAGAGTGAGGACCGGCCGTTGTGGACGCGGGACCGGTGTTGTAAAGGTTCCCTCCATGTCCTTCAACGCGAGCATGACCATCGTCAACGCGGGGGTCAACCGTGTTCGCTACCTTCGAATCGTGGAGACCAGAGGTATAGCCACCCGTGGTACCATGAGTCTGTGCACCGCTCGTCGCCTGAGAGTCCACGCGAGGGTCCAATTTGTTGGCGATGTTGGAGTTGTGAGGTCCAGTAGTACCAGCCGATGGATTGGTGTGGGAAGTAGTACCAGCCGATGGGTTGGTGTGAGAAGCTCGGTTGTCTATTTGAGTAAGTAATTAGTCTCTGAAGATGTCTCGATAGAGTATCTCCACTTACCACGATCACTATCCACACGAGGGTCAAGCTTGTTGGCTAGACTTGAGTTGTGTGGGCCGTTGTTGGCGGAAGTGTTTGTGGAGGTGGAGTGGCCAGTGATGGCCTCCTCGGCTTTCTTCAGGAGACCCATGTTGGATGAAGAAGATTGATGTAAATAAAGAATGCGGTAAAGTATTGATCAAGATTTGATGATTGAGTATTGATTTGGTTTATATGGAGAGAAGGGATATTGATTGTTGCTCAAGGGGAGCTTTTATATAGAGCTCCCCCGGACTCTGTTAAAGTGTTACCCCTGCAAACATTGCACACTCATGACGTGCGATATAGATATGATGCCAGTCAGCTTCAATGACAAGCCAGCAACATACCAAAATAGACTCTTCATGGTTGCATTTGATTCGCTCGTTGTCGCGTCAGTGGCGTTTCCAGGGTCAACCAACCAGTTTTGCCACTGTGGGACCGGTTGCGAGGCACCAAAACAGGTCCAGTGTTTACCACTTCAGGATCATATTTAGCTGCCTTCAAATCACCCCTGAACACAAGGCTGCCGATCATTTCACAATACAGAAGAATGCATAGAATAGAACTGATGTAAGTATTCCATCATGATTTCTATTGAAACGTCTACTTGCGGTACTCTGCCCGTATGTGGCTGATAATGAAATGTCTCTGAATTCCACAACGCCAAGTGCCGGTAAATTAGCCACCAAGATAGCGACATTTGACATCATTGCAGCTGTCTCAATTATCCGAAGCTCTGTCATCGAGTTCGTACGTGATTGGCTTCGACCCATTGACGATATGCGCCCTTGGCAACTACAGATGCCGAGGGATCGAAAGAACAAGACCCCGGGCTTCAAAGCGATCGCGTCTTGTACAAAATCGTACAGAGGCAAAGCCAAGCTACTAGGTCCCTGCTTAGAGGCTAATGAATTGCGTAGGGTCAAATAACCCCTTTTTTGTTCGGTACAAGATGTCATCGAGACGGGGACGGAACTCCTGTGTTGTCGCATGATGCCACTATTTGATGTGGAAATAAATCAACTCAAATATATTTAGAGCACAATTAAACATGCAATATGTGTCCTTGTTAGTCTTTGTGTTTTTAGGGTTGCAACTCCTGCGATACTAGCTCAGCTCTCTATTGCTTCAAGATCTTTTGCGAATCTCTAGGTCTCTGTGACATGTCTCGCAGCTTCAGGCTACCTACGCGTAACGTACGTTGAGTTGACCATTATTCGTGGTAACAACTCCCCAGGAAAGTCGCGATGTTCAATAAGGTATCACGGGCTCCTCTTAGTGGGTTCATCAGATTGAAGGCTAAATATTCAATAATTCAATTTCTTATGCTTTGACTGCTGAAATTTCAGAAATGCGTGCATCTAGAATTCCACGCTCGTACTTTTTACTGGGAATTTTTATTTTAGAGTCATGCGGATTTTGTTCGTCATGGCCCATGAGCCTTGAACAAAGTCTCAGCTAAAGTTTAGAAGACAACCACCCAGTACCACCAGTTCCAGTCGAGCCCACAAGTCCCCCATCAACAACAATATTCTGCCCAGTAACATACCCCGAAGCACAACTAGCCAAAAATGCAACAACATTAGCAACATCAAAAGCATCCCCCATCCTACCCATGGGTACATTATGATCTGTAATCTTCCTATGAATCTCCCGCTCCTCTGCCAACAAGCTATTACCCAGTTTCTCCAATAGCGGCGTATACACCATCCCAGGGGCAACAGAGTTAACTCGAACCCCTCTTCCCGCATACATAATCCCAGTAACTTTGGTGAAATGAATTACGGCGGCCTTGGCAGCCGCATATGCCACCTGCGGTTTACCAAGGTACCTCATGCCCGCAATCGAAGCATTATTGATAATAGCCCCAGAGCCCTGTTTCTCCATGACGGGTAGTACGGCCTTGCAGCTGAGAAATACCGTCTTCAAGTTTAGTTGGATTTGGGCGTCCCAGGCTTCCTCGGTCATGGTGGCCGGATCACCGGTTGTGGTTCGGCCAACGTTGTTGATGAGGATGTCGATTCGGCCGTGCTTTTGGAGGATGTGGTTGATTACTTCGTTTATGTCTTTGTGGCTTGTTGCGTTGAGTTGAATTGCTTCGCAGATTCCTCTATCATTCTGGATTCGTGATGCTGTTTGTTGGGCTGCGAGGAGATTTATGTCACAGGCTATGATTTTCGCGCCGGATTTGCTGAGTACTTTGCTGATTGCTGCGCCGTTGCCCCAGATTTGGGAATCAGGAGATCCGGATTGGCCCGCTCCTATTACCACGGCTATTTGATCTTTGAGATCGGGGTATATTGCGGAGTTCTCTCTATATTGGGCTGGCATTAGCGTGAATCTGGAATATCATGTATGAGATTGGTTACCGATAAGCCATGTTGCATGATATGTGGCTGAAGGGTGATATCGAAGTGGTAGGTTAGTATATCCGAGGGCCTTTATACAAGAGGCTTTTCTAGCTATGGGAGGGGTTGTTTACCCCGGACTTGACTCCGAGCATACTAAAAGATATCGGACTTCGACTACATTCCCCGAGAATTGGGAGATGTCCGGGAACATGGTTGGTGAAGCGATATCCTGCGTCTCGTCTCGAGGAACTGAGCATTTCCCCGCTCGGCATTGTGCCGGTAGTTGCATTTCTTGCCATATTATAAAAACCAAGTAGGCGGCTCTCATCCACTGGTTCAAAGAGCTGATCCAGGCGATTTTTGAGCATTCAGCATCAATCTTGCAATTCAAGTTGTCGCTTACGCGATAGAAGAAGGTTGCACAAGTGGCGATCTCTGTACATAGATTGGCTTGGATCACCTGAAGGCGATTCCCCAGCCATTGTGTACTGTGCAGGATCAATTGGTGATATTGATTCGTAGGAAGTTGATCTGAACTAATGAGAAATAAAGAAACCTGAGCTGAGCCAATACTTGAGTGCCTAGTACTGTATCAAGGAGAAAGAGCCACATATGAGCTTCGTTCAACAAAGACAAAACACCCCTACCCGTAGATTTCCACAAGATATCCCCTTAAGACCGTATTTACCAGCTACTTCTTCATGAGCCGTGCTTCCAAGACTGACTGACGCGTACGGGAGTATATACCCGCACCTAGCAGTATAGTGGGTCGTCAGTCTGTGGAGACGCAGAGAAAAGCGGGTTCCAACAGAGAAAACGGTTGTCTGTATTTGCCTCAACAGTATGCCTGCGATTTACAGTTTCAAAATCAGTTTTCAATAATGTCCATTGGCTATCTCAAGACTCCCAGGCAAATGGAAATGCAATCATTAGAACATAGGGAGAAAACACAGCCTGAAGAATTGGTTTCGCCTTGAATCCCATGGACATGATCTATCCCACCCAAATATACATGCGTATCTCTTCCAAGAAAAAGAAAAAAAATCATTCTTCTCATCCCTTCTATCGCGACAAATAAAAAGAATAAAAATAAACAGCGTCGGAGAATGAAATAATTAGCTGCAGTTGTCTGGCACAATATCATAAGTCGTTCTGGATATAGTGCAAGTCTTGTGTCGTTCACAAAAACTTCGGGTGCTGTCCAGTGACTTAGGTCAACTTAGAGGCAGGAGCACCGGCGTACATGACGATGAAAATGAGGGTCAGAACGACACCGGCAGCAATACCCTTGGCCTTGGCAGGGTTGCTGCGGCGGTACTCGCCGACCTGGAGGCGCACATCAGTGGCGAGGGACTGCATCTTCTCAGCACCAAGCTTGTAGTAGCAAAGACCACCGAGAGCAATGGAGTAACCGAAGAACTGCAGAGGAGTGACGGGGTCACGGAAAATCATCATGGATGCGCAGACCAGGAGGATATCCTTCAGGATACCAGCCATGGTCAGGACGACGGCAGAAGTCTTGCCAATCTATCAAATATGTTAGTTCCACCTGCAAAAATTGGTTGAATCGAGAGTTTGATCGTACCAGAAGAACGACGGAGGCGTTCAGCAAGAAAGCAACGAGGGCATTAGCAATAAGGGTCATAATACCGAGGCCGTAGATGTCGGCCATGGTCATGCGAGGCAGATCGGTGAACAGAGTGACGACACCGTTGGTGAGGGCACAGGCCGGGGCGTAGTAATAGAGAGAAACCAGGGGGTCCATCTTGAACTCAGCGGAGCTCAAGAGACGCTGGACCATGACGAGACGGAGGGCCTCGAAGATGATACCACCGACCTGGATAAGGAAACCAATCATGTCGAACTTGATCTCGCCGAAGGACGCAATAACGACACCAACGACAATGATACCGACATTGCCAAGGGTCTTGTAGTTGGTCGGGGCGATTCCGAAGGCCCAGGTAGCAAGCAGGGTCACAACGGCGTTGGTGGCCTTCAGCATCTGGATGAAGGACACACTGAGGTACATGTAGGCCAGGTTACCGCAGATCAGACTCAAGCTGAACATGATACCGATGGGAACGATGGCGCGACTATTCACACCCAGATGATCAGCGATTGGTTTTCCATCAATCTCTTCTAAATGCGAAACTCACGTGTAGGTGGCAGGGGTCATGGGGACGTTGTGGCGAGAGTCCAGGATGGTGGTGCAGCGGGCCAGAATCTGGGTCATGGCCGTAGCGAAAACCATGTGCCATGTCGTAAGGAAAAGCGCTGAGAACGAGGATGTTAATTTTCGATCATTGGGGAAATTGACTCGGAAAAGCCGATTGAACGGCTCAAATCTCCGCAGTGGAATCTAGTCCCAAGGGCGAACTTACGGAAGTCTAGAAACAGGACTGGTTAGCAAGATTCTCCATGCGATTGAATATGACAGATTGAGACTTACGAAATTCCGCAGTATGCAGAACCCACTTGTTGAACAGAATAACACTGGAACTGAGAGCAATCCACAGGCTGGAAGACGTTTAGTGGTTGAGCAGGGGATGGCGCCGAAGGACACCTACGCAATGTAGAAAGCCGGGTGCAAGCCCTGGCTAGGAGCGGGAGCAGGGCTCCCGTTCTCCAGCTTGCGTTCGTCCTGAGAAGAGCGGCCGTTTGCCATGTTGAAGATGTGTTGCCTGAAAAGGAATGACTATGGTGAGTAGATGTGTAGGGAGAAAAATGCAGGAAGCCAGGATATTTAGGGGCAAGAGATGATCATCGTGGGCGGTGTGGACCTTCGATGGCGCTGATTGGCGCGTGGGGATGTTGTACACGTTGACGCGCGTGGAGCCCCTTGAGTGTGGCAGTGTTTCAGGTTTTGCGCAGGGTCTTGGTCCCGGTGCTTGTTTTTTTCTGGTTCACATCAGTCTTTCCAATGGACCCCTTTTTTAGGCCGATCGGGGGGTTTGGAATCGATCCACTTGGACATTGACAGCTCTGATTATTCCCAATGTCCAAGAATCAATGGGGAATTGCGTTACTGAAATATGGAGTCCCTTTTTCAAACCGTGGGAAAGGTGATGACTCCACCGTGCCATGCGTATAAATTGACGGCAATTCGATAGGTCCCTGATAATATCGCCAAAGCTTGGACCATCCATCCAGGGTCATTCATTAAACAATGCAATTTGCGATGTCTACCTCATACAATGCCAATGAGGTCCACGGGTACTATGTATACCGGGGCCCTTAGCCACGAAACGTATGTTCCAGTTCGTTATTTAGCAGCAGTAGCCAGGAGTATCAGACAGGTTAAATGCCTTGTAAGGCTCTGATACCATACATTCAACCAATGGAGAATGCGAATCAACTAGCAAGACAGTTACTCGCAACTTTAAGAACGTTACGACGTTCAATGCCAAGTGTAACCGTACCCGTTGGGCTAGTGATTTAGTGCAACTCGTGTCCACTGTATATCTCGCCCGCCGATAAGAGAGTAACGCAACACTTCACCACTTCCAAGGTTCCCCCTCTTTTCATATCTCTCACAATGATGAATCAAACAGAACCTTCCCAGGCGGCCAATTGCGATCAAATCCCGATCATCGATCTGACGCATTTATATAGCACAAATACTGAAGCACGGCAGCAACTCGCCCAGACAATATACGATGCCTGTACTCAAGTTGGATTCTTTTATGTCAAGGTACGGGCCTGGGTTATGACTGATTACAAAGTACATGTTAAACTTTTCGTCGGAGCATATAGGCTTACTTACTCTAGAACCATGGCATCCCGGACAAAATGATCGATGGCATTCACCGTGCCGCAGAACGCTTTTTTGCTCTTTCAGAGAAACAAAAGATGGACCTCTACATTGGGAACTCTCAGGTGGGTAGTACCTCCCCATCTCACATTGAGGATATAAACTAGAAATCCTCTCAGAAGTTCCGTGGCTATAGTCCTTTAGAGGGTGAGAAAACAACCGGTACAGATGACGATCCCATATCCGCCGAAGAAGCCACGGGCGTTCTCTCCGAGGCATTCGATATCGGATACGACACAGCTTTGGATTTTCAAAAGTCTCCAGATGCCACTATTGGGCCCGATACCTATGGATTATACGGAGATAATCAGTGGCCTGATGAGAGTACGCTTGCAGGCTTTAAAGGCACATATATCGAATATTGTGCCACTGTTTTGGAGTTTTGTCGAAAGCTCATGAGAATCTTCGCACTTGCTCTAGACGTACCCGAGGATTACTTTGATTCGAAGATTCAAACACCCGGTGTTACTTCTCGGATGATGCATTATCCTGCTCAGCCTGTCGGGGAAATGCGTGAAGGTCTAGGAGCGCATACGGTGAGGAAAAATTGGGCCATCATTTGGTTGTGACCTAGCATGGCTTATTCATCTTTAGGACTGGGAGTGTTTCACAATTCTTTCCCAAGGGAAGGTACCAGGTCTACAAGTTTTAAATAATCGCGGGGAGTGGATCCTCGCACCTCCTATCCCGGGAACATTGGTTGTCAATATTGCCGATTGCTTGTCAACCTGGTAAGATATCGTTATGATATACGATGCATCATCTTAATACTGACTCTAGTAGGACAAACAAGACATTCAAATCAACAATCCATCGTGTGACAAATGTTTCTGGCGAGGAACGCTATTCGATTCCGTTCTTCTTTGGGATTGACTATGATGCTACCGTATCTGTCTTGGACAATCACACCTCAGAAGATCATCCACCTTGCAGAGCACCTTTCAAGGCGGGGGAGGTGAGTACTGCACCATCCATTGATGTTTGATCGATTGCTAACAATGTGAATGTAGTGGGTCCGTGAGAAAATGTCCAAGGCATATGTTGGCTATGAAGGCTAACTAATTGTGCATTCACATGTATAAGCTGGCATCGTGTTATCTTTGGAGGCAGATGCTAGATGAATTCAGGTAGTGCATGTAGACTCCACGTCATGGTAGTATAAGATGAGATGGGAATCGAAGTTTTCGTCGAATCGTCTTAAAAATCTCTAGAATGGCATCGGCTGTACCATGGTGAACGGCCCAAGGCTGGGTACATAGTATTGCTTCTTCGATAAGTTCGTCAAAGTCTGGCACAAGTGAAGCGAGAGAAGGTGTTCCTTTTGCCATGGAAATCACAAAAACCGCAGCCAAAAGCCTTGAAATTGAAGCATTAGTAAGTAATTTGTATCCCTATCTATAAAAATATATAAAAGAGGATGTCGTCGACTCACGCTTGCAGTCTGAGCCACGTCGAGTGTGTTCTTTTTTTCAGAAGGGGCACAGTTGCATGGATGAAGTGCCGACAACTGTCAACACAGGCCTCACAGTTGGCCATGATATATCCACTCAGTGGAGTATTCTGTGCCTGTGCAGCAAAGACGAGACAAGGCCGACATATCACATGCTTTGTGGCATAATAGCGAGTCCGGAGTTGACTATCATGTATATCTCGAGGGTTCGGGTTCTGAAGGTCCGGTTTAATAGAATCTGGCAGTGCATCGAACCACGCTTTGAGTTGTCGGCTGAGCTCCTTGTTGACAGCCTCAAGCGAAGCGATTGAAGGTTGCTGGGTAGATGCATTCGCCGCCCCGCTGATCTTCACGGGAATTGTTCTGCCATCTGGTTCGACTGAATTGCTTGAATACATTGTGCTGTGTATACGGTTCAGAAGCTTTCGAATGGAACACATTGCAAGAAATCTTAGGTTGTTGCGGTCGCTTGGGTCCGTGAATTCTGGGAAATGCAGTTCATCCACCAGGACTTCAATTCCGCTACGAGGGAAATGGAATTCGGCGAGATCATCACTAACAGGAGTTTAGTATTGCAGGCCAGCGAAAAGGTGGGTTGTAACAACCATTCAAGTACGTAACAGGCCCAAGCAATGCGGACAAGTACAACCTGCTTTCCAGGTACAATGTCTCTTTCCTGTAGGCTATTTGAAACAGGATGTCAGTTTATGTAGATTATGGCTGTCAAAAGGGTTCAGTACTAGGAGAACATCATTTGAACTGCCGTTGATGCCCAATGAATCGTTCTCCAAGCCTGAAGTGGTCGACTCCTATATCGAAAATAAAGAGAGGCGTAGAAAAACGCAAGCGGAACCGTCAAGTCTCTTGAAAAGGGCGCAGTCTCCACCGTGGTCAGAATTTGATAGCCATGTGCAAAGTAGTCCGTACCATTGCCAACATCAGAAGATTCAATATCAAGGTTTGCACTGGGGTTGGTACAGATCTCTCCTAGAGCAAGAGTCATGAGACAAAGTGCCGCAGACATATCAGGTTCCTGGTATGGATGTAGAAATTTCTCAAACATCTCGAGAAATGGCTTACGATCAAGCACAGGGAACTGAGAGTGTATGTTTGTGAAAAAGCTGGATACCAGACCATCAGTTATTGAGCGACGCAGATTGAGTCTCTCGACAATCGCCGTATATGATACCCGCGGTATCAAAGGTTGTAGCCGGCGTTCTGATTCCAGGAACAAGAAATAGTCTTGAGGGTAATCACCAATGAGTCTCTTGATTTTGTCGAGTGTCAGTAAGTTTCCGGTGGGAGTTTGGTGACCTAATGGAATGAGCAGCGGGCCATCCCCGGCTTTCTCGTATTTCGGCCGCGAATCCACAGGCGGGACTTCGCGTGCTAGGGCCATATACGCTGGTGAGGACAGAGCAATGTTTGTGCCCTGTGTGTTTGATGGGCTAGTTTGAGAGAAATTCAGAGTGTCTGGACTTGGAGCAGTCGATAACAGACGATCAGATAATGCAGTGATGACAGCGGACTGTTGCCGAACAAGGTTTTCTAGCTGATCTAGTCGTTGCAATATTTCGACTGATGGATCAACATCTCTATGACCAGGTATTAGTTCTTTTGTTAGTATTGGAAAATGATTTAGTATTGGAAAATGATTTAGTATTGGAAAATGATTTAGTATTGGGAATGATTTGTTGAACAACGTACTTTTCATTAGGACCCTCCTTGTACTCGCATTGAGCACCCGCACTAGCGCAAAACGCGCATGTAGGCCGCTCGCCGTCACATTTGCGTTTCCTGAAGATAATTATGATACGAGCTCACTTGTTAATGGGGGAAGTGACTCACCGGTATCTGCAGAATTCGCATGCTAACTTTGCTCGTTTTCGGGGAAACTCCATCAGTATAGGGCGGATGACAGGGAGTTGGAGTAGCGGGGCTGGAAACAGGCGGGGAAAGTGAGACGGCGAGTTACGAAAGGCCCTTAATAATCACCATCACTGCAATGCACGCTAGCTACACAGGCATAGAATGTATTTGTGGAAACTGTTTGCTAATTACACCAAAGCCGGAAGGCACTAAACCGTTCTCTGCACCTGTCTCTCAATACGGCTTCGCTCCAGCAAGTCGAAGCAGCTGGTCTGTGTACTTTGGCTCTTCCAAAGGTTTGCAACGATTGCGAGGATCAACAGTGCCATCTGGCAGGTGAAAGGTATTGTCGCGGAGAACAACGTTGTCATGGGGCCAGTGGGTGGTAGCTCGAAATGATTCAAATGCTTCCTTCTTGCGCGCCAGGGTTTCTTCTGTAGCCAGACTCGCCGGGGAATAAGACGCATAGATCACAGTCCGAATATTTCGACTTTGAGACGTAGGCTCTCCACCCCAGTGCACGGTCCGCGAATCCCAGAGAATTAAGTCGCCAGGCTCCGCGAGAACCTTGATAGGCTTGATTCCGCGCGCTTCGTACCATTTCATTTCCTCCTCGCTGAAAAATCGAAAGTCTTTCTTGAGCCAAGTTGATTCATCGACTTGCGTATCAAAGAATTCATCGGACAGAGCACTTGACTTTGGCAGAAGAATCAACGAGCCATCTTCAGGGCCAGCATGGCTGAGGTTGATGATGCCCTGGACGCAGTGGAGTCCTCGGCGAAAAGGCGATTGATCAACATGTGGCCAAGGCTTCGTCACTGGCTTGTCTTCTTGGTTGGGCAAGGTAATGTTGAGAGCATCGAAGGACACCAATAACTCATCAGTACCCCATATCTTGGCAAATGCCTCCAAAACTTTAGTCTCCATCCGTGCTTCCCACATAAACTTTTCATGGACCACAGAATAACCAGTGAAGTTGTTCGCTTTGCCGTGCACTGGAAGATCTTGATCTGCCCATGTGGATGGATCATTGAAGTCAATGCTTGGATTGAAGGATTGAAGCCACTCGAAGGCCTTCTGTCGATAATACTGCGCTTTTTCAAGCGCTATCGCACTTTTGATGACCACAAACCCTTGGGATTGAAGTTCATCTCTCCAATCTCCATATGGACCTACAAGCCTGCATTCATATGTCAGTAGGTATAGTATTATTTGGAGGTGAGAAAGACTCACTTGAACGCAGAATGATTAATCGTGCTAGTGATAGCCTGAGTCGTGGTCATGATGGCAAAATGATAATAAGGTGGAACAATTCTAGGGAAATAGGATACTGCAAATCGTAGAACGAATCCTTGGATTGATGGTCCCTTCTTATGTGCCTTTCAGAAACATATCAGACTTTAGCGGATAACATATTAGGCATCTTGCATGTTGTTCTCAACACCCATTTGTTAATCTGGTTTCTCCTCACGCTCTAGAGCGGATTCAACGGATAAGCGGGCCACCAATCCACCTGGGCATAGTGGGTCAAAGTCCCACAGCGAATGTTACGAAGGCAATTACAATTTGCAATAACGTGTTGATATTATATACATAGTACTGAGCATCAAAGAGGTTCGAGGGAATAAAGAGAGCGTGAAGGTCACAACCAGGTCTTGAGCCTGCAGTCTTGCGTCTTCGGAAAACGAGTTGCACTTCAAAAGATGCATGCTTCGCAGCCGCATTAGATCTCGACTCCTCCACACCAAAATCTTACACCCACTATAACCTCCATGAAAACTGGCAAAAATATGTACCAAACAATACTAAATCAAAGGGTAATACGTAAAAATGAAGACCTTTTACCCCGGCCTCAGCCTGATCTCACCCACCCTTCTGTAGCAAGAGCCGCTAAAACTAGGACCGGAGCCATCCAAACCAGCGCGCAGGTCCCAGCCCAATATGGACAGGCACTGCTAGGGGACAAGCCACTAAGCCAGCAGGGCTCATGTTTGATAATCTTTCCGAGACCTAAATGTCGAGAGAGCATTCGTTATCTTTCAGGACTGCACCCTGCACTCACACTCTGCATCGCACTCTCTCCTTCATTCTTTCTTTGCCTATTTTTGGCCCTTTCAGACCTTCTTGGTCATGATTGTTTACTGATTTTGATGTGGCCAAGTTTGCCCTAATTCAGAGCCTCTATCCCTTTTGCCGTCAGACACAGTCGACACTGTACGCCAGTAACGGCACAGTCAGATCTGTTACATAATTTCCATTTACACTCTGCCGGAACTTAGCATACAGTATGCTTGGAACTCCCATTTACGTATCATGACGTACAAGTATTTTACCTACTCGAGTTACTGGCACCTTGGTCTTTGGACATCTTGATTCGTCACTTTAGTGATTGGAATTGTCTAAAAATACAATTTATGCAGTAAGTGAGCCCAGCAATAGCTAGACAAACACATGGAAACAGAAAGAATACATAATATCAACCATCGAGACCAAAATCAGATGGAAGAAGTCAGTGGGAGTATCGCTCAATATAGCCAGAACAGGCACCAAGTATAACAGAAAACCAAAGAGCAAGAATCATTGTTGGAGACAATGAATCACTTACTCCTTCTGCTCCTTGAACTCATTGTCCGCGATAAGGTCAGGGTTAGCGAGACGTGCCTCGCCAGGAATGATGCTGTTACGAGTGCGCTCCAATTTGCCGTGCTGAACGCTAGGGTCCCATGCCTCAGCGTAGTGTGCGTCATGCACATCATACCAGAGAACCTTAACGGTCTCGGCAGTTTCGGGATAATCGTGGTCCACCTGGCCGATCTTGACGTCCTCGCCACTGCGCTCGCTGAGGAATCCCTCCAGCGCCCCAATGCGAGCGGCGTTCTCCGTCGCTCTCTCCTGTGCCTGGTGAAGAGCCTCGCGCCTGCGTTGGCGGGCCTTCCGAGTAAGATATCCACGCGAACCATCACGGCTCAACAGGCCGTTCGCGATCTCTTCTCGCTGGATAGCCAGCACGGCCGCAATGTCCGCCACGGAAGTCGCCTTCTGGTCCATGAGTGCGCGGGCACGCTCCTTCTTCTCCATGGTGTTGCCGACCCGCTTTCTGTTCATCCTATCGTATAATTCAGCTTCAACGGGGCCCTTCGGCCTCTTGGCCGCTAGGAATTCTTCTGTCACGGTGATCATCTCTTTGGGCGGGGCGAGTTGTCGCTGCATTGAGAACTCGCGGAGCATCTGGTAGGCACGCAGGCCCAGCTTTGAGTCGCTGAAGTGGACGGAGTAGTATGGCACCCACATGTCCCGGCGGACCTCGGCGGGGACGGTCTTCTTTCCGTGGTAGATCATTTGGTTGAGGACGTTATTTTTCTATAGGACCCGAATGGTTAGCTTCTTAGTCTCACTGCGACCAGTAAAGCAGTGGAGGACCACTTGAGTTCGAAAATCGATGGTACTCACCTCCAGATACCGGGTCAATGAGTACACGACCTGCTTCGTGCGAACATTGTGGTAGACAAAGATGTTCTTTCCGTGTGTGATGGCATTCAATGCCTTTTGCAACCGCACACCCTCGCGCTTCGCATACTCCTTGAACGCATTGGAATCAGGGTTCCGAGGTTTCCCCTGGATCGGTGTTTGCGGATCAATTGGTGGCCGGCGGACAAATTTCGACAAGGATGCGATCTTGGTTGAGTCCAGGATCTTCTGGATTGGCTTGGTGGTTGAGGCCATCGTGGCCTGTGTGATGGTGTCAGAGCACCGAAAGACAAAATCAGGGCAATTCAAGCCAGGATTGAGTTAAGGTCAAGGTGTTGGACTGGGAGCCGGTGTTGATGAAGTTGAGAACGGAGGTGGATTTTTTGACGGGGCGGCCATAGTCTTGGCGCTGCCTACTCTCCGCATCACCTTATCGCTTGCTTCAACCATCACCTCCCAAGCTGGTCTCTTTCGCAAGTAATAAACATGCCGCTTCTTTGTTCACAGCTCTCCTTGTATTAAATATCTTTCCATTCCTTCGTTCTATCTGATGGAGAGCGTTGTCGCAGCTACAGAGCATGACGGGGGCTCTCGCAGAGAGCGGCCGTGGCTGTATGCATCGGTACGGTCCTCGAATTTGTGAGAATAGTGTATAAATGAACTGAGCATGTTTTAGAATCGCAAGCTACGACATCTGAATGGCATATCTGTCCGAAACTTGGTTGTTACACCCCCAACAAATCGAGCGCGCGGCAAGACCATTGATGACGACGATATCCCCAACGCCCTTCAATCGCCCTCCAAGATCCTAGCGCAGAATGAAAGCCGCCCTCTACATCCTTCACGATCCTTCACCGAGCTCAATTCACGCCAAAATGCACAAAGCCATGCGGAAACGAAATTTGACAAACGCGAACCGCGACGACGAAGTCTGCTTCCTTGGAATGATCCCAATCCTCGAACGAGACAGGTGAGCTTGGAAGATATCACGAAGAGCCGCATGGCAGATACATGGGTGTCCATGCACTGTGACGGTGTTGATGAGCCGGTTTATATCAGCGAGGTGGTTAACAAGGCTACCAACCCAAGCTTTCGTTCTTTTGACCTGAACTTCTGTGGGCCTGGCGTCTCTAGGAGGGACACATTGACCCTGAAGCTCTGGGCGAAGACGGACAAAATGGCGGAGTATTTACTATTGGTTGAACTGCAGCTTCACCTCCGGTCTCTACAATTTCTGGGCAAGACAATCGAAAGCTTCCACCACCCACTACCCGCCAACTCCATCTTGTTCCACTTTACAGATGGTGTATACACCAATTTAACAGATCTTCCGTCGGTCGAACCGCCCCTTGGTGGCGCTGGTCAGCGGGCTACAGCCGATGGAGCTGCGTTGCCCACTTCCTCGTACGACGCATTGATGCGGTTGGCAAACCTGGATGAATGTGTCCAAGATGCGCTCGCGACTCGAGAAAAGCTAGAGGTACAGATTGGCGATATTCTCAAGAAAAACGATGATGCACTTGCTACCCAGAGTGATGCGGCTAAGGCGCAGGATCGCCTCGCCTCGATCAGGCAGGCCGTTGTAGCCGAGCGGAAGCAACTTCGGGCATCCGCTAAGCGCAAGGCTGATCTCATTGCAAGCATCAAGTCGCGAAAGGAGGCCATGGAGCAGGGTCGAATTGCCCAAGAAAAAGCTCGAAGTCATCTCCCAGATGCTCAGGAGAAACTGGTCTCCAGCGAACATTTACTCCACCAGAACTCGGAAGACGCCAAGGGTCAGATTCGGCGCATTGCTGAGGATCTAATGGTGATCTATCCAATAGAGCCCATCCCGGATAAATCACTTGCCTTCACCATTGCGGGACTACCGCTCCCCAACTCGGACTTTGAAGACATCGATCGCGATATTGTTGCAGCGGCACTGGGCTTCACCGCTCACGTAGTATATCTGCTCTCATTCTACCTATCCGTGGTTATTCCTTATCCTGTCAGCCCAAATCAGTCAATTTCCTTAATTCAGGATCACATATCGGCAGATCTCCCGCAGCGCACATTTCCCTTGTACCCGGTCAGCGTCCATTACCGATTTGAGTATGGTGTTTTCCTCCTGAACAAGAATATTGAGTTTCTGCTTGACAAGTGTGGCGTTCGAGGTCTGGATATCCGGCATACCCTTCCCAACATCAAATATCTTCTCTATATCTTGACCGCGGGTACACCGGAGATCCCTGCCCGTAAAGCAGGCGGGATTCGAGGCCTCTTCGGTGCAAAGATGACTCCTAATCTATCTCGGCGAGGGAGTACTGAAAGTGCGGCATCCGGTGAATTGGTCCCGCCTCGGAAGGCATGGGATTTGGTTTCAAAGATGAACGGAAGCCTTGCTTTGGATCATGGCGTCAAGCCTCCGGTGGCCACAAATCACCCGTTGGCGTCGCGCGTTGCTTAGATTTTCAATAACGAATCCTTTACTGGGTATCTAGGACTTTCTCATCCCTCTTTCGGGTTTCAGCGTTGCATCTAGTCTTCTCCATTGGTCAGCGCAAAGCAAATGTATTTCGAATGTATTCCAACCTTAGAAGGTTGTCGTGTGCATATCTCAGCCTTGGGATCGTACATATCGGGGATTTAGATTTTGCATGAGCGAATGAATCTTTTGATCCCGTAAGGGGCCAATTGAGCAGGAATAGTGCCTTTCCCACGGGTATGAGTATCTATATGAGACACATAATCCAATATCCATCAACCCCGTTGTTGATCAAGGATTAGTGTTGTACAGGTTCCCAAAATAAACAATTCACCAAGGCGAACCACGTCAGCAACCCGGGGAGTGGAACATTGGCAAGCTTCAAGCTTTGCTTTCCAAGGTTCATATAGCTTTGTCATGATAATGGTTTTGTCAAAATAGCCATCGCGAGCCAGGATTGGATGTAACTCTTCCACTTTTACCCCGCAGGATGATATTCCATTATACAATAAAAACTGGTGGCTGGTTGGGGTCTGTACGCGGACACGGTTGAGTTTGTAATCAATAATACTGATTTTTTCTGATTTTTCGTCTCGATTTCCTTTCTCTGCTTATTTCATTAAATCAATCCTTGAATTCTGTCTGTACCCTACGTGAAGTTGCCTCGGCCAATGATCCAATCGGTTCTCGCTCATATAAGCAACCCCACCGCCCCTTCACAGCTTATCTTCGCTTTGCATCGGCTTTCCCCAGCAATCCCGCTACCCACTCAAGCTGAATAGGTCACTTTTCGAGAACATGGGAGACTCTAGTGTGGGCCGTGATCCCGGCAAGTCGCAGTCTCCTACCCCGCAGCATAGACGCGGCTATCAGGCTTGCGATCCGTGTCGCAAACGCAAGGTCAAGTGTGACTTAGGCAGTAAGATCAGCGATCTCTCATCCCACTTGGGCTATTTTTTTCTTGATCTAGCTGACTGATCACACCCCAGGTGTCGATAACCCTAGACCCCCACCCTGTGTACGATGCCGCCGCGAAAGCAAAAGATGCGAATTTTCGATTACTCGTCGCAAGCGCAAACTCTCCGAACCGCCTGAAGAGGTCGAGCAGGAGTCTGATGTTCTTCGCCGCGACAAGCGGATGATGATCGGTGAGGTCGCGGCGAAGAAAGAAGCATCGGCCGATGGATCTCCGTTCCTTCCACCTGAACCCTCCTTTGATACAGATGGATTTCGGGCTCGTCAGCGCTGGACTGAAGCACCACCTCCTGGTGCGGCTGCCGCTGCCGCCCAACGATATACACCGAGTGCACCAATAGCTGCGCCTGCCAGACACTTTTTGGAGTCAAGAGCTCCACGCATTCCCAGTTATTCTGCTGTTGAGAGAAGCTCGGCATCATCTGGATACGGAGGGCCGGCTATGATGAATCACACGGCGGTGGAATTGTTGTCCCCTGCAATCACCAATACACATGATGCTTTACACTTGCTGTCGGAGGCAGCAGGAAGAACAGAGGATTTGAATCGCTTTGCGGCAAGACAATCCGTTTCCTCTTTCAACTCAGGTCCCTCCCCTCTGGCGCATGTCAACTCCCCCGGGAATCTGAGTGGGTCATTTTCACGAACTCCTCGATCGGGGATGTCCATGGGTGCGAATGGCTCTTACCCAAGTGGTGGGCCAGGTGTTGTAGATCCTCAGATATCTGAAGAGACTGGTCCCTCCGAGGGCTCAGCTAATACTCAGGACCCGGGGTACACCGACGCTATTCGCGCGTGGTCACGGCTGCGATTCGTCCGTGCTGGATGGATGACGGTGGAAGAAGGAATGGATTATGTTGCGTATTACTACGAGAATCTAGCGCCGATGAGTCCAGTAGTGACTCCAGACTATTCGGAGCCTTCAAAACATCGTATCCTACTCACCGAGGAGCCGGTATTAGCAGTGACGATCCTGACGATTGCTTCACGGCACTTGAAACCCAAAGGCGATGGTGCTAGCACCCGGGCATTCTACATTCATGACCGCCTCTGGTCTTACTTGCGTGGCATGATCGAGCGTCTGTTTTGGGGACAAGAGAAATTCGATGCTGGAGGACCAGGAATCGGTGGACCACGGTCTCTAGATCTTGCTCCAACTTCCAGTCGGCCCGGCGTGAAAGGGAATCTGAGAGCCTTAGGGACCGTGGAGGCTTTACTGATTCTTACGGATTGGCACCCGAGAAATCTCCACTTCCCTCCGGGTGATGATGAAAACACGCTTTTGGACATCGATGCGCAGTCTCAAAACTGTGCCGACAAGGACTTGGACCATGGCGAACAGGCAAGGGGAGCGAATGGCTCGGCTGAAGGTAGAGTCGCATTTCAAAAGTGGCTGGAGCCCGCTTGGCGATCCGACCGGATGTCTTGGATGCTATTGAGTACCGCACAGGCTCTTGCCTTTGAACTTGGGGTTTTTGATCACAAAACCGAACCAAAGGGTACACCTGAGTCACCTGCTGAACAGATACGCAAACGCCGTCTACGGAGATTGATTCTAGTATTCATTACTCACAGCAGTGGGCGATTGGGTATTCCATCAATGCTTCCTTTGTCCGAATGGGGCCAAGACGTCGAGGGAAACAACATTGACTCCAAGGATGGCGATCCAGACCTTGATAGGATGCAGGATTGCTGGATGGGCATTTCGAAGATTGTCTATCAGGCCAACCAGCAGCTCTTTGCATCAAGTGAACAGACTTCGGAGTTGATCAAGAGTGGGAGATATCGCGAACAGATCGACTGGTTCCAACCACAGTTACGAGAATTCCGACAGCATCTTGATCGCGTGAATCGTGAGTTGATGCACCGCGGAGCTTATCATACAAGTTATATTAACGACTAGCAGTTTCTTCGGCTATGCGAAGCATCCTCCTGATTGAATACGAGTATACACGTGAGTAGACAAGCTCCAAAGAAGTTTAATGATTGCCAGATGCTAATGTCACATAGGTTTGTATGTGAATTCACTTGCTCTGCAGGCCGTTGTCGACCGATGGACGACCATGCCTAGCGAGTCTGCTCAAACTCAATCCGGACGGCCAGGTTCCGGACCGTCGTCTGTCAACACTAAATTATTCCGGACGATGATGGAGCTCTATCGAGTCAACGAGCAATATATTCAAGAGGTCGTGGATGCCTCACGCAAGATTCTGCAGACAGTTCTGGAAGGGCTAGTTCCGGGAGGGCGTCTCAAGCATGCTCCCATTCGGACGTTTTTCCGGATTCTGTCTGGTATGATCTTCATCCTGAAAGTAGGTCTCACTGTGTCAAGCAGAAATTTTAGAATGCAACTAACTCAGTCTGCAGACGTTCACCCTAGGTGCTCGTGAAGACGACGTACGGGTCTCATTGGACCTACAAGACCGGACAGTGGAGGCTCTTCGCACTTTTGTTGTCGATGATGTGCACATCAGTAATACTGTTGCTCGACTACTAGCATTGCTGACTAGTAGCATTCGGACCCGCTTCCTACGTTTCGCACCGCTTGACCGTGGCGGAGAAGGTGACGGACAGGACCGTGGCTCCGCGCCCGTCTCACGAGCCCAGTCACCACCTCGGGAGAGCGTTTCGGGTCGACGTGAAGGAGGGCAAACCCCTTGGTCATCTACCCAAGACGCAACTCCGAGTGGAGGTTTAGGATATGTGGAGAGCAGCAGCGCCGGCGGACACCCGATCGGATCAGCTCATGACTCTCTTGCCAGTATCCCTGCACAGCCGATCAACTCTTCCAACCTGGGTGTATCATTCATGCCGCCACCTCCGTCCGTCTACTACAACTATTATGACTCAAACTCGACCATGCCTTCCAATGATCTTGGAAGGTCCTCTCCGAATCACGCTGTTTCCTCTCAGCCTCTCGATAGTAACGGAGCCAATACTGCTCTCCCGGATTGGTTTGCTCTTCCATTGGATCAATTTTTCAACAGTTCCACCGCGGTGGTTGATCAGGGTCTAGGCGGGACCGGACCCATGCTTGGCGAGTTTGACATGTTAGAAGTTTTGCTTAACGAGGGCTACGACAACACTGCTCACGACGGCGACTCCGGCGGACCCCTCGGCTCTCAGTTCTTACCTTGATCTGTGATCCCGATCGTCAAGAACCCAACCTCACTGGGATAATGCCTCAAGTCAGCGTGACCTGTACTTTTTCCCTATAATGCTTTCATTTCTCCGTTTAAACTATATACCCCTGCGGGATCTACACTTGGCGTCCCTCTTTTTGTTTCTGCGTTCTAGCCTGGGTGGAGGATCTGATTTGTTGGCGTCGCAATTTCGTTGAAACAAGTCCTGCCTTTTTTAATGCTTGGCGAATGGTCTAGTCTTCGTTTACTTGCAGCCTGAACTCTAACGGAATGAACAAGTTCTTTGCTTTTTTGCTTTTTTTTTGCTTTTTCCTCGTTGTTTCCACCTTCTTTTGATATGTTAAGGTTTCTTCTGTAGGCTTCCAGATTAAGGGTGCCGCTCGGTGTCCGTCGGGCTTAAAGATAGCGGGGCTGAGTTTCATCATGATATGACAGATAATTTCTTCACATGCTGAGACACTGTTCCTTTTGTGAGTCATGATTTCATTGTTACTGCTGTAGGCTTAGATGCTATCTTTTTTATCTTCAGCCTCGTGAAATAAGACTCGCGGGGGTGGCTTAGAGTCTACATCCTGGCCGTTGGGTTCAAGCATTTAGGTACGAATGTCTCAGATGGGGCCAGAGTAGACTAAACTTGCGTGCCCCGAGATGTGAGTTGATGCTACATTGGATCACAAGTATGGCAAAGAAAAGTCTGCATAGCATCATCATTGCAGAAATCAAGGCTACATTGCATCTTCACGGCCCTATTAAATTACGGTGGATAACCTTCATCGGCGACCTCAGGTCTAGTCTCAGCAATCTCTCCGACAACTTAGATATATAGATGTATATGCGGCTTATTCTCTTGTCTACGCAGCCACGGGTAGCCCGATTCTTGAAGGATTTCTCTGCCGACCCATTGGTTCTTGAACCCTCCATCTTGCCACTAGAGACGTTTCTTTAATGACGGACTGGTATCACTTCAGGGCTAAGCCTATCAAGAACCAGTAGAGTAGCAGGTGCGATCACAAGTATGCAAGTCACCAGTATATCGACGATCTATCTGGCTGGGGGGCTGATCCCCACCCCGTTAGGTTATTGTAGACGTCAGGACGATCGTCGCCCCGAAGAATCTCGTAGCCGAACCTGACCCTGTGATACGATATGCACGTAGAGAATCTCGGGAGGTTCGAACTAGCACGTTCACGGGATAAATAATATCAAATGATTATAAGGGGATTGTTGTGAGCAGATGCAGGGTTCAACTAGTCTAACGGATGTGCAGAGCCGATCTCAGCGGAGTCGGACTCCGGTCGGGAATTTATGTGTTTCGATTATGCATATATCGCTTGCTTGGCGGATTATTTGTTTTTCTCGTATCATGCTACAATGGCAGTGTTTATTCGAAATCTCAATCTTGTGTTTCTGAAACGCTGCAAAGAACCAGATCTTGGCTCGAGAGCAAAGTTACCACGGCTGAACCTCAGGGAGAGTCGATGCGGTACAGGTGTCCAATCATAGACCATCTAGGGTACCTTAATAGCCCGAACTCATCAATCATAAAGTTCTGGGCAATTCAGCAAGCTTGCTCATCCAATCAAGCCCTAGTTCTACCGTCCGCTAGGCACGATGCTACCTCACTTATAGGGGCAAAAGTATCCAGTATCCTCCTCCGGGCCGTGATTGGCTGGTCATGGAGATAACAGGTGATGATCGCCAGGGCTTCTTTCGGCCAACTCTATCGCTCAAACTTATTATGCGCGGTCCCTGGTTAATCAACTGTGTTTCCACTATTCACCGTTCAACTGGTCCATTTGAGCCCCACAGAAACAATACCGTCGGGGACGGCGTATGGGGATCGTCAGGGTTCCGCCAAATGGATATGCGTATGAAGCTTCCACCTGATGCTCAGTAAGCCTTCCACCGGACTTCTCCGCCAAACAAACCAAAATAGCTTGAGGGAAGGCGCAGAATAGGCTGGCATGCAATGCCACAAACCCCACCTTGAATGTGCCTGGAGTCTGGGACCGCTATCAGACCCCTCCCCACCTGCACGAAACACTGTTCCATCGCTTCATGGGATCATGCTTAGTCCCTGTTGAAGTGGAGTCGTATCTTGTCGTGCCCTCTTGGCTGGCCGATGGACTCCGTGATGATCTCGAGCTTTACGGCTCCGAAGTCTGTCCAGTAAATGGATCGGCATCGCTGGTTTCCCCGAAGAGAAAGACGTCCGTCTGGATTGTGCGATTACAGCCGTTATTGGTGCCATTGTGTATTCTTCGTTCTTCAGGATGGCAGGCATCCAGAATCTATAAAGTAGCCTTCATCCCCGGTCGTTTGTGGTTCTCTATCCACCTCACCACCATCTTTCTACTTCATTCTTTTATACAAATCATTCTTTGAACTGTCCACCATGGTTGTCTTCAGCAAGGTTACCGTTGCCTTGGCCAGTCTGGCCTCCATTGCTTCGGCCGTTCCCACTGGCGGCAAGAAGAGCAGCTTCACTGTCAACCAGATTGCCGTGCCTGCTACCAAGACCCAGAACTTTGCCAACAACTACGCTCGTGCTCTCTCCAAGTACGGTGGTAACGTGCCTACCCACGTTTTTGCTGCTGCTCAGCAGAGTGGCTCTGCTGTCACTACCCCGGAGGATAACGATGAGGAGTACCTCACTCCCGTCAACGTCGGCGGCACCACCCTGAACTTGGACTTTGACACCGGTTCTGCCGATCTGTAGGTGAACCCGCTTCTCTATACACCGAAGCAAAATATACTTGGATATCAAAGCTAATCGTGATTGTAGTTGGGTTTTCTCTTCCGAGCTTCCCTCTTCTGAGCAGGAAGGCCACGGCCTCTACAAGCCTAACAACGGCACCAAGCTGTCCGGCTACAGCTGGTCCATCTCCTACGGTGACGGAAGCTCCGCCAGTGGCGACGTTTTCAAGGACACCGTCTCTGTCGGTACTGTCAAGGCCTCCGGCCAGGCTGTCGAGGCTGCCTCCAAGATCAGCCAGCAGTTCATCCAGGACCAGAACAACGACGGTCTGCTCGGTCTCGCTTTCAGCTCCATCAACACCGTCAAGCCCAAGTCGCAGACTACTTTCTTCGACACCGTGAAGTCTACTCTCGCTTCTCCCCTCTTCGCCGTCTCCCTAAAGCACAATGCTCCCGGTTCCTACGACTTCGGCTTCACCGACAAGTCCAAGTACACCGGATCCCTGACCTACGCTGATGTTGACAGCTCCCAGGGCTTCTGGAGCTTCACCGCTGATAGCTACAAGATCGGTTCCCAGTCTGGCAGCTCCATCCAAGGTATTGCTGACACCGGTACCACCCTCATGCTGCTTGACGATGAGGTCGTTTCCGCCTACTACAAGCAGGTCAGCGGTGCTTCTTCGGACTCTTCGGTTGGTGGTTACACCTTTGACTGCTCTGCTACTCTGCCCGACTTCACGGTTACCATCTCTGGCTATGATGCTGTTGTTTCGGGTGATCTGATCAACTACGCCCCCGTCTCCAAGGGTTCCTCCAAGTGCTTTGGTGGCATCCAGAGCAACTCTGGTCTGGGATTCTCTATCTTTGGTGATATCTTCCTGAAGAGCCAGTATGTTGTCTTCGACTCCAATGGCCCTCGCCTTGGTTTCGCTGCTCAGGCTTAAGTCCGCGCGGCCTCGATTGGATGATCTTCAACGTGGGTATTTTGTTCACTTTGAATTGAAGAATTGAATGATGAGTGTATTTGGTGGACGGCTAGCAGAGCTAGCTAGGAATAATTGGGGGAACTTGTTGAACATTTCACCCTGACTAAGTCTTGGACCCGGCTTGGTTTGTACATGGTGTCTATAATGCGTGCAGCACATAGTATATACTACGCATTCAAGTTTTCAATATTGCCTTTGATCTTTTGTAATCCCCAGGATTGTAGATCAATATGTGGAAAACATCCATGGATTTTGATGATGAGGTATGAAATTAGAATTGGATCATGCGAAACCAGCATACCAGGGGACTTTGGGGCATAGACAAAGATGTGACCAGAAGAACAAAAGAGGTACAAATCAAAGCTCAAGTTACTTGAGCACAAATATTTCCTAGAAATACTTGAAGTGAATGGGCGCGACTCTCTTTCGTGACTCGAATACCTCCCACTTTTCTCCTTCCTTTTCTTTCTTCTTTCTCCTTCAACCCACGCGACATATATGTATAGCGCGCGACAAGGCTGTGCATGCCCGAAAATATGACTCGGTTTTGCTTTACAACGAGCTCGAGAATTCTTTCGTTTCCCTTTCTAATGTCTTTTTCAAGCCTTGGAGGTTGGCGTTGGCGTTAGACAGGTAGTGGCTCGTGGACTAAATGTAACTAGACATATAGATATCTAGTAGAAGCTCTTGGGTCTGTTAATTCGCATGATGTAATCTGGTAGGTAAAGATGGTGGAATTTAAGTGCATGAACAGCCCCAGAGGTCTTAACTCGAGCTAGTATTCCGTGGTCTTTCCGATATGGTCCCAATTTCCCGCTATAGGATGCATCATGTAGTCGTTTCCAATTGTATATAGGCTGGAAGTTTCCATATTTACGGTTAAGCTCCATTGATTGAATCCACAGGTGAATTCAACCATTCTCGAGATTCAAGATTATAGGAAGAGGGATGGATATATATATAGAGAGAGACCAAGATCACCTGACAAAATCTGGATCGGTAATATTCAAGTATTGTATATGAGGTATTAATGTTGTTAATATTTCATACATGAAAGGAATCGGTCTAGATTTGTAGACGAATCGGCGATGGACTTGCAAAGAAGCACGTGCGCGGATTTCGATACGAAAATTGAGGAATGGCTATGTGCGGAGACACAGGCTGAGCGAGTGGAACCGGTGGCGGATCATCTCGACCCGCCCAATTCTCCAGACTCCTTCACGACCTTAATTCGTCCCGCAAATCAAAGGCACCCTGACACTCCATTCTCGAACAGGGCATATATAGTGTCTCCTCTGTCGAGCCGCTACGACCTTGTCTCGGCCTACATATCTCCGCCAGTCCGATCAGCCTCTGATTCCGACTCCCCTTTTCCGATCTCCGGCCCTGTACGCGCGGCTTTAGAACCCGAAAAATGGCCGTTTGAGGCACCTGATCCGAACACTTTGTGCCGAATTATTGACGGGAACCCTCGGGAAATTGCTATATGAGCTAGACCGGCAGGCTACTGGAGCCGCCAGGAGTGTCTTATCATGGACAATGATGCCCGGTTGACTCCCCGCCAGATCTGGGCGAATCCGACAACGACCTCGACTAAAACCTATTCGGCTGGATGTACGCCGTTTGTATTGCCTAGCGATGGTATGTGATTCATTTCTATTAAATGGAGGGCCCCTCTCAAACACTCACTGACCCCCGATGTTTGTGACTCGCAGGGATTATTCATGTGAACAAATCCTATGAATTGACACTCACCAATAACGCCGTGTTCGAGCCGACGTGCACTGGCGACCTCAGCGATTATGTTCACGTTGCCGCCGTTCTTGATACCCGCGATCCGTTTTATTCCTCCGTTACGCCACAGCTCTACGCCATCGGTTGCTGTACAGTCGTCAGTTATATTCTCGTTATCATTTTACTCATTACCCCGCGCACCTTCTTCGTCGGAGGCCCCGGTGGCGGCGGAGCGAATTTCCTTGGACGGCATAGCATGATCAGTAGGTCATATACCAGGAATTCATCGATTGTGGGTGTCGGCGGTCGGCCATGGCTGCAGAAAGTGGCGGCTTTTCTTGTTGCCATCTCGTTGACAATCGCCACGGTTGACTCCTTCAGAGTTGCCGAGGCCCAGTACGAATATGGATACTCGGATGCTGAGGCACTCTCCGAGGAGGTCATTGATGGGCTAGAGATTCGCATCGTGCGTGTCATTTCGCAAACTTTTCTCTGGTTGGCGCAGGTCCAGACTTTGATTCGACTGTTTCCGCGACATAAAGAAAAAGTCATGATCAAATGGGCTGGATTTGCCCTCATTGTTTTGGACACGATATTCAGTATTTTGGAAAGTTTCTTTTTCAAGAACAGTTCCACTCATCCAAGATTATACGATGATGCGATCCCGGCACTAAGCTACTTGTTTGAGCTAGCTCTCAATTTGCTATATGCCGCGTGGGTCATCTTCTACTCCATCTCGAAACATCGGTATGCCTTTTTCCATCCAAAGATGCGCAATATTTGTTTTGTGGCGCTTTTGTCACTATCTGCTGTTTTAATCCCAGTGGTGTTCTTTGTCATGGACATCGCAAAACCGGAGATCGCCGGCTGGGGTACCTACATCAGATGGGTTGGATCGGCAGCGGCCAGTGTGGTAGTATGGGAGTGGGTGGAGCGCATAGAAGCGCTTGAGCGCGATGAAACCAAAGATGGAATTCTTGGACGAGAAGTGTTTGATGGCGATGAGATGCTTGAGGTGACTCCCTCTGAAGAAGTTGATTGGCCACGATATCCGCCCAATGGTCAAGACAGAGGTGGTGGAAACGGCGCCTCTTCGGCATGGGGTGGAGTCAGAAATCTAGCCCATCGACCACTACGAACTCGAGTGGGAATCAACCGTGCAAATCGCAATCGTGGAGCTGGCGGATTCCCATCCACAAGTGGTGCCGCAGGATCAAGGCGCCAGGGCCATCGACCTACTCCACCTCCGGCAGTCATCACCCCGGTCAGTCGAGCTGACACCAGCAGTGCTCCCAGCACAGTATATAATGTTCGGTATCATCCAGTCGCCAGCCCTACACCACCCGTGGCGATGCCACACATGGAGGAAGAAGTGGAATTGGAAGAAGCGAAAGAAATGGAGATCGAGGGATATCCGGCACCAGACGACGTGGAAAATCAAGCCCCTGCCCCTGATAGCAGAGAGCAATCACCACAAATGGTCCAAGCCGACCCGCGATGGCGCAATCTCATCAATCATTTCAAACGAAGACGCGGTTCCCTCCCGAGGGAGGTCGCCTTTGCACAAGCTGGCGAGGAAACAAATGAAGGGGAGAAAGGCGATTCTGACTCCGTGGCCGATGATCATGAGCAAACTACCACTCAGGCGAGATCAAACAATAATTTCTTCTCACTTCATCGGCCGCGACTTTCCGGTCCCGGTTCACAATCTGCTGACGCCCCCTTGGCCGTCACAGTGATTCCCGCCCGTCGCCGTGGACAACAGACTTGGTCCCCTCAACCTCGGAATGGATTGCTGGAAACATCACCCAGTCAACATGAACAACAGCAACCCCGATCTGGCTACTCCAATTTACCAGTCAGGGTTATCCCTTCCCAACCACAGACGTCTGCACCATGGGACGATGCGGATCTGGAGAATGGAGGTGGGGATTATGTCCTCCGCTATGATCCCGAAGCTGCCGCTTTAGTCCATGAGCGTGTGAGCCATTCGCGAGAGGAGCCTGTTGTTGCTGACCGTGCTAGTTGGACAGCGACGACCGTCTCCGAGGTAGATTCACATCATGATGAGCCTCCAGGTCCACAGCATCACGATCATCATACATCCTCCTGATCATTTATGGTGTTTTTGAAAATTCTCGGTGATTTATTCTGGCATGGAGTTGAACATTAAGGACTTTGGGAGCATGGTTTGGGACTTTGCTCACCTTTGAATATACCCTGGGAACGTAAACATAATCTTTGACTTTGATTACCGCACATATTTAATATCACGTCCAATATCACGCATATTATTGACTAAGTTCAATGCATACGCATATTACTCCAGAAGTAGACCGCTCTTTTTGCGGATCGTACCAAATCTAGAGTCACGAGCATTGTATTTCTCTACAGCTAGAAATTTGTGAGAGATAATGCCGTCATTCGTAGCTGTTTTCAGGTATCAAGTTTTCGATCTATTAGCATCTTAGTATAGTAGATTTAATATAATGTTGCATTTGGAGAGCGGTGGTTGGTCCAAGTGGACCCCGACTTTTGATGCTCGGGAACTTTTTGCTCCGAGACTTGTACTTCCCCATACTTTTCTCACCAGTCCATGGCCTCTGTCCAGGTGTCGCATCATGGCGGCCGTCAATCAGAATATGTTCGATGCTAGCATCACCACGGATCGCCCCCGTGGCGCGTCGTTGATGGTGCTACCGCTGAACCTAATTGCCCAAATCGTCACTAATGTCAGCTTCCCCCCACACGTGAAAGCCCGAAATTACTGACGAGATGCGCAGGTCGAAGATACAAGCGACCTCGCCCGTTTATGTCGAACATGTCGCGTTCTCAACTACATGGCGCTGCCACAGCTATACCGAAGTCTGACGCTCACCTCCTACGACAAGATCCGTTATCGCGGCGACCAGCCTGAAGGAATCGGAAGTGCGAGTCCGTTCACTATGGGACTCAACGCAGTTATAACGCGCCCGTTTGCGACGCTTGTGCAGTCAATTACCTTGCGCGGAGACTGGAGGGAACATGATTTGGAAGAATATGCTCGAGTCGGCCGTGTGCCAGACTCGTCGATGTTGCTGAATATTGCGGTCCGGGCGGCGATAGACCGCACGACCGGTTTGGAGAGCTTCAGCTGGGAACTGAACACCAAAATGCTCGATACCGTGTACGCGGGCCTAACACAACTTCCTCGACTCCATTCTTTAACAATACGATTTCCCTCCACCCGCCACCCACAACCTACGCATGTCCTTCCGCCCATGCCGCATCTCCGCTCGCTAAAAATCACCGATATCGACCCTCTTTGCTACCCGGATGATATCGCGACCCTTCTTTGGAAGAGTAAAAAGTTGCGCGAGCTTAAGCTTCATTGGTCGCCCCGTATGCGGATTGCGCAAGAACCGAGTATTTCTCTGCACAGTTACTTCCGGAAAAGTATCGCAGCAAAACAACCGCTTGCTGTTAAAAAGCTTTGTTTCCAAAATTTATATGCTTTCCACAGTGAGGAATTCAACCTTGCATTCGACCCGACAACCGTAGAAGATGTCACGTTCCTGAGTGGGACGGATAGTTCCGGGTTGATGAATACATTCGTGGAGCAAAGCTGGCCGACGGTGCCACCGCATAAAAAATTGAGGATCAAGTCTATTCGGATGGATGCCATCTCAAAGCGAAATTCAGAGTTCCTGGGGAATTTCAAAGGACTCGAGCGAATGTACTTTGTGAATGTTACTTCTGAAAACCCCGACTGCCTCAACTCTCCTCGACTGACAGATGCGTCCGCTGCCTCAGCGCTCACACCCCCCGTGTCCGAGAATCCCCACGGTGCCAATGGCACAACAGCCGCTTCTCCTGCCACCCAGGCTTCTCCAGCCAGCCAACTGAATTTGGCGTTTGGCGGAAGGGATAGTTATCTGTCGACTGTTACGATGAATCATGGTGCAACACTGCGCCATCTACTACTCTGCTCGAAATGGCCTCTCTCCACTGCCATGGTTGCACGTCTTGTTCATAGCTGCCCAAATCTAGAGCAATTGGGCTTAGCAACGGACTTCTCAAGCATGGAATCTCTCGGCATGCTAGTTCCTTTCCTGCGAAAACTGGTAGCGCTTCGGCTTCTGATCCCTGCTGGATCACCAGCTCCTCAAAATGGTCCACCTCGGGGATCTCAGAATAGTCCGATAGACCCTACAGAGAATCCATTTCGGAAAGCCAAGAATTTCCATGCCAAGGCCTTTTCCCCCTCCGCGAAATGTGTGAAATTTGCCCCAGAAATCGAGGAACACATTAATAGTGCACGCAGTCTGGCAGACATTGTGGACCTAGATGACGAGACATTGATCGAGATGATGAGTTACGACTTAGCCGAAAAGAAGATTTTCGGTAATGTCAAGATTGTTGGAATGGGCTGGAAGGTCTTCCAGATGGGAGACTTCTACAAAGCCCCAATTCCTGTTTATTACGAAGATTCCGAAACTCCTATTGCCGGGACACCAGATGAGAACCTCTGCAATAACCGTCCCAATGGAGGCACTGGCACACCAGATCAACCAGCCTCAGCTTCAAAACCTACATCCCCTGCCCTCCCCTCTGAAGCTGTCGCTGCACCATCGTCCGCGTCTAGACCCCACCCGCCTTCATCCTTAGGGAAACGCACAAGAAACGAAGAAGAAAATGGATATGGGGATGCACAGTCATCACGACATCCATCTGAACTCCGTGAACTGCCGCCCCGAATACAAACGTGTCACAGCTTTCCCACCATGACCGAAGATGGCCAAATATGGAGACGCCGTTTGAAACGGGTAGGCTGGGACGTGGTCAAACATTGGGAGATCTGGGCGCTAGATGCACAAGAGATCTAATCCCGCCAGAAAAAGAATTACCAAAATCCTGTCTTGTCTTAGAATGCCTTTTACCATCTCTACTCTATTCATTTTTCATGTACATCGTCGTTATACATGGATGGCTCTGGCGATACAGGAGTTTGCAGGGCAATTGTTGTTGTTCGGGGCTTTTTTGGGTCTTTTTGCTGTCAAGTTGGCGAATACCGGAGTATATAGGCTTTGATGGGGATTGATTTTGCGGTCACCTAATGGTCAGCGTGGACCTTTGGTTATCATAGGTCTATGCTTTGATTTGAGTCGGAACAGTCTATAGATACCTTCAATCTCAAGTTGTTAATGCCGCTAGATGAGCCTTGCTGTCTATACCCCTTGGCCTCGTCAATCACAGTACAAATACATCAAAATAAGATCAAAAAAATTGCCAATTGATCACCAAACTCATCCAATCACTCGCAGATATGACGCAAGGGCGTTGTGTATGACTAGCAAACATGTCATTTATATCAAGCTGGCTGTTTCAAAATAGACAGAATACAAAATGATAGGCGAGTAAGATCAATGAAAGGCTGAGGAATTAGAATAGCTGTTTATATAGAGTAAACGGACATACCTGTACGGATTTGCTGTGGTTCGTCCAATGCGCGGAGGATGAGTGGAGAAGGCAGTCTTGAGGCTTGAGATTTTTTCAAAACAATTTATCTTATCTGCGGGCAGCAGGTACTCCGTAGACAACCTCTGGAAAAGAGTCGGAGTTAAGAGAATCTTAGAATAACAGAATCGAAAAAGAAAGAAGTACGGATCCACATTGCTTAATCTTTTGGCCAACCAGCTGCTAATTCGATGTAGCTCGACCGCCACCTCGGAATTGATCCCCAATTTCGGGGTTTTTTCCTCATGGGGGCTGGATTCCACAGAGACTAAGTCCGTATTCTCACGTGTTTCAAATGAAGGGCTGCTTTGATTGGGCTCTTATGGAGGCATCGAAGTGGATTTTTGGCCTTTTTGGCTCTCTTAGACGCCTTATATGTTATACCACGAAGTATATGGGCAGTTGCAGAGACTGTAAGATTGAAGTGACACGCCTCGCCATGTGTTCACACAGTATAGCTTGTTTGCTTATCAATGTGAGAATCCAGCGCATCTAATAGCTTCACAAGATAAGCTCAAAGGATCGATTGTACGATAATCTAAGTCGCCAAGAGGGGGAATTCCGGTGTAGAAGCCCTCTGGCATCTTTAAGATGTCCTGGCTAATCCCGGACTGCGCCGGTGTACATCCTTAAGCTTCCCTTTAATTCATTTATTTTCTGTTAAACGGTTGAAGCCAGGATGTCTCACAGTAAGAACTAAACCGCTCAAGCGTGTTTCAGGACGCATTTGAAGCCCTAAGAGACGACACCTGAGATATTCCTCATCACGAGCATTTCAAGCTCGGCTAAATCATCAAAGCTCTTGAAAAACAACACTGGATCGACCCTGCATTGGCACGGGGTATTAAGTTTAAGTTGAATTAACCGACTGAAGAAAGCACCCCGCATTCCCAAGGAAGTTCGAACGCCTTGGCGCAGTCACCAACATGCAGCAAATCCACCAGTCGGCGGCTCTGTTTCAGCCCCGACGCCATCGTCGGATGTAATGCACTTGTCGAGGACGAACCCCACATGCGGATTCACTCATTTGGGTCCTGAGTGAACCCTTTGGGACAAGGCCGATCACCCGTTTCGTGACATGCCAAGGATTCTATTTCCACGAATGAGTCCCTATCCGATGCTGACGCAAAATTGGTCGGAGCTAGTGTAGATAAATAGCCCGAGCTGCCCTATGCCTCAATTTTGTGTCTCGAGACGCATCCAAATTCTTTTCTTTCACAGCAAGTAAAATGGCTTCTCGGCATTTGGCTCTCCCGGTGGCGCTGTTCACGGCATTGGTGCATGGATATGCAAGCCCCGGTGCATGCTCAGGACAGTGCGTTGTTTCTGATCCGACGCTGATCCAGAGATCTTCGGATAGCAAGTATTTCCGCTTCTCTACGGGAAATAAGATCTCGTATGCTAGTTCGTCTAGCATTGCCGGACCGTGGACCAATATTGGATCCATGCTACCTGATGGATCATCTATTGATCTGGATGGCAACACTGATCTTTGGGTGGGTTGATTCAGACCTCTAACTTCCTTCAATGCCAGGATCTGACTGATGGTTTACTTGTACTGATAGGCTCCTGATGTTCACATCGTCGACGATCTCTACTACGTCTACTATGCCGTCTCAACATTTGGTTCGCAAAACTCGGCTATCGGTCTAGCAACATCGAAGACTATGGAGTCAGGTTCCTGGACTGATCACGGATCTGTTGGCGTTGCTTCTTCCTCGTCGAAGTCATACAATGCCATTGATCCTAACCTGATCGACGTTGACGGTACCTACTACATGAACTTTGGCTCTTTCTGGAACGATATCTACCAGGTCCCGATGAATTCTGCTGCAACCAAGGCATCGGGGTCTTCGTACAACATGGCCTACACCTCGTCTGGTACTCATGCTGAGGAGGGTGCATACATGTACAAGTACGGTAGCTACTACTACCTGTTCTACTCTGCCGGTATCTGCTGCGGCTATGATACTTCGATGCCCGCGAGCGGAGCAGAGTACAAGATCAAAGTTTGCCGTTCGACTTCGCCGACTAGTGGATTTGTGGGTTCTCCTTTATATGCAGTTAATGTGTCTGTTGTTAATTCATCAATTAGGTTGACAAGTCTGGTACCGCCTGTACTAGCGGTGGTGGTACCGTTGTGTTGGAGAGCCACGGTACTACTTACGGACCTGGTGGACAGTGAGTTTTTTCCCCGAAAGATTCTCGCTACTAGTACTAACGATAAATAGAGGTGTTTACGATGATCCCACTTACGGACCTGTGCTTTACTACCACTACATCAACACCGATATTGGATACGCCGATAGTGATAAGCAATTCGGATGGAATGCCATTGACTTCTCTAGTGGATGGCCTGTGGTGTAAGGGATGAGCACATGGGGCTTCGTATCTGCTCGGGTGTTAATACCTGGCATGTTTTATTATCTGCTTATGCTTGAGTCAATTTATATCCATCAATCGTGACTCAAGATCTTCGATCACGGGATTCAAAGTCTTAGGTGTTAGAAACGTCAACACCATGTTTGTATATTGGACTTACATCAGTGCATAAATTTAGACTTTGGCGATAATTCACTCCCTGCATTGTCCTGGGCATAACACATTTATCATCAAGATTGGGACGTTTTTATTTCGATTTTGCGGAATAGGACCGGGATTCGAAGGTCTACATCGTCTAATGAGACAGACTCGGAGAAGACCCTTTAGGTATATAGGGCCGATAGTATACTTATTACGTACTATGCCAAGGTTACCCGATTGCATCTTCGATTAATACGAATACGAATGTCTAATTGAGCAGCAACTAGTGAGAAATGAATAGGTTTTGTCATTGATGTTTACCTGGTAAGCCTAGCCGTTATATACACCAATGCCGCATTATCCCAGTGACAACGACCAAGCGCTGTATTTGACAATCACTGGACCAAAAGACTCTTGCTGCAGGTTTAGTGGGCTCTTCGGCGGAAGCCACCAGCACCCGACGGACCAAATCCAGTAGCACCAGGAGCGCCACCATCAGAACCAGTAGGGGAGCCGCCAAAATCTCCTCCAGAACCAGAGCCACTAACATCATCAGTACCACCACCAGATTCAGCAACGCCACCACTAAGATTCCACCGGAATAAGATTTAACAGAATTTCACATCATCAATCCAGGGCCAAGAAGGAATATTGATTTCCATCCAGTCTCCAGATGGCCCAGAGGGACGTGCAGATCCAGATGGGGCCGTTGGTGGCCCTTGAAAGGAGATTTGCCGGAGATTCAAAGAAGGCCGTTGGAGTAATGATAGATCAAGTACGGAATTCACTACTGTTGTCGAGAACCTTGGTCTGGTAGATAGGGATCAACGGCTATACGAGCGAGTACGACCTGGGTCACAATTTACATTTTAGGATAACATAGCCATAGATACAGTTACCACGAGTCGATATTCAATAAAAAAGGCAGTGGTCTTAAGTTCATGGGCCCAGGTTTGAAAGGTCCAAATAGTCAAGGGGGGAAAAGCCAACAGGACATTGTGACGACCAGGCCCTAATCCCCTAGTTGGCATAAACAGTCAAGCGTTGAAACTCATAACTGACGCCGATGTGCAATGTAAATCAGAAGGGCAATAAAAACATAGAAAACATGCCAAGAACTCCAGGTTCCATTCCGGCAACTTTGCTCTTGAAGCATTGAAGGGAAGTCACGGAGGCAAGAAGAAAAAAGAGATGTGCACGTTCTAATCGTTTGCTCACGGCGTCTTCAGAACTGCAGTTGCAGTCCGTATTATCTTAATCAGTGAGCTCCTCAAGTATTGGTTCAGACCCGGGTTTTTGGTCTTGGCTTGACTTCCGGGGAATGTCTAGACCGGCCTGCTCTGCAAGCTCCTGGTTATTGCTTTCTTGGCTTGCAATGTTCTTCTGTGCATCCTCCACAATTTTGTCGGCTTCACTCATGCCGCGTGAGGCTGGGTCGCCATCCACGCCAATATGCTCGGATTTTTTGTTCACCACATCCTTTACGCGGTTGGAGTCGAGTCGGATCACCATGCAGGACAGGTTGTCGGTACTGAAACGTGCGAGTGCGTGTTCGACCAGGAGCTTCGAGGCACGCTGTGCGTCTTGAGTATTTCTGATAAGATCGACGGCCTCTTGGTCGGTGCAGACATCCCATAGCTAGAAAAAGTGTTAGTTGACTGAAACATAAAATATTTTGATGGTGGGCGTCAAACTCACTCCATCGCAGGCAAGAATGATAAATTCATCCGCATCGGGCTGGATGACAGTCTCAGTGGTGTAGGGGTGCCCTGTCACCAAGTCTTTGAGATAAGCGTCGCCCAGAGCTCGGGTGACCGCTAGCACGCCATTGACACGGTTGTTAAGGATCAGACCACCGGCATTGGCAATGCGCTTGCCTTCATTCTCATCGCTTCCCTTGTGGTCATACGATAAACGAAGAGCTTTCCCGTTGCGACACAACACGATTCGTGCATCGCCCACGTTGGCCGTGTACAAGACCCGCTGGCGAACGGCGTTTTCTTGTAACTTGGGAAGGGCCGATCCTCCCATCGGCGTGTCTTGGGTCGGCGTTTCAGCAGCCTCCGAACTATCGTTTTTACTCGCAGACGCAGCGGCCGGGGCAAGAGCGGCTGAACCGGTGGCCGAGTGTGAGCTCGGCACGCGGTCCTCCCAGCGAAGCACAGCGGTCACTGCAGTACACCCACTGTTCTTGACTGGTAGTTTTTCCAGCTGTTGATCAACACTTGTGAAGGTTTGATCGAGAAGCTCAGGGACAGGTGCGTTAGGACTTTTCCGCATAATCTCCTCAAGGATCAAATGCAGCTTCTTGCCACACCACTCCGCCGCAAAGGTACCAGCATGCCCGTCGAATATAGCAAAGTAGCCATTGTCTGTTTCTACCACGTTTGACAGCTCTCCCGAGCGGGAGTCACGGGGGGGAGAGGTGCCATCTAAGTCGGGCGATGCATTCGGGGCCGGGGTGCCTAGGAAGTTGTACAGGTATGCATGCGTATCTTCCATAGTCCGACGACATTTTCTATTCCGGTCTTCTGTGACGCCGACTCGGAAGGATGATTTTGCGGTAGGGCCTGATTCACCTGCGGAGTTATTGTACGACCCTTGGGGAACACTCAAGGCTGGATCCATCTTCCCAAGCCTCTGTAGCGGGCTGTCTGAACTTTGCGGACTGCTACTAATGCCCGAATATTCCTTCACGTTTGAGTTGCCCCCGTTAAGACTCAAAGAGTTCCGGGCGTTGCTGAAAAAGCTAGCAGCCTTGTTGACAGTGCTACTGCGACGACGCTTGTCCTTGTCAGCCGCGGGGGCCTGATCGTCGCTCTGTCGGCGAGTGAAAAATCCGTTGCTAGGCGGCGAGAACCTCTTGTCTCGAGGACTAGCGTTTTCCGGCTGGAGGCTCGCGTCGTTGTAGGACCCCGGGATCGGGGTCGGTTCTGTTTTGTCTTTGGGTGGGCTCGAGGCGCCACTGAACATTCTGTTCAGCAACCCACCCTGCGAAGAAAAGCTGCGACGCTTGTTTCCTGCCAGCTTGGAGGGATCCTTGGATGACACAAGGAATGCGGGAAATGGGCGGGTTTGAAGATGATCGGAGGGTGAATGATGGGGGATTCGGTGATCTGACGTAGTGTGTCCACTCGAGTAGAAAAGCACTGGCTGAGTATCCAGAAGCATGTTAGTTTAATATTCGACAAGCCCAACAATACAATATCAAGTCCAAACACGCATGACAGCAAGAACGAGGCATGAGGCAGGTGGCAGAGGCAATCAAGTGATGTTTCGCGGTTTTGAACATGATCAATGGAGGGGGGGCCAGAGGCGAGTGACCTCCAACATTGTATGGGGGCGGGCGGGCAGTAGGATGAAACAGCGCGAGAGCCATTGTATAAATAGATGAAAGGGAAGGTAGAATGAGATGAAGCTATCGCGAAAATAATACCAAATCAACGCGATCTTGATCACTCTTTAGGTTGCGCGACTGATCGATCTCTCGGAGCGTGGCCCAACCCCACCCGACGGAACCTCCGGGGGTGACAATGCAAATGAAGGGGAGGGTCAAGGATAACGTACAGGATGAATGAGTATGGAGCGGATGGCTTGAGTAACAGAAGGATCAGAAGGATCGATGATGGAAGAATGAGAGAGGAAAGTGAGTGATGCGATCCGGATGGGGAATACGATCCTAACTCCGCCCCGTGGAGCCAAGAACGGAGGAGTGGAGCTATTCAATGCTGGAGAACGTCACTATGGTAAAGGTCCCTTTCTAGGACGCTGGAACTTCGGAATACCTCGAACTAACAACCTTCTTGAACCTCTCCATACGAAATGCGTTGTATTTACTGCATTCGCTGTGTTTCGGTGCTTGACCTGCGGATCGGGCGATCCCCGTCCCCCTGCATATGGATCTTACGTGGAGTATCTAATCAATTATTGGGACTAGATTTCCTATTTATCAATCCTCTCTACTGAAACCTCGGCTTCCTTGCTTTCAAATGTAAATAAAATCATATATGGGGTTCTTTTCGATAATTAACGTGATCAGAGGCTTAGGGTACTACCAGATGCATGTTGAGATTGCCTTTTGCATATGCTGGCATAGGTCAGTGCAGGAAATCGGTAAGTGAACATTGGATGAACATCCCATTAACGGTATGAGGCAAGGCTTAGTATTGGAATCCAGAATATATTATCCAGGAAATGCTCAAGTGACTTCTTAATCCCCTTTACACCCACGAATTGGGTATATGGAATCCAGAAAAGTGTGACCAGAGCCAGCATTTTTTACGGTCATAGATATTTGCTTGAAAGACAATTATATCTACAAGATTCACTCGGTAGAATTCTATTATTATTCCCAATTCAAGGTTCTAATACTACTTGATAGAGATAAAGATTCCAAACGGATTCATTACTAGGTGTTTTCGCACTTGTTCAGACTCTTTATAGTACCTGGAGCACCTGGTTTGTATAACTATGTCCACTTTTTCATGTTCCCCAGAAACGCCATGCTGTTACTCAATTAAGCATTGACCTTGTACATACAAGCCCGATTGTATCCCCTGCGCCAAGAGAAAAGACAAAGAAACTACCATGAACTAAAGTCTCCAAAGCCACCTGTACCTTTCACCTTCTTACGAGCAGGTTCCGGAACAGGCTCTTCATCAACAAATTCAACAATCTCATCTTCTTCTCCACGGTCGGCCAGGGCAGCCTGGAGATACTTTCCAACTCCGCTGGGAGCACTCTCGTTCGGTTGAGCACCAGGGCCACGCACTCGCTTTCCTGTCCAAGTCATGCGCTCGTCGTCCACACGACGAGTAGTTTCATCCTCTTCCATGGTAGGAGTACCATTTTTGGCCTCCTCTGCACGCTTCTGGTTGAGGAAATCCTCGAATGGATCCACAAACACGGTGACTTCCTTGATACGAATTTCCGGGATAGGTCGGTTAGTATTTGCTTCCACCGGGTGGGTTTCAAGGGCGTTGAGCGTAGTAGATGACGGCGTGGGATCATCGATGAGCCGGCCAAAGACAGTATGCTTGCGATCAAGGTGAGGCAGGGCTCGGTACGCAAAGAAAAACTGACTGCTGTTGGTATTTTTACCCTTGTTGGCCATGCTCAAGGTGCCTCGCGCGTCGTGCTTCAATGGCCCATCGAACTCATCAGAAAAGTATTTGCCCCAGACACTCTCGCCGCCTCGGCCAGTGCCCGTAGGATCACCGCCTTGGAGCATGAAGCCTTTAATGTTCCGATGGAAGGTGACATCCTTGTAGTAACCCTTCTTGGCAAGCTGGATGAAATTCCACACGGCCTTCGGGGCATATTCGGGGTACAGCTCCAAATTCAAATGACCTGCAGTGGTCACAATGCGGGCATAACCCTTACCCTTTACTCGACCCCGCTTCAGCATGTACTCCTCCTCAGATAGAAGTGCTAGCTCCGCTGAGGTATGAGGAGTCAGTCCAGTGCTGGTGAAAGAGGCTGCAGCTTTGCCAGTAGTAAACCGTGCGGCGTTGTAGGGTGTAGGCTTTCCAGGTTGAGAGGCTCCCGGTTTGGTGGCCGAAGTCACAGCCCCTGTCTTGGAGTGTGCTTTTGAACCAGCAGAGCTAGCCTCCTTCTCTGCTCGGTCCGCACGCGCTTTTGCGACAGCTTCCTTGGCTTTCAAGATCTTTGCCGAACTTCCCAGCGCATTGGTATTGACACTAGCGGAGGCCTGTTGCTCCTCCAGAAATTCCGTCTGGCCCTCTTTCAGGTAATTGAACGAGCTAAGATCACGAGATTCGATATTTTGTGGATCTTGTAAGGTGATGATGTCTTTGCGGCTGAACTCTTCGTCGGTAACAAGATCGCGCCAGAGCTTCCCCTTGATATTGAGGCGTTCGACAGTGTCCCAGGAGAACACATTTCCCGTATTCCGTAGCGCGACAATATGGGTATTATCCGTTAGGACCTTATACGTCACCGGATCAACGTACTCGCCCTCCTCATTCTTCGCGATCGTAAGCTTGACGAGATCGGAGCTCTTCAGCGGCGACCCATCGACTGGGTTTGTCCCGTGCTTCTTGATCCATGGGAGAATATTGGTCAGGTCAAAAATGACACCTTTGTGTGTGCAAACCGGGTGGGCGAAGGGCTGGAGTGACAGGGAACAGAAATTGAACGGGAGGCGCTTGAATGCTGCATGAGGTCCACCACGTCTAGCCTTGCCAACACCAGCGCCCGCACTGGCTGAGAAGGCATCCTCCGAAGCCCATTCGGAGTGTGTGATCTATAATAATTTAAGAATTAGCTGTCATTCGAGAATACGATCGCGGGGATATTCCTCGGGATCGAGAATTTGTAGACATACGTAAAGCTTATCCGTTCCTAGGCGCGGTCATATTAGACTCTGGTCACAAATATTTGGTTTCGAGTGTATCAAGGCTTACCTTTTCCCATGATGGACGAAGTTCAATGTTGTCTCGCGCTTGATTGCAAGTCGAAAGATCGCGAGAATGACGCAGGAGGAACTAACTGTTCTGGGATTAGTGTCCCCGATATCATTGACACCTGAAAATAATGGTTTGCTTATCACGATAGCGCGCGTCTCTCCCCACGCGTTGTAAAAAAAGAAACTATATTGACCCGCACTTTTTCTAGTCTTTCATTCTTCCCTTGGGACTCCTGTTAATGCATGCTGTCAGAGCAAGGATCCGGCCAACAATTGTTCGAATCTTTCCCGCCAATTACTCACCCAATTCCTCTGGGTCCTTGAAGGTTGCCTATTCATCAGCACCACGACCTGTGTCGGAGGAAAGCGCGATGTTCAAGAAAGCTGTCAATGACCACACGGGAGGGACAACCTCCAAGCCCCTTCAATCCACTCTCCAATGTACCAATTCAACCGTTTCATCAATACCTCCCCCTCCTCCCCAATCAGCGGGTGTCAAACGAAAAATCGAGATGACCAATGGTGGAGGGTCGACTCTCGGCTCTCTCCACAGCACCGTTTATTTTGACGAAAACGATTTCGACGATGACTTGGATCTAGATGATCTCGACGATCCGCTTCCGTTTCCTGCGCCGATAACAACATCTTCAAGGCCAGGCCCTGTCACTTATCCCAAAATCCAGTCGGCACCAACCGTAGACAGCAAAGCACTGCCAGATGTCACATACCCCGAGCTACCACCCGCATCCCAGGACCATGCCCCACCATCGAGTAGTGTCCAGATTCCATGGTCATCCTCACCCCCATCACATTTCCAACCGCCTTCCAAGGTGCGCCCTTTGCCGTGGCTACAAGGCAGAAAGGAGCCAAGCAACGATAATAAGAACAGTCTCATCACCCCTAAGCGTACGAAGCCTACAGATATTTGGAACAAGAGTGCCAGCGCCATCAAGGAGGAGCAGAAGGAGTTAAGACGGGAATATAAGAAAACCCAAAAAGAAACAACGCAAGATTTGGCATCTCAGAACTCGTCAAGCAACAACAAGTCTCTCTCTATTTTCCTCAGCGACGAACAAAATTCCGTGCTTGAGGCCGTTGTTGAGCGCGGCAAAAGTATCTTCTTCACCGGCTCGGCAGGTACTGGAAAATCGGTACTTATGAGAGAAATCATCAAGAAGCTGCGTCAAAAATACAAAAGAGAACCGGATCGTGTTGCGGTGACCGCCTCGACTGGACTCGCTGCCTGTAACATCGGGGGTGTCACAGTTCACAGTTTTGCTGGTATTGGACTGGGAAAAGAGCCTGTACCAGAATTGGTCAAAAAGGTAGGTACCCAACTTCTTGCTTGCAGAAGCGGCGTATTGGTGTTGACAAGTCGAAGATCAAGAAACAACAGAAGGCACGGAATCGCTGGCTGCGCACAAAGGTCCTCATTATCGATGAGGTGTCAATGGTTGATGGTGACCTGTTCGATAAGCTCGAAGAAATTGCCCGACTCATCCGAAACAATGGTCGTCCATTTGGAGGGATCCAGCTGGTGGTAACTGGTGATTTCTTTCAACTGCCTCCGGTGCCAGAGAAAGGCCAAGATGCAAAGTTCTCCTTTGCTGCGGCAACCTGGAATACAACCATCCAGCATACTATTCTTCTAACTCATGTCTTCCGTCAACGCGATCCGGAGTTTGCGGCGATGCTGAATGAAATGCGACTGGGTAAAATCAGCCCTGCGACAATTGATGCTTTCCGAAAACTCTCCCGGCCTCTCAACTTTCATGATGAGCTTGACGCGACTGAATTGTATGATCTGTATCTCTTCAGTTCATTTTGCTTTTTGACTAACGGTTTAATAGATTCCCCACTCGCCAAGAAGTCGAGAATGCCAATTCTGCGCGCATGGCCAGGCTGTCTGGTGAAATGATGACATTCACCTGCGTTGACAGTGGGACTATTAAAGAGCCAGCATGGCGCGACAAGTTGTTGGCTAATTGCATGGCTCCGCCAGTCATCAATCTCAAAAAGGGCGCTCAAGTCATGTTGATCAAGAACATGGAAGATACCCTGGTGAACGGATCTATTGGCCGAGTAGTAGCCTTCATGGATGAGGCAAGCTTCGACTACTACCGTACCAATGAGGACGAATTCCATCCCGGTGGGGACACTATTGGCGACGAAGAAGATAGTGCCGCTCGTGCACGAAAAAAGCTCAAGGCCATGGCCCACAAGGAAGGTGGCCCAGCCGCAATCACGCGAAAATGGCCTCTAGTGTGTTTTTCCCAACCCGATGGCACAGAAAGGCACCTGTTGTGCCAGCCCGAGGCATGGAAAATCGAACTTCCCAACGGTGAAGTGCAAGCTCAACGTCAGCAAGTGCCCTTGATTCTGGCGTGGGCTCTCTCCATTCACAAGGCTCAAGGTCAGACGCTACAGCGAGTTAAAGTTGACCTAGGCCGGGTCTTTGAAAAAGGACAGGCTTATGTAGCTCTGAGTCGAGCAACTTCTCAGGCCGGTTTACAGGTCACTCGTTTTGATCCACGCAAAGTAATGGTCCACCACAAAGTGGTCGAATTTTACGATAACCTTGTTTCGATTTCCTCGGTGCTCGGGCCGAAGGCTAAGAAGACCAAATCTTCGAAACCCGCCGAGGAGTTCGATGATGACTGTTTTGAGGTATAACTAGATGTACCGGGCCGAAGAATTCCATATGCAGGTATCAATGTACAGTACCATGGTGTTATCCTTGCTGGGCCATATGAGTCAATTAATGAACCATTTACTAACTTCCTGGTAACTTTTCGTGCTCGTGCATAATTGCTGCCAATGTCTATGAATTTCTGCCATGGGAGGTTAGGCAAAGACGGCGACTCCAAAAATGGCTTGGATGTATTCTCTTGATTTTCGGCTACTCGTGATGATTAGCAGCTACCGGGAAATACGAGATCCAACCCTTGGGAGAATCTAGGGCAATTTGCCATGCTTATTACATGGTGGAATCGTCGTAAGTGGTAGATGGCGTTAGCATAGTAGTACTTTGTAGCCCTAAATAATGGGGTCAAACTTGCATCCCCCACACCGAGTGCTTATCGATAAGTAATCGCACGTGACCCTTTCGGTCCGTGAAGCTGCCTGAGCTTTCTTCTCCAACCGCAACCCCTCGCTCTTCTCACCCAACAATCAGACTAAACTGCCCACATAACCTGATGATCCAATTGTGAGCGCATCACACTTGCGACATTAAGTGACCATGGCTTCTGAGTTCATTGGCTACTCCGTGATCGTGAGCCTGCGAGAACCACCTGGCGGGAAGCTCCAGGGCCAGGTTGCTAATGTGGTTGGACAAAACTTGCTTCTCCAAAACGGTATGACTTGAGTTATGATCTTCTCATTTGAGAATACTTGACTGACAGCTTTTCTCACAGTGACGCTTCTGTGGAATGGCCAACGTCTCCCCAGCTATTCCGTGGATGCCTCCGGAATCACCGACCTCTCTCTGCAAGAAAACAAACCACCTCTGTCGCAGCCACATAATGTGTCGCATGAAACTCCCAAGGCTCAGTCTGCTCAATTCAAAGCCCCTCCACAACAAAATTTTGTCGACCCGGCTATCCTAAGCTACTCTAAACCCCCTACCAAACCCGCCAACCCTCTCACCCAATCTCACCCGGTCCCACATGTTATTAGTCAAGCGCCTGCCCCAGTTGCGGCATCTTTGTCTGAGCCATTCAGCAACCTTGAACTGAATGTCAACACTGGCAATGGTGGGTTGCGAGGATCCTCGCAAGAGACAGATTTTCAGGCTGCACAGAACTTAACCCCAACCAAGCAATCCTCCAAGCGCAGCAGGGTTGGTAATGATGGTGGATATGTAGGTAAACATGGCGGTGGTGGCGCAAGCACCAATCCAAAAAGCAAAGGCTGGCGTCAGACTGCGTTTGTGGAGCCCGTAGGGCCGGCTGCCCAAGCATCCCCCGAGCATATCGTGCGGCAGCCGGGCGCCAAGCTTCGCAAGAAGAAGACGCGCCGCGCATACGCCGAAGATCATAGTGGCTGGGCCACCGAGGATGCAACCGACATTCAGGAGCTGGGTGACTTCGATTTCGAAAGCAACCTCTCCAAATTTGATAAGCGGCGGGTGTTTGAAGAGATCCGAAATGACGACACCACTGCGGATGAGGCCCGTCTAGTGAGCTTCAACCGTGTACCCAAGCCTGGTACCAATGACGGCAAGAACCTTCACTGGTCGGAGAATGTGCTTGATAGCCCGCAAAACAGTGATACCGAGGATGTCGAGGGCATAAGTGATGCCAGACATAGTAGTGAGAATATCTCCGGGCGTGACCGATCCAGAGCAACTGGACGGATCCAAACCTCTCGCAAGGGTAGCGCTATAATGAGCCAGCCTGTGATGCCGCAGATCAACGTCCTTGGTCGCAGCCAATTAAATACCTCTCGCACCACAAGCCCTCACCCGGGTCGGTCATCTGTGTCTCCTATGGTCGGCTCCAATTCATCCAATGCATCCCTGAGATTGACCACTACCAATCGCAGCTGCCCAACTGTGAGCCCCTTGCAAACACTTGAAGTTGAGCAGATTGCCGTAGCTGAGTTTGGTTTGAGTGAAGACATCATTACGGAGAATGCTGGCCGAGGAATTGCCGAGGCCGCAGTCGCTCTCTTGTCTAGCGATGCCGCTGCGCCGACTATATTGATCATTACAGGTAACCACCGCACGGGCGCCCGGGCTATCGCTGCTGCGCGTCACCTGCGCAACCGTGGTCACCGGGTGACTGTCTGCCTTCTAGGCCTTGAATATGAGAGTGAATTGCTGGAAAACTGCCGCAAGCAACTGGATATTTTCCGGAAGATAGGAGGTCGCGTATCAAAGTGGGAGGACCTATCAGCTCGTTTATCTACTTCTGACCTGAGTCCCGATTTGGTGATCGATGCCTTGTTTGGCATGCACCTTGCTTTTGATGACCTCCGAACCGATGATCAGGGTGTTGCCTTTGAGATGATCTCATGGGTGAACCGAAGCAATATAGAGGTGCTTTCAGTCGACATTCCGTCAGGCATGTCAGCCTCGAATGGTATGTTTCCCACTTATCAATAATTGTCTTCTATAGGATCCCACTAACACACCATACAGGTGATATCACTACGGTTGACGGTGGACAGCTCTGTATCAATGGCTCGTCGGTCGTCTGTCTTGGTGCACCAAAGACTGGAGTTCTCAACGCTCTACTTTCTGGTGATGGCCAGTCGTGGAACCTAAGTGTTGCTGACATCGGTATCCCTCAGATCGTCTGGCGAAAGTACGGCACTCGTCGTCGACATGGTATCGATTTTGGCAACCGCTGGGTGGTGACGCTGAGATACCAGCCTGCAATTGCTTGAGTGGGTGCTATGTGGACTTCATTCATTATGAACAGAAAATCATTCCTGGCGTTTACATTATCAAAAGGATTAGGCAAGGCTCAACTGTATATTATTATATCATTAGCGAATTCTCTCGGACTTGAATCCTCAAATGCAAAAATTAATCAAAAACAACAGAGGATCTTCAGCTTATTAGTGTTAATTACCACGCTAGATACTTTCCATGGGCTACGCGGCACATAAATTAACATGAAATAGGGCTTGTGTATCCCAAGTATCGCAGGCAGTAATAGCCAATGAAATATCATGATACGCTAAGAATACCCAGGCAACTATAAGAGACAACGCAGAGGCCGACGCTAAAAATCAGGCCGCAGTGTAAACCCCGTAACAGAGGGCATATAGTAGGAAAAGTAAAATGTCAAGAGATGCGAAGAAAGGGTCGTTCATCATCGTCGAAGGCTGTCCAGCCTAGCTTGAAGATCGTCATCATCCGCGTGGCCTCCACCACCAACAGCTTGTGCAACGCGGGTCTCCCCGACTGATTCCTTTTGTATACTGGAGGGTGTCTCACCGAGCTGTTTATTAGACTTGTCAGTATATCCGCGCCCGTCCGATCGTCTGCGATAAGGGACACAAACCGATTGGCCCAGGTCAACACCAATTTCATCCAAAACCTCCTTAACAATGTCCTCACCCTCCTCTTCTTCGCCCTCCATACCCGTTGCTTCGTCAATCGCATCGTCCATCATCTCTTGTCGCTCGTCCATGACCTCGTTCTCACGCTCGAACTCCATTGCAATGCGCTGCAATGCCGGGAGGTTCATCTGTCTATTCATGCTGCCGAGAAGCATCGTAGCTCCCTTCATGGATTGCATCATTTGTTCATTGCTCCGGACCGTCTAGCAAGGTATGAGTGTAAGCATCATTTGGAGGCCTATGGAGGGGGCGGGGTTATGTAGATCTGCCGTACCTGAATGCGCAAAGAGATGGCCTGTAATTGTGTGCGCATCTGATAAAACTTCTGGATGTATCTGTTTTGCCTCTATCAGTCAACGCCCTACAAGAATGAATGTCGGCAAAAGGAGATTGGCGTCACCACGCACCGTCGTGTTCGAACCAGATCCTTGGCTTGGATCTTGCATGCACTGATTTGACCATTCTTAGCGCTCTTCTTGATATCCTGCACCAATTTCTTCTCCTGATTCTCGAGCTTGGTCCGTTCTCGGTCGAGCTCGCGCTGTGTTCGGTCCAGGGCACGTTGGTGTTTGCGCAGACGCTCTGCGGGCGTCATGCGCTTACCAAACGCCCACTCGATAACCTGGGAGGTAGGTGAGCGGTATATACGGTATCCAAAAAATCATGGTCACATACGTTCATGATGAGGTCTGGACCAGTGATCTCAGAAGAAGTGATTCAGAGGGAAGATGACCGAGGGGAGGCTGCGCAGGTGTATTGGTCCTCTAGGCACTAGTTAATCGGTGACATCAATCATGTAAGATACCGTTCTCCGATAAAGTCGTAAGTTACGGGTCACATGCACGCCCTAAACCCTTTCAGGCACAAACGTCACCTTAACCTTGGAATTTGATTATTCATGGACATTTTCTTGCTTCTTTAAACAAACAAATACCCTCGGATGGCTCTTCCACACACCCCTTTTTCGTCATGAGTCAGGATTACTTCCCCGGCGAGGGCTCCTCCAGGTCCGCCTCGTCTCGCTTTGCTGGTGAAGAAGAGGAACGAAGTCCTTTTTCTCCCCAAGCCCCACCGGCTTATATGACCGTCGGCAATGGTTCGACCTCGGAAAGTGCAACCGCTTTGATGTCTTCCCTGGCCCATGATTCAGGCTATGGAGGCAGTATCGCGGGTGAGAGTGCTGCAGAGGCTGATTCGAGCTCGGCTTGGCGTGCCGGTTTATTGGAGGACCGACCAACCCCGATTCATACTCCCACGCGTCCTGGCGAGTACAATCCGGCTGGTAAGTAATGCGTAAAAGTATCATGGTGTTTAAGTGGAAATATAGTTGGCTAACGTAGCTCTTGTCGAACAGCCGAGCACGAGAAACAAGTCGTCGCAAACCATGTCCACCAGCTTCTCTAGTATGTCAACTGTCTCCATGTACTCTACAAATGTACAGCATGCTGATAAAGTACTTGCAGCAACTCAAACCGCACCAAACTTGCTCGATCGATCTCCCGAACTATCGAAACGTTGAAGGAACTCCAGGATATGAACCGCCAATGGCCCGCTCACTACCCTTCGGTGCAAAACGCGCAAAATGTTCCTTCGTCACCTTCTACACGCCCACAGTTGCAGCATGCGCAATCGGAATTTAGAACAGATGACTCAAGGCCGACAACTCCTCCTCGGCCAGAATTGAAGCGCGCTTCGACTACAATCGGAGAAGACTTGGGTGAATCGAGTGCCGCTGCTGAGCGCCGTACGGCACCCGAGCCTCGTTTGATGACTCCGCAAATTGCACAGGAATTTTCGATCTTGAAGCTGGACCTAAAGCTTGGCGCATTGTCTCAGGCCGAATTAGTGCATTCGTTGGAAAAGGCTTCGATCGCTGCCTTATTGGATGGGAGGATCAGCCAGAGTGTCAAACACCTTCTTTCTTTACGAGATCGTATTGAGGATACATCAAGCAAGGTCTTAATCACGGGGGATTTGAATGCCGGAAAGTCGACATTCTGCAATGCTTTGCTCCGACGAAAGGTCTTACCCGAGGATCAACAGCCCTGCACCAGCATCTTCTGTGAGGTGCTTGATGCTCGTGAGAATGCTGGAATCGAGGAGGTACATGCGGTCCACAAAGACGCTCACTACAACCGCAATGACGAGAGCACATATGACGTGTACGCCTTGAGTGAACTTGAGAACATTGTGGTCGACAACTCCAAGTACATGCAGTGCAAGGTCTATGTGAAGGATGTCAGGTCGATCGATGAGTCTTTGCTCAACAACGGTGTGGTTGATATCGCCTTGATTGACGCTCCAGGCTTGAATTCGGACTCTTTGAAGACCACAGCTGTCTTTGCTCGCCAGGAGGAAATTGATGTCGTTGTCTTTGTTGTCTCCGCCGCCAACCACTTCACCCTCTCGGCAAAGGAGTTCATTCTGAATGCCGCCCATGAAAAAGCCTATATTTTCATGGTGGTGAACGGCTTCGATCAAATTCGCGATAAGCAACGCTGTGAACGCATGATCCTTGACCAAGTGGGCAAACTCAGCCCACGCACCTACAAGGAGTCCGCTGAGCTCGTACACTTTGTCTCAAGCAATGCAATTCCCGTTGCTCCACCTGGAGCTATCTCACAATCTGGCTCTGGTGGGGGTGATGGCGGTTCAGATCCCCATGATGATGATGACGATGATGACGACACTGGCAAGGATAAGGGCAAAGGCAAGCAAAAGGAAAAGGAAAAGATCCAGGACTTCGAAAACCTGGAAGGAGCCTTGCGACGCTTCGTGCTTGAAAAACGATCCCGCTCGAAGCTCGCTCCAGCTCGGACTTATCTCTTGAACCTCCTTGCCGATCTCAACTCCCTTGCTACGGTCAACCGTGATGTTGCCCAATCTGAACTTACGCGAGTCACGGACGAGCTGGCAGAGCTTGTGCCTGCATACGAGAATGGAAAGAAGAAGAAGGGTGAGCTGATAGAAGGTGTGGACAGGGCCATCGACGAATCATGCGACGATACATACAACCACACTCGTACTACCCTGTCCAATACCATTGCACGGGTCTCTGAACAAGATCTAGGCGTTGAGTATCCTGGTCTCTTCTCAGCATTCCAATATGCTGAGGATCTGAAGTTGGCAATGCTGGATCAAATCTCTGCGGCCGTTGCAGGCTGTGAGGATTATGCCAGAGATAAGACAGTCCAGGGAGTTGGTTTCATTCAAAACATTGGTCTTCTACATGTTGGCGAGGACAAGTTCAGTGCGCTTAATTTCCGTGCGGACTTGATGTTCCGCAAGGGTCGTCGCCACACCTTCGGCCGACAGGTTGATACTGAGGTTGAATTCTTGGACTTCTTCGATGTTGCTGGTCTATGGGAACGCCAGGAGAAGGTGGCAGGAACCGGTGTTGCAATGACTGCACTTACTGTGGTGGGTGGCAGAGTCTTTGGTGGCTTCAGCTGGGTGGATAGTGCACTCAGCGCGATCAAATTCCTCGGACCGAACAACGTTCGCCGGCTGTTCATCCCCAGTGTCATTGCTGCTGCTGCTTTGACCGCGGCTTATATGCTGTCCTCTATCCCGTCAACTTTGCCTTCCCGGATCTCCCGGAAGATTGCCGCGGCCCTTGAGGAAATGGACTATGTTCACTCAAATGCAAACCGCATCTCATCTGAGGTGCGACGTATCCTTCGTCTGCCCGCCAAGAATCTGCAAACCAGCTTAGCTCAGGACATTGAGGACCTTGCCCGCCGCAAGCAGGAGGTCAGCAAAGTTAAGCAGGAGAGTGAGGTTGCCACCAAGTACTTCTCAAACCTGTACCGTGACAGCAGTGAGAACCGTCGCTCCGTTGAGGCTCTAGACCTCGATGGTCCACTTCCTGGTGCCATGGGTGCCTTTGACCCATGAACAAGGCAAATCATGTATTAACAGTCAACACTCTCTCGTCTCCCTCCTAATTATCTATTGAAGGATGTATAGCTCTCTGATGTCGTTTCCTTTCCTCTCCCTTCACGAATATCCCTTCTCTTTATGTGGTTTTTTTTTTCTTTCTCAATTTGTGATTCTACAGTCGTGTCTCAAGACACATTGTAGTACTACAGTTCTTTTTTGCCTTTGTATTACATGGCGTGTTGGTGTGCATCGGAGGTCATTCCAAGTTTAGCCTAAGATTCCCATCTGAATTGATATTGTGATTCTCTCCATACTATCTTTAATAGCCATTCTGTAAGAATAAACGTACGATATTATAGCTTTCAGGGTCCGTGTCAATTCATCCTCTCAGTCGAGACCTCGGGTGGCCATTTTTTTGCAATCGGGAAGAAGGATTTCAAAATTGAAGCTCCTATACACTGTTCCAGCCTAGCCAATAGTAAACAATTCATATCTCCTAATTTTAAGGCTGCAATCCCGTACTATTGGACTACTTTGGATGTTAGGTCCACTTAAGTGTACTTGACAGGTTCGAGCCTGATGTTCGAAATGATTCATTTCAACAGAATAGCCGTAAATGCATGTGGCAAAAATTAGAGGATATGACTGCCAATTGATAGAAAACATAAACAACGCCATAGAACCCAAGCGACGCCATTCGTAATGCAATGCAATGTCGATGTCATGCATGAAATAATGTTGTCGTATTCACCCATGAAAGCCGTCCAATCCCTAAACACCGAACAGAAGAAAATGCATAGAGAAATCCACCTGCATAATCAATCATCGCCTCTAGGGTGTTTCCTTGTCCTCCGTCCAGACGCCCATCCAACATCCTCTAGCTCTTTAACTTCTCCCAGCAAAATCCCCGGATCGGCCGATTTAGGCTTCCGAGCTATCTTGCCCGCATCACGCAAGAATTCAGCTCTCATAGCGGCTGCGTCAGCATCCTCGTAGTCCAGCTGTGTCATCTGGGGCTCGGTATTCTCCTCGTCTTCCTCGTTCCCGCTGAGAAGTTGCTTATCAAGGAAATCAAATTTCCCACCGGCACCGCTGAACATCGACGATAGGCTTTCATTGTTGACGCGACTGGCTGTGCGGGAGAGTGAGTTGGCTCGTGTCGGATCGGCGCTGTCGATGGGTAGACCGAGACCGTCGTCGTTAAGGGTGTCGATGGAGCTGGCTCTGGATGGTGGTGCTGGGTTATCGATTTTGGTGGATGAGTGTGATGTGGCGCGACCCAGGAGAGGTTTGCGCTTTCGTCGGAGTGGGAATGTGCCATCTTCGTTGGTGGTTGGGTTTTCATTCGATTGGCGAGATTTGGCAGCCTGAGCTTGTTGAAGAAGTCCCTTGAGTGCGGTGTCCAGCGCGGATGGTCCGGTAGGTTCAGGGGAGGTTTGGTTGGGTTGATTGGAGGTAGAGTCACTGGTCGGTGGTCTGTCGGCTGTTGTGCTTGGAGATGGAGTCCGGGATTCTGGTATAGATGGCTTAGGCGCATTACCCTGGTCTTCGTTGGAGAAACCATCATCGATAATAGGCATGATCCGCGTTCGATTATTTTTGGCGGATCTCGAACCTTCGATTTTATTTTCATTGGGTGACTCTGCTGGGGCTTTAGGTCGTCCATCGCGGGTTTTTTCCCTCTGTTGGTGCGCACTTTCTTCATTTTCGAAGGCAGCACCGGGTTTTTCAACGCTACTTCGAGGTTGAGATGCCAGTCTTTGGACGAGATATGGCTCAAATGGCTTCTTTTGACCAGTCTTGATGGAAGCCCAAAGCCAGTCTGCGGAGACGGCTGGGACACCCCATTCTTTGATATGGCGCAGCTTGTTCTGACTTGCAGTTCGAGGGTCGAAACAAACCAGGACAGAGGCTTGTGGCGTAAGAACTTCATCATAAGAGGCACCCATCAGATCAACCAGCTTTGATACATGAAGAAGGTCAATCCCGCCGAATCCAGTGGAGCATACTCGCATTTCGGAAAATGCTGATCATTTTTAGTGATAGGTCTAAGTTAAGTTCCATGGATACTCACCTGGAATCGGAAATTTTGGAAATGGGGTGCTTGCGACGTGCGATTCTGGTGGAATCAGCGCTCGGGCATGCAGACACTTCTCCAGCCACATATCTGTGACGACCTCACATTCAAATGCCATGTTGTCTGTTGATGGAGCTGCCGACTTTAATGTCTGATATGGCACCATGATATAGAGGCCTTGGCCTGTCTTCGGGATACTCGGACGAGAGAAGTCGCTTAAAGATCCCACGCATTGAGCTCCATTGAACCCGAGATGGCGGTGTAATACTCCCATCTAGAGTCTATAAGCTACCATCAAATTCAATAGTGATTGTCAGTGCTTACCTGCTTTGAAGAAAATCCCTGGAGATAGAAATAGGATCCGCCAAGGAAACCTTCTGGAACCAGGGGTTTGAGTGCTTCTTCTGGTGCCAAAGCTTGACTGAGGACTGACTCGCTCGCGAAAGACTTGGCAGCTTGAATGGCCTGTCTCGGAGGTGCTGAATCGGCTTCTCCGTCCTCCTTGTTGGCGGGATCAGGCGTCTCATTGTTCATGAATCCGGCACCAATGATATCACCCCAGATGTTTTCATTCTGACCAGCTAGCTTGGTACTTGCGGTCCTGCGAAGCTTTTTCCGTGGTCGTGTATCTGTCGGGCCCTCATTGGTGGCAGATTTTTCTTTTCTAGACTCACCCCTTGGTGTGAGCGAAGGTCGATTCCATGCTCCAACGCCTTGTTCTTCCGGTGGTACCAGTGGATGGTATTTTTCCTCGTCCAGGATCATCCCACGCTCAATGCAATCGTAGAACCACTTCTCACTGACAACCCTTATTCCCCATTGAGTCGCAAACTTGTACTTCTCCCCGTCCGCAGTCCGCGAAATAAGATGGGTGACGCTCTTGGTCAAGTCTTTCCGAAACTCTGCCCCATTCTCCACCGAAGTGTCATGCATCTTTGTACGAAGACCCATATCCGAGAATCCAGTAATGCATAGTGTAAGTCCGAAGAAGGCGGGCATCTTGTATTGTATCTCTAAGGCGCGAATGTCGGTATCCTCTCCCAGCACCCACGATTGGCGCACGGCCTCGATCCATTCTGGCCGGACCACGGCAACATCATTGCGCTCGCGTGCGACGAATTTGTATTTGGCAGATTCGGTGGCTCCAACGAGAAGGTGAGTAACTTCGGAGGTGAGGTCGGGTCGTTCGATTGCTCCCATCTCTTTCGCAACCTTCACGAGCTGAGTCTGTGGTCCATGCGCGTCAGTCCTGCTCCACGGTTTTTCCCAGGAATTTAGATCTTAATACACATACCCTATACTCCAGCGAAACCGCGGTGAAGCAAATCACCGCGCCTGCGAGTGGCTGTTCTTTGTCTATAGGCTGATTTAGCAACCGCGGTGCGGACTGCACTCCAGACTTCCACTTACCCGATGCTACTGTCCCTGCCATCCTTCATGACTGGCAAGCACCTCCCACTGCTTAGCAACAATTCCTGGGTCCCATTGAGGTTAAAATGTCAATGGAGAAACCAAGTTCTTGTCCGATCCCGCGTCGCGATAATTGATGATCACGTGGGGCACGCGCCCCTTGGTCAGTGATCTACGAGTTGCAATGTTATTGCTTTTGTCCTATAGGCCGAGATATGAACAATTATATTCATGTTGTCCTATTCTTTTGCCTTAATCTGACTGAAGTATTAGAGGTCTGTTCGGGAAATAGAGTTTGTTGACGGAGGAATTTGAAGTGCCCAAAAGTGTCAAAATATATATTCCAACCAGGAAATATTGTTCCTACCCTAAATTAGGAACACAAGGATTATGGATTAATTGGAAATGAATACGAATCCCACAGCCTTCAAATGCTCTACTTGGATATTCTTTTTTCAAGTCTGCTAAATATGTCTGACTTTGAAAGTCCTATCAATTGTTGTGGTCCCATGAGACGAATGCCCAGATGTACCTGGCACCTGTATGTATAGACATCGCTTTTAGGTGCAGCAGCCTGGGGTATCACCCCTCCAGACAGCTACCCAGGTTACATAATTACTCTTCACTGAACCAATCAATAACGAGGAAAACAAATGGAAAATATTTTAGCGTAAATTTGGCATATGACCGGACTTGGCGTACTGATTTGTCCAAATTCGTGGCCCCCGGTGACTGTATACGTCCTGTAAACCTGATGTCTAGTGTGTAGCAGTCAAGCATCTCGACATAGATATGAGCCGTATATAATTGCCAACTTCCAAGGTCGATAAGACTGGACCTCCTAAACCGCCTAGCAAATAAGCTAGCTAAACTAGCACTTCCATAAGTCTCCATAAGTCGTGTAAGAGAAACGGTAAACGTCATATAAGATGCCTGATACGTCAGGCCCCAGTGCCGATCCTCGGGACCGAGTGCCCCTCCATTTTATTTAACCGCCCAACCTTCCCTCTCGTCTCTATCCCAACGCTTGTTTTCATTTCATTTTCCTCATTTCAAATACCCAAACCATTCATACCCCATAATCCATCAAAATGGCTCGTCAATTCTTCGTCGGTGGCAACTTCAAGATGTAAGTTACACAATTTACTTTACCCCGCGATGCTCGATGCCCCGCCAGAGCACGCGAAGCATCTCAGAGCTGCAAACTGACTCTACAAACATAGGAACGGTGTGAAGGAGAGCATCGCCAGCATTGTCAACAACCTCAATGCCGCTAAGCTCGACTCCACTACCGAGGTCGTCATCTCTCCTCCCGCTCTGTACCTCACCCAGACCCGCGAGCTCGCCGACCCCAAGATCGGTGTTGCCGCCCAGAACTGCTTCGACAAGCCCAACGGTGCTTTCACCGGTGAGATTTCTGTCGAGCAGCTCGCCGACGCCAACATCAACTGGGTCGTCCTTGGCCACAGCGAGCGCCGTGTCATCCTGAAGGAGACCGATGAGGTACGGGAACCTGTGATCTATATACCTAGCCGAACTATCAAGTGGCCATCAACCTCTCCAAAATGTGCATGAAACTGACTATCTACACTATAGTTCATTGCCCGCAAGACCAAGGCTGCCGTTGAGGGCGGTCTCTCTGTCATCTTCTGCATTGGTGAGACTTTGGAGGTACGTCATCCCTAACTTCGGTTACCCGTTCTTTTCGTTCCGGTGTGGGTCACCGGGATGCAACCTGATGAGAATCTCCGCTTACACCCGACTGTTTTGTAACTTCATAGGAGCGTGAGGCCAACAAGACCATCGATGTTGTCACCCGCCAGCTCAACGCCGCTGCCAAGGAGCTGAGCAAGGAGCAGTGGGCTAAGATTGTCATCGCATACGAGCCCGTCTGGTAAGCTGACCCCTTCCCTTCTCGCCGTGCCGTTGAGATACGTTCTAACATATATCTAGGGCTATCGGTACCGGCAAGGTCGCTACCACCGAGCAGGCCCAGGAGGTCCACGCCGCTATCCGTAAGTGGCTCGGTGACAGCATCTCTGCCGAGGCCCAGGCCAGTGTCCGTATTATCTACGGTGGCTCCGTCAGCGAGAAGAACTGCCGTGAGCTCGCTCAGAAGGAGGATGTTGACGGTTTCCTTGTTGGCGGTGCCAGCTTGAAGCCTGCCTGTAAGTTTTGATTCATGCCTGCTCATTACTCGGGTATCAGATACTAACTATAACCTAGTCGTCGACATCATCAACGCCCGCATCTAAGATGCTTTTATTTCAGTAATTTGATACTCCCTTGGCTAGAATTCCAGAATTGGCCTGGAACAAAGCTCTAAATTAGCAAGGCCAAAAGCTTTAAACGTCAGATATGTTGTCATGAAATATATGTACAATGTTGGAACCGCCTAGTATTTCCAGTTGGCGGGATATTAAAACATGCAGTATGAGAGCCTGTATAACTAGAAGGAAATGCGTAAAGACTCAAGTTCGAGAGAATTAAATCCCTCACGAAGAGTACATCACTGAAACTCCCACCCCGCGCCAGTACGATGGCCCACCTCCGGGCACTGACCCACCCGATGAAGAGGCGTTCGGGGCCACTGAAAATGATCCCGGGCCTAGCCCGACACCCGCACTGACCAAAAGCTCCTTTACACGACCTTCCCAGAGCAGACGCATGTTCCAAGACTGGTCAACACGGAGCTTAATTACCGAGTCACCAGCCTCGACATCACTTCCATCATCCGACTTAAAGGTTTCGGGTTGAACCGGGTCGGAGCCGAGTGGAGAGGTTGGCGGAGAACCCGGGAGGGAAGCGGAGAAATCATGCAGACGCATCTTGCGGCGGGCCCATTCGATGTCATCGTCCGCAGAGAAAGTGGATTTGTTGCTTCGGCGCCAGAGCTCGCAGCCCGCAACCATTTCACTTTCCCAACTATAGACATTGAACCCGAAACGGGAGCTAAATGCAAGGTTTGGCGAAGCACTCAGAGAGTAGGTTGCTGAAAGAGAGCCAGTAATGGGTGTCAAAGTGAGGGTTAACGTGTAGGGGAATGTAGATATGGGTGTGGGGAGGCTGGATGAGAAGGAGGATGAAGGCACCTGAGTTGCGGCGGGGAGTGTGGTGAATCGTAAGCCAGTGGACATGCCTACTAACGATGAGGTGGGAGAGTAATACGCTTCCGCACCCATAGAAAGTAGGGACAGCGCAGGCGAGGCATTGGGACGAGGGGTTCTAGGATCGGGGCCAAAGTTCCATAGTCCTCGCCAGCCAAAGAGAGCATTGTCTGTGCTGAAAAGATACTCGTTGCAGTACTTTCCTGTATCATGGGACAATTGGGCCAGCATTGATGCCTGCGGCGCGGATTTAGATAATGGCGGTCCCTGGGTAGAGCAGACGGCTAGGCATAGCTGCATCGTCGGAGAGATTCTCCGCAGGAAGAGCGCATTCAAAGTTGTCGGAGATGGGAGGTGTAAAGACGCATGAAGAAGTGTCGCCTTCCGCTGGACCGCTTCATCTGGGGTATGGTCATCCTCCTTGCGCTTCGGGACGTCTGTGATTCCGGGGATATTGACTCCATCTAGAAGAGAATCCCATCCCCAGGCTTGTACCGGAGCCACAGGCGCTTTGACATGTCGGTAGCCAGGAGAAATCTTCCGAAGAGGGATCAAGGCACTTCGGCTAGGAGTATTGTGGAAGGGCACCGTACTGAAGAGGTAAGATACGGATCCATCGAGTAATCCCACTGTACCAAGTGAATAGCTGGTTCCAAAATTGGGTGTCGAAAGCGATGACAAATGTACACGCAGTCGCTCTGGAGTCGAAAAATCGAGGATTGCTATCGTTCGCAATGTTAGATCAGATCACTCTTGCGCGTCGCGCATCCCTGATAGACGACCTACACTGTGTTGTGGTAGTCAATGACAAGTACGAATTATCGCGGTTCCAGTTGGTCGCCTCAGAAAAGGCGAGCTGGATGTAGTCCATGAATTCCAGCATTGTCTGGATCAGGGACCGAACCCTTGAAGTGTACGTTGCGTATCTCGAAGTTGTTAGCAGCTGGTTGCCCGATAAAGACTAGTGGGGTACCGGATAAGGCACGTGATCCGCTTATCAGCGAAAGAAAAAAAAAAATGCCACTCGGGAAGCATAATAGATCCCATCGATTCCCTCGATTAATTTAACACCACATTATCTTCAAAATGCCTCGTTCAAAGCGTGCGCGCGTCGTCCACGAGTCCAAGACCACCAAGAAGGACCACAAGGAACAGACTCGCCGTCTCTACGCCAACATCCGGGAATGTCTCGAGCAATATGACCATATGTTTGTGTTCGCCGTGGACAACATGCGCAACACCTACCTGAAGGATGTGCGCACCGAGTTCGCCGACAGCCGGTACGTTCCAATGGGTGCTGGAATGAAATCAAGCCCAGCATTGCAGAGACGCATTACGGAGACGACTTGATTTACCGCCATGCACAACCATCTCGAATATCAAAATTATATATCAGATCCACTAATGCAATTCCCAGTCTGTTCTTCGGTAAGACCAAGGTCATGTCCGTCGCTCTCGGCAGCAACCCCGAAACCGAAGCCGCACCTAACGTTCACCGCGTCACTCCCTTCCTTACCGGTGCCGTCGGCTTGCTTTTCACCAACCGCGCCGCCGAATCTGTCCTTGAGTACTTCGAGAACTTCCGCCCTCAGGACTTCGCTCGTGCCGGCACTGTGGCCACCCGCTCCTTCAGCATCCCCAATGGCCTGGTCTACCAGCAGGCTGGTGAGATCCCCGCTGAGCAGGATGAGCCTGTCAGCCACACTATCGAACCTGCTCTCCGCAAGCTTGGTGTCCCCACCCGTCTCGTTAAGGGTAAGGTGATGCTCGAGCTCACCGAGGGCTCTGAGAGCTACCAGGTTTGCCGCAAGGGTGAGACTCTGGACTCCCGGCAGACTACCTTGATGAAGATGTTCGGTGTTACTTCGGCTGAATTCAAGGTTGAACTGAAGGCTCACTGGTCGCGGAGTACCAACGAGGTGAAGATTTTGGCGCAGGATGATGATATGGAGGTGGAAGCATAGATGTGCCTTTCGCCTGTGTCGACAAAAAGATTCTCGTGGGCATCTTTACGGAGTTAAGGGCGGGCGCTTTCTTTTTTTCTTTTACATTGATACACTGAACATCCTCTTATCTCCATCCTGTTTCTCTGGGAGAATTGGATCTCCAATTGATGTGCCTACGATTATGGATAGATACTACTAAATTGGATATAAAAAAATGTTGACTGTTCCCTTTTTCCTCAAGACATAATTACATTCGCTAGGGAAATGCCTGTTTTGAAGTCATTGCATTGGCCCTTACCTGGTCTTACCTGAGCATCATTGGATTTCATCACTTGAGAAACTGTTTGAACTAAAATACATACCTACCCCCGGAGAGAGTTCCACAAAGAGGTCGCACTAGGACCAAAACAAACGCATGCAAAGTAAAAAAAAAGAGACCGCAGGGGAAACCAAAAAAAGAAAAAAACCGGAGAATACAGAAACACTCCAAGGGAAGAAGATATTGGGCTAGTTGCCGGCAATGTTTGTGCGTGCCTGAGCAGAAGAGTCCAGGAGAACTGGAGATCGACCCTGAAAGATAAGTTGAGGCGGTATTTATGATCTGGACATAGCTTTACGCGACATCTCGGATTAATGGATTTGTTTCGCCTTACCCCATTACCCTTGAAAAGAGAAAGACGCGCGCTGGCCAAATCAGGGATACCCACCAGCAAGTCAGGGCTGAGAAGGGAGAAAGTAGCATCCATTCACATGAAGGGGAACATTTAGTATCGTCTCCGGGATCGGGGGTCATCGTAGCCGTCGTCTTCACGGGGTCGCTTCCGTCCAAAGTCCTCTCGGCCGCCATCCCGGCCAGCATCACGACCACCGCCGTATCTGTCACGGTCACGGTCACCGTAGCGGTCTCCTCCATTGCGGTCATCACGGCGGTCGCGGTCTCTGTAGCGATCACGGTCCCGATCGTCGCGGCGGTCCCGATCCGAAGGGCCATCTCGTGGGCGCACAGGCTCTCGGTTGCTACCACTTCCGCGGTCAAATCTGCCACCACCACCACCACCACCGTAAGAGCCTCCACCGTAGTCTCCCCTGCCTCCTCCAAAGTCTCCTCTACCACCTCCGAAATCTCCCCTGCGGCCACCACCAGGACCAGAGGGAGCGTTGGGGGGTGGTTGACCGCCGCCGCCAAATCCATTACGGCCACCTTGATAGCCAATTCCTCCACGAGGACCGAAACGGTCACCACCACGGAATCCACCACCTCCACGGAAGCCTCTGCCACCACCGAATCCACCGCGGAAGCCGCCGCCAAAACCTCCAGGTCCAGATGGCGCATTGAAACCTGGCCCAACTGGTCGAGAAGGCATCGCCTTGGTGTATCCACGGCCTCCTAGACCACCACCAAAGCGACGAGGCTTCCAGCCCTTGGTCGTCCGTCCACGCTCTACATCCACTAGGACTCGACGGTCCTTAATGCGGATGCCATCTGTTTCCTTGTAGGCCGCTGAATACCGGGGTTCACTGTGTCAGCAATGACTTCTCTTACCATAATCTGGCTCAAGGGGATATCGCAATTGCGAGCGACTTAGATCTGATGATAATACCTTTCATATCTTTCTCACGTTCGTAAACGATAAATGCATAACCTTTATTGGGTTTCTTGGATGCCTTTGGTGAGACGGTATCTTTGACGATGCGGATCTGGGAGGGAACGTCAGAAACTATAGCTGAGAGGAAACATAAAGAAGTCGGGAGCCATCTTACACGCTCAATGGGGCCAAACCGGCCGAACTCTCGCTCGATATCTGATTCTTTCACATCGTAGCTGAGTCGAGCCACAAAGAGAGTTTTGTAGGGATCACCTCGTGCTTGGGGATCCTTCTCTGGGTCAACTAATAACAGCGGGAGAATCCAATTAGCAATTCATTACGCGATGAAGAAGAAATGAATGGCACGTACAGGTTTCCAGCCCATCAGTCATCTGCTTCTCAAGCTTTTCCTTCTTCTCCAACTTCTGACGCCATTTACGCTGCAGCCAGCTCTCAGTCGCATTATAAGGGGCCTCTTCTTCGAAGTTCTTCGCCTCAGCCAGGAACTGGGCCACTCCGGAAATGGTGCTTTTCTGACAGTCTTCCGGTGCGCGATCGCTGGGAGGGATGTAGCGAAGAGGAGGGCGTGGCTGGAACAGAGCCAGCAAAGGTGGGGGGAGTTTATCCGTCATTGTAAATCCTCAGCCCGTTGAGAAGTGGCGTGAGGGGGAAAAGTAAGCTGTCACCTGGCGAGGTTCCTCAGGAGACTTCGCGTTCTTGTGGTGTAGCAAGGGAGCTTCCGCTATAAACGCCGTAGCCGCTTCTGGCGCCCTCTCACCGCCTTCACGTGCACCAGAAATTGTGACCCGGAAGGAAGTCGGCGATTGGTACTTTGAGATATCAATAATTCACAGCAATGCCAGTCAAAGGACTCCGAACAGTCACGACGGCCCAGGTATGTGTCGATACACTGATGAAGGAGAGCGGGGCATTGTTTGGGGCACCGAAGCTAACTTGTCGACCCCCAAATAGAACGGCGTCGGCGCCTTTATTCACCAATGCAAGCGCCTTGACTTTCACTATTGCAAATATGGCGGCAGCTCACGGGGCATGCTGTGAGTACAATACCAATCCTCCAAGCAAGGTTTCCTTATGAGACATACTAATCGTTTGCAATCCAGTGCTTTCCTGACCCAGACCCTTCCCAACTTCGCTCGCGAAAATCCTCAGATCGAACTCCGAGTAGCCCCCAGACCCGGCAAGCACCCCGTCATCAAGGGTCAATATGTGAATGGTCGTGAGAAGGCAATTTGTGTGCGGAACCTTGAGCCTATCGACATTCTTAAGAAAGCGATGATCCTGAAGGATGCAAGCGGAGAGAAGTTGAAGCGGACCAAGAAGCCCGTGACAAGTATTAACGAGAGTGTGCGTGGTATCTGGTCACCGTACCATGGCGATCTGCGCGGTGTATAAGATTCTAGGCGTTTCCTGTTTGATAGCATTTCCACTGGCTGGGATTACAGCCTTTACTTTCCAAGCGATGGACCCCTGCCGTTGCATGTTACTGTATTATTGATCAGGGTAGAATTGATTTACTTCAGTTCATGTTCTCTCAGTGCTCCGTGGAGTAAAATAAACCCTTATATGCCTTTGAATATGTGAAGAATTGGTGGAGGCCGTTGCAACCGAGGATTGGTTATCTTGGTAGGATTTCTAGATCAACAGCGCACGGCATTTCCTGCAATTTTTATCTTCCAAAGAAGGTGATCTTTTCTGTTATTTGCTGTATATATGTGCATTAAATCCAAGAAGAGCGGTACTTTTAGCCGCCCATGCTACGACTCGACATCCAATGAGCTCTACGAGTTCTTGAACCTATAGACTGCTCTATATGATTACTGGGAATTTGGACGAATATATAGATCTTTCATTCACGATGGTTATTATTGAAATGCTCGTGTAGTGCAGCTGAATCTGGCAACGAGATGGGAATGTGAACATTGATAATTTCCATCGTATGACTTCGGATTGGGATAACATATGCAAAATGATTCTGAAAATGAACGCCATATAAAATAAAACCGAGGGAACGCCTTTGACTTCCATGCACCACGGGTATCAACGAGAAAGAGACATATAACAGCAACAACAAACGCCCTGCCGACCATGCAATGTGATTCTAGGGATCGTTGACAGAATCATAGATAGAGATGGAACATGGCTGTTGGTGCACTGACCGACTTGCCACAGTCAGCGACCTTGCATCTAGAGAAAGGTTTAGATCCTTCAGAGACATGGACCTTCTTTCTAGCTTTGCTTTTAAACCTATTCAAGGCACATTCGCCACAATAAACCTGACATGAAAGTGTTAGCCCAACCGTATATTTATAAGGGTTATGAAGTAACGAACATGTCCGCAAGGCTTTGCGACCCAGACCTGTTCTTTATGTCCATCGCCGACCCCGAGTTCGCCGGAGCAATTGGGGCATATTGCAACGTCGTCATCTCCAAGGGTCCGAGTGAAGCCCACTGGTGGCGGACTGGGTGCTCTGTATGACTCGCGTCGTCTAGTCTCAGCTTGTTCAGTGTTTTGTTGCATATCAAAAGACGCAGATCCATAGTCAAGAATGAGATCATCAGGGCCTGCATCCAACACCACGGTTTCCACGGGTCGCACGCCAAGGTATATCGGCTCCAAGTCAGGTCTGGGTCCGCGTGGACGTTGTCTGAGAGGTGGATGCGGTATCATGTTGAAGCGGTTGGTGCCTGGTAAATTTGAGGAGGGAATGGAAGCGTTTTGGGCGGATTGCCTGTGACGGTTAATAATATGGTCCCAGGAGCCACCAAAACGAGGCCAAATGCCCCATGGGCGCTCATCAGGGTGGAGGACACTAATGTCAAGACCATCCGGGATGCGATCACCGAATGCCGTGTAGCGAGGTCGGGGAGGAGGTTGTGCAGGAGCATCGGATTCATCATCCAAGTCTATCACTTCCGGCGGCGCCAAGATGGACCTGCCGAAACGAGGCGGTCGTGCTGGATGATGTGTCCGAGGATCTGGGCTGCGAAGTGAAAATGGCTGAGGTGGTGAGCCAGGCTCACTAGTCAGATCAATTGGATTCCCTGAATTCCCTGGATTCCCAGGCGAAAGAGTGCTAACTGGGCGGCGAAAGTCAAAGCCATCACGAGGACGCCGCACAGGTGGCAATGGGAGGCGGGTACTCGTTTCTTGCGGAGAAGGTGGGTGAAAGTGGGATTGCCACGATTGTCCAGGATCCTCGCTGGAATCTTGTTGCGACATCTGGCGACTTCGCTTTAAAACCAGGGGAAACCATTATTAGTATGGCGGCTACTTCATTGGCGCCCCGCGCTTTCTTGAGGATATTGCTCACCTTGGACCTGACGCCCAAAATTTGGACGCCAGGCTCGTTACTCATATCAGAAATTGGTGTAGGGAGTGAGGAGAGACCAGACAAAGCCAGTTGACAAGGCCAGCAAGAAGACCATGGAGAGGGAGGCAAAGAAGAGGACCAGGCGTTAGTAGACATGATAGATCAAAGTACGGCCGAGTTCAAAGGCGGTGTACACCTTCTCGTGATATATAAGGCGGTCAGGAGAGGCGGTGAAGGAGCGTGGGGCTGTACGGGTAAATTAAGTATAGGCAGCTAGTGCCTAGAAACGGACGATTGAACCTTTTTAGAATCGAAAAAAGCATTCTAAACGAAAGAGGGAGGGAGGGGGTGAGGAAATAATAAGACCATGTGTTTCATAAGATAATGTGGATTTCAGTGCTCCAGAGCTGTTGTGAACGCAATAACATCATGAGGGGGAAAAAAGAGAAATATCAGATCCAGCTCTAAAATTACATATTTTGTCCTAATTGATTATGACTGCAGCACAGTCACTGCACCTGCTTCATTCAAGGCTACGATGCTCTGAGCAGAAGATCCCCAGGCAACAGCAACGGCTGGCACAGCACTCCGCAATGGCTCTGACCACTCCTTCGATGCTTTGGTGAACTGTTGAACAGTCAAGCCACTGGGGCCACCAGTCAAGAGGAACTGGCCAGTGTAATCCCAGAAGATCGACTGAACCTCGCTGCCGGTATCCAACACCTTGGTTTCCTTGGAGCTACGCAGATCCCAGATCGAGACAGTGGTAGACTGAGCAGCCACCGCAGCCAAGAAAGTACCATTCTCGGAGAAGAAAAGACACTTGACGGGCCCAGACATAGCAAAATCTGCTGCCGCGGCACCAGTCTTGATGTCGAAGATCTTAATTTGGCCATCAGCACCACCGGCACTCAAAAGGTGGCCATCCGGGTGGAAATTCACAGACAACAAAGCTAAACAATGCTTGTTAGTGACATGATCTACCGTGTCTTTGAGAAACATTTGCTTACCAGAGTCAGTGAAGATTTGAGTGACGACGCTGTTAGTGGACAGATCATAAAGCACATAGCTCTTGTCCACGCCTACAGAGGCAACAATATCACCCGTTGCATGCACAGCAACAGCGGTTACCTCTCCAGCGTGGGAAGAAAAGCTTGCCACCTCGCTGCCATTCTCAAAGACCTTGACAGTACCTGTGGCTGAACCAACAACAGCCTTGTTACCAGCCCATGTTGCATCTGTCACCGGTCCATCTGTCTTGAGAGTCTGAACCACACTCTTTTGGGAAAGAGAGTAGACACCGACAGCGCCGTCAGAACCGCCGAATAGAGCAAGGTCTCCCGTGGAATCGACCGACAAGGCTCGGCTGCCTGGATACAGAGGTTCGGAGGTCTCTGCGGGCTTGAACGCAGAGATAGCATCGCTGGTAGCCCAGCCTTCGGGAATGGGGCGCTTGCGTCGTGTCTTTGAAAGTCTGTAAAAATAAAAGTCAGTGATCTGCTTAACACGCTCGATTACGAATAAATCCACGTACGTAGCCTGTGTGGTCTCAATTCGCTCCAACACCGCCTGAGGCAAGCCCTCAGAGTCCACCTGCATGGCCTCGCCATCAGCCCCAGCTCGGCTAGCTCCAACGCTAACCTTAGAAAGAGCATCACGGGCTTCATCCCGCTCCTTTGTCAACCGTGCGATCACCCGAACAGCAGCGTCATGCTGGTACAAGGCGGAACTGAGCTCGCGGCGGGTCTGCGCAAGGTTCTGTTGAAGGGTGTATGTCTCGAGAGCGAGTGCGTCCCATTCTTCTTGGAAAACACTGAGAAGAGAAGGGATGGAGGTCAGAGTAGGAGGACGAGGGCGAACAACGCGCTGCGACTTGACATCGATCAGCTCGTCAACAGCAAGCTCTTCACCATTCACAGGGTCTTTTCCATGTTCGGTAATGTATGCTTCGATCAAGCGCTTCTCAAATACGCTGCCTAAATGGATGTTAGGAAAGGTAGTTGTAAATGGTGGCTGGCGAAGACATACCGCTCTTGGGAGAGACGACAGGCACTTGGGGAGCCTCTCCAGAGACTAAAAAACGAAGTTAGTATCTCCTGATCCCATTGGCTAAAAATCAATTCAGCGACTAGATACGTACTTGCACACAGCATGATATAATTGAGGGGGAGTTGGGGTGGGGAGAGGTAGATGAGGAGGAGCTGGCAACGCGCAGCGGCTCCTTTGCACTTTTCGATGTGTCCCATTGGGGTTTAGCGCCATTTGAGCTGTTCGCGGACTTGCACTTGACTTCCTCTTCCACTTGCACAACCAGCTCCTTTCTTTAAGGACTTGATCATTCAAGAACCAATGGATCGCATTTCATAAATTTACGCGACTCTTGGCTTGTTTGTTCAAGACAACTGAATGAACTTGGCTTGAAAGCATCTACAGTAGGAAGTGTCGCGACAATGCCCCAAAACCCCAAATTTGCCTACGGTACTTTCCTCTTTCCTCTTTCCTCTTTCCTCTACATGCTGAACCTATCTGATTGTTATCTCTCTATTATAGAGGCACAAGAGCCTGCCTTTCTCCAGAGGCTTCGAGGTCAATACGGTGGTGACACATCTGGTCGCCTGGAGCGACCTGCCGCGCGGAATAGAAAAGTCAAAGATCCCAAGGACGAAGAGGATGACGAACCTGTATATGTCGACGAGGAAAGCAACGAAGTGATCACCAAGGAGGAGTACAAAGCGCTGGTCGAGCCTCCAAAAGATAATGCGACGAACACCGAGGACCCGTCCACAGCAGAGGAGTACAAGAAGCCCACTGAGCCCATTGCTAAACAGAGTAACCTCACTGAAGTTGGGGGCCAGAGAAAACGAAAGCAAGCCAAGGTAGTGGGCGAGGAAAATAAGCCGGAGTCCGAGGCACCCGTGGCGCAAGAAAAGCAAGAAAAGCTAGAAAAGCCCAAGAAGCCCAAGAAAGCAAAGAAAATCAAGCTTTCCTTTGATGAGGAGTAGACATGAACATGCATCTAAACCGCAAATTGCCTTTGATCTAAAAGATGTGTAGTGAGCCTGAATGATTCATTGTGAGTCAAAGCGGATATAGTTACTCTTCCCCTCGTAGTAATCGGCAGACAAGAATATAGGAATTCAAACTCGGAATATGGATTTCGAGTGGACTCCGATAAGAAATTAGATCATAAAATATTAGATTGTGAAGTGTCCAGCTCAGCAGGTATAGTTCAACATCAAATCCTATTTATTGACGTGAATCTCCATTTTTCCATCCGGATTTGCTGTTATCGGATTTTCCATTTCTCAGCAACTTTTTTTTGTCTTCGGCCGCTTCCCTCCACCATTTACCTCAACTTCTTAGATCGACCCGGACTCTTAGACCGGTCCATCGCTCAAGATGCCTGTCGTTAATGTCGACGATCTAGTTCGTCTGCAGCGGAAACCTGAAGACATTCGAAATGTGAGTGTTGCCCCTCCATCCCACTCTGATGTCAGGCCCACGGTTATACTAATGCATCCTAGATCTGCATTCTCGCCCACGTTGTAAGTTTGCCGTCCAAGGCGATTCCGATTTTTGAAATTTACATACTAACCGTCAGCTTGAATTTGCGCAATTAGGATCATGGCAAGACATCATTAACCGATGGCCTGATAGCCACTAATGGCATCATCTCGCCCAAGCTGGCGGGTAAAATCCGCTACCTGGACTCTCGTCCTGATGAGCAGCTCCGAGGTATCACAATGGAATCGTCGGCGATCTCATTGTTCTTTTCGATGCTTCGTCGTTCTGCACCAGATGCCGCGCCGGTGCCCAAGGAATATCTGATTAATCTGATCGATTCCCCCGGTCACATCGACTTCAGCAGCGAAGTCTCTACGGCGTCCCGTCTCTGTGATGGTGCTGTTGTTCTCGTTGATGCTGTTGAGGGTGTCTGCAGTCAGACAGTCACCGTGCTCCGTCAGACATGGGTTGAGCAGTTAAAGCCGATCTTGGTTATCAACAAAATGGATCGGTTGGTGACTGAACTAATGATGAGTCCCAGTGAAGCATTCTCGCACCTGAGTAGACTACTGGAACAGGTTAATGCTGTTATCGGCAGTTTCTACCAGGGTGAGCGTATGGAGGATGATTTGCAGTGGCGAGAGCGCATGGAAGACCGTGTGAATGTCTCCGCCACCAAGTCTAAGAAGCAGACTTTGGACGATGAATCCGTTGCCAATATCAGCGAGGCTACGGAATTCGAAGAGCGTGATGATGAGGATCTCTACTTCGCTCCAGAGAAGAATAATGTTATCTTCTGCAGTGCTGTCGATGGATGGGCCTTTACGATTCGTCAATTCGCTGCGATCTACGAAAAGAAACTTGGAATCAAGCGTACAGTTCTTGAGAAGGTCCTTTGGGGTGAATTCTACCTTGACCCGAAGACCAAGAGAGTGCTGGGCCCGAAGCACTTGAAGGGGCGGGCCTTGAAACCCATGTTTGTGCAGTTGGTTCTCGACAGTATTTGGGCTGCATATGAGGCGACAACCGGTGGCGGCAAAGGAAAGGGGTACGTGGGAATCACATATCTATATCAACAATATTCTAACTAACTTGTTCCAGTGACCCTGTTCTATTGGAGAAAATCACAAAGTCGTTGAACATCACCATTCCACCTTATATTCTACGCGGCCGTGACCCGAGAAACATTATGACCACGCTATTCTCAGCATGGCTTCCACTTTCAACTGCCGTCCTGGTATCGGTGATCGAATATCTCCCAAGCCCCCAAGCTGCGCAATCTGCTCGTCTGCCAGATATGATTAAATCGTCACCAGGCTCTGACCACATCTCTGAAGACGTCAAGCAAGCTATGGTGAATTTCAAGACTGGCCCAGAGGCGCCCGTCGTTGCGTATGTCAGTAAGATGGTTGCTATCCCCGAGAGCGAATTGACTGCAAGCAAGAAGCGCGGCGCTACTATGACTGCTGATGAAGCTCGAGAACTCGCCCGCAAGAAGCGAGAAGAGATTGCAAGGATGCAAGCAGAAGCCAATGCAGGACGTGGGGACGACTACGAGCAAATGACATCCCAGTTCCAGACTAGTATGTTGATCAGGGAGGAAGAAGAACAGGAGGAGGAGGTTGCAGAGGAAGAAGATCCAGACCATCTCATTGGATTTGCCCGTCTTTACTCAGGAACGCTTTCGGTTGGCGACGAAATCTATGTGCTGCCACCCAAGTTCTCGCCAGCAAACCCGCATGCCAGTCCGGAACCCAAAAAGGTCGCAGTCACAGACTTGTACCTCATGATGGGTCGAAGTCTTGAGCCGCTCCAGTCAGTTCCAGCGGGTGTGGTGTTTGGTATTGGGGGCCTGGCAGGTCATGTGCTTAAGACAGGTACCCTTTGCAGCCAGCTTGAAGGAAGCATTAACTTGGCTGGTGTATCACTAAGCACCCCGCCGATTGTGCGTGTTGCCCTGGAGCCGGTAAACCCTGCTGATCTAGGCAAGTTGGTCACTGGTCTGCGTCTTCTTGAGCAAAGTGATCCTTGCGCTCAGTACGAGGTCCTTCCTAGTGGTGAACACGTCATTCTCACTGCCGGTGAATTGCATCTGGAACGCTGTGTAAAAGATCTCCGTGAAAGATTTGCTAGGTGTGAAATCCAAACCGGTGAAGCCATTGTTCCCTACAGAGAAACCATCATCAATGCTCCAGAAATGGCAGCACCAAAGAACCCCGAACTCGGTCGTGGAGGAGTATTGTCAGTATCCCCTTCCAAGCAGATGACACTTCGCCTGCGTGTTGTGCCACTGCCCGAAGCAGTGACCGACTTCCTTACAAAGCAAGTTGGTACTGTGAAGTTACTCCAGTCTCAGAAACGTGCTGAGGCCAAATCGGACGAACCAGCAACAGAGAACGGCCAAGAGGGAACTGTTGATGCCGCCGACGAAGCCCAGGAGGGCAACATTCTTTCTCTTGTCCAGTTCCGAGAGGAACTAACCAAGATATTCGAAAAGGAAGTCAAAGAAGACAAAGAGCTGTGGAAGAACGTTGTCGACAGAATCACTGCATTCGGACCCCGAAGAATCGGACCCAACATCCTTGTCGACGCTACCGCCGTCAACACCTGCGAGAAATTGTAAGCCAATCCAGTTCATCATTCATAAGTCTACAACTAACAGATCCCCAGCCTCCTCGACGACCCAAAACAAACCACCGCTATCTCTCCAGATAACCAGCAAGCCCTCCTGGTCCGCGACTTCAACGACAAGTTCGCCTACGCCTTCCAACTAGCAACAAGCCAAGGACCTCTCTGCCAAGAACCAATGCACGGCGTGGCAGTCTTCCTAGAAGACCTCTGCATCAACACCTCAGAAGGCGAACTAGACATGGGCCGTCTCACCGGCGACTCAATTCGACTAGTCCGTGAAGGAATCACGCAAGGATTCCTAGACTGGAGTCCACGAATCATGCTAGCGATGTACAGCTGCGAGATCCAAGCAACAACTGAAGTACTTGGCCGTGTGTACGGCGTCATCACCCGTCGCCGTGGCCGAATTCTTTCCGAGATCATGAAAGAGGGCACACCCTTCTTTACTATCATTGCTATTCTGCCCGTTGCGGAATCGTTTGGGTTCGCTGAGGAAATCCGAAAGAGGACTTCTGGTGCCGCGCAGCCTCAATTGATTTTCTCGGGCTTTGAGGCGTTGGATGAGGATCCGTTCTGGGTCCCTGCTACTGAAGAGGAGTTGGAGGATCTTGGTGAGCTTGCTGATAAGGAGAATGTTGCTAAGAGATACATGGATGCTGTTAGGAGTCGGAAGGGACTGGTTGTTCAGGGACGGAAGTTGATTGATGCCGAGAAGCAGAAGTCCTTGAAGAAGTAGAGTTTTTGTCTTCTTGTATAGAGATATGAATGTATTGCTGGAGAATATAAAAGTAAAATTATCTTTGTTCTAACATTTGTTCTTTATCTTTTTCCCAACAAACGCCTTCTCAACGTACTTGATAGGCTTTTCAGAGGTGTAGGTATTGGTGGAAAAGCACGCAATAGAAGGGAAAGATCGAGTAGTGCCACGTCCACGGTGCATTGGCTTTGCGTTTACTACCTTATTTGTATAGAGTAGGGAGGAGCGCAGCAAGTATATTGGGTAAACCTAAGCGCAATCTATCCAGTCCTAATTCTAATCTAAAGATTACACAAAATGTAACCACCCCGAGATTATCTTTGAGTCATAGATTCGAGACAAGAAGTAGTAGAGGGGTGGTTCGCAAAGGATGAGAGTCCTCGCGCGATTCCAAAGGAACCCGTTAATTTCCCTGCACTGACAAACACAGCCCGACATTGATAGGTCTCGACCATGTATACTTAGGAGGTTTCTACAAGTTGTTGACTAGAAAGTCGTTCTGTCCAAACAAGACTTCACGATGCTGTAGCTAACCATGGAGTGGAAGCTAGAAGAGATGATAATTCGTTTTTCATTAATAAACTTGGTGGGTATCACATAAATTCTGCCGGAGGAGTCCGGCCTCTCAATGCAGTGCTGGGTGAATTCGTATCGCCATGTGCTCTGTGCTCGTGGCAGTGGCGAAGCGAGTTTTGATAGGTGCCTATGGGGTAGGGAACTGGGTCATGGAGGCTCGGCTCATGTCGAGGCAGTTGATGGTAGGCTCCGAAATATCGTCTTGAGTGACGAAGAATGGATGAATGAATCCTGTCACATAGCCTGATCATGTTGCAAGACCATATATCGTGTTTGACACATCACAAATGATCCAAAATGGGCGTTGCCTTTTTGTATCAATGCGAGACGGCATGGTAGTAGGCGTAGTAATGACTTCAACAGAATAGTCTCCGCCATTACTAAAGGGTAAGGAAGCAGTGTCCTTAATAAGAATCGGATTTGAGAGACTTTGCAGCTCTCAGTAAGGGCGCGCAACCTTCCTCGGCTCACCAGTCCCCGTGACAGGGTCACGCATCTCCTTCCAGCTAACAGGGAACATCATATTTCCAGCATCACTGCGAGCCATAACAACACCAAGATCATTACGAGCAGTAGTGAGATAGTAGAAGCTCTGATCACCTTGAGAAATGACCGAGCCACGCACAATATCACCAACACGGAACATGTCTTCCATCACAACGCGATCTTTCTCGACGGCACGAACGTCCTCCTTGCGAATCAGGGCCTGGAACCGTAGCTCGTCAGTGCTACTGTGGTTCTCAGGATTGGCAGCGGATGTCAAGATAGAAGCGACGTTGTCGTTGTCCGAGGCATTCTGCGAGGGGTCTTGTGAGGCATCGTCCAAGACAACGAGGATGGAGACAGTAGCCTGACGCTTCTGGACGCGAGTGACACGGGCCAGGACAATCGAGTCGACGGCGGGTAGCGTGTTGTATCGCTGCTTTTGCTTTGCGGCTGAGGCAGCTCGAATTGTGGCTGGAACGGCCCGTGAGACTCGGATAGTTGATTTTGTTCCTGTCTTGGGTTGGGCGGGATCCACGACGACAGGACCGGCGATGGAGGCGTAGATGTTGGATTGTTGGATGTGCGTACCGGGTCCTGCGGAGTATGTGGTAACAGATCCCAGGCATTGGCCTGGGATTGCCACGGATGCAAGTGGTGTTGTCATTATGTTGAGGTATGGAAGCTTGTAAGTGGAGGTTCATGCGGAAGCGATTTTTTTAGAGCTATGGCCGGGCCCGGAAGTAGGTTTCCCCGCAGGCCCCCGCTACACTGACCTAGACTACATCATTTCTACTATGCATGTACAGTGACTCGGACATGTTTGGCAATCTTTTTTTTTTTTTTTTTTATTTCCCCATGCTTACTGAGCTTGAGCAGAGAATTATCACCGCTCACTGTTCTATAAAGAACGCAGGGCACCTAGAATATCTGTTTACCCATTCCCTTGATCACCAGACAGTGTCCTCAACATGTTGATTGACTTGCCTCAGCCGCACCTCAATGACTCAATACGGGAATGATAAAAGGGCCTGGCTAATCTTAAATATATATATATATATATATATATATTTCACTCATTCATTGTCACCGCCCCCAGACAATATCTTATGAACCTAATAGCATGCTGGTCAGACAGCAAAGGGGATTTCGCTCTCTACAGAGTACCCTCACCTCTTTCAGGCTCCAACCCCCAACCCCCTAGAAGACTCCTCTTATATTATTCGAACACAGGTATCCGAAAATCAAGCAGCTGTTTGGCGAGCAGTCGAAGCCTTCATCAAAGCGCATCACATGAATTACCCCGATGTGACTAGAGATCATGTTACCCTACATTGTTTCAAAGCGTAACAGCCCAGGGTCTTGGTTTTGAATATCCAATTGTGTATCATCAATTTGAATCTGGCGCGCGATACTTCCTCGTCTCGAGGATTCCCGGCCAGCTCCTTAATGAAGGAAACTTGGCCCAACATGGACGAGACTCTTTGCCAGTAATACAACAGTAAAAAGCATAGGTTTCTAATCGCTTAGCTGTATAATAGGGCGATATTATTTGCGGTGCGGTCGGACGCCAGCTGCTGGAGCGTTATCTCATCAAAGGCAATAGCAAGATGGCAGATGCCATTTCTTCGCAACAGCTTTTGAAGATTTGTACCGAGATGAGCATGGATGTCTCTAGGCCTGTTTCCAATTTATCATTGCGATCTAGGGCCTACAAATTTTCTTGTTGGTGTCCAACAGGCTTACTGGGTATAGTCGATTGGACGCTTGCTGTTTATGTTCCTTCCAATGGGTCAGAACCCATTATTCGAGTCTCGGCAGGAATGGATCTCAATCATGGGAGTGAGGGCTTCAAAAGCGACGGAAAATATGGGCTACAGCGATGTTGTGGATGCATGGTTGAATTTCCAGGCCATTTGGTCTGGTAAACAATTTTCGCTTCTACACACTTAACTCGTACTACACATTTATATAAGCACTTCATGCTCGAGACGATTCAGTTAAGAAAATCCACATCTAGCATTAATACATGGTGTATGCTGAACAACAAAAGACTCGCACCGACCCAAAGATACCATGGACATGGAAACAAAACGAAACGGCCCTCACTCCAGATGCCCGCTGTCAAGGAAAACCGAGTTTCAAGCAATTCAATGCCCATACTAACACCAAGGGAATAGATACGGGGAATAACACAAGAGTTGATTGGCCAAGTAACGAAAGGACCGAAAAAAGGGATTTGCATACGTTAGAATCAAAAGGCCTATGCCTCAACCAGAGTCTGTTTGGGACCGGCGCCCAGCAACTCCAAGCACCGCCGTGCGAGTGCAATCACTTCTCCCTCGCCATCATCCATGTCCTCCTCGTCAGATTCAATGTTCTTGTCGGAGATTGACTTGACCATCTGTACAATGTCTTCCGACTTGGAGATGTACCCGATGAGCTTGTTATCTTCGGATTCTAGTAGCTGAAGAAGCGTCCAGATGGCAATATGCTGGAAGGTCGGGTCGCCACTTGCGAGGAATCGTTGGAGGTAGCCGTGGATACCGCCGTTCGGGTCTGTCCAGTTACGGACAAAGATCGAATAGTCGCCCACTAATTTGGTGAGTGGTGGATTCAACGAAAGTTAAGGGGACAAAGAGAAAGCAAAAGAAAGAAAGAGGAGGGGGGGGAAGACGAGTCGTTATACACACCTTTGGAAGAAAGATTTCCCAAAGCAGCTGCACTGTTCCCTTGCACCTCCACACTCTCAGAGTTGGTCAGTGGTATCAAGACATCGAATACCCCTAGATTGAGGAGATGGATTTTTAATTCATCGCTGAGGGCCAGCACAGCGATCGCAGCAGTCATTTCGGATTGGACAGTTAGTGGAACCCGGAGGACCAGGTCCTTGCATTTCTGCACAGCACCAGCCTGCAGGACGAGCTCCTTGTTCTTGTCAGAGCTAGCAGCAAGGTTACGCAGTGTGGAGATAGCATGGCATTGAATCTCCTCGTTGTCAGTGGTACCTAGCAAGTCCACCAGCGGCTTCAGGAAGCCTGCTTCAATGATTGGGGACTCATTGAGGGGATGGATGGAGATGTTGCGGATGCAAGCAACGGCAGAGAGGATCAAAGGGAGGTAGGAAGATTGTAGAAGCCGAAGCAGGGGAGCAAGTCCCCTGGCCCGAACAATCTCCAGCTGGTATTTCTCATCGGAAGCCAGGTTGCGCAGGGCGAGAGCAGCTTGACATTGGACCTTGGGGGTGGACGAGTCCATCAAGTGGACCAATGATTGGACCAGACGGGACTCGGTCTGGGCAAGTCGCTTGCGATTGGTCGAGTCGACTGCAATATTGCTGAGGGCAGTTGTGCAGTAGTATTGTACATCAACATCGGGAGAGGAGAGGAGGTGAACGAGGACTGGAATGGCACCAGCGTTGACAAGTTGTTGTCGGTTATCATCTACGGAGGTTAGCGATGGACCCCAGCTCTGAAAGAGAAGAGCAACCTACCGGAATGGGTCATGTTGAGCAGCGCTCCAGTCGCGTTCCGCTGAACGCGCATATCCTTCGACTTGGCCAGCCGGATGAGAGGACCTAGCGCGCCCGATCGAGCGATCTTGGCCTTGTTCTCTTCGTGTGTAGCCAGATTCGTGATACAACCCACCGCATTGCACTGCACTTCCACGTTTGGCGACATCATTTGGCGGATCAGAGGGGCCAGCCCCCCAAGGGCAACGATCAAGACCTTGTTTTCACCTGCGTCGGGGTTAGTGATGACCACACATGGCGAAGAACGCACACTGACCATTGACGGCAAGATTGCCCAGCGCAGCACTGGCAGCTCGCTGGACTTCTAGATCGGAGCTTTGTAACAGAAAAAGGATAGGGTCCAGGGTGTCGCGGTCTACCTCCCGTACATCTGCAAGAAAGAGGTTAGGCATTGCATCACCGCAATTTGCGTCATCACGCACCTCGTTCGGTGATCTCGGCGAACGTCAAACTCGCGCTTCGCTGTAGATCGATATTATCGGAGTATACGAGAGTGCTCAAAGCTCGCAGCGGTTCTCCTGAGAAGAAATCGGTTTCGGCGCGCTGGACAGGGGAACGGGTTAGCCATGATTTGAGGTGAAAGCAATCCCGACCGGAAGTGTGGCGAAGCATCCTAGCTAACCGCGACCACATACATTTTCTAAGTATCCTAGTAGATCTGAGACCGCTTCTCGTTCATTATCGGCTAGAGTTGTTTCATAGATGTCTTCTCGAGAGCGGCCTGCCCCGAGACAGGCGGTTATATGACACCATCGGTCGACGGCCGACAGGCACGACCAGCAAGTGGTAGCGAGTCCACTCATGCCTCCTTCAACAGGCCCGCATCCGGGCGTGCAGTATATGCGATAGATCGAAGTGAGGGAGTCGACAGATTTCAGCGGGGTGGAAGTCGAGAGGCTGGAGCCCGAAGCATGCGCAAGCTTTTCTGGGGGGCGGGGAACACAAGCGCGTGATTGTGTTTGAGGTTTGATCTGGTCTTAACCAGGGAAGAAGAGAAATAAGTGGACGGGGATGGAAAGGGAAGAAGGGGGGTGATGAAGAGGAAGGACGAAGTGTTGCAGGAGCTTTCTCACTAGTTTTCCCCCTCAACCCGTGTTCAAGGGAAACCGGGACCTACAAGTATAAGTTTGACAGCTTAGTCCTTTACCACTTCATAGTTTCAACCTTATCTTCCGGAGCTTCATTCAATTATTTGTCCTTTCTAATTTGGATTTTGAATCTGTGACTCCATTCTACAATGGATCAGCAGTTTATCTAGTGCTACCTTGACCGAAGATAACGGAGCTTCAGCACATCATCCGCAGCTACCACCAATCAGCGTTACCACGTTCGGGATTTGATACCTCGGTTTAGCGCAGCCAATTTGGGATGACATGGTGGATTGAGCATTGGTATAGACTGGCATGTATCAAAGCAATACATCTACTCTCATCTCTTACCCGGTTGCCCATATCGTCAAGTCTCATACCCTATGTCACCCCAGCCTCCCCAGTGGGTCCGTGCAGTGTAGACCCAATGACGTCCTGTCTCCGTCTTGTGATGCGAAGCATATGATCACCAGATGCAAGTGATGTTGCGATAGCATTCTTATATCAAGACTTATCAAAGTTTCCATTATTTTCTCGTGCACCCATCAGATGGTTGATTAGAGGGGGGGAAAGCGAGAACGTGCACGGTGTCGCCATCGGCTAAACCTTCAGAGGCAGCGATGGCCGCGAAGGCTTAAAAGGGCTTTTCCCCGCAAAATCGAAAAAAATAAGATAGCGAGGGGCAAATGACTATTTGATATGCAAGAATCAGCGATAGGTCCCTAGGTGTTCTGGCGACTAGCGCACATGAGTTAAATGGGCCCATTCGTTTTCTTTCAACTCTTATATTAGGGTCTCGTCCCGTTTGGTTCCATGAAAACTCCTCGACGGTTATATCATCGACATTCCTCTGATTGGATTTCCCTTTTTTGGATTTGAACATCTGAACCGTTCCTGGCTTTCATTTCCCCAATTTGCCTCCTTCTCCTCTTCTCTCTCTTTCAACCTGCAATACACCAACAACCTATCGCACCTGAAGAAAGATGTCTTGGTAAACCACTTTAAGCCGCTTTTTAGCCCAGTTGCCGATCTCCCTGACGTACTCTGTGCTCTGGTATCTATTCGCTTGCCTGAGAAATCGAGAGCAACTGTGTGTCAAAAGGCAGAATTCCCCCTGCCCAGTGCAAACCACGCCATGTCTGCCTCTACCGCCACCGCCTCCACATTGTCTGACCCTCCTCGCCCGGGGCGTCTCCGCCGCCTTAGCCAGCTACGCGCTTACACCCAAAATCTCTCTTCCCCCAGTGGGCAACGGGCCCGCAATTCTTTGAGTAGTCGAATCCCCTGGTTATCGCCGACTTCTAGTGAATTCCCCCAAAGCCAGGGGACCTCTACTTCATGCCCTGACGATCATACGCCTTTGTCTCGCTACACGTCTGCGCCCACTGGTTACCGAGCCGATAGCCAAGTCTCATCCGCGGAATCTGCATCTCCCCCTCCCAACGACTCGAATCACTCTTCTGGCATGGCTCGACTCCGAAGCGTCTCCGCCGTTTCTGGTCGAACACCCCGACTGGGGCGCACGGCGACCCCGGAGTCACTGACCCAAATACAAACCACCCCGGTACCAGCCCCAGCGGCCACCCCGTCCCCAGAGCCAACCACTTCGAGCGACGCAGCGGATCTGCCCATCACCCTCGATGCGCAATCACCAAACGCACCCAAACAGAAGGCCACGATCCGATTTTTCCCCTATCAGGATAGTTACCAAAATTCGCGCCCTTCATTACCCTTTGTCCCCATCTCTCGCACTCTACCCTCGGAGAGCTGTGTGATTCGAGTGGGTCGCTATTCTGAGCGTGATGGCATCCCCATCCCCAACCCCACTGAGCCTTCAGATGCTCCTGTGGGCTTTAAATCTAAAGTGGTCAGCCGCAAGCATTGTGAATTCATGTATGTCAATGGCCAGTGGCATGTCAAAGATGTAGGCAGTTCGTCTGGCACGTTCTTGAACCACATGCGTCTGAGTCAGCCAAACATGCAATCTCGTCTATATACCATTAAGGACGGCGATATTGTGCAGCTAGGCATTGATTTTCGGGGCGGCGAGGAAATGATATTCCGCTGCGTGCGCATTCGCATCGAGTGTAATCGCTCTTGGCAGCAACAACCCAATGAGTTCAAGTATGATTATCTCATCTTTCTTATGCTATTCTTGCTAATTGTTAATCAGTAAAAACACGGAGAGTCTCATCAAGAATTTGGGCAAGGGTGAGACCGCGGATTATTCAGGCTGCCGCGAGTGCTCCATTTGTCTGGGCTCGGTTTTGGTACGCCATTCATTCCTAGCAATCGCAACTATCGCTAATCTTTATTCAGCGGCCATACCAGTGTCTGTTCATGGCGGCATGTGCCCATGTTTGGCATTATAAATGCATCAGTCGCCTGCTTCATTCCCCCGATTACCCCATGTTCCAATGCCCCAATTGTCGCGCATTCACAGACCTGAGCGCTGAAGTCGACGACACAAACGACTACGAGCCCGAGGGCAAGGAAGAAAAAGAAGCGCCAGCAACTGAAGAAAGTGTACCAGAGCCTCGTTCCGAGACACACTCGCCTGCAAACGCTCCCCTCGCCAGTGATGCGCACCAGGAAGATATCATCCCGGAAGAACCAGACTTGGTCACCGATGTGGAAAACCTGCACTTGCAGGAACAGAGGCCAGACGTGGATACGGAAGACAGTCGCAGCACAGACTCTCCTGCTCCCAACGGGAGCAATGATGATCTTTCGCGTAGCGCCACTACCAATATACCCGGCTGGCAACCCACTCAGCCCCTCAATGTTCCTCATGTCTCTCATCTCCGTGCGGATACACCAGTCCGTTCGGAGACCTCGGATGACAACCCCTTGACCCCAAGAAATGATTCGGGGCCCCTTGCCTTTGACGGTCGTGCAGGCATGCAATAACGAGTGATTGGCACTCGAATCTACGATTCATCTCGTGATATTGGTCACATACATTTTTAAATTTATATTGGAAACCACAAATATTGGCGGTTTTTTGATGCATCTGCATGCCCTCAATAGCGTTATATTCTCGTTCTCGTCTAATTTGACTCATGGCACTCTGGCGTTTCCTTTGTTCCTACCCCCTGTCGTTTTTTATACCCCTCATGCAGCAGACTCATATGGTGATATTAGACGATCTAAGAACTTTTTATGATTGATCTTCACTTTGTTCTTATTTACCAGTCCATATCGAGTCAAATGCTTTTCAATATGCAGTTCTTAGATGTTATTCTTGTCCTGAGTCTCGTAAACCCAGACGACAATGATTAGTGCTTATTGCCCCGCTTATGAAGTCAGCCTTATACTGTGGGGCTGTAGGACTTCCCTGGGCAGGTCAAAGCTCAAACTTCGATCCTCATCGATCATTAGAAGCCTCATAACCATGTTTCTCGATCTATCATTCGAAAATATATCCACGTGGTCAAATATAGTCTTGAAAATACTCACCATCAGTACAGATAGATTGGAAATACCTTAGGAACACATTATCGATGACATCTTCATCTTCCATCGTTGTTTTCTTCCCGATCAGAGCCGCAAAATAGATATTGATCTCACGGCTATACTAGTCTACAGCTGAACTCTTGTCCCGATGAGTTGTATGTGGGCCAGCGCGTAATGACACGCCATATAATTCGTAATCCACATTTTGCATCTCTGTACAACATTGCTACGAGGTAGCTCCAAGGTCCACCAGAAATTCCGCAACTTGATCTTGTCCCATGAACCGAGCAGCTCTCAGAGCACTTCCACGATGGTCATCCTCAGCATGAATGTTTGCTCCTGCCTCTAATAAAACCTTCACAACTTCAAGACGGCCAGAACCAGAGGCCCGTGCCAAAGCATTATAGTTGTAACGACCTCCACTGCCATTGACGTCGGCTCCGTTCTCCAACATAAAACACACAATCTCAAGATGCCCACGACTCGAGGCCACTGTCAGAGCACTTCCATATCGCGAAGTTTGCAAATTAACATCAGCTCCATGTTTTATAAGCATTCTCACTGTTTTGAGGTCATCCCATTCGGCAGCAATATAAAGAGCTGTGTTATAATCTTCATCGTCGTATGCAGAATCTGCTCCGGCCTCTAGTAAGAGTTGAATAATTTCATGAAAGCTATTCCAAGAAGCAGCAATCAAGGCGCTACCCCATGGTCCATGGGTCGAGTCGTTCGGATCAGCCCCATTCTTCAGTAGGAGCCGAGCAATCTGAAGATGGCCTTGGGATGATGCAGCCTGAATGGCAGATCCGTGTTCACCACCGCGATCATCGACGTTGGCCCCTCTCTCTAGAAGAAGTCGTGAGGTTTCAAAGTCGCCATTGTAGGCAGCCAATTGAAGAGCTGAAGTTCTTTGAGGACAGCCAAATTCATATGAGCTTGTGAGGTTGGGGTCTGCTCCATTTTCTAGCAGAGTTTCGACAACTTTGAAATATCCTTGATATGTCGCAATTGCTAGTGGGTATCCAAGCTCAATGTCTCCATGATGATTTGGATTTGCACCATTTTCCAACAAGAATTGACAGATTTGATGTTCCCCTTTCCATGACGCCCATATCAAAGCGGTGGTCATATGCTGACCTGTTTGATCTACGTCTTCTTTGTCTTCATGGACCAGCCTTTCAATAATTCGAGCATGACCATTGAAAGCAGCCAATTGTATGGAACTGAGTCTGCAAGATTTTCTGTTGCACAGGCCTCGAGAACGGTTCCGGAATTTGGGCTTCGACACTCTATCCCAGAAAATAGCATACCAAAGCGAAAACCGGTCAGTCGATGTGTCATATAACCGGTAAGACATATCGTCCAGAAGTGTACAATTCTTCGAGGTCGGAGACATATTCCGTACGTGATCTGGCCAATGTTCTGCTGAGTATTCCAAAAGACTTCGAGTATTGGAGGACGTTTCATCTCCATATCCGAAATCCTCCATCAATAAGTATCGTACGCAAACCTCAGCCATCAGGCTCTCAGTATCGCTGACGCTGCATGAATATGGAAAACCGACACGATGGAAACTCGCATCTCCGATGAGAAACTCCCTTGCGGTTTGATGAATCAGGTAGATTTTGGAATTGTTGATGAAGACGAATAAGCCACACAGACGGCAGAGCTTCTTTTCAATCTGAAGCGGTTCCAGGCCAGCATCTTTTGAAGATTTTGCTTGTGGTTTGATAGCTATCCCGAGTGCCATAGCCATTTCCACTATTGACAAAGGACGCCTTGCTGCAACGATGATTTGCAACGCCTTTCTCACAACATTCATCTGTTCAGGTGGAACTCTACTGAGAATCCTTGTATATGCCTCGTTCACCGAGGGAGGCACTGCTTGAATTGACTCTAGAGCGGGTTGGAGGCTATTCTCGAGCGTAGATCGGATATCGTCAATAGCCAAATGTAACCAAAGATAGGTTCGGTGTTCCATTTGCAGAAGCTGTTCTTCGAGTCGCTTTTTTATATCGGATGACAAAAATGCTGATCTGGCAAGCTCCTCAACTTGCATTTTCACAACCAAATCGATTTCCTTATGAATCTGATCGTTTTCGTCCTCTCCTTTCAGGTGTAGGTTTGGAAATGAGTCCGTGATCATTTGGAAGCGACTCTGGATGTGTGTATAGGGACGGCTGGTGACTAAAAATTTCAAAGTGGCGGACCAACTGGCGTCCAAGCCGGCGTCCTGTGTTGATGAGCATTGCTGGCGGTGGAAAGACTGGAGTTTCTTAGTTAACCGATCTTGATCAATCTCACGGCATTCATCTAGTGCATCGAATATACATATCGTCAGAGACGATACGTCTGATAATGAAGCTTCTATAAAGATCTGCCAAAGTTCATCGATCTCTTGACGGAGTCTTTCTCCGTTCCTTTTCCAGTGTGGCATTGCCTGGTCCAATAGATGCGGCCGCTGGCTGAATAGCTGATGGAGAATTGAGCATAGTGCTGTAGCGAGATAGTTCTGTTCGTCGTTGTCCTTGAAGAAAAAGTAACAAATCGTCACAGCTGGACAAATTTTCACGTCATCAACGATCGATCTAGCCAGTACAGACTTTCCGCAACCAGGGTCGGCAGACACCCATAGGAGATCATTTTGGATGCTCTTCCACCAACGGATGTATTCAGGGCTTTGTAGAGCCCATTGGCATGTTCCTTCTATTCTTTTCGGATTGATGTTCTTTTATTCTTCGTAATTTGATACCTTGAAAACTTGATGATAAACATGTTCGTCTACATAACCTATAAGTTAATTTTCATCCTGATCATAAATATGATTAGCTTACTAGATATAACCAAACTGATTCTCTCTTCGGCTTCAACTCTATTAATAGGAATCCTCTGTAGAAGGTCCCTTGCGTAAGCAGCTGCCACCATTGCTGAATAGCCTTGCCACCTTCTGTTCTTATGTGAGTCCGAGTAGTCGCAGATACCCCGAATAACTAAACACGGGAAAGTGTTCATCAGTCCGGCAGCTTCCATCTCAAAAAAGAGGACGTCTTTTTCCGCGGCAAGTGCATCTCGAATCAAAGCATCATTCATTAATTGATTACCGGAAGCAATCAGCCCGTAATGAATGGCAGGACTTTCGTCGTACTGAGCCCGTTCACTTCTTTGTACTAACTTTGATGGATCATCCATACATAATCCATTACTATGGCATTCCAGGCTGTGTATAAAATCAGCTTTAAATAGCCTATCCGTGCTTATAGGTGGGCGTTCTTATTCGTGTCCGTGATGTAGCCTAGGGTTTCCGTTGACAATGTTATTGGTGACTTCCTGGAGTTTATGCCCTTTCCTTTTATATTGTGCTTGAATTCCCGAAATGGCAGTGCGTAGTATAGTTGGTGGCTGGTTAAGGAACCGCGTCTGCTGAAATGTTTGGCCCTGGATCGATTTGCCAAAATCGTATTGAAACACACCATCCTCACTACCACGAGGTGCACTAACCACGATATCACCTAAGCGAATATCATGACTTTCGCTTGGTACACCACCGCCAATACCGACCATAAGGCCGATCCTGATGTTATGAAAACTGTTCAGCATGTTTGTCGCTACATTGGCCGCAGAAGCTGTTCCATATTCCCCATCGGGAATGACAGCAATAACGACGTTATGTTCACCCATCTGATACACGTATTGATTGTATTCTACTAGGGACCCATAAACATTCGAGTCTCTTAGTATTAGAGCGCCAGAAAGGAAATATACCAGTAACTAGGGAGAGACTAGGCTTCACTACCGTGGTTCGAAGGCTTACAATTTGGTTGACTTAGTTGTTCGATATGGAAGACGATATGCGGCACTGTAGCCCGTTCTATGCATAGGTTTGTTACGATTTGTATAAACAATGGCTGAAGCAAGACTGTGAAAGATCCGCGATCATGGCTTCCTTAGCTCTCTTTTTAAGCCCCATGGCTACTTTTTATTTGATTGAAAAATGCAGATACCTGGATAGGTGCGTGGATATATTCAATATAACAACAACAACAACAACAACAACAACAACAACAACAACAACAGATGGCGCCTACGTAGTAACAACACGCATCTAGCAGCAACGCGACATCATACCATGATAGAGGAAATCAACCAAGCAATTGAGCAATCAATATATGCAAAATGCAAAGAGAGAATGACCACTGAGCTTATACTCTTTTCTTCACGTTCTCGCAAATACAATAATTGCAAGTGTTCCGAGTAATAGTCAACTCCTTCCACACCTTCCTCAAGTAGGAACAATGTCTCAATCTTGAAACTTTCTGGATGATATCACCCTGCAAGCTCATAGTTGGCCTTCCAAGTTATCTCATAAGCACGGTGACCATTGAGTCTCAGAAGTCTCAACATCGTCACTTGTGTAGCAACAATCTCAAGTGCATTCTTCATTACATAACCGGGCCCGTGGCATTCAAAGGCAAACTTTAGGTCTGCCAGGAAATGGTTCACTCTTTGAATATGCCATTCGAAGCAATTACCATTATTGGGCCTTCGAAGAATAGGTCGCCGGGGGCTTTCGACAGCTTTTCCAAAGTTTGCATGTCATCTTTGAGTCCCTTGGTAATCTTGAGGTATGATGATGTCAGTATTGAAGAGCCCTTCTGAGTAATGAGGTCTTGGTATCTGTTAAAATGCAGATAAAATTGCTCGGCGGCTATAGAATTGACGGTAGCGCGAAAGGCTCATGGCTGGTTTCGTTGAAGCTTCGAGCTTTGGTTTTGGTTTTTACGGGTAAGGTAAATTGAGATGAAGTTTGTTGATGTCTGGAAGTATGGAGGAGAACGTCTGACATTTGGTATTTATGCATGAACCTTACGTAGGCCAATCTCGGTGGTCTATTCTAGGAATTTCCTGCTACTAATGAGTGATCGAAAAATTGTCCATTTACAAAAGTGCCTTCCAGGGATATAACCCAACTTTGGAAAAGGGTGAAATGAAACACATTGACCGGTGCTTTCTTACAAAGATTCGCCGACTTGTGGCTGTGCATCTTTGATCAGGATGTGAAAAGACAAGGCTTGGATCGTTATCAGATTTACCAGTACATAGTTATTGTACTCCGGTACATAAGACTGGATGAGCCATTGTTGTAATGCCATGATTTGCATTGTGATTTGATAGACTCTGTCATTCAAAGATAAAAAGGACAATCTGGCAAGACATCCAGTCCGTTACTTCTAGATCTTCTCGTCAAACCCAGTCATTGCTTACACCCTTTTAATATCTAATAGAGGGCCGCAAAGGTTAAATAGAGAGCTAGCTAGTCCCGGTAAACAAAGATGATTGTTCTTCCAATGGATGTTCACATTCTCTAGAATGTTCATTTTTGCCGTCGCAGATCAAAATTCGGTGCCATTGAAACTGAAATGGGCCTTGAAAGACTGCCGCTGTGTATAGCAATGATATAGAGCGAAACTTGAAGATCCACTCCCTTAGTCCGGCCCAGACTACTAGGTATAGGAACATGGCTCGTAGTACACCTAACTCCTCAGCATTTTGGTAGTTCATACTCAAGAAAGTCTCATTATAGTCTTTAAAGCTCGCTCCCTGTCGATTTGACTCAATAATTAGTCGCAAACCGATGCTCCTAAGCTGCCCTGTTTGTCTGAAGGTGAGAGGAAGTGTAAACCAAGCCCTATCGGATAATTCTTCCTATCACCCCTGTTCACTGTCAGCACTATTGTGCAAGGTGATGATATTGTGTTTTAGTGATATACAAATAGAGTCGAGAACCCCAGGGACAGTCGGCGCTAGTGAAATTAGGTAACATGTCTTGAATTGTGATGCCGGATTGCCCTACCCATCCCGACTCGCAATGTTGGAATAGTTGAGCCACCCCTTAATAGACAGTGTTTGATTTCCTCTGCCAATCACTCATAGATCGACAAGGATCTTGCTTGGATGCTAGGCAAGGATATTGGTGGGGGTGGCAGGTATCGGTGCGGGGTTCAGAGTCGACAAGTTATCCAATAACAGTAGGACGCGCTCAGCTGAAAAATAATCAGCTACTCATTGCCCGTCAGCTTCTTCGATAACACTACCAGCCCGCTTACAACTACAGCCATGTCATCTAACAATAAATTTAATGGCTTTAATAGGGGAATGCAAATGGGAGCAAGCCATGGCAACGTCAATGTGCAATTCGGCCTCAACAATGGTACGTTTCGAAACCCAAATGATCCTGCGGGAGCGTGACTGACAGCCACTTCTAAGACCAAGGATGTCTGAAGTGCTTGCGAATAACGGATCCCCGCCTCGATAAAGACCGCATTGAGAGCGACAAGGGTGGACTTTTGAATGACTCCTATCGCTGGATCCTGAGCAACGACGACTTCAAACAGTGGCGAAATGACCCAGAAAGCCAGCTGCTCTGGATCAAGGGCGATCCTGGAAAGGGCAAGACAATGCTACTTTGTGGAATCATCAATGAACTGACTGCGTCAACTGACGAGGACATAACCACGATATCTTTCTTCTTCTGCCAGGCCGCTAATTCTCACATCAATAATGCCACGGCGGTTTTACGCGGACTGCTCTATCTTATTCTCGATAAACAGCCAGCATTGATCCCACATTTACGAAAAGAGTACGATAAGGCCGGGAAACAGCTGTTCGAGGGTGTTAATGCGTGGTACGCATTATCAAGGATCTTCATTGATATTTTAAAAGATCCGCTCTTACGAAGCACTTATCTCATTATTAATGGACTCGACGAATGCACCCAAGATCTACAGCTACTTCTCAATCTTGTATTAGAAAACTCATCATTCAATTCGAGGGTTAAATGGATTGTCTCTAGTCGTAATTGGTCCAATATTGAGGAGTCCCTTGATAATGCGGAAAAAAAGGTTAGGCTTTCTCTAGAGTTAATCGAGAATTCCATCTCCGAAGCCGTGGCTATCTACATTCACCATAATGTTTAGATGTTGGCAAAGCTGAAGAAGTTCGATGAGAAAATAATTGAGACTATTCGCTTCCACCTGTTGTCAAACGCACTTGGTACTTTTCTTTAGGTGGCCTTGGTCTGCGAGGAATTAAGGAGAAGAAAAGCGCGAAACGCCCGCATACTACTGAATGCCTTTCCAGCAGGCTTGAAACCTCTTTATAGGCGGATGATAGGGCATATCCAAGACCCAGGAAATGCAGAAGATGCAGAGCTTTGCATGCGTATCCTAGCCGTTGCCACTACTGTGTATCGACCTATCACTCTTAAAGAATTACTGGCCTTGGTCGAAATACCTGATCATCTCTCCAGAAATGACCAGTTTTTGGCAGACTTGATTGGGGACTGTGGCTCTTTCCTGAGCCTCCGTGGCCGTACAGTTTCACTTGTTCACCAATCCGCAAAAGATTTTCTACTTGAAGAAGTCTCAAGTGAGAAGTTTCTCGTTTTCCCCCAGGGTGTTAAAGCCATACATCACATAATATTTTTGCGGTCTCTATAGGCCATATCTAATACACTTCGACGTGATATCTACAATCTCACACATCCTGGATTTCCTATTGAACAAGTCAAACAGCCTGACCCAGATCCACTGGCAATGGTACGATACTCATGTGTTTATTGGGTCGACCACTTACAGGATTGTAATTTCGGTGAAAGCGCCGATCAGGACCTCCACGAAGTTGGTGCCGTGGATTCATTTTTTCGAAAAAAGTATCTTCATTGGATTGAAGCCCTTAGTCTTCTCAGAAGCCTTTCTAAAGGCATAACGGCGATAGCCAAGCTTGATAGCTTACTCCAGGTAAGCATTCATACTTATTTACACCATATCTTTCTCTTGATTAACTAATAGGCATTTTAGGCCAAGATTGGCATCACACAAGCCCTTTTGGAGCAAGTTGCTGATGCATCTCGATTTATCCGATACTACAGGCTGGCGACGGAGAGCTGGCCCCTTCAAGTATACAGCTCATCGCTAATGTTCAGCCCAACCCAGAGCATTACTAAAGCTTGCTATCAAACGGAGAGGCCAAATTGGCTTGTCAATGAATCAGTATTGGCAGATGATTTGGAGTCCATGCCTTCAAACCCTCGAGGGACATAGCGAAAGAATCGTATCAATCACCTGGTCGCAGGATGGACGCCTCGCATCTGGGTCTGGGGATCATACTATTAGAATCTGGGACCCAGCCACTGGTCAGTGCACATCAACGCTCGAGGGGCATAGTGGTGAAGTCACGTCAATCACCTGGTCGCAGGATGGACGACTCGCATCTGGGTCTAGGGATAAGATTATTAGGATCTGGGACCCGGCAACTGGCCAGTGCATATTAACACTTAAGGGGCATAGCGATATAGTCACGTCAATCACCTGGTCACAAGATGAACGACTCGCATCCGGGTCTTATGATAAGACTATTAAGGTCTGGGACCCAGCCACTGGCCAGTGCATATCAACGCTCGAGGGCCATAGCGATGAAGTCTCGTCAATCACCTGGTCGCAGGATGGACGACTCGCATCTGGGTCTTGGGATAAGACTATTAGAATCTGGGACCCGGCCACTGGCCAGTGCACATCAGCGCTCAAGGCACATAGTGAATCCGTCCAGTCAATTGCTTGGTCGCAGGATGGACTACTCGCATCTGGGTCTTGGGATAATACTATCAGGATCTGGGAACTAGCTACTGGCCAGTGCATATTAACACTTAATGGGCATAGTCGTGTAGTCTTGTCAATCACCTGGTCGCAGGATGGACGACTCGCATCTGGGTCTTGGGATATGACGATCAGAATCTGGGACCTAGCTACTAGCCAGTGCACATCAACGCTTGAGGAGCATAGCAGTGCAGTCACGTCAATCACCTGGTCGCAGGATGGACGGCTCGCATCTGGGTGTTGGGATAAGACAATCAGGGTCTGGGACCCAGCCACTGGCCAGTGCACATTAATGCTCGAGGGGCATAGTGAGGGAGTTATGTCAATTATCTGGTCGCAGGATGAAAGACGACTCGCATCTAGGTCATATGATAAGACTATTAGGATCTGGGACCCAGCCACTGGCCAGTGCATATCAACCCTTGCTGTCAATTATCCTTGCGATCTTCAATTTGATGAAACGAATTTGAATCATCTGCATACTGATATCGGCACATTCAATATCGAAAATTTTGTCTCTACCAAGACCTCTCATGACAATTCAGCTACAAAACCACATCCAATAGGGTATGGCTTGAATGGTGACTGCACCTGGATAACCTGTCGAGGAGAAAATCTTCTATGGTTGCCCTCGGAGTATCGACCAAAAATTTCCACATTATCACCCGAGTCTTCAAGTCTGGCAATCGGTTGTTTGTCAGGTCGAGTCCTAATCTTTAAATTCCCGAAGGAAAATCCTGCCCATGTCATAACAAGTAAGGTTGGAAGCCGATAATAGCTAGGGCACGTATTTGTATGCTAGGTAGTGTCATTAGGTTATCACATATTCCCAAATGACTTCTCATCTTCTATTACGGTAATTCGTGGAGTCATGAAATAAAATGATTAAATTACTTTCTATCCTATTTAATCCATAATTTATCTGGTAGAATGATTCAAGTCACTAAGCACGGACGGGTACTTATACGCATTATATAGCTGACGATTTCGTTCCAGAACCTTGTTATACACGAGTACCAGATTGCGTCTTTTCGGGTGATGAGCTGAGCCAGATAGGAGATCAATGACTGATCACCACAAAACCAAGTGGACTCCCTACTTGCCCATGCCTGGGGCAATGCATTAACTAATCGAATTCAGAGTAGCCATCCGATCGAGTACATACCCCGGAAAGTCAAGATGATTAAGTTTGAGGTCCACTGAAACTGCGGACTCTCTCACTTATATTTCGGCTCAGATAAATCCATATCTTGCTTTCGACTTGAATGAAGTGAGACCACATGCTCTCTAATACATTGAAAGCCAGGTACAGTAGCATCTTGCCCGAATTGCCATTGCCATCTTAGTTCAAACACATGGGCTAGGGAGGTGTCTAACCTCACATTTTTTTTACTTCGTAACTTGGCCCCGGATCCAAGTCCAAGATTGTCCTCAGCTCCATACCTGGCAATCTTCGAAGCATAGATCAGCTGTTGTTTATGACGAAAATGCAGAGCATACAGGGTATCTACCGCGAGCACCTACGGGCCAAACAACAAGCCCGCGAGCATCCAAATGACTTCGCACCCTACCTCAATAATTTGGAACGTCAACTCCTCACGGATCCAGAAGCGCATCGTGCTATGGTCTACTTTGTCAGACTCCAACCTGATCTCCAGCGGGAAATGGAATTGTGTCGACGAACGCTGCCTTCCAGGCGCGGTGAGATGGTCGAGTACGCATTTGAATGCTGGGGCAGAAATGAACTGGGAGCGAGCCAGAAGCGAAGAAGAGAGTCGACCCAAGAAGCGTCGTCGATGGGGTCACAAGCGTCGGCAGGGAAATAAGCGAAATTAGGAGGTTCGATTGTGGAAACATAGGCTACCGAGGTGGTTTTTAGGCTCGTGGACGGGGTAATCCCAGATTATACGTCAACAACTCTTCGATCAACTGATTCACCGCTAGATACCATCAAAAGGAAAATGCCAGAGTTGAACCAGCTGGAAAGTCCCTCTACCTTAGCCCTCATCGACTAGAAACCGACGATAGAAAACGAAGCAACAGAACTTGATAATACGCTCTTAAGGCTCGCATCGGCCATTGTTTCCAACATATCAAAGCCTGACAGAGGCGTCATTGCTATCAACATAAGCTGAGTGAATATTAGATTTCCTCTATGAGAATGAGGTACTGCCAACCAAAGAAAAAACAGTATGGAGTACATAGATAGATAGTACATGTGTTGTGGATTTAAAAATTGTTACTAAAACGCCCCAGATGAAATTTCAATGTGCCTCGGGTATCATCGTGATGCAGTAGCTTGCCACATGGCCTCGCTAGTCGGAGAAAATTACGTGAAAAAGAGAAATAAATCAAGTATAGGGCGAATCATGACGCAGTGATCATAGGTGATCCAAGATTGTCCGTCGAGCCTTCAGATCGGAGATCAAGTGTACTTGAGGCCCTGAGTGGTGGAACAGCCAGCTTGTCGTCCGTATGTAGAGAGGGGTGCTCAGGAGCTGATACGCTGGTTGCGCGTGATGTATCGGAATCGTCGTCGGTGATGGTGGTCGTAACGGACATGTTTTCGGAAATGGTGCAGTTGGACACTGATTCAGTCGTCTCGTATGGGATGGTTTCTGGGGTTGCAGCCTCATCAGGCTGTGTGGAAAGTGGTCCCTCAACGGCCTCGTAAAAAAGCATGAAAACCCCGCCCTGAGACATCACATGGCCTTCACTGACCATCTGCACATCGTCATCACTCAGTCGGTACCAGCGTTCGGGCTTTTCTTTGTCTCCTTCGGCTTGAAGTACTTCATCTGGAACAGGAGCTGGGAATGTAGCAGTCGGATATTTTCGGTAGCAGATGTAATGTCCGTTCTCATGGCGGCCATAGTGGGTGATGATGGCCCGAAGTTCATAGTGTCTGCTGGGTAGGCAAACTGCCTGACCTGGCGAGGGGAGCATGGATTGAGAGGGATTTGTCACCCATTGCTCAAGTCCGTCCTCGGATTTCTCAACTCGAGTGCCGAGGCACCAATCATTCAAGTCCATTCGGCTTGGGAACTTGACCGCAGCATAGTTTTTTTTCAGCATTCCAGTCATTTCATCGAATAGACTCCGGTTGATGTGAACAGCCAGGCACTGTGGTGCGCGCGCAATGACTGCCTGCCGGGATTTGGTGGTAGTAACCCGATTTTTGGATGGGATATGACACTTGTTGGTAAGGGTCTTCTCGGCGAAATCGTCTTCATCGAGAGCAGCTTGCACGGAATCAAGCCGCTCCTGTGCAGAGGTCCTCAAAGCATCGGATAATCCTGGCGTCTGTAAACTGTCGGGTGAACCTGCGTCGTCCGTCATACCACCCAGGAGGTTTTTGAGTTGAAACTGTGCACGTAACAATGTGCATTTGGCACACTCCACTCCCTCAATGGGCTCCAACGTCATGTATTGATCCAAACACTCGCGTACGTCATACTCAAAGCTTCCACCGAGCGGTACGGTAAGACAGTTGAAAGGAATGAGCGACAGCCCTTCGGTCCAGCCACATTGCATGCAGCCCACTCGTTGGGCTAGCAACCCTTCAAGTGGATTGCGGAACGATGATTTCTCGCTCACACTTCCGTCGGTGTCCAAGCTGTTCTCGCAGATGTCCTTCAGTATGTTCTCCTCCCGACCAACCATCTTCAACCCCATGTTCCTTGTTTGCCCCCGCGACGCTTGTTGGACTTCGATATCAATTTGGTCGACCAATTTAGAAAAGTATTCTTGCGCATCTTGTTGCTGCCAACTGCTCATAGATTTCAAATCGGCAGGAATCCACAGCTTGTGCCCATAATTGGATGCGCTGTTTAGATGATCGATGATTCCTTTCAACGCCTGGTGTGTAGAAAACGACCCCTTCTCACCTAGAGAATCGACATTTCGCTCCAGGAAAGTTGCAAGGGATTTCAAAGAGGCAAGTCCTTGAATGATGCTATTCTGGTAGCAGGAGTTGTCCCAGTTTCCCAGTCCTGGGGGTATCGCGTCGCTGCTGTTGCCCAGGAGGGCGTTCCCGAGACCCGATAAGGATCGCGAGCGAGGGAAGAACGGAAAAGAGTTGTTGTCAAGACCTAAAATTCGTTGCATTGCCTCATGTTTTGTCTGAAAGGTCATCTGAGAGGGACTGGAGGGGGAAGATTCGGATGGCGACATGCGAGTATCTAATGCGACGATGATCCAGGACGGTGTTGCGAAGACAAGGACGTTCCAGGCAACACGGAGTAACGAGACCGGAGCAAAGCCGAAATGATCGAGGAGGAGATAGGCTGAGAAAATGGCGAGGAGAACATAGGCTAAGGTTTCGTTGTTCTGTAATGAAGTGAAAGCTGTCTCATGGTGGCTGTTCGGGCTTGCGTAATGGATGGGGCCGGTCGAGAAGATGTTAGCGCCCTCTCTGCGAGCATTCATGGCGGAAAGGAAAGGTCAAAAGAGCCGCAGCAGCAGGAATAAGACCTGTTGGGCATGGGCTGTAAATTTCCGAGGTATAAAGGCGAGAGGGCCGGAGAGAAGGTGGAGAAGGAAAGTATACAACGTTTTGCTTTTCAATCCGGGGCTGCGCTTTGGGTGCATCGCGCTCGCCGCGAAATTTTCTTTTATCGATAGCAAAGTCTCCACACACTTTTTACTCAAAACAAATCCCACCATGGCCAAAAGTAAACGTGAGTTGCAATTAATTCCTTGGATTTCTACATTTCTAATTCATATCTCAGCCAGAGTAAACACCCGCGCCGCACGGCGGGCGGCTTCGCCCGTAGATCGGTCTCTGGATGCTGCCCCTCGAGTGGAGGAAACCGTTGAACGCCCTTCCGTCTTGGCCGAGCGTCGCAGCTCCGGTATTCAAAAGAAGCAGGCACAGAAGAAGCTGTCTAGGGCACAGCGCTTGAGACAGCAGAAGGGTATGGACCGAGCAGAGGCTGTCTTGGACCAATTGCAAATTAAGAAGGCCAAGAGTGTCACCCGGGGAAAGGCCGTCAAAGCACGAAGTGTATGGAGATCTAATGAATTGCCCGCCTATCATTGGTATAGTTGCGCTAACTGAAGACCTTGCACAATAGGCCGAATGGGAAGATTTGAACAAGAAGAGCTCGGCCTTTGCTGCTCTTCAGCAGGACGACGAAGACGAAGAAGAACATGATGATAATGATGCCATGACCGAAGATACTGCGCCCACAAAGCCCAAACCTAATCCCTTTGCTTCTGCATCGACTGATGTGGTGGAGGATCCTGCGACCGTTGATGAAGATGATCAGATCACCTGAACAATGCCGATCTCCTGGAAGTCTATTTCCTCGGCCTAAGTTGGTTGATCATGCGCTCAATTTCCGTAATTGCAGGACCGGACGCCTTGGTCCGAAGGAGTTCTAGGGTGTTAATGTCCTTAGCCTTTTGTGCCTCTTCTCCCGCCTTGACGATCATCCCACACTTGATCCACATTTCAATCCGCTCGGCGACTGGTAGGGTTGTGCATTTAGGAACGAATAACGAAGCAAGCTTTGTGTTTCCGGCACCAAGGACCTCGTTATAGAAAGGCTGTTATCTGGTGTGAGCATAATTCGAAGCAGCTCCGTGATTAGAAATCTTACCTCCCACCCAATAGGGGACTTTTTACCCCTACCAATCTCCTCTAGCTCACCCCAGTCACGTTTAGCCACCAGGGCTCGAAGACGCAACCACCAAAAGGTCTTCTCGGGCATCTTAAATTCGCTCTGCATCTTGTGTGCACGTTTTCCGTAGCCAGCCCGGAAAAGTCTGAAGATTGTTTCGTTCAAACTGAGACCCACGAACTCTGAGTGGTCTGCAAGATCTTTGTCCAATGATTCCTGTGCCTTAAGGAGCTGAGATGCTTCGGAAACCAATTTTTGTTGTAAAACCACAGTGGGATCTTTCGAATCGGACAGCAGACGTGATGCAAGCGCGAGCTTCTCCGTCTGGCGTTGAGGATCCGATTCACGCAAGGCTTCCGACAATAGCGCATTAGACCCATCAATAGGTCGATCATCTTGGTAGTATAGATCTTTCAAGAGCTCGGTGTCTTCATCTCGAGCCGCAGTTTCAACAAGTGCGGATGCCATAGGACGACTATTGATCATTCGGAAGAAGCTCGCTAGAGGGATCGTACTCTTCAGGTGCAGAAGAACGTAATTCACTAGATCATCATCTCCACTTTCAATTGCCTTGTCCAAGGCAAGCTCGTCTTCCTCCATGTTTAGTAACAATGGGACTTGTTTGCCAGCTCGTGGCTCGTGGTTCAACAGCTGCGTAGCAAGGTGCGATCGGCCTTCGTCATAGGCTGTCTGCGCAATGACCTCGAAGGAGATACCTGGTTTCCCTTCTAGTCTTTGAACAATGAGCTTGCAAACAGCTTCATCATCTACCGTCGAAACCCGGACTTTTTGACTTGCCCAGTGGACGTAAATCCGGTCTGCGGGTATCTGGAGATACTCAGAGACTCGAATGGCAAGGAGATACTCATGACGGCTAATCAGACGCTCAATGAGCCCTTCCGGGGTGAGACGCAGATATTGCTCATATGATAACGGCAAGCCGATTTGATAGTCTCTCAATGCTGTCAAGACCCTCAGTTTTTCGGTCATCTCAACAAATTCATCACTGTTGTAAAGCTCGATAACTGATTTTCCAAATGATGCCGCCTTCAGCAATCGTTTCTGCCAGTAAGCATCAAACTCATGGCCGGCAGCTTTGATACACGTATCAACCGCCGCAGGAAGACTCGAGCGAATCCGCTGAATATTCTCATCCGCTTTAGGGGACTTCTTCTCCAGTTGATCCACGGAGTCAAGTAGCACTGATGCAGGAGAGCCAGAACCAAGTCGGAAAATCTCTTCTGTAACGCTGTGGACTTTGTGCAGAAATTCACAAGTATCATTTGTGAGCAGACGAACTCCATCAAACTCGGGTATGACATGCACACGGCCATCGTAGTAGTACCTATCAAGGGTTAATCGTTATCACAAAGATCAAGGAGGCGGCTTACTTGGATGCAGCACCACTAGGGCCGACAAGATGAATCTCGTCTTCCCAGGCGAGAATAACTGCGTCGTCTCCGCACCATTTTACGGTGCTAGGGGGTACCCGGGACTTCGAATCATACTCGCTAAGCTTATTCTGGAAGTCATTGCTGACAACCCACAATTTGCCCTCTGCGGTGAAAAGGGCCACGAAGCGCCCGGTCGGGGAGACGCTGACATGCTTGAAAGGACCATCCTGCAGGATCTTATCTTCAGCCTCTGTAGAGTCGACCAGATAAACTGTCTTATCGACTGCGAGCAAGACCTCCACGGAGCGTGAAAGGGTGTGCGCGGGTGGGATCAATGCCCATGATGAGACTTCGCCTTCAGGGCAAGGCGCAAGAAGCTTAGGTCGTGGCTCGTCATATTTTGAGACCGCGATCAGCTGGTTGTTGGACAACAGTGCCACAAGGCCGGATGACCAGAATTGACAGTCTCTCACGCCATATTCTTCGGCGCCCTAGTACTATTAGATGGAATTAAATGGAGGCTCAAGGATTAACTCACGTTTCCAAGGGAAAAAGAAGTGAAATCGCCGTCTAAGCCGAAATAACGGCGGACTGTGCCATCCTCAGCAACGACCAAGAGCTCCTCTTTGTCGGACCAGCCGATTCCACGGATAGTGGCTTGCTCCCACTTATTCGAACAGTCAGCTTTGGCAGTTAGGAAAGATGGATAAGAACGACACACGTTGATTCGATTGATTTGCTTTCCCGAGCATGAATAAACATCGATGCTTGAGCGGGATGTCTGTGAGTCCCTCAGTCTGATGGGCTTACTCTCGTCACGATAAAGCGCTACAGACGACTTGTTTAGCTGGGGCTGTTTTTTAATTCAAAGACAAATCATACCGATAGCTCCACCATACGGCGCGCCGGTGACAATGTAGTTCTCTAGTTCAACCTCCTCTTCGAAGATAGCGTCATATACGGGGATTTTGCGATAGAAGCTGTCGCCGACCTTCTCCCAGTTGGCGAGAGGGTTTGAAGGCGCCATTTCGGGGCACTGACGATCACAGTAGATGACCCTGGAAAGACCATACACCCGTATCCCCGTGTCGTTGGTGACGGATCAAGTGAAACGCAGCTTCCCCGGGGAGTTCACGCTAGTCCCCTTTGGAGAGCTGTTGGTGGCTGATTATTCAGGCACCAAGGCATCAATCGGCATCATATGTCCGCGAGTCCCAATTATCCCCACCAACTCTATCCTGTCACGCCTGCAGGGACTGGGTTGTCCATGGAGCTCAAGAATGGATGATACGAGCCTTGAGGATGTTGCACGACAACTGTCCGACCTTGAAGTGGCTCTCTTCCTGTCTCTCGCCGCCCATGAACATTGCTTGATTGAGACCACGGGCAACTCTGTTCATGATCTTGGCAGAGAACTAGCGCTGGTATTACACTTCGCGAAGAAAAACTTCATAAAATTGGGGACTAATACAATTTACAGATTTGTTCGAGCACATTTGATCTCTCATATTCTATTCTTGATTGTGGCTCTGGAACCTCCATCGAGGATATCCATAATGAGATCCTCACTGCAGACGCCCGCAAAGCACTCGTCCGCCCGTCATACTCTCGGGCGAAGACCGAGTCGGTATGGATTTCTACTCATAGTAACGCCTCTCTTCGGAACATTGACTGACCATCGCAGTCCAGCAATCTTTCGTCCTACATTGGCGGACATCGGGACCGCAGCAAGTCCCCGATCCCGAGTATGGTAGTTGACGAACCAAATGTGGTCAACGTTATCATTGCCAAGGACTTGAACCTAACTAGCGAGGACCTTCAAGTCCAGTTATTGCAGCTAATGCGGACCCGGCAGTTGGTCACGGAAATCGGTATCCTCAATGCGCCTCTGGATTTCTTGCTTGTGCCCCTCGTGGCGCGAGACTCTGGCGAGCTACGTCCGCCATTGAAGACACATCTGGTTGGTGTTAATGATTCTCAATCTGCTGCCAATATTCTCTGACGTAGTCGTTGTAGCGTGATCAGCTGTTTATCTCACATTTCCACGCCCCTGAAGATGGATTCGTCTATCTTGAAGAAAACGACTGGCTTTCCGATGGCCAACTTTCTGCGTCTTCGGTTATCCATACCCCAAAACCACTACAAAAGTCGAATTCGAATGTCAACCGCATGGTAAGCATCCATTATATCCCCTGCCAGCGATCAAATATCTCACTTTTCAACTTCATAGGTGATAGAAAAATTCCGTGAAGCCAGCAACTCAATTACTATAAGTGCTGAAGTGGCTCGGTATATCCAAGACATCGTTGTTTTCTTGCGTCTCAGTCGAGCAGTTGCTGGTGGAGTTTCAGCGAGGGCGAATAACCACTTTTCCCAGCTTGCACAGTAAGTCATGATCCAATAAACCGATGTTGCCCATGATTGACCGGAATTTGAAGATTTTTGGCACCGCTCCATGGTATCGATTACCTCACACCTTCGATTGTGGCATTGGCTGCGAGGAAGGTATTTCGCCATCGCATCGTCATCGCCTCCCCTGATGATGATCGAAGCCTCCAATATGGAAGCGACCTCGCCGCCGTTTCCCGTGTATTAGCTGACGTGACACCGGACTCGGTTTTAGATGGAGTCCTGGAGTTAGAACCACCAATCTAACAGTTATTGTATCGATTTAAATTACCCCCTAATCTTACAATCAATGTTTGGAAAAATAGCCTCCATTATGAAAATAGTTCCCTATTGGCTGGCTTATGTACAAGTTTGACCAGCTACTATTTGGAAGAGGCACATCCCATGCACTATATACAGCTCTACCGAGAGTTTAACAATTATCATTCGTGTGGTCACGGGTCGCCTTTTAGCCAAGGAGACTGTGTTTCTATTCAAACATTTTGACCTTCAATAGTAAATTTCATAAGCTGCAACGAAAAATATTGGTGGGTTGATATTGTACTCATGTGTTCATGATTTTTCTTTTGGGCAACTGTTCCATTGTCCGGTTAGCTCTGCTGCGTATGTAGCACAGCAAATATTTGGCTAAAATACAAACGTTGATATCTTAGATCACATGAAGTACGCACATTCAAGCAGCATGACAATGCAACAGAAATTCTGCAGAATAAAAATGCAAAGAGACCCACTCAAAGAGCTGAACGCCATACTCCGAATACCACATCCCGAATGCAATCATTTGTCACATATCTGGATAGTGCCATCACGTCATATCGTTGGCCATCATTCATGAACTAACTTCATTCTCCTTAGAAGTTGGATCCACGAGTGCGACGGCTCTGCTGTCCAGCGCCGTGTCGATCCTCCATTAAGAAGTCCGAATCTCCCAGGAAACGCTGGTTTGCCATTGTGTAAGGGAGATTATGCAGCCCCCGCTGCTCAAGCCCACTAGAAAAGACCTCACTCAGGCGCTGAAGCTCCCGAATCTGATCTTCATCTAGGACACGGCGCCAGTCAGCCCGATTCTCGCGGCGGGACTCATCTTCCTCATCCACCTCCATCTGCTCTGGACTGCGAGTAGGCGAGGCAGGAACAGGATCATAAGCAAAAATGCTAGCAGGGGGTGCAGGATCTCCGTATCGATTAACGGGAAGCTCAGCAAGAGCATCTGCGTAATGGAAGATTTCGAAGCCAAATGCGTCCTGCTGGATATTGTTGAGACCGTTAGAGCTAGCGTCATCAATTTGAGCCTGAGTCTGGCTTAGAGCCTCGTGGTCAGAGTCACTAGGTAGAATGTTCTCCTTGTCTTCGTCTATGCCACCATAAGATCGTGGGGTGCTGGGAGAGGGTGATTTCTTCTCCGGTTGGTCTTCACGGATATCAAAGTTCCAGCCAGAGTTGAGATTCGGACTATTTTCCCATACGCTACCGAGTGTAGGTCCGGCGAGGGTGCTCTCCTCCAGCAAGAATAGAGAAGAATGACTGAGCCTGGCACAAGGAGACGTTTGCAAGAAATCAGAAGAAGATTCATAATTCCCATCTCCAGTGCTATCGGGGGAGGGGGTTTGGTCTAAAGAGAAGATGAAATCGATTAGCATACTTTGTTCGACACTTGAAGTGATTTCGCTAGAGGGGGGTGGGGTCATACCGCTGGCATTGATGGAGCGGCGCATTGCTCGTTCAAGGAGCGAGGTCCCTGGCGTAGCAGGGCTTCTTGAGGGTTGAGGGGCCAAGTCATGGGATCGCAGCGACATAGAATGGGAAGGGCGTGGATAAGCCAGAGGCAGTTGTCCTCGCCGAGATGCGCTAGGTGAGAGACAATTGCCCTCTGGGGGCTCCATTTTGGAAGGTGTGGTTACGGAAGAAGAGAGAATGTACGTGGGAATGAAAGTGTGAAGAGGTGCATTGAACTCATTGTCGTTGTGATCCCCAATTCGGACATCACCCATCCATGTATCAACTCTACCTAGAGAGTCAAAAACTTATTATCCAAGATAAGCGCCAGCTTGAATGATAAGGTCTTCATACTTTCTGTTATGGGGTCTCTAAGATAGTAACGCTAATCAAATCAGAGACTAGAGAGTGACGTTTGGGGATAAAGGTGTTAGAAAGAACATTGGAAGCCTGTTAGTAGGGACTGAACAGAAATGTTCACTCAGAACTTGTTTAGCCCCTCAATGTACCCTTCATGATCATAACAACCACAAACAATATGGTTCGTAATGATAATTGAGCCCAATCTTGGAGATTAAGCTTGAATTTAGTGAGCTCGATTCTGTTCCTCTGAGCTAATGAATGATGGTCCATGTTTTACAAGTTCCAACTCAAGATCAATTACTTAAGTGCTTTCTCGGCCGGTTGTCTGATTGAATTAGCTATTCAACCGTTTTTACCAGCTATCATTACAGCGAGATGTAGTATGTGAACACTGCGTCTTCGGCAAAGACTCAAGATGATCAAGATCAGGCCTCGAGTCTTGATTCCCGTCTCTCTGCTCCAAATATCTAATGTTCCATGAATTAGACTGCATTGTTGAGAATGATTATGATGTCCTCCTAGCCGATACCGAAGGTGTTTGGTTAATTTCAAGGTGATATAATGTGGAGGGCTGGCACGCAAAACAGGGGATTCCTCCAACATTACCTCCTAAAGCAACATTTCTAGGAAAGCATTCAATCAGTTAGAGTGTCCTTGCTCGACTGTAGTAATAAGATATTCGTCATGTCTGGGGCGGAAATCTCGGCGTTGTGGTCAATGTCGTCCAAATCGCCGAATTGAGCGGCAAGCTCTCAGTCAAGCTGTGTACATTCTGCTATCGGCCCAAGAATGTCAATTGATAATTACAGGGTCTCTCCAAGATAATCGCATTGGTCTGCAATATGTCGGTTTGAGTGTTTCGGAGCCTGGTACTCAAGACCCATTTTCAAACAAACAATACACATGAAAATAATGATGAGCTCTACCAGTTTTTCTGATATAGTCAAAGCTGTTCTTAGCAATATTGTTTCTATGCAAGACTTGCCAGATAGCAGTCGCTACCAGGAAGTGAGAATTTTCTTAACTGACTTGTAAAATATTAGAGCATCACTTCAAAGACTATATGGTTAGACAGTCAGACAACTCTTTTAAGGTCACACCTTCGCGCTTTTCCCCAATAAGCAAGCATCGATGGCTCATCACATGATTCCGGGCCTTTCCAGGCTTCCAGGGAGCGGGTATGATGTGCGGTTCAGCGTAGGTGGGAAAAAATTCAAGAACGGTTGCGAAAAGATAAAATTCTTACCCAAGACTCAGTATTCCTCTTATTTTAGTTCAAGGAGCCAGTAAATGAACGAGCCAATTAGAAACGATATCAGTGGGCCGAGGAAGCTGACAACCCATGCTGTCGGGGCCTGATTGGACAGCTCGTTTAATCGAGGCTAAGCTGGGGGCCAAATCACTTTAAACATGGTGCCTAGCACTCAGCCTCGCTACAATGTAGAATCCGGTGTTATGGTATTTGTCTAAAAAAGACATCGGGAATAGGCAATCCACGTCGCCATAAGATCCGATCCTGTATATATACTCTGCTGAGATCACTGGGTGAATGAATCCCAATCCGCAGGCATTTACTTCTTACTACAGTTTCCAAGCAGACTTAGAAGTATAATTGCAATTGAACCCTCACAATGACCTCCACAATCACATCTACCGCAACATCCACAAGTGCTTCTTCAACGGCTTCTGCCACATGTGTCAACAACATTGCTCCTGGCAAGAACGGCTATCTCCCTCCAGAGTCTTGTGATGTCATTCTTTACTATGTTCCTTCATTCGCCGCAGCGATATTATTTTGCGCACTATACGGCTTGACAACCATCGTGCATATAATCCAGGCGGTAGTGTACAAGAAAGTATAGCTCATGTACCTAGCCATTCACCTTGCCCAGCTAACAATACCCCTAGGGATATGCATGGGTCGTGATCATGGGTTCTGCCTGGGAGTTAGGTGCATTTGTCTTTCGCACGCTACAGACCCGACATCAAAATAGCGATTTGTTCGACACATGGTTTACCATATTCTTCTTATTGGCACCTATTTGTAGGTGGAATCTTGGAACAGGAATATCTATCGGAGAAGAACTGGATGTACTAAAGTGAGATGACCAGGGATCAACGCCTTTATTTACATGACTCTCGGACGCATGGTCAATTTCTTTCTTCCCGACAAAAAGCTCTGTCGTATTAGTGCCCGTCGCTTTGGGGTCATCTTCATCTGTCTCGATATTCTAGCCTTCCTGGTCCAGCTGGCTGGCGCAGTCCTCTCATCCAGCACCGGCGATAGCATGAAGATGGTCATGTTGGGGGTGCATTTGTACATGGGTGGTATTGGCCTACAGGATCTGTTCATTCTATGTTTTTTGGCCCTGACAGTCCACCTACACCGAAAGCTCTTGCAGTTGGAGATAAACGGCACAGAAAGAGATATACAAAAACTGAAACATTGCGCATATCCCTGGCGGTGGCAGTTCTATACCATCTACCTTGCCTTGGGTTTGATCACGGTACGTCAGAATCATTACTATTATGAGCCACTGCTGATCATGATGAATAGGTCCGTATTGTTTTCCGCCTTGCCCAATATGCACAAGGCACATCGGCCAGCAATCAAGTCCTCACCCACGAAGTATACGAGTACGTGTTTGATGCAGTGCCTATGTTTTTAGCATTAGTTCTTTTGAATGTGTTCCATCCTGGCCGCAATTTGCAAGGGCCTGACTCGAAATTCATTAAGATCACTCGTGCAGAGAAAAAGGAGAAAGCCAGGGCTGCAAAGATGGGAAAGGAACAGAAAGCGAGAGGGAGCTGGCTAAGCGATGGCTCTACTCCCTATCCGCTTTCAAGTCACGGCAACTAAGAGCACATGCCAGAGGTTCCTGGCAATTCTAGTTAGTTTGATCCATTTGAAGCAGACATAGAGAGTGGCTCGTTGTTATGTGCTCTTATTTGCTGCACTTGCGAGTTCTCCTTCTCTGTTTTAAGTGGACAGAGAAATCAAATAGATGCCTTAGACCGGACTTTTTTCATCTTTATACATATATGACTTCAATATACAATTACATCCTATTCAAACTTTGACATCTTCTAGCATCTTCGAGTAATATCGTGGCAAACCTGTCCATTCGCTTAGTCCTAAGTACTATTCTCCCTTTCCTCCGTAACTCACATATTGTGCTCTACTCCTCTTCAAAATTCGAGCTTACGTTCTCTACTTCACCAATTATGTTTACAACCTAACGCTTCATGCATATTACCTTTGCGGTAAGATGGGTCTTTCCAGGCGGCCAATAAAGCACCTTTTTTTTTTCTCGGCCCCCATAAGCGCAGTCTGCCTCTAGGCTGCCATCAATGATTTACGAGCAACCTTGGAAGGTCAGATCATCTCGACCCGCTTCAGAGCTCCTTGAGATTGGTCAATAGCTCAAAAGAGAGACGACCTTTGCCAGAAGATTCAGAACGGACTGTCAGACAAGCTCAAAATATCTCTCATGTGCCACTCACAAACGCTTACCTTGGGCCTGAAGGCCTCCTCAACTTCTCTGTTTGCTCTCTATCACCAAGCCATACACATTGGTAAAATTTCATTCAAAGAGGAATATATGGCACGGGAGAGGCTATAATGAGGACATGTCAATCTTGAATTCGTCGCCCAAATAGTCTCATGGAGCACGAATTTCTTGAGAACATATGATTGGCACCATAAAACGCTCAATGGTCTTGATCGCATTGTGGGGTTTGAGCAAATGTAAAATCTTGCACTCTTTACACAAAATGGTGAAGTCCATCAATGTTCATATAGTGGCGATCGGAACAACAGATGGACTCTCGTGCCGATTAAAGATCGGCGAAATCCTATTACTACGTGATTGACACTGCGTAAGCCCACTTTAAAGTCCATTGTACTTGAAAGCTTCCATGAGCGGTCCCTGATTCATCATACAATCAAGCCAAGTCAGTGTATGGCATGCATTGGTCTTCTCTAGACCTGAAATTGCCTGTTGTGGAAGATACAGCAAAACTTTTCATGCCCAAGGAAGCTGTACTCCGATCATCACTGGTCTGCCAAAAGCTTGTCGCGAATTGCGATCCCAGCTGATAAGGCACCTCCGTTTCCCCCCTTTCGCTCTGTCTAGTAGCGGGACTGGTGAAGGATGATACCTCATCATGTGGGGCTGTGATCCGCGCACCGCTGTTGGGAGAAAAGGCAATGGGTGTACAGTGGAGCATGCTCAACCTTCCAGGCACAAGAAGGGAGTCAAGTCTACGTCGAATCATGGTATCACACACTCTGACGTGGGTTGCTAACATGACGAACCAGGAGCTCAACCGTATATTGGTCTGATCTTCAAGCCGAAAGATGCACAATCGAGTTTCGCAGATTAAAGGATCCACCGATACTCTTCCGAAGCAATGATCGGCAGGGATCCAGCATCGTGCCTTGTTCTTAGCGGTTCGGCTTTCATCGGACGCTAAAATCCTTAAGATCTGTCCCAATCTCAAATCAAGAACCCCTGATCAGAGCTGATCGATTCTCTACTTAAGGACGTGATCAACTCTCCACCTGAGACCACTCGAATCAAGACCTAAGAGACCTATTCCGGTCCACAATTACAAATATACTAGTTGCTCTAGATCCTGTATAGCCAGCCAATATGGATACTATGTCATCATTGGGAAATGAAAAGTCAACAAGCCCTAGGGTTTATGGATACCCCCTCTACACTATTGGAATGGATAAATACTATAAAGAGAGATTCCTCCCCAATAGTGTCACGATTTTCACCAATTCATACTCTTGCTTGATTAGACTCCCAAGTCACGTCACAATGCAGTTTAAGAACATCCTCGTCGCTTCCTGTCTGGCTCTTGGTGCCTCAGCCGCTGCCACCAATGCTACCGACATTGCTCCTTCGGTCCAGAACCGCTTTGCCCAGATCGACCTTGGTTACCAGCAGACCTACCTGCTCCTGAACCACCTGGACGACGGTACCAACAACACTTCTGCTGATGTGAGTGACTACCAGCACAATGACATGTCATGTCTAGTTACTTGCGTATATCATACTAATACGATATCTTAATCTAGGACGTCGTCTCTGCTTACAACACCACTGCCAACGGCGAGGCTAAGGCTCTGGGCAAGAACCAGCCTATCAAGCCTTTGACCGAGTCCACCCAGTTGGTCATTTGCCAGGCTTTCCACTCGGTACGAACGACCCTCTTCTGACGTCACATCAGTCAGGTGCAATACTAATGGGATGTTTTATTAGCTCGCCCTCACTGGTATCCAGCTGAACAACGCTTTCGTCGATAGCGCCTCCCACTTTAACAAGGCCCAGCGCAACGACCTGCAGGTTGCCCTGACCAAGGTTAACGACGAGACTGGCGTGAGTCCTTCTTTCTTATCTATTTTACGATTCAAGCTCTATTTCCAGACCAAAGTACTGATGTTCTCTATGTTTAGTCTTTCTTTATCAACGTTGCCAAGCCCGCTCTTCCTTACTGCTTGACTACCCTCCAGACTGACCAGTCTGCCATCTACAAGTCCATTCTTGCCGCTTCCACCGCTCTGGACCCCTCTGAGGCTTTGCTTTAAACAGCCTTTGGGTTTGGCTTTCAATCACGGCTCGGTGTCGTAAACGATATAATCGTCACTCTTGCTCAAACATCTTGAAGAGATAGAACAATAAAATATAGATAATCAATCGAATATTTTCAAGCAAGAGGACCGAAAATATAGGGCAACTATGAGTTGGCGTTGTTCTTGCGTAGAGAAATATAAGCGCCTGTCATGCAAGAAGGCCGTTTCCACCCGTGAACGCATTGTGCACAGTATTTTCAATAAAGGCCAATGGAACGATATACACTCGGGCAAGGAAAAAAAAGAAAAAGAAAGACCTCGGGACACGCCCATGAATCGATACGGCGCCCTTAGCCGAGAAGATGTTAGCTGCTTGCGATGGCCTGACAGACCAACTCGGCCGTCGTTACGTTTCCAAGATTTAAACTTCCGTACTCACTACATCATAGTCAAATAGATTGCAATATCAATATCTATGAATAGAATCAGGCTCCGCTGATAGCAGCAGAAACGAGATTCCCTCAATACATGGATAGATCATCGCAAACCATCTACCATAAATTCTTTACAGTATCACCCAGTTGTCAGTATTACTCGGCTAAACTCCCACTGAATACACAGCACGTCACATCTCTCGAGAATCATCAATAGCAGGGGGGAAAAGAAAATTGTAGCCCCGGTGAATATGCAGCAAAGCAAGATCAAGGCACAGCCAGGCGAAGCTAAAGCCAAGATCGAGGTATGATTCAGGTGCGTGTGGGCATCGTGATATCAAAAAAGCACCAGCGAGAAGAGATAAAAGATAAAAAACAACAAAAGGGAAAGCAAATCAAAAAATAAAATGGTGCTTCGATCTCTCAAGAAGATGCAACGTAGCCGTGTAACCAGACGGAGTTAAAACCGAGTCAGAAACCTTGAATCCCATATTGTCCGCTGCACATGTGCCCATGTATCCTCACAGCTTCAGGTAAGCAGTGAAAGCGACAATACAGTAGCATGTGAGCAAAATCCGGCGATGTTTCATTTCATAGCTTGGATTTACCGGAAAGGACCTGGACCAACCATGCCACTTCGGATGTCTCCGCCGTTGGGCTGACCAAACATCTCAAGCAAGTGACGAGATGACGGAGGAGGTCCCTGGGGACCCGGGTTTCCGGGACCAAACGGGCCCTGTCCAGGGCCAAGTCCCATCATAACCTCCGGGTTGGGTGGCATGGGAAGGAATCCGGGCGGTGGGGGCCCACCCATGTATCCAGGCGGGGGCATCATGCCAGGAGGAAGACCGCGAGGGAAGCCCTGTCGCTCATTGATGGGAGGTTGGTTGCCAGGCATGGGCATCATTCCAGGGGGGAAATTGGGGTTCATGCCGCGGTTAGGAGTAGGGATTCCAGGCGGGGGACCCATAGGTCCATTGCCTTGCTGAGGGGGAGGTTGACCGGTCCATCCGGAAGGTGGCATGTGTTCAAGACCTGGGGGTCGCTGAATAATCGGGGGCTGGGGGCCCTGAGGATGTCGAGAGCCTCCAGGAGTCATGGGGCCTTGGTTCTGAGTGCTTTGTGGGTAATGTCCATCATCAAAGTATCCCATTGGAGGTCCGTTGGCCACCCGGCGGCGCATTTGATCACTATCCGGCCGCTGCATGTTGGCAATTGCCGGATCATCCAAGAAAGTGGGTGTTTTCTGGGCACTCAACCCAGGCGGAGGGCGTGGCATCATTTCTGGCATTAAACCAGGAGGAGGGGGGGGGACCGGCATTCGGGGACTGAGGCAAATGTCCAGCAGATGGGGGACCGATCCGAACTTGCTGCATCAGGCGGAGCAGGTTCTCCCTGTCACGAGATTGGTGATCTTTACCAGCAAATTGTGCCATTGGACTCTCCTGTGGAGGGCTGGTGAATTCATGACGCGAGAGCGCCGGAGATGACATATTCATGGCGCCACGGGGCTGCTCTCCTGGCATCATTGACAAAGATCGCGATTGATGCGATGAATCGACTTGGTTGGGAGTACCGTTGTTGGATCGACCCCCACCCCCACCTAGCATCTGGAGAATGCGCTGGAAACCTTCCTGGTCGGCGTCGCTGTGAGCACTGACGGGTGTGCCTCCAGATTGAGGCTGAGGAACAGCCTGCGGTTCGGGGCCTCTGGAAGGACTGTCTGGAGGAGGGCTAAATAACCCGGCAAACCTAGATGACTTCCCAGGCTTCCCGCTAGGGATTTCATGCTTCGGGGCCGGTTCTACCGGAGCTGGTGGGCTAATCTCCTGGGATGCGGGCTTGGAGTCACTCAACATACCAAAGAATCGCTCCATTGAGTTATCGCCTATGAGCTGGGCGCCAGATTGACTGAAAATCTCACCGTCAGTGCGGCGAGTCTCGGGTTGTTGAGGTGTATGGGATTCCACAGGTGCCTCTTTCTTCTCTTCGTGGGCAGTGGGTTTCTGAGCAGCGCCAGAGCCAGCCTTCATGGCCACCTTCCAGCGCTCAAACTCTTCCTGTGTGTGTGCCCGTCGTGGCTCATCTCGGTCATTGCTGTCCAACCATTCGGGCTCCTGTTCCATCTTGCCACCTCGGTTCCAATCGCGGTCCGCACCGTGGCGATCACGACGCCATTCTCGGTTGCGAAGTGGTGTTTTATCGTCTTCAGCCTCAGCACCATCATGGGCTTGCTCATCACGGAACCAGTTTCCATCGTATTTGGTTCTTCCCGGCGTTCCTTCTTTCTTCACGAAGCGGGAGTCTTTGTTTGAGGGCCGTTCAGTGTTGACTTCTCGCGCATTGTCACGATTTTCCCACCGATCGAACTCTCCGTTCCGGCGTGGTTTGCGATCTGGTTCCTCGGGGCCAAAGGTGCGACGTGGGCGACCAGCATTCCAGTCCTCCTTGTCCCCGCGCCGGCCGTTCAGACCCGCCTTCCCATCGCGGCGGTCTAAATCTCTCTCCGGAGCATCCTTCTCCTTGAAGAATCGATCTCGGAAATTGAATCGATCGTTCTTCTCATCTGGCTCGGCTACTCGCGCGGATCGATCTGTCAGATCGAAAGATCCTTTACCACCGATGCGCGATGATGCAAAGGCAGTCTTCGGGGGTCCAAGAATGATATCTTCTGTATCAATTGGAGGCTCAGTTAGTTACTAGCTCGGGGGTGATTGAAAGCATGTGATGGAGAGGTACCAGTGGGCACAAGCGCACCTGAATTGGAGCCTCGGGCGATATGACGAGGTTCAAAAAAGCTCGGTCGTCGGTTGGTAGTCGTGGATGTGTCATTCGCGTTGTTAGGATCTCGAGCGTTTTGTTGTTTGCGCTGGGCGGTGGGGTCAGGTTGAGGCCTAGAAGAAAGGCATGGGTCAGTCTTGACGTGGACAGTGCGGGATAGTCCCCAGTGTGGAGAGGTAGGATATACTAACATCCATTCTTCGATAGGAGGTAGACCAGGAGGTTTTGTGACAAGAGGGGATTGGCGCAGCCATAGTAGCTCATCGATTTCGTACCGTCGCGCCATGACGGCCCTATCTTGAGCGGTGTGTGCGATGGTGTTTGATAGAATTTATGATGCTCTCATCGGGCGAAGAGGGGGTTAAAAGGGTTGCGAAGCGACGATATCAATCGTGAAAAGGACTTGTAGCCAGAGAAGAGAATCGTATTAGAAAGGGGTTTCGTGGGAGGGGGAGAGCGAGGGTGTTCGGGAAATGAGATTGAGTGAGGAGAAGGTTGTAAGCCACTTGTGGCAAGGCCTCAGGGCGGAGCCGGGATCGGTAAAAGAAACTTGTGGTCCACAAACACCAAAGCACTCTGTAGGCCTTCAATAATGGGTATGGGAGAGCAGTTGTAGTAGAGAAGAGTTGTGAAGAGAACTAGTCAAGAAAAAGGGCTGGGGAGAATACAGAAGCTGGATTTTTCTCGCGGAAAAGGGAGACACAACCTATGCGGGCGCGGTCCAGCTGATCTATACCTTACTGGACCTGTCTCTTCAATTCATACCACGCAACGCTTTCCTTTTTCTATGTGCTTCTACCTAATTTGACCTAGGCAAGCCTACACCAATTCAAATACCTCCCCGACTATGTTAGCTTGGCATTTTCAACAGGCTCCAGGAAGAAAGGCTTAGAGAGCTATGCGGCCTATGTCAGCCTAAAGCTGTTCGGTTACTCCAAAGCCTAGTGCACCTAGTAATCGTAACATTGAAGGGCGTGGTCTCTATTGGGGTGCAGCTTTCACGCCTCTAGAAGCACGAAGTGGAATGATCAAAAGGCATACCTCAGCTAGGGCTCCAGTTGACGGAGATGATATCCTTATAGTTTGTATTTTTTGCGGTCTTCGTTATGTCATCACGCTCCTCCTTTCAACGTCTCCCCCTGGTTTGGTTGATATAGTTGATATTTCCGGTGATTTTCATCTCAATGCACCTCATGAAACCAAGAAAGAGAGAAAACTGACTTATCCTGACCCTTGGACTGATTCCTGTCTGCGTTTAAAACGTTTAAGGTTGGAAGAATAGGCGGAGCCTCATCAGCCAATCAGCGATCGTGAAATCTCGATGGCATCGGAACTTCGCATCCAAGAGCGAGAAAAAAATAACACTCAACACTCCAAACATGGCGAACGTCACAGAGCATCCCTTTAGGGTGAAGAGGAGAAAGCTAGATGAAGGCTCTCATGGAAATCAGGATGTGACATTTACTTCTGCAGCTCAGCTCCGTGGAGCGCTGGTTTTTCAACAGAACCCCCAGCTAGCCAATAAAGGTGAGTCGGGCAACTCAAATCGCGCTGCAAGTATCCAGCCTAATCAAAACCACAGGAATTATTCAATTCAAGCAGTTTCTGTTGTCAATTAGCCAGGCGAGTCAGAGCGACAAGGCCCAGAAGCTGCGTGTTCTGAAAGAATACTGCGATAAGCAAATCACTCCCGCCAAAGAAGAAGGTGCCGAGGCGATTTGTTTCTCAGATATCACTCAGACCTGGAGCTTTGGAGAAAGCAGCAATCATGATCATTTGTTGACCAATGTTCCGTCGGTGCTCGCCATTTTTTTCAAGACTATCTCTGGGGACCTCGAATTCCGCGATTTTGGTCTCGCGCTGTGCAAGCATCTGCTACAAAAAGACCAACTGAGGCTATTCAACCGCGGCCTGACTGCTTTAAAGTCCAAGGAGCATCTTATTTCGCCTTGTCTTCGCCTGCTGACTGAGATCGTTACTTTTGATGGAGGTGCCGTCGCACGCCAACTTTATCTTCGCCGCCACATCACTTTCAAGCGTCTCGAGATGTTCTTGACACCAAGCAAGGCACAGTTGGAGACCGCGGATGATGAAACTTCATCAAAGAAGTCGACACTTCGACGGAACGCTCAACAATATCTGCTGGCCAATTTGAGGGTTCAGCAGCATTTAGAAAAGGGTGATATCATCGAGCAGCACAAAATTACCCGGGCTTTCCTCGATTATTTGCGGAAAGATCCACGGGAGACCGTATTGGAAGCAATCAGGGCAATTGAAAGGGATGTGGTGCAAGATGCCTCTTTATCCCGCAAGTCGAAGAGCAAGTTTTTCAATCGGTGGAACATGGAGAAACTTGTCACCCTCTACGGCTACGATCGAGAATCGGACGAACCTAACCCTGAAGGCATCTCCATTGCGAATGAGATTCATCGCGTTTTGCTGAATGTCTGCAAGACTGCTGGCTTGGGCATTCTGCTTCCCGAAACCGGATGGTATCCAGTCGGAACCGACCCAGAGTCTCTGGTTGAGGATGACACCTCTATTGAATTGGGTCTCGACTCCCCCATCTATGTTGACAAGTACCAAAACTCAATTCCGGTTCGAAACAATACTCTTTCGCATCTCATCCAATGTCTTCGCCCCGACGCAGACAGCCTGCAGATTGAGTTGCTGGTGACAATTTTCAAGGTAGCACCAGAGTTGATCGCTGACTTTTTCACCAAGAAAGTCATGTTCACATCTGATCCTAAAGCAACTCCTTCCTGGATGGCAGAGTCAGCCCTTCTCTTCTCAATCGTGCAGTTGCCCGTTCCGACGAACTGTGGCTGGAAGGACAAGCAGCCCATGCTTCCCCCGCCAGTATCAGTCGTGGCAGAGAACATCCTTCCCCGTCCTTTGAGCCAGAAGATCATGACTCGTTGTTTGAACCAGAATGCGGAGATTGTCACTCTATTCGCCGTACGCATGTTGACTCTAGCGTTCACAAAATTGCGAGCTGTCTTGAAGATCTTCCGTGCGGATCACGGTCGAGCTCAATTGTTCTGGAATCAGGCCTCTTCCAAGCTGCTGGCTGAGTTTTCGCGCAGATGCCCCGCCGTGAAGGATGTCGTTCTTCTTTTCCGACGAACTTCAAAGGAGGATCTGCAGCAGCAAGAAGCCGTTGCAGAACTACTGACTTGCTATTATGAAGTGATGCCTGACATCGCTCTGGAGGAGAATTTCGACGTCTCATTGGTTTTGGTCGATGTGCTGAAACGCTTGGAAGAATCGGATGTTAGCGCAGATGATTCTGAGCTGCTCTTGAGTCAGCTGCAGAGCGTTCTTCAGATTGCTCAACAGTCTGCCTCGCTACGTTGGTGGCAAAAACCAGGTAGGTTGTGCTCATTGGAATGTGTGATTTTTCATTTCTGACCTTACTTAGCATCCATGAGCTATACTCCATTCACATCCATTCTGAAGGTTCTTATCGATACCTCCGACAAGGTCTCTTCCCGGCGAATCTCCATTCTTCTCAGAACCATCTTGGTTGAAAACTCTGTATTGCATAATGCCCCCAAGGCATTCAACGCTCTTTTGTCCAGTCTGGAGGACTCTGAAAGCGAGTTGCCCAAGCAGTTGATCTTCTTTGACAACTGCGTGTCTCGAGTTGCCAAGAAGCCCGTCCACTACCTAGACATCGTTGGTTCTTTGACAGATGATGAAACCGCCACAAGCCCTATCGTGGCGGCCATCATTGAGCAGTGGCCTTTTGTTGTCAAGGCAGGTGACGAGAGCACGGAAGCGGCCGTTGCAGCGTGGATAGCCAAGTTTTTGGGACAATTGAAGAAAGAAGGTGAAAGCAGCAAGGCGCTGAAGGCTGCCCGGGATTCACTGATGGAGGCTACGGAGACGAAGAGGACCCGCTCTATCTTCAAGAAATGCCTCAAGGGCACAGGGGATGCTGACGATGAAGATAAAATGGACATTGACTCCGTCCCTGCCCAGACAACCGGAACTGACAAGGCTTCCTTGGTGGATTTGGATGAGATCTTTGGCTCCCTTCCCACGGAGGGTACATCTCACAACGCACTGCATAAATGGGAGAGAGAAGAGATTGAGGCAGCCTTGGAACAAGGTCATATTGATGAACTGATTCTCTGTCTCTGCTCTGAGCACGAAGAGGTCCGAAGACAAGCTGTGGCCAACCTTGTCCGCTTCATGGCTAAGCTGAAGGTATGTCATATAATACCATTCAAAACATTGTTTATTCAACTAACATTTCCAGGAATCTAATTACGCCGAATGGCGCACTGTGTACACTCTGACTGGAGAACTACTCGAAACCGCGAGCAGTCTTGGTTTTGACCAACCCATCCCTTGGATTGTCGGCGAATGTGCCTCAAACTGTCTCTCCGTCCTCCTCAACCCCCTGCACAAGGTCTACGGAAAAGTCAACAAATTCCTCCAAAAGGCCCCGTCTTGGGAAGTCGAGAAGATCCCCTCCTACTGGATCGACCGCATCCTCATGCACGAGCCTGAATTGGACGACGGCTACTTTGAAGAGATTGACTGGTTACTTGGCCTTTTCGTTAAGGGTCTTCGCAGCAAAGCTGTACGTTTCATCACATCACCTCTGTTACTCTTTTGCACGTCCCATACTAATATCTATCTAGGATATGGAGATCTACCGCCGCGCAAACGTCTTCGAGCGTATCCTTTCTCTCTACCAATCGCCTAGTATGAACGACTCCACCCGCCGAAAGATCTTGCACATCATCTACCGTGCTACACAGGTTGGCGGTAGCACTACGCTGATTACTCGTGCGGCCGTTATGAGCTGGATTCAAGTCCAGGCTGCAGAGGTCGAACCATCCGGTAAAGAGGCCGGTCTTCTTGCGGCCCTTGCACGCACGCTATACGAAACATCAGACCGTGAGCGAGTTGAGACATGGAGCGCTGGAACCGTTGAGCGCGCCTTGAAGGAGATCGAGACTGAATCGACATAGGAGGCAGCATGATGTATCATACATAATTTCATTTTAAAAATAGACTCGGTTTGGGGGTTTGCATAATGAATAGAATACTCTGAGAAACTTCTTTGGGTTATATTTCAACGACGCACTAGATACACAAGGACGAGCAAAACATTCATCCATAAAAAAACAACCAAAATTAACCCCAGGTGCCACCACCACCTCCCCTTCCTCCACGACGCTGCGCAGAAAGACGCCAATCATCCTCGCCCGCGAAACGATTATGCAAAGGCTGGATACGCTCGGCCTTCTTGCGCTTAGACAAACGGTCTGTAGGCGCGACTTTGAAGAACGTAGGCGCAGCCTCGACAAGCCACTTCGGCTCGATAGAAGTAGTGTAGTGCATGTACTCCTTACTTGTAAGGACAAGCTCGTGGTAGATAACATGCTCAGAGCCCTTGCCAAACAACGCAGAAGACGGGTGGAGGTAGACAGGTGTACCTTGGACAAGTGTCTTATACCCACCTTCTTGGTCTTTGCGGGCTGCGTTACGGAAGAATCCGGTGCAGAGCGCTTGTCGTACTTTGGTGGTGTCTCTACCACAAGAAATGATGCGGTGCTTGTATCTCTGCATGATACCGAGTAGCTGCTTGCGAACATCCTCTGCGCGCTTAATTTGTCTCGCTTGGATGAAATTCTCGAAGCACCAAGAACTATTGAAATTGGATTGCTTCCAGCCGTTATAAACGTTTAGTAGGGTTAGGTGGTCACCCATTGGATCGTGGAATTTGGCTTTCTTTTGATCAGCTTGTTGTTGTTTCTCCTTGGGACGGTAGAAGGGGCTTGTGATTGATAGCATTGCGACGATGGATAGCACTTCGTCTGAGCAGCTCATATCCACAGATGCGATTAGAACCTTGGCGAGAGCGGGTTCCATGGGGAAATCGGCCATTTTTCGGCCTAGGCGAGTTAGGAGACCTTCGTCGTCTAGCGCAGATAATGCGTAGAGCTCTTCTAGAGCAGTGAGCATAGTGTTGGTGGGTGGCGGGTCCATGAAATCGAAGTGGAGGAGGTCGTTAATGCCCATTGCTTTCAACATGAGAATCGTATTACAGATATTTTGCCGTTGGATTTCAGGAATTGTTGTTGGTAGCATCTCCGATTGATAAGCCGCTTCGGTATATAGTCGGAAACACTTTCCGGGGCCAGTTCGTCCAGCACGGCCAGCACGCTGTTTAGCCTGGGCTTGGGACACGGGTGTCACTACCAGAGAGTCCATTCCGAGCTTCGGGTCATAGGCATTCTGCTTGACGAAGCCAGGATCAATGACATAGAAGATATTGTCGATTGTGATGGACGTTTCGGCGATGTTGGTTGCAATGACGACCTTGCGGGCTCCTGGGGGTGCTGGATCGAAAATTCGTGATTGCATCTCGCTGGGAAGGGCAGAGTAGACAGGGAGAATGATTAATTCAGGCACTGATGGTCCTAATGCTTTCATTCTTTCGAAAAGAATTTCACACGCCGTGTCAATTTCTTCCTGACCCGTCAAGAACAGAAGGATATCACCAGCAGCTTCCGTTAAATGGATTTGCATGACGGTGATAAGGGCTGCATCAAGGTAATCAGACTCCGGCTCCTTCGAGTACATAATCTCGACGGGGTATGTTCGGCCAGGAATGGAGAAGATAGGGCAGCCATTAAAGTATTCAGAGAACTTCTCAGCATCCAATGTCGCCGAGGTAACAATCAAGCGGAGGTCGGGCCTGCGCTTGACTGTTTTCTTCAATAGTCCGAATAGAATATCAGTCGCAATTGTTCGCTCGTGAGCTTCATCCAACATGATCACGGAGTATTTTTTGAGATCGGGATCGATCAAGATCTCTCGCTGAAGCATACCATCGGTCTGGTACTTGATGATGGTTTCTGGGCTTGTCATATCTTCGAATCGAATTGTGTATCCGACTTCAGCTCCCAAGCGACAACCAACCTCCTCGGAGACACGCTTAGCCACAGACATAGCAGCGACACGACGTGGTTGAGTGCAACCGATGATGCCCTTGTTTCCGTATCCAGCTTCGGCGAGGTACTGCGTTAGCTGCGTAGTCTTGCCTGAGCCAGTGTCGCCAACGACAATCATAATCTGGTTGTCTGCGACAGCATCAAGCAATGGTTTACGGAACTTGAACACTGGCAAACTTTCACGCTGCTGTTTGATAGGCATATCCGTCCGCTTGCCAAGTGACTGGTTTTTACCATCCGTGCCCATCGTGACTCGCTTCCATTCTGGCACCGTTTCGTCCTTCGGCTTGCTACGTAGCTCTGAAGCGAACTGCCGATCTTGAGGAGCAACCATAGGATCCTGCCATTGGGCATTAAGGTCGACATCGGCGGCCCGTTCAGCGGCTTTGTCTTGTGCTTCTTGTTGTTTCAAATCGCGCCTCTCCTTTGCAAGAGTTGTACCGGACATTGCTGCGCGGTTCATCGATCCATCGGGAGCTTTGACAACACGAATAGGAGAAAGTTCCAGGGACTGTTTGGTCTGGCCAGCTAAGAAAGGAGGTTCATCGTCCTTGACTTCGATGTCAACATCTTCTTCCTCTTCAAATGTTCCTTCACCCGTGAGAGTGGCATGGTATTCTTCCTCCAGGTCAGGGTAGTCTGCAGCGGAAGCAACACCAGAGGCAATCAGCTGGCGAATCTCCCATCGTTCCGGAGAAGTCATGCGCTTTCGACTCCGCATTGGCCGGCCATTTGATTCTCCTTCGATGACGGGCACATCAGAACTGAGACCGCCATACCGATCGATTGCGCCGCCCCCTCCATCTAGTCGTTGCATATTAGCGCCTGAAGCCAAGCGTTTTTGAGGAATAAGATCCATTCCAGTGACTTGATCGGCCTCTTTCATGGAGAGACCAATACGACTGCCCTCGATACTGACAACTTTGACCTTGACTGGCTGTCCGCGAGAAACGAGGTCAGACGGATGGTTTACACGCGCGCCTTCCTGCATGGCCGAGACATGGACAAGACCATCAACCTTCCCTTTAACTCCCTGCAGGTTGACAAAAGCACCGAAATCTTTCACACCAGTCACCGTTCCATCGTAAATCTTGTATAGCTGGGGATGGTCGTCCAGCTCAACTGGTGGGCGGAAATCATCATCGTGATCACGATGACGCCGTCTCCGACGGTCTTTATCGATAGATCTCCCAAATTCGTCCACAAGGTCGTCATTTCTACTGCGTCGCTGCGATCGAGACCTCGAGCGGTATCTATCTTTGTCTCTGTGTCGACGTCCACGGCTATCGTACTCCGGGCTGCGGCTCCGTTTGTGACCGCGATCGTCTCGGTGTCTCGAGGCTTGCGGTTTTTCATTCTTTGGCTTCCCAGCCAATCCCTCCAGCATGGCGAAAGTATCATCCATCGCACCAACTTGGGTGTCATCAGCTTGATCCAAGTAGTCATTTTCGTCCCAGCGCTTCTCGGTGTCAGGAACAGCAAGACCCTTGAACACGCGCGCTTTTTTCTCTAGCGCATCAAACTCGTCCAAACCATTGTCGATATCACCATTTTGCGCGTCGCCATTGTCTGCTTTCTTTGCCTTGTATTTTGGGTGCATGGTAAGGACCAAGCGATCGATACTCTCCATCAGACTCTGGGGGAACTCGGCACCCATGTCAATGAGGCCCTGCTTGAATTCCGCAAATGCGCCATTGCATTTGAGGTGTTGGTCGATAACGAATTCGGCGAGGGTTTTGTCGTTGATGCCCAGGTGGTTCTGGAGCTCGTTCGTCACCCGTGACACGAGCGAGAACAGCTCCAGCGACTCCAGGTCATCCATGGCGGTGGTCCCAGGGGTTGAAAGGACAAAGCGACCAAGGACGAGAACCAAATGCTAGCGAAAAGCGAAAGGCGAAAGCTCGGAGGACGGAATGCAATGTTACTGGGGTTCAACTCCAATTCAAAGGCGGAAGGAAAATCAGATCGCCCGGTCGCCACCGATAAGGATAAGATAAGCCGATAAGAACTATACAGTGAAGCAAACAGAGATACTACATGAAGGCTATGGACATTATGAACGCAAGTGAGGCCAGCCAAGGCTCTCATAGATGCCTATATAGGACTCACGCAGGCGTGCCTAGCATACAAATACGCCAATGGGCCCGATGGTTCAGCTTTAGAATATGGTAGAATTGTCCAGAAATTATCACGGTAATTTCTTTGGCCCTAGGACGTAGTTCAACTTCGAGATCAGATCCACTATCTTTGACTCTTTAATGACTATAGTCTATCCTCACTTCCTCTGCTGAGACAACTAAGACCTTCGGTTTTTTGAAGCATTTCTTATAAGGGATTGAACTTCGTCCTTTTCCCGCTCTGGCCATTGCTCATGGCAATTTCATAAGAGATTCAGCTCTCGGAGTCGCCTTTCAGTAGATAAAAAAAAATCCGCCTCCCCTAGCGATAAATATGCTAGACTGGTTAGGGATAATCAGTATTTTCACAAGTAGACTGGATGCAGTGCGGGGTCAGATGAGTATATGGAGCCCTTTGAGAGGCTGAGGCTCTGCGGGCTTTCTGCAGGGATCTGTCGAAGACATCATCAATGCCAGGATCACGCAATTTATTCGAATAAAGGATTGAAATGCACGAATGGAAGCTTTTGTAGCTTAGTGGGGGGAGGGGCAGGAGGTGGGCCCAAATTATGCAGGATCTCGGTTTCTGTTACTAGTGCAAGATTAAAATACTGGAGACGTCCTTTAAGATGTAGATTTAGACTGTACACGAGCATATCCTAAGCATTTCCATGAGTGGATTGTTGAATTTGTGCTTTATCTAATATACAGATATACAAATATTATTACAGTGGTTATACACGAGGAGTCTGTTGCTCCACGAAATCTTCAGAGTCCTCCAAAATCCCCATTTCCACTGGGTCAGAATCCTGTGGCGATTCATCCAGCATGCCCTCGATTCCATGTTCCGGGTGGGCCAACTCCTCGTCAGAGATGAAACTTTGCTGGCTCATGATCTGCTTTTGCAGTGCAATCTGGCGCTTCAGAGAGGCGTCTTTGCGCAAGTGCTTGTTGGCGGAGAACTCGGTCAAAGCTCGCATCAGCCTCTCCTCCGTAAGCGTTTTAATATGTGTCGCAAGGGTTCGATCCGTGAACACACCACCGAACCGGAAGCTCAGCCACAAATAAAGGATAATAGCCTTATGAAGGCCCTCCAGCTGGTACATGTAGTCCTTGTTTCCAGACACAGGCTGCTCTAGGATTTCCAGGTTCAGATGAGGTATGTCCAACAAACGCCCCTGGGTATTGCTAGCGATGCATTCGGCAAACGCTAAGGTAACGTCACGCAAGGACAAGTTTCTGGTTTCCAAAGGCGCGGCAATGAGGAAAAGTTGGTCCATGACTGCCAATCCGTCCACTCCATCCAAGAGCTGGCAAGCTTCCTGTTGACTCTCTGTGTTGCACATGAAGAAAAGGCGGTTCATCTGGGCGATTTCAAGCACTCGCTTGAGCAGGTACTCGAAGGGAACATTTCGTGGGAAGTAGAAAGAAAATTTCTCGAAAGCGAAACCTGGCGGCAGAATACCAGCGCCTCTAAGTGGCGGGGGCTCCGTGTGCATCGCTTCTCTGATGTATGGAAGATCGACTTCTTCAAGACAAGTAACGAGACCAACGTTGGCACCGTCTTTGCTACTATCCTTAGCGCCGGCGGGGCGGTATCGACCAGCGCGCCCACCGATCTGTTTGATCTCTGGAACAGTTAATCGTATCAAACCGGCCGGAGTCCTTTTAATCAGAGTCTCGAAGATGATACGTTTGATACTCCTAGGTTTGGGTCAGTCAAAGCCTCAGCTAGATCGATTGATAGCACTCACAAATTCAACCCCATGCCAATCGCATCACTTGCCACCAAATAGTCATAGTCATTATCTGGATCATTGAACAGTGCTGCCTGCTGGGTTCGAATTGGGGCAGGCAGACCACCATAGACAATGGCAGCTCGTCTTCCAGTAATTTTCTCAATATCTGCCTTCAAGGCGTGAATTCCAACTCGGGAAAAGACAACCAGGCAATCGCCCTTTTGGAGTCCCTTTAAGTTGCCACCAAGGCTATGTGGCATTACTTCCAGAGCGTTGAGCCTTTCATAACGATGAATTTCCAAAATATCTCCAGTGAGAGCACACAACTCGCGAATCAGCGGTACCGCACGAGTCTCACCACACAGATGCAGCTCCGAAGCCTGACAGCCAAGCACAGCTCGCGTCCACGCCCAACCTCGCTTGGGGTCGGCAATCATCTGGATCTCATCAATCACTCCAACGTCGAAGGCCTGTCCCATGCTAACCATTTCCACAGTATTGCTCACCACCCGCGGTGTCTTGCCATCCTCTGGGGCTTGGACTTCGTCTCCTGTAACGAGACTGGTCGGTATACCATTATCTCTGAAGCGATGGTATACCTCCTGTGCAAGCAATCTTAACGGTCCAGCATAGAATCCAGCCTTAGCTTCCTCCAACCGCTTCAGTGCGTGGTATGTCTTCCCCGAATTCGTGGGCCCGACATGTAGGTGGATTTTCCGTTGGATTGATCGTGCACCAGGATACCACTCTGCGGGAAAGCGAAGGTCGACCACTTTCCGTTGCGCTTCGAGATTGGAAGTCGAGTACTTGTTCGTCATATCCTCAGCAAACAGCATATATTCCAATTCATCCCGTATTCCTTGAGCTCCACTGTTGAGATATGCTTTTTGCAACATGCCTTTCAACTCTTGTAACGGAGTCCATTTCGCTGATGTCACAAGTTTTTCATCCACATGGCAGGCATTCAACACCTGGCGCTCAAGCCGTCCCCATCCGTCCAATAATCGACCTGACCTGCGGAGTCTCTCCTTAGTATCGTGTAATGCTTTTTCAACCACATTGAAGAAATCGCGAGCCCGAGCGACTGTTTGGCGATCGGCTCTTCTGGAGTCGCCAGACTTTTTCTTTCCACCCTTGATGGCTTCTAAGGCTGCAGCTTGCTGGTTGAGCTTTGCTTTCAAGACAGATCGACTCGTTCGTTGCAATGGGGAGGTCGTTGTGAAATGTCGCTCCGTAGGTCTAGTGAGCGAGCGAAACGCGCAATAAAGCGAGTGACTGCCTCTGCCGGTCCATGGCTGCATAGATGCGCGGAGTTTCGGCAGAACGGGGAAGAATTCGGGGGGAGATAGAGCGGCGAGTATTCAATCCGGTCGAATAGTCGAATTAAGGGGGAAGGAAAGGGTGGTTGGTTTCAGTGGTCGTTTCAACCGGAGTCGAAGAAAAAACGATCACTGCTTATCGGGATGCGTTCCCTGGCGCGCCACCCGAAGATCCACTTTCTTCCCTGAGGAAGCTCAAATGGTGGGGAACCACTTCCCCTTCATATACCTCATACGAAGCCACCTAGTAGTTTAGGTGCTCCTACTCCGCCGGCCTTTATTTCCTCACACTTTTCACCTTTCGTACACTTAGTACACCTCCCGTGGGAACTGTCTCTCTATCTCCAAACAGCTGCAGCTCCCACTCTGTGGCCCGCCAAACATGGGCGCTTCTATAATCGACATCCAGCGTGACAGTACGTGACTCTCCTGATGGGTGTAATGAGAGTCCCCTTAACTTACTCGATCTCTCCTGACAGTCATTTTAAACACGATCCGCCAATCCGTCGGCCACGAAGTGCGTTATTCCCTCTTGTCCCCGCTGCCACAGACGTTAACGATCTTGCTTCTCCGTCCAGTGGAAAGTCCTGGTAGTCGATGAACAAAGCAGGAAATTAATCAATGCCGCCGTCAAAGAGGAAGAGATCCTCAACCTGAATGTTTCCAGTGAGCCCACCGTTGCACCTCGGTTTCCTGGGAGTAGCTTGCTAAGAAAAAAAATCACCACCCCGCAGATGTCGAACAGATCGAGCACCGACGGCCGTCCAACCCGGACATGGACGCGCTATACATATTATCCCCAGAATCGTGGATTGTGGACTGTCTCATGGCTGACTTTGAGGTCAAACGGTACCGCAAGGCATTCCTAGTTTGGACTTCTTGTCAGTGGCGGCACCACCGGAAGCTCCAAGAAACCTGCTAACAGGCGTATACAGTCCTCGACCCTCAGCTACGGCAGCGACTTGATCGGTCTGACATGGCACGGGAGCAGATCGCCGACTATCGTATCATGAACATCAGTTTCTTCCCTCGAGAGTCACATTTGATCACCTTCCGCGATCCGTACAGCTTCCCGATTCTGTTCCATCCAGGCTGCAACAATTTGATCCGCAAACATCTTCAAGAGCTAGCTCAAAAGGTAGACATCCATTAGCTTTTTCTGCCAATTGGGACCTCATACTGACACCTTACCTCTCTAAGATTGTCTCACTCTGCGCTTGCTTAGGTGAATATCCAGTCATCCGCTACTACAAGCCACGAACCCCCACCCATGAAGCCGCTGTCCTTTGCTCCCATTTGGCGCGATTTGTTCAGAATGAGTTAGATCAGTTCGCACAGTTCCAACGCGATTTCCCGCCACAGACCAACCGTCCTCGGGGTGTTTTGCTTATCGTGGATCGGTCCATGGACACTTTCGCCCCTCTTCTCCATGAGTTCACATACCAAGCTATGGCTCATGATCTTCTCCCGATCAAGGATGGAGACAAGGTTACCTACAAAACAGTGCTCCACGAAGGCAAGGAGAATGAGGAGCAGAAGGAAATGGAGATTGGAGAACATGACAAGGTGTGGGTGTCGTATAGACATATGCATATGAAGGATCTACTTGGAAAGCTAGGAGAAGATTTTGCCAAGTTCAGAGCCGCCAATCCTCAGTTTGCCGAAGAGTGAGTTTCAAAGGGACAATAGGTGCTAATTTTCATTCCTGGTCAAGCTGACAAAAGATTTCGCAGTAACGACAAGACGAGTGTGAACACAATCAAAGATATGCTTGGAGGACTGACCGAGTTCACGGAGGGCAAGGATGCCTACACTCTGCATTTGAACATGGCAGAAGAGTGCATGAAACACTTCCAAAACAACAAACTCTTGGAGGTAAGCTCCATTGAACAATCATGTGCTACCGGTCTCGATGAGAACTACAAAAAAGCCAAGAACCTGGCAGCACAACTTGTTCAATTACTCGACGACGACCAGGTCATTCATTCTGACCGACTTCGGTTAATTCTGTTGTACATCATGTATCGTTACGGCTTGCTAGGCGGGGATATCCGAAAGCTCATGGCGCATTCCGAGCTGCCAGGGCGCAATGGGGACGTCATTGCGAACCTCGAGCTTTTGGGCGTACGGGTTGAAAAGCCCTTGAAAGACGATAAACCCCCACCACAGCCTTTATTTAACCGGTGCGCTCCACCCCCGGAGGGAGAGGAGCTCAGCTTGACACGGTACGAGCTGGCCATGAAGCAAATGCTCGAGGAACAAATCCGAGGCTCACTGGATAATACCACCTTTCCATTTACCCGACCTCACACCGATACCGATGGCAGCATGGCCGCACAGGACATGTTATCGCAACAAACCTCCCTGCGCAGTGCCAAACCCACCTGGGCCCGCACACGAAGCGTCGACCAACCACGCCAACGGATCATCGTCTTTATGGCCGGCGGTGCCACATATTCCGAGTCCCGCGCCTGTTACGAGATCTCCCAAGCCTATAACCGAGACGTCTTTCTCGCAACAACACACATGCTTAACCCGGGCCTTTTCATGCGCCAAGTGGGCGATCTCAGCGTTGATAAACGCCGGCTGGATATTCCCGCTGAGCGTCCAAAGCCCACTGCACCCGCTCATCTATTCGAGCGTGAATCACCGCCTGCACCTGCACCACAACCGCAGAAGAAAAAACCGGTTCCCATGAACCCGCCCAACCCGCCTACAGCGCAGATGGCCAACATGTCCATGAAGAATGGATCAAATGGAACTCCGCCACCCCCGTCCAGCGGGAAGATTCACAAGAAAGAGAAGGAGAAGAAGGACAAGGACAAGGATAAGGAAAAGAAGGACAAGAAGTACCGTTTCTTCTAGGAGGGTTTACTCAGATGGTCTTTCCTTCTGTCGCCTCTCACTGTGCACTGTGTCTCCATTCAAGCGCTGTTGTGATACCATCTTTTCTTTGTCTTTGTCTTATTTCGATTGTCAGATCTGGGTTTCCAAGCATTTATTCGAGGCGCTTTCATTGAGAGCAGGGAATTTGAGCTTCGTTCTTGCTCAGGTCATAGGGTTTTACTGCAGGCAGGTTCTTATGGACGTATGAGAAGGAAGGAAATCATAGTACAGATACTTGCAGTACATAGGAGGCAAGTCTTTTACTAGTTGTAGAATCTATCATTTCTATCGTCGACATTTCAGTTCCATTAATCTTTGACCCAAAAGACTATAGGTGCCTCGAGGTCCATGCAGTATATATTCGTATCAGGGTATCATGAAGACATGCTAAAACCAAACGCTAAACCCAACCTCCGCTATACACCAAGTACCAAACTACCTAGCAGGTATATTATAAAACTTCAAGCACTCTCCCCAAGATACTTCAAAACCTCATCATTCTGGAAAAACAGATTCCTCATTTTCTCCCCCCCTCCTCTTAGCCTCCGCCTCCTTCCTCCTAATCTCCTTTGCATTCAACTTGACAACCTTATTCTTAACCGGCAAAGGAACCTTAATCGGGTCTCCATCTTTATCAAGTCCAGACCCTAATCCCGCCGTATCATGCTTAATTCGGCCCTTCAGCGGTTCCCGGATACCTTCGCGGCCAGGTGCGCCGAGACCGAGTCTGCTATCTGGATCCCAGCCGTAGGTGGATAGGTAGCGCATTCCTGCGCGGGTGCGGTCCAGATGATTGGGTGGGTGGGAGTGTTTTAGGCAGACTTGGTGGGCTAGGGAGGCTTCGTGGGGACGGAGTGTTTCTTGTTGGGGTTGTGATTGTGGGTCTGTGAGGGGGAGGTTGCATACGTCGCAGTACGTTTGTTCGGGTCCTTTTGGTGAAAGCTTGATGGCCTCTGTAGAAGCTACAGGTGCTGGCGCAGGCGAGATAGCCTCTGCTGTTGGCGGGGCGGAATGAGTTCTGGGTGGCGGTACAATATCCCCAGGTGTATTCGCATTTGTGTTTGTAGGAGTCGAAGGAGATGTTTTCGGCATGCTTTGTTGTTTGAGGACAATCGAAAGGTATGTGTCTCCGATGTTGGTGCCAGCAGAAGAAGTTGAGCTCGTCGTATTCAACTCTCCAGAGCGCACGAAAGGTACTCTTTTGCGCCGGATTCCAGCGCCGAAAACACGCTGGTCTTCCAACGGAAGATAGTAGTCCTCGTCACCATAGTCTTGAGACATGACGCACTGCACTCGGACTATGTACGGTGTCAAGTTGAGAGGAAAGCAAGCTGGATTGCAGTAGGAAGATGATCCAAGAATAGAATGTTCGTGGCGATAAGATATGCTCATCGATAAGCGATAACGATAAGCTAACATACGTACACGCTTCCTCTTTTCTTTGCCCTTTCTACACTTTCTCCTGATTTACGCCCACGCAGCATGCCTATCCCAATTCTCATCCAGGCAGTCTCGACGGGTGTCTCATCCATTCCATATGCATGGTCAATCCTGAAAGTCGCACCATGGATCATCCTCGTCGCTGCGCTGAAGTACTACTTCGGCGGAGCCCGCAATACCTCCGAGCGATTGATGCATTCTAAAAGGATTATGGTTACGGTACTATACTTCCCTGCAAGCCATACACCTACCATTGGTTGTAATTGTACTAATTGTATCTACGGAATAGGGCGGAACATCCGGTATAGGCGCACAAGTCGTTCAAGGACTCGCAGAGCGCGGAGCCCAAGTCATCCTTCTAACCCGCCAACCACCCTCCGACCTCTTCATAGTTGAGTTCATCGACGACCTTCGCAAAAGCACAGGTAACCAGAATATCTGGGCCGAGCAGGTCGATCTCTCCTCCCTGCACTCAGTTCGCACATTCGCTACACAGTGGATCGACAATACCGAGCCCCGCCGTCTAGATGCAGTCATCTTATGTGGCGGCATTGCGGTGCCCGCGTCCGCAAAAAAGAACACCATTGACGGAATCGACGAGGAGTGGCAGGTGAATTACCTTGCCAATTTCCATCTATTGAGTATCCTTAGTCCGGCATTGAGGGCACAGCCCGCGCACCGAGATGTCCGGGTGATTTTCACAACCTGCTCAGGCTATATTGGAGCGAAGTTTGAGCTCGAGCGTGTGAAGAGAGGTATGACGGGTAGCTTCCTGTCAAAGGATAAGAAGAGGGTTATTGCTGCTGCGCCGAAGGGTGTTTATGCGCTCAGCAAATTTGCGCTTATGAACTTTGCGTTCTCTTTCCAGAGACATTTGAGTTCTTTTAAGAGGCCTGATGGACTGCCGCCTTGTACCCGGGTTCTGGTTGTAGATCCTGGTCACACGCGCACTCCTGGCACTCGGCGCTGGTTGACTGGTGGTTCGCTTTGGGGATTGCTGCTTTATTTGATTACATGGCCTTTCTGGTGTATGGTTCTCAAGTCACCGCAGCAGGGTGCGCAGAGTATTCTCTATGCTGCTATGGAAGAGGAGTATGGTCGTGGTGTTGGTGGGTGGTTCATTAAGGAGTGTCGGGAGATGGATCTTGCGCGGACAGATGTTCGGGATGAGGACGTTGGTAAGCGGCTGTGGGAGTTTAGTGAGAAGCAGATTGAGGAGGCTGAGAAGGAGAGTGCCATCAAGAGGGCAGTTGAGAAGAAGGAGAGGGAGGCTGCTAAGGAGAAGGAGACTCGCAAGGAGACTGCATCGGGGAAGGCGCAGACTCCTGGGTCTAGGCGGAGCAAGAAGGCTAAATAAGGAGATGATGTTATTGAGCGGCATGCATGTGACGGGTGTTGATTATGGTTATTACTTCGCATATATAGACGTCCTATGGGAATACAATGGGCTTTCACTTTCTTTTTTCAAAGCTCCCGTGATTGTGGTCCGATGGTAATACATGTCTAGGTATACATATTTATACAAGACCAATTAGAAATAGGAAATTCGTGTCATTTATTCTACTTAGGTTCTATGCCGATACACATCGGCTCATATCAACTATTTTAATCCCGCGCTAAATCACAATTACTTCTTCAGCTGAGCCAACAGCTCGGCCGGCGGCTGCTGACGGTAACCCTGGGGGTTGTTCTTGGTCCAGAGCCAAAGATCCTCACAGGCATTCTCAAGAGTGCGAGTGGGGGTCCAGCCAAGCTCAGTGGTAGCACGGTTGGCATTGGCAGTCAAGTTAAGGACATCACCATCACGGCGAGGAGCAACCTCGTAAGCAAGGTCACGACCGACGGCAGTAGAGAAAGCCTTGATCATCTCGTAGACGGTAGAGCCCTTACCGGTACCCAAGTTCCAAGCGCGAACACCAGGGTTGTTAGTGCGAAGGTAGTTGAGAGCCTTCAAGTGGCCGTCAGCCAAGTCGAGAATGTGAATGTAGTCACGGATGGCAGTGCCATCGTGGGAGTTGTAGTCATCACCGAAGACGAGCAGCTTCTCGCGCTTGCCGGTGGCGACCTGGGCCAGGAGTGGCAGCAGGTTGTAAGGGACACCCTGGGGGTCCTCACCCATGATACCGGAGGGGTGAGCACCGGCGGGGTTGAAGTAACGGAGGAGAGCGCCGTTCCACTTCTTGGCCTCGGCCTCGTTGCCGGCCTTGAGGGCGTTGTTGCGCTGGGCGTTGATTGCGTCGGTGATGGCGAACTCAACGGCGAACTTGGTGTTACCGTAGGGGTTGGTAGGGCCAAGAGGGCACTCCTCGGGGATGGGAATCATGTTGGGGAAACGGGTGGCATCACCGTAGACGGTGGCGGAGCTGGAGAAGACAATGTTGGTGACATTGTGCTTGACCATGGCACGCAGGAGGTTGATGGTGCCGTAAACGTTGACGTGGTAGTAGTCGAGGGGCTTCTCGCCAGATTCACCAACAGCCTAGATTAAGAGGCGAGTTAGCATTCCAGCTCTTCTTGATTATCGATTCTGGATTATGCATTGTGAGCTGTAGCTCGTACCTTCAGGGCAGCGAAGTGGATAACGCTGTCAATTTCAGGGTGGTCGGCGAAGACCTTGTCGAAGGCATTCTCGTGGGTAACATCGAGCTCGTAGAACTCGGCCTTCTTGCCACAGATCAACTCAACACGCTTGAGGGCCTCGACGGAGGAGTTGTACAGGTTGTCAACGACAACAACCTTGTAGCCAGCCTCGAGCAGGGCCAGGGTGGTGAATGAGCCAATGTAGCCCGTACCACTGAACGCGGGGTTAGCTATGATCGCAATCGTAATAGCGGGGTCAATTGCCACTTACCCAGCAACAAGAACAGAACCGACAGACATTATGAAGTAATTGTAGGAATTGTTTTTTTGGGAGAGATTGGATTGAGAAGGAGAAAAGAGAAGAGGACGAATGCGGAGGGGCAGGTCATTTAAGGGGAAATCCCGTCCATTCAGCCGGTGGGGGGCAAGTCTCCCGTCATGTATATCGCCATTACGCGGCGGGATCCCATGAGATCCTCAGAATTCTGTTCAGTTTGAAGGAAATTCAATAGACAAATCTCATCCTTGGTTCCATATTACATATTTCCTTGATCTCCTATCTCAATTGAAACAATTGATTCTCATTGATGTAGAATGATAATTCGTGCAAACCAGGTTTTAATAATTTTATGTAGATCGCAGGGATCGTCCATGGCGGTGTATCATAGCGCCACCAGGAACAAAACCAAGCCATTACGAACCCGTAATCATTCGTTTGGGTCACGATAGACGACGGGTCTCAGGCAAAAGCGGGTTATAGTAGGCGATATCTGTCATTTTGGCCGAAAAGGTAGCCTCGTTTCACTTGAAATGATACGTCTCCACTCAAGCGCCAAGGTGCCGCCGAATCAGTTCCGCCCAGGGTCCATCTCCAAATGCGGGACCCGATACATGAGAACATCTCATGTAGCAACGGAGAAAGTTCTGGCAAGAAAATTATTGAATACATTGGTTGCACGGATCCTAGCTGCATATTCAGAGTAGAAGAACAGCCGAATTGGTTCATCCCAGAGAGTCGTCCAAGTAGAAATAGAAAAAAAAGAGACAGAATAAAAGAATAAATGAATTGGTATGAGCAGAAAAAAAGATAAAAACACAAGTGCTTCACTTCAGGCATAATGTGTCCTGAGATACCCTGAGAAATATTCGGGTCAAGCTAAGTGCTGGGAGAGAACCCCTTATGTCCTCATGGGTCCCCGAGGCCAGCACGCCGGGTGGCATTCTCAGCACCCCCATGGTGCAAAGTTTAATAGAAATCATAAATTCATTTCCACAATATATGGTGGAAGACCTCGGGGTTACAGCCTTTTCTGAGAATGGCTGGGGCATGGACATGAGAGTCGCGGGTATGGGGGAGCCATAATATATCGGCTAGTCGCGCATGACAGGGGAGATGAATGATAGTGCCCCAGAGAGAATGAGAAACCAAACTCATTTAACCAAGAAGTTCCACGTCCAGGCCGATAGCCCGCATGAACAGGTTGACATTGCCCAAGCGTTGGCTAGACATGTCGGCGGGGAGCGTCTTGCTATAGCCAACAGTTTCCATCACACGATCCCTGCGACAATAGTTAGTATCCAGAAAGCCTATCATCTCAATATCTACAAGGGGTTACTCACTTGACAGCAATCACCAAACGTTGTTGTTGCTCGGGGCTGGCACCAATGCCCACGGCGGCAAGGAATTGCCACACGTACATATCGTCGCCAGAGTTGATCGAGCCAGGGAAGATATGTGCCAGACCGGGCTCCAACATATCAAACAGGATGTTGAACTTCTCCACCCATTGCTGCCAATCACGCTCAGAGGCCTGACCAGCCTCCTTAACGATCTCGGCCCTACTGAGCAGCATGGTAAGGATACCCAGACCAGTCTTGGTGCGAGCCACATGAATGACTTGGGTTTGAGCAATCACCAAACCCAGAAGGCCAATGATGATGTTGAAAGGAGCCTCATTCACGTAGCCCAGCAGGCTCGGCATCACCGCCAATGAGAAGAGATCAATGGCTTCACGCACCGCAACGGACAATTGGGCCTCACCAGGACCTGAGTGTTGCGCAAGACGAACCACATCCAAGCTGTCTAGGTGAACCACAATCATAGTGAGGATGGTGACCCGTTGTTCTTGATCGATGTGACGGAAGATACGGGGAATGGCTTTCTTACCCTTCGGGTAGGACAGGAACGCGATGAAGGGGTGGGGGGTAGTTGCATTGGGAACAATGGGTTCCATGACTTTGAGTGCTTGCCACAATTTCTGGTTGAGTGTCTGAACCTGTTGTCGCCATTCCATGTGCTCCTGGATGGCATCCGTGTCGCCCTCCTCGGGTGGTGGTGGCATAGTGCGCTCCATGTCCTCCATCGACATCAGAGCGTTGTAGACAGCCTCAATGTTGCCCAGAAGAGATTTCCGATCACTGATGCTTAGGTCTGACTGCACCTTCTTTGGCCGAGCCCCTTCAGAGCTGTCGGGTCGCTTAAGATTCAGCATCGGCTTCGGTGCCTTGGCATTGCTGAAGGAGATCTTGCCCAGACTGCCTTCAATGATGAGCTGCTTGTTCTTCGGCTTGGCCTTGGCTGCCTCGACGGCACGCTGCACCTGCTGCTGCATGCGCTGCATGTGGTTGTCCGCACCCTGGAATGCCCTACGGTTTCCATGACCGCCAATCCGGTTGCCAGTCTGCAGGAGGTAGGTCTGAGCAAAGTGACCGAGGGGCTGGTGGGGGTGCTGTCGTGGGGCGCCCCGAATCTGGCTGTAAACCTGGTAGTAGAAGTCCTCGGCAAGCACAGCTTCGGGATCAGAATCAGCCACATTGCCAGCCGCAGCCACAAGCTGCTGGAGCTGGATTCGGGTGATAAAGTTCTTGTCCTGGGGTGTCATCAAGCCATTGCCTCGGGACAAGAGGAAGATCTTGTGATTGCGCTTCGCCCGCTTGGCGTCCTCCATCAGATAAGCGTTGCGCTGTTCCTCGGTCAGGTGCACCAGCTGCTGCGGGTTAGTGATAACCGGCAATCCACCGTTAGGACCTCGAGACGGTGGGGGTGGCATTTGCTGTTGCCGCTGGGCCGGGGGTGGACCCGCATGGCGAGGGCCCTGAGGCAGGTTTGGAGGAAGGTTGTTCTGCACCAGATGCTGCAGGGGCGTACCAGGCATAGGGCCAGGGCCTCCATACAGTTCTTGAATGCCCGGCGGGGGGTGCGACATGTGCGGGGGTAGTCCCCCCTTCTCAAGCTGTGCGCGGAGAAGTTCCGGGGGGATGTTGGCGGGGAACCCATCAGGCAGCGTCGGGAAGTCCTGCGGGTGGCGCATGTAGGACATATCGGGCATCTGTTGAGGAATTGACTGCGTGGGGATGGGTCCGAAAGCCTGTCCGCGATTGCGCAGCTGAGCTTCCACCTCCTCCAGACTCATCATCATCTTCCGACTAGGCATTGGCATTGCGGGCATTGCTGGCATCGGGGCAGGACTCGGTTCCGGCTTCTTCTGAGAGAGACCCCACACGCTGGACTTGGCTTGGAGATCGGGGATATATCCTGGGTCCGAATACTTCTCGTAGCCGGTGCGCTTCGTGGTCGACTCGGCGACAGGATGGGCAGCTACGTGGGCATTCAGCGAGGCGGGAGGTGCAGCCTGGGGGTTCTGCAAGGTGTATCGAACGTGCTCCTCGCCAATTGCATCGGCAACTTGAGCAGTCCGACCGAAGAAGTCAAAGTCCCTGCCGACAGCTGGTGCACCGCTGGTATCTCCACCGCCGAAAGTGTCATCGTTGAACTCATCCTGGTCGTCATCGAGCTGGTCGCCGAGGCCATCATAGGTGTCCTCGAAGTCAATCCTGGATTGGTGTTAGCACAAACACATCATCCAAGTCACCGCTCTAGGCGCAGAGGACTCTCACGCGTCATCATCTTCAAGCGCCGAAGCACGGGCAACCTCCGCGAAGGGATCCGGGTTCTCGAAGAAACCCCGCGAGCCAGCGGGACCAGTATCCTGGTCCCTAGGCAGGGCAGTATTGAAGCCAAAGAATGACATCTTTGGTCAACAGGGGAGGGGGGAGGAGGAGGGGGGGAGATAAAGGTGGTGATGGTGGGGAAAGATTTCCAATGAGGTGAGGTAAAGCTGGGAAGTTCAGGGAAGTGCGGGTGCCTCAAATATCGGGCTGCAACTTGCCAAGTCTATGCGGCGATCAACGCAGAAGTTTCAGATTCCATGTTGATACATTGAAAGTGGGGGATAGAACTGGATAGTCATGAGGCTCAAATTCAATTGAAATATTCCTCATGATTCTAATTCTTCTTGATCATTTTCTATCGTCGATATGCCCAATCTCCCCTACTAGAATTAATGTAATAGGTGGCTTCTAGAGATGAAACCCACCCCGTTTAATTGGGTTCCGCTGTCCATTCACCGTGGTCATTGCCTATAGATCGACATGGCTTAGAAATAAGTGGATTAGCTGTTATTTCCAGGTTACAACGAGGCTGGCTTAACCCACGATTCATTTGTCCCCTGAGACGTTCATTCCAGGTGAAACCCCAAAGCGGCTGAAAGCGGTTGTTCGCCATAACAATCACCATTGCGCGGCCTCCCCGAATCCAGACCCTATCAACTTCCTCCACCCCTTATCCTGGTTTTCTTTTTTTCCACTCCGTTCTCTACCTCTTTATTCATCCTGTCCTGCACATGGTCTTTATTTGACGGGCCTTCCCCGATTCCGCTGGCCTGAATCTCTGATCTCCACTCGTTTCTGCCTGCTTCAGCAGCGCCTAACTTTCCGCCACCATGTCTGTCTCCGCGAGGTATACGCGATACCTGGTGTTTGCCTTGGTGGTATGTTCTCTCTTCAGATCATGTTATTTCTCCACATGCGAAACTTGAATGCAGCATTGGAGGATCGCATCCGACACCAGACTAATAACTGTTTAGGGATTGACATTCTTCTACCTCGTCTCCCGATCATCTCTCCAGATTCCAACTAGCTCCTCCTTTGCCCCACCCCCTCCTACATATGAAGAGGTCAAGGAGGGAAAAACACAAACGGCCGTTTCCACATCCAATGAAAGAGTGAACGCCACTTTTGTTACTCTCGCCCGTAACTCCGACATTTGGGAAATTGCCAAGTCCATCCGCACCGTTGAGGACCGTTTCAACCGCAACTTCCATTATGACTGGGTATTTCTGAATGATAACGAGTTTGACGACGAATTCAAGAAGCTCACGACCGCACTGGTGTCTGGCACTACCCACTACGGCGTCATTCCTAAGGAGCACTGGTCATACCCGGAATGGATTGACGAGGACAAAGCGCGTGCTGCGCGCCTGGAGATGGGTCGCAAGAAGATTATCTACGGTGACTCCGAGAGTTATCGCCACATGTGCCGCTACGAGTCTGGATTCTTCTTCCGTCATGAGTTGATGATGAACTATGAGTACTACTGGCGCGTGGAGCCTAGCATTGAGCTCTTCTGCGATGTTCCCGGGGACCCATTCCGATTCATGAAGGAGAACAACAAGAAGTACAGCTTCGTGATCAGTCTGTATGAGTACATCGAGACCATCCCCACCCTGTGGGATAGTGTCAAGGGCTTCATGAAGAGTCACCCGGAGCATATCGCTGAAGGCAACGCCATGGACTTTATCAGTGAGGATGGTGGTGAGAGCTATAACAAGTGTCACTTCGTACGTCTTCCATCATTCTTGATATTTCATTTTGCGTGTTCAATTCTAACCTGAATTTAGTGGTCCAACTTTGAAATTGGCAGCCTGGAATGGCTGCGGTCCGACCAATACATTGACTACTTCACCACCCTGGACAAAGATGGTGGATTCTTCTACGAACGATGGGGTGATGCACCAGTCCACTCGATTGCTGCCTCGATTATGCTCAAGTCGGAAGAAATTCATTTCTGGAATGAAATTGCCTACTATCACGTTCCATTTACCCATTGCCCAAGCAGTGAGAAGACGAGGCTGGATCTTCGCTGCCACTGCAAGCCCTCTGAGAACTTCGACTGGGCAGGCTACTCATGCACAAAACGATGGTTTGACGTGAACAAGTTGCAGAAACCAGATGGCTGGGACTCGCAGCAGTGACTCAATGTCCTCGGCCATTGGGCACTCTTCCTGTTTGCAGTTGGCCTTGTTTTCCTCATCCTTTACCGCGATTTACGGGTTTTCTTATTTGTTCAGATCAAGTTCACCGCAAAATTTGTGGTTGATATTGTCAATCGTCGCCCATACACAATCAACCACCACTCCGTGAGTGGTAAGTAACGGCTCTATCCTTGACTTGACCTGGAAGACCCGACATTCTATTCTTCACATCTCTTTTTGGCTTTACTTTCTTCATTTTCTTCTCCGTCTCGATCACAGGCGGCTACCCATTCTCCATTTCACTTTCATGTGTGCCATGTTTTACTATTTGGATTCCCGACAGCGTTTTTTTATCAGTTCCCTGAAGTTTGGATGCATGGGCGGAGTACCAGATTCCCCAGGATGAGCAACGTTTTCACTATACCATTACATTGAGCCTGAGAGGATGAATGTAACTTAACCACTTTTATACGTTCCTGAGGGATGAAAATGCAATAAAAGAAAACAAAAACATCAAAACTCGGTCCAGTTTAGTCAAGTAACGGAGACGCCATATACTTCAATCGTATCACGATTACAATTCAAAAGACCACTTAAAGCTAGGCAATACGATTAGAGTAATGGATGAAGACGTCTTTAGCAGTTCCCAGAGTATGATAAACCAAATAACTGTTTCTTATAATGATACATGCGATTCAATAAATAACACATCGCCTATGCTGCACAAATAATACAAGGCAAAAGAAAGTGAAAACAATGATGCTGCAAAGCTCTGGGCATCAAATAGCCCAGCTTATAGCGCACCGGGAAAAGAAGATAGAGCAACATGATTCCTGACCTGCTGCTCTAGCATCACAAATCAAACCAAACCCCACGATATATCAGCCCATCTAGTTGCTCTTAGGCTTCTTTGTTCCGTACTTTGAGCGACTGGAGTTGCGACTTCCAACACCACTCAGATCCATAGCACCACGAACCAAGTGGTACTTCACACCAGGACAATCCTGAGCTCTGCCACCACGGACCTGAACAACACTGTGCTGCTGGATATTGTGTCCTATACCCAAGATTATTAGTCACGAATTCGCAACAATTGCAATTGCAATCTATAATTCGAGTTGTCAAGCATTCTTGGATACATACCTTCTCCAGGAATAATAGCGGTAATAACCTTGCCAGTGCTCAAACGCACACGAGCAATCTTCCGCTCTCCAGAGTTGGGCTTCTTAGGCTTGGTAACACCAGTCTTAAGACACACGCCCTTCAGCGCTGGGTGCTCCTTCAATGCGGGTGAACGTCCCCGGCGCGCACGCTGGCCCTGTCGGCAGCCACGACGGACCTGGTTGTATGTCGCACGAATAATGGGGGAGCTGGAGAATTGCCGGCGGGCAGTGGTCGACAGAGTTAGAGCCGTTTGCGTGCGGAACACGGGCTGGAAACCGAAGCGCGAGGTGAGCGCGGGCTGTGGGCGGAAGGCGCTGGTGGAGGTAGTGAGGTTGCGGAGAGGTGTTAAGGAAATTGCTGGACGCTGGACAAGAGTCCGCAGGGCCCGAAGGGCCAGAGGCGAGATTAATTGAGGCATTGTGGGGTGTTTGGGTTTCGTGATGATGCCGTCGTTGGAGTTCTTGGAAATGTTCAATTGGGATTGTCGCACGTGATCTTGAAGATAGTTGCGCTTTTGGTTTTGTGCGGGACCGGAGGAGCTGGACGCGCTGCTTCTCTGCCTGACGTCCTCCGCAAGTGCTGTCATCCTCTTAATTCTTGATCTCCTTTCTTATTTCCAACGCTCTATCCGAAACTCGGCATTCTTCATTTTACCAGATACGGTATAACTTTTGAAGGAATCAGCTTAATATCCGTCATAATGGTGCGTTATCGAGCTACAGCTTCGACATTATCTAGTCGAGCCCATCTCCGGGCAACGCTAGTATATCCATGCTATATCATCAATCCCCTCTTCCGTGCTAGTGCTGCAGTCAAGCAGCTAAGCATAATACAATACACTTCCTTTGTCAAATTTAGGACAAATGAGCTAACCAGAATCTCCAGTCTCTCCGAGTTGCACCCCCGTCCGGTTACTCCAACAGCGTCTCCAACACCACAACCCGCCACACTCGTCCTTCAAAGGGTGCCCCCTCAGCGCCCGGTCTCCCCGATACTCTCCGTAACAAGATCACTCTCCCCGCCACTGCCCACGCCTCTTCCACCAACAACCCTACCGCCAGCGAGATCCCCTCTTCCACACACCCGCTTGAAGCCCGCCTTATGGCCTGGCGCGCAACCCAGGATGCAATGAAGATGGAGTCCCTGCGCCGGGCATACGGTATCGCCGAGCCCGTCCGCCGCGGTATGGAGCTTAAGATCGTCCGTGATGGTTCCTTCAGGCCTGCTGTGCTGGGTGGTATGAAGGGTGGCAATGTCCACGAGGATATCCTGTCAATTGGAGGCCGGGATACGGAGGTTCAATGGGAGGATATCTTCCATGGTATGTCCTTTCACCAGCTTATGTTACTGGCTTTGCGGTCTTCTGTTCCTTTGCTAACTATGGATGTTTCCAGGCGACGAGTTCCGGGAGCCACCTTCCTTCCACGATGAGATGGAGAAGCGGTTGAAGATGGAATTCCACTAAATCTTACGTTGATTATGTGATGTTATGGCTTCTTTATCTATTCTTGATGGACTTGTTCAATTAGTCTTGCAATCTGTTCCATCTCCCCATGCCCGATTCATGCCCACAACAGAAAAATAGATTATACCATAGGTACATCACTTCTGTCGCAGTAGCGATACTACGATGTAGCTCAATCAATCTATCTTCATTTTCAAAGTTGACCTATGTGGATCACGCTTCCGTCTGATATGATTTTGTGGATTCTACAAGTATATGTATTACCTGCTTGTACCAAAGGTGCTTGAGACCACTTTAGGCAGCTGCCTTATCCACAGAGACAAGATCTTTTGTTTACTACTTTCGCAGCAACTAGCAGGTGTCACTGACTCAAGTGCATGAGCGACTCATTGATTGGATCTCGGAAAATGATCAGATTGCACTCATTTCACTGGTGAACTTGATCACCTTCCTATTATAGGCCTCAGCAATCGTCATGCATCCAACGCAACCTTTATATGATCGATTCGGAAGGTTTGCCAGCCAAATCCGAAGACTCGCCAAAGCAAAATCTCGCAAAACTACCCGGTGATGTCGGCGGTTTTCTTTACGGCAAGTGTTGATATGGCTCAGTGATGTCAATACCCTCATCTATCATGTCCAAACCTCTCTGGCGCACAAGCTCAGGGCTCCTTTCATGTGTTCAATATGCAAGAAAGAGTTCAATACACAGGATTTGTTGAACAGTCACATTCTACAACCACTAATGTATCTAGTTTAGCACGAAGTTTTGAGGCAATGGAGCCTTTGGATGAAGTGAGAATGCAGTCCCAGAGCATAGAGGCACAAGGGGAAGCAGTGGTACAAGAGAAGATCCTTTCTGTCTCAAGACGCTCTCAATGAGCTTTAAAAAAATATTCAAACATTTACAGGGCCGATGCCCCAGCATACAATTGTGATCCTTGCGGTTGCGAGCTTGATAATCAAAAAGCCCTTGATCGGCATTTGAAGGTCTCACCAACTCAGAACACGATATCGAAACCTAACACTACCTGATATTCCAATAAAGAGCAAAGATTGTACGACTCTGATATGATTTTTATTCCTGTCGTGCTAATCATCGGGCTGTCGGGTTTGAACCACTTCAACGACCAATCTAGTTCGTATTGTTGTAACACGCAAGGGAGATTAAGTTATTCATATGCATGATGCTCTTTCACGAAGGATTCTGATCTTTCTATTCACTCTTTCGAATCAATTTCTTCATCCCAACTAAAGCTCCGGTCAGTATGCTTTCTTGTTGAGGCTTTCCTCGGTATATCGCGTTAGAGAGTATCATTACTGCTCTCTTCAAGATTGATCTCAGAATAGGTTGGAGTACTTGGAACACACCCGAATATAGGTATCCACGAAGTGGGATCTTATTTGTTACCTTTGCAGCAAAGTAGCACATCTCACCCCGCAGTATGTACAACTCATCAATGCAGCACCTTATCATTATAAGCCGGTAAATGCAATGGCAACCTCATCCACCGAGCAATATCAACACCCTCCTCCTTAATATTTCACACCTTCAGTAATCCCGTTACTCCTCTAGCCATCATGGTACTCTGTTCCACATGCAATCGGTCATTCAAGTCCGAGACCTCACTTAATCAACACAAAAGGGACTCACCAGTTCATGCTATTATAGTCCCCGGTGACGGATGTTCAGATCGGCTTCCTAACACCAATGCCCTCGAGGAATACCTCCGAACTTCATCTACTCACAGTGCACCGAGCAACGACCCGTCGTCCAGGTTCAAATGTGATATCTGCAATACGACTTTCGTTTCCCAGAATTTCCTCAACGAGCATCTCCAATACTCACCTCTCAATGCCACATCACTCGCACACAAATTCTACAGTATAATTTACCTTGGCAGGAAAGCATTGGAAGAACATCTCCAAAATCTACAAAGCACGACTCCCATATTCGAATGTGAGCCCTGTACCCGTTCCATCAACGACCAAAGCGCCCTCGTACACAATCTCGAGTCTTCGTCAGCTCATACTTCAGTATTTGAATGCAATCCATGTGATCGAGTTTTCGTCAGCCAGACTGCACTAGACAGCCATCTCCAGTGCTCATCGGCACATATCAAAAAATATGAATGTGATCCATGCAATCGATCATTCATAAACCAGGCTGCGCTAGAAGCGCACATGCAAAATTCCAAGGCCCATCGTGCCAAACCAACACCACTAGACATCTTTTTTGCAGAATATCCCTCTTTCAGATACGACCCTAAACTTCCACCGTCTGTCTCATACGCAAAGCTCGTGGGCTTCTACGGCTGGGATAGCAACGATCCCGAGGCTCAAACGGCACGAAGGAAGTACCAGGATGCACTGGAGGGTGAAGTTCGACTCTGGTTTGGGTTGGAAGGTGACCTTGCTTCCTGGCATTCACTTTGTCGGGCTGTTGGGATTGAAAGGCTACCTGGAAGCTGCAATGCTGCCAGAGAGGTATATGCTTTTTTTTTTTTTGCCGAGTCTCTTTCTAAAGTGATCAAACTGATCAGTGACTTACTTCTTTCGCATTCTATCTAGGCTATCCGAGGCGTCTATGTTAATATTGTCGATTTGATTGACTGGGCCCGGAATGGGCCGGGAGATAAACCTGTTCATCGATTCAATAATCTTGCGGAGCTGAGTGAATATACTCGGCTCACGAAGAAATTCTTTCCGAATAGACATGACGAACAGGAGGAAAGAAATATTGTTTTGCGGCATTTGCTTCGCCATATCTTTTCCCCCAATCAGCCCTAGTGGGTTGGTGTGCATGCTGTTGTCACCAGGGCAATGCAGCTGAATTCACTTTGGTTACCAGAAACACAAGCACTGGACCCGAGGTCACATTATATTCTGAGATCGCGTGCGCATGTCGCATGCATGTGATATATAATCTGTATGTCACGATAGCGAGACCCACCCGGATTGGAAAATCTAGACCCCATAGACCTAGTCCCGAAGATTAAGAGATCAAAGTCCTGGTATTCAACTGTATACCGGGGAGCTCCATTAGGATGCAAAACAGCATTTACAACGAAAGCCATAAAACCCAAGGCAAGAGCGCATTCGTAGATACACAAGTTCCAAGATAAACGATACATGAACAGAGACAAGGGAGCGGAGGAGGAAAGAACACAAAAGGATCGGATGGGTATATAGATCTCAAACAGGGGAGGGAAAGCAAAATGTCCAAACGCCGCTTCCAGGGCGCACATTCAACAGTAAGATAGCCGTGGAGATATTCTGCAGGCTGGTCGAGGGCATTGCCATATGGCAAGGCTGGGCATAGGTGGAGATGTTGATGGCGGGCCTAAAGAATCACACAGCGACAGCCAGGGCTGCGCTCGTTGTTGTCGCGTTCCCGGCTGTATTGTGCTTTCGCTCCCTTGGCGTCTTCCTCGTCGACTACCTCCTGCGGCTTGACTGTCATATGTACGACAGTAGGGGCGTCGTGGTTGAATTTTGATTCTGCATGCCGTAAGTATCACGATTGTAGTGCTGGCTAGGCGGGGCGATACGTACCAGAGAGAGGCGACTTGTCATCCAACAATTTTCCAAAGGAAATCAAACGGATAGAGCTCGGGGACGATGGACGGGTTTCCCAGTCTGCAATTACGTTAGTTTCAATTCAGGATACCCCTGGCAAAATCCATTGTCCTTAGAAGCTCGACTCACCAGCTCGCCACTCTCGCCAGATCAATTCTTTCAGAGTGTAAACGCTCATCGCAAACGGATCGTAGTTCTCAACATTAACAGATCTCTTCCGCAGATATGGCCCGTCGATCGTGAACGGGTGTCGTGACCCAGTTGTCAAAAGGAGCGTGATGTCCAGCGAAGGCCCAGCATCGACCTCCTTCCCCTCAGCATCTGCCTGCTCAGACGAGAGCTCAGCTCCAGGCTTCAGCTCCTCGCTTTCCGTCGACGGCACGCCAGTGGCAGGCTGCGCGATCGCGGTCGCGGACTCGGGCTCGTTCGCTGTAGTCGCCTCCGGGGCGCTTTCGCCACCAGTAGTTGCGGGGTGGCTCACGGGCGCAGCTGACTGAGCGTGGTCTGATGGGATAGCAGAGGAATCGTGCTCAGCGACGGTGTTTTCGGGGACAGGGGAGGATTTTGATTCAATTTGCGGTTGGGACTCCTGCGGAGAAGTGACAGCCCCCGACTCGTGTTCTTTGGGCATCCCGGATTCCGGGTGGTCGTTGGAAGACATGATTTAGTGGCCCCGGGAATAAATGACAATTGACTTTCCCTTGCTAGTGGAAGGGAAGCAACTGTCGGGGGTGTGGACGGGGGTTTGGGGAATGTAGAGAGGGAGAGAGTTGCAAGGTTGGAGGAGAATGGTCGATCGGGTTCCAGATGTGAGGAGTCGGAAGTTCCAGACTAAGCGTGGCGGCACAATAGTGTTTTCGCTAGTTTCCAAACCACTTTTCGAAAGGAGATATAAATCAGTGGGATTTGACAAGTTGGAAATGGTCAGGGTCTGGGGGGGCGAAGGAAAAGGGGATCGGCGCAAGACAAGACCGCACTAGGTACTTCAACCTCTGAGACCTTCAACGTCAATGAAAGTTGATCTCATAAGATTCTATATATAGTGACTTATTTAACTTGTATCTGGATTTATGATACGCCAAGACTAAGGCTGATAACGAAGATCCGGGGAAAGCCTCTTAGTCACGATCGACAAGGTATAGCTAACTTACAGTATTGGAGGAACGAGTAGATTGGACAATTGAAGTGACCATTTATTTGTGATCTACAGATGCAAAATTCCGAAAGAATTGCCTTTGAGTTACACTCTCCATTTGCCGCATCTTTGGCAAATGGTCTATGTCACCGGATGCAGAAACCATGGAAGGTGGCCAATCGCCCTCTTTACGGAGACATTTCAACTCCTCTGGGCCAAACCAAAACACCAAACAAAACACGGTCGCACATGGCCCACATACGGGATCAGGACTCGTGTGTATGCAGGGACGCGTGTAGTAGATACATCATATATTTGCATAGATACGGGGAAGTAGGTAGGCGACCATCCGAGTCGGCTTCGTCACCTGCGTTTCAGGCGTTTGGAGACTTGAGTAAATGCTTGGGATATTGGATACTGGAGGCATAGTATCAGAGCTAGGCTTCCTGGTCGAGCTCTGAGATGCGAAACTGGATATCCTAGACCCAGCCCGCATACTGCTCCAGCACTTCATTCTTCACCCCTTCGGACCCATGCCTGACGCCCAGCAGTCGTACATTGCCAATCTTCCCACCAAAATCGTCCTCCACCGCACTCTCGTAGTTCTCGAACTGTTCGTTCAATCGTGTAATCACTGCAGGATCATCCCGGATTAATAACACAATGGCATCGTATCCTCCTGCACCCGGCACCACACCACCAATGACTCCATCGATCTCAGTAAGTCTGTCCAACAGCTCGGTCTGCACACTTGGCTCAATGGGCACACCCGTCCGGCGGGTCATCGTGCGAATATGGTGTCGTGTACGCTGGATATAATTCTGGATATCGGAAAACTCGCCATCTGTGTTGGCATCCGGGTGTTGCGCGAGGCGCTTGAGTTCCTGGCGGAGACGCTCATTGTTATTCTGAAGACTGGCCCACAGGATATCGGCCTCCTTGCGATTTTCATTCCTCCATGCCAACACCTTCTTAACCATCGACGGCGTCTGCGAGCCACATTCAACATCGCACAGCACCATCTGCATCCCGCGTGGAAGCTGCATACCGAAATCCACGCACTCAGTGTCCCATGGGTGCTCGGGGTCAGCGTCCTCCACAACAGCGAACAGTCGCTCGTCAAATCCAGGAGATCCCACATCACCCACCGACTCGAGAATTGCCGGCGAGAAACGCTTGTACAAACAAGATCCGTACACGGCAGCGGCCACGTCGAAGCCGGAACCAACCTTGCCCTGGGCTGCGCAGTGGGCAGCTTGAGCTAAATTGTGGAGCTTATCCCGACCTGCGCCGAGATCATCTGCCTGCATGGTTCGGTGAATAACTAGTGAAGAAACAAGGGCGGTCACCAGGGCAGCTGAGGAACCCAGTCCTGTCTTGTGGGCTTCGAGGAGGGGAACACCGAAATTAACAAAGCGCCCCCGACCTTGAGATGCAGGGCCCTTGGAGGTGGCAGTTTCCGAGTAGTAGTCGTTATCGGCCAGGATAGTCACTGACAGCGAGCCGAAGTCCTTGGAGTCGGCGACGTAGCCAATGTAGGTCAATGCATAGCTTAGGGAGGTTTCAACGAAAGGGTTGCGTGGCCTAGTATTTGTTCAGGTTAGCCATACTTAGTTACTCAAATGAGAGAAATCATTTCAAGTGTGGGATATTCTCACCCATCATTCCTCTGGATCACCTTAACTCCACCACCATTGTCGCATCGCTGGATGCCATATTCCCAGATCGCATCGACGAATTGCGGCGAGCGCACCACGATGGTATCCTCAGCCTCAGTCTCGTCAACACCAGACCCCTCCAGTCGGACAGAATCTCCCTCACTGCTCGTAGAAGCGGCCTTGTGATCCGGTCCGGAGCCAGAGGCCCCACGGCGGTGACCCCGTCTCAGTTGCTGAACAACAACGTGAATGCGCGCATCGAGTGCGAAGACGGTGCCGGTGTAACTGCGATCAAGAACCAGGTAGCCACCGGTTAGGAGGACCTTACCGGGCGCTGACAAGGCCGTTACGGAAGGTGGTTGGGGTGCCATGGATATTGTCGATTTGGAAGAAGGCGGGGGTATTGTTCGGGAGAGGTTTGCCCCGCGAATCGTGGTGATTCGGGACTGTATTTATCAGGAAAAAGGGATTCGGCTATGTACTTTGTGGAGTCGACCCGTTTCTCGTAGATTTTCCTGCAGCGCAGCTGGGCAGAGAAGGGTGATTGGCGAGGAGAGCGGGCATCTTGGGTGGGGGGAATTATCAATGCAAGGATGTATCGATATCTCCTAATGCGGGTTAGCGTTCCTGATGTTGCACATGCCCTAAAGCCAAGATATGTAAATGGGGGGGTTGTCATGGACTTCATAGCATTTATCTTGTCAACTCAATTGCTTTCACTAGCTACTCTACTGATCAGTCTGCTATACACATTCAGTATGTTCATGAGTCATGACATCTGGGTGTATATTGTACTCCACAGGTATATGCGCTAGTATGAATAGTCCTATCGCAATTAAAAACAAAACGTGGCTGCGGGCTACGGGTAATTATTTGTCTTGATTGATTATAAAGTAAAAGCACAATGAATTAGAGAAAAAATGCCTAATCTACATAAGCAAAAGAAAGCCACTGCTGACTCGGTAATCCAATGTGGCTTGAGATCCACTAAAAACTACGAGCACTTAGTTAAATCATAGCTGAGATGAAGTAAGACTGAGATAAGACCAAGAGATGAAGGATCATAAGCATTACTATTAATTAGGCTCTCGCCTAATCCCATCATTAGGGCGGACAAAATGATAAGAATCGCACTCATGGAGCCAAATAGTCATGATTTCATTATTCCTTCATGCTAGACAACGACCAATGATAATCGAGTATTCAACTGGCGCTCGAATATAAGCTTATGAATAGCCTAGAGCTCTCGGATCATGAAGTCAATTACCAATCTTCAATAGATTCCCTTTCCCTCTTCCCTCTTTCATCTCTACCCTATAGATCGTGCGGAGTGCCCGGGGCCGTGGTTTACCGGTTTCATAGACCATCTGGACTGAAGTTCTCAAAACGAACCTTGGAACGAGTACGAAACGAGTACGAAAGTCAAATTTCAATTAAGATCAAATGAATTATCAACTAAATTACCATGATGCTATGGATTATATGCAAGCGCGATGACATTGTTCTTTCCAAACTCCAAAGACTCAAAAAGCATTAACGCGCACCAAACATTTGAAACGAAAGCACCTAACTCCCAAAGCCTCTAATCTTTTTCTGTACAGGGTATTTCCAAAGTAATGCAGTCGACCATGACGAATTAACGGAGCGGAGCGGCGCGGCGAGCGAGACGAGCAAGGGAAGTGGCGGTGGAGTGTGCATCGAACGTAGACCAGTGGCGACTAACTTATGGTCGCACAACCTGTCGCAAACCCCCTATGCCTTGTTTCTCCCCCATCATGCCTTGGGCTTCCGCGCAATGATGCTATAGCTCGTCGTGGCAAGACGCATGTTATCCATCTTGACAAAAGCCTGTCCATCCAAACACAACCGGTTGATAAGCGTCTTGAAGTGACGCGGCAGCACGTGCACCTTAACCAAAGCCAGGATAACCTGGCGCAGGGTACGGAAGTAAATATCCACCGTATCGATCAGCGGAGCTTGCAAGCCATCGATACTAGCGTTCTCGGACAGCACGATCTCAAATCCGGACTGGGTAAGCGCCGCCTCCAAGCTCTCTTTGGTAGGGGTGCCGACAGCTCCGATCAACGGCTTGACGCGGCGCATGAGCTCCGCATGTTCGGGGTTCGTGGGCTCGTAGGCAGGGAGACTGATCCAGTCCAGCAGCGAAATTTTAGCACCAGGCTTGATGACGCGGAAGATCTCGGTGAAGAGCGCAGGTAGGTCCTTGCATAGACTTAGTGCTTGGATCTGGTAGAAGGCGTCGAAGCTTTCGTTCGCGAAGGGCAATGGAAGGCTGTTAAAATCCTGAACGACGAAGTTGTTGTGTAGACCGCGCTCTTCGTTGAAGCTTTTCGCTTGCGCGATTTGGTTCGGGTCGATGTTGAGGCCGGTAACGTTTGCGCCGGTGTGTTGGGCCATATGCGCTGCGACGCGACCGCGGCCGCAACCAAGATCTAACACCTTATCTCCAGCTGAGAGACCGATGTTCTGGGCGATTGATCGTTCGTAGAGAATCTGGTTCTCCAGGATGGTGGCCTTCTTGCTCATCCATGGCGGAATGTACATCTTTTCCACATCGCCCAGGGCGCAAAGGTGATTGAGCACGCCGTAGTATGATTTCAAGCAATCGCCAACTTTCTCTTGGTAATTAGGGCCCAGAGCCTCGATCATTTGCTTCTCGTCAGACCAATCAAGGTTGTAAATGACGTATGACGCCATAAAGTCATCCACCTGCTTCGGGGTCAAGTTGGACAAGTATCGGAATGAAGTCCAAAAGCTCTTCCACCGCTTCGGAGAGGCTGAATTGTCCTGATCCTTGCCATGCTTGCCCAGCGCAGTGACAAATAACTTCTGCTTCGTCTCTGCGAT